ATATCCCCCACAAATCATCTCCAAGCTAGCAAAGACAAGTTCAGTATGGGCGAAAAAGGAGAATTCGAAATACAAGAAGTTCCAACCCGTCGTAAATGGCTCGTTCCTGCACTGATTTGTGGTGCTATTCTTCTAGTTATATTGATTGTTGTACCCATCGTTGTAAGCCAACAAGGCCATGACAGTAAATATGTAGTTGGTGAAGAAGAAGCTAGGAAATTAGCGCTCAAAGTTTTAAAAGAGGTTCCATTAATCGATGGGTAAGTTGTGGCTGTTTTTTTTCTTTTTGTCAACTACCTCAGCGTGAAACAGTCACAAAAATCATCTTTTCATATACAAGTGGGCATGATTATAGTATGATTGCCTTTAGCTCGATCTACGCTAGCAAACTAGACTATCCTCTCATATTTTCTTCGCAAAGCATAGTCATGGACTAGCTCAAAAATACCAGTAGTCCATGGTATGGCATGACTTCCAACTTGCTCGGGTCTACATGTTATTTCGTTTTAATGCCAGAACGAAAAACCATTGGTGCAACTCCACACGACTTCCATTGCAACATCACACGGGCTTGAGTCATGCTTATAGATTTTTTTACACTTTGCTAATTCGATCAACGAGATTGATTTATTTTCCGTGATTTGATCGTTTCCTATATACATAAGCGACGGTCAACATTTCTTTCTCATCCTTCCTTGAGTTGGACTTACGTTAGTAATGACAATTCCTCTTTGAATAGGCCTATCTCATTTCAAATCGATTATCCGGTAGTTTTACTATCCTAGCAGAATCTATGGTAGATTTTGGATAGCATGAAATTACCGCTAATCCCCCCCCCCCCCAAATGGCAAAATTGAGCATTGGACGAATAGGGAATACCATGATCATATTTACAGCAAACTATTAACATACGAGTAGAAATGGATACTATCTACAAGCTTAAATCAAATATGGATAGTCGTAGAGTTGACTGTAGATTTCAATCAAATCATTCAGCATCGCGTAAAGTATTTACAATTGAATACTTTGCAATGAGCGCGAATAGAAGAAATATCGTTTTCATATTATCCCATTATTAATTCTGTCAATATCCATAAAAGTCTATATCATCGACTCAATTAAACCTAGATTTACTTACGGTGAATAAAGCCATCGCATGGGGTATTCAATTACAAAATTGGCCCCACTTTGCAATTAACCAAAATTGGAAAAAAACCACTTTCAATTCGTCAATATGGCTTTGCGATTTCTGTAATCTACTAGAATCGACTGTACAGTAGGTCTTCGGGAATCATCCTGAACCGTGTAAAATATTGCAATTGTAAGAAATTAGCATTTCACGATGAGTGTAAATGTGAAAAATATCACTTCTCTATCATCACTATCCTATTACAGTATAGTATCTACAATATGCGTAATAGTTGATATCATCGACTAATGCAATTTCTAAATCTAAATTTACGTCATGGAGCCATCACATAAAATATTCATTTATTTTGCAAGCTACCAGAATAGGAGAAATATCACTTTCATAGCGTAAATATCGCATTGTTATTTCTGCAAGATATCAGTATTGGCAAAATTAATAACATTTACAAACGTTATTTTTCAACTGTGACGAATAATTATCCTCAAAAACGAAAAGGGACAGCTTGCAGTCGATGTTCATCAAATAACATTAGATTACATAGATCGGTTCATTGGACAAACATTAGGAACATATCCATTAACGACTATAAATATAAAAGTTGATAATATCGATTAATATCTGAATTGGAGCTACGAATCATCTTCCTAAATAAAGTACAGTTAGCAGCATTTAATATAGACCTTGATAAAAAGGACATCTTAAATAATAAAACTGTAACTGTAAAACTGATCATCAGACGAGCATTAGTATCAGAGTCACGTTGTCAAATCATGATTTTCGTAGAGCTATCCATATAAAATTGATATTTTCTATCACGATAGACAATAAATTTTGCCTCTTAGAGTGTGTAATAACCTTCTGTAGGTATTCAGTATAGGTAGTAAAATGGATTCAAAAGCAATTCCAAATTAGAACTTTTAATTACTGTTATTTAAAATGGAAATATTGAGCCTTTTGACGAGGTTTTAGTTTTAAATCATATCGTAATCTTTTTTCAAATGGCCAATCCAAATTGATATTCTCTGATACGGTAGTGTGCAATCATATCTTCATGGGTACTAATATAAATGTCTATTTCAATCTCGATTCTTTCTTCTAGCCATAACGATTTACCGTGGCAACTAAGAGCTCATTATTATAATAAACTCGAATATGCCAACGCTTCCTTGAATTTACCTCAAAAAATTTTACATACTAACATCGAAAGACTACGCAAAGGCCATGTTGGTGCTCAAGTAAGTTTGTAATTCTGTCATGAGTTAAAGAGATTAGCTTATGGCCATTCTCTTCTAGCCATAATGTAGCGTAGTAGTTAGGGTTCTAATCTATTTTAAAAGGTCAATAATCAGATAGTCAACCTAGATAGAAGTTATTTACTATTTATCGATGATGATCGATAGTAGTATTCACCGCATTTGCATCTGTTAGTAGTAATCTGGTATTGAACTTGATAGCATTTCAGCCAGCTTAATATCCTATCATAGTTATAGTTATCTTTATCTGTCTTTATAGCAAGCTTATAACCTCATCATTAGATTACTTTCTTACTTTATTTAGTAAAGAACCCCTATGCCGTCGTTTATCGACAATCCATCGTACTACAGCATATTATACGCGTATTACATCTACTTGTAGCAAATCTATAATTAGTTGATATTTCCGATAAACTATCTTCCATGGCAACACCGTAGTCTGTCAAAGCATGGGATGATCTCACTCACTTCCCTTAATCGCCCAATTTCTAATAAGATCAATCTATAAACTATCATGATACGCTAGTGATTCTAACCTCAACATCGCAATTTATTCTTGATGTCGTTAATCCATTTACTATTATAAAAGTATCAACGATATCAATGATAGCAGTGAGAGTTATTCTTCTTTCTCCTTTAATAATTCTTTTTATAGCCAATTTACAGTACTTATTTCTATAGAATTAGATTAGCTATCATCTACTTGCCATGACATCGATAATTAAAATGAATAGCTTTTTTTTACTTTTCATTTCCCATAGTTCTGGGCAGATTACGTCCCATGCGCTTCTCAGTATAAAGATTCCATCCGGTTTGCCTTGCAACAAGCTGATGTTATTAAGAGATTTACCCATAAATACAACGATACATTCGAGATGGCTTATACTGCTAATGATATCGAAAGGATCTTCAAAAATGGCAAAATTGCCTCTTTGATTGGATTAGAAAGTGGCCACGCCATCGAAAGTAGCTTAGCTGTCTTGCGAATGATGTATGATATTGGTGTACGCTATATGACCTTAACTCATAGTTGCAATACCCCATGGTAAGTTTGCTTTCTATCCTAGAAAGCATTTAAAAATCCACTTTATTAAAATACTCTAGCTTAAGATAGAATTATAGCTGGTCCTTTCTGTGATGTAATATCAACTGCGACATGATAGATCGTATAATAATGGCTGTAAAGTATATTTATAAGACATTTTACAATATGAAGGCGGTACACTTTTAATTAATGTCTTTTTCCTCACTACTTTCATCATCAAGGGCTGATTCTACTACACCAGATATTAAGGATCATAATGGTATTACTGAATTTGGCAAGGTCTGATTTATTCTATGTTGAAAAAGTTAATGATAGGATAGTCTGCAAGGTTGCTATGTCATCCAGCATTAGAAACTAACTGTATTATTATCGCTCTATCATTGCAGAAAGTTGTATGGGAAATGAACAGGTTAGGCATGTTCATCGATCTTTCCCATGTATCTTTTGCCACGATGAAAGATGTCTTAGCCATTACAAAGGCCCCAGGTAACATTTCTGCCGCTCCTAATATAATATTACGATAACTTGCGCTCTTGCTAAAGGTAACAAACTGATTAACTCATAATGGCTTACATTTTAGTTATCTATAGCCACTCATCAGCTTATTCTTTGCGCGATCATGAACGAAATGTACCGGATGATGTCTTAAAATTAACCGTAAGTTGTAAATAAATTAAAATTTACAACAGTAAAAGCCATCAGTTTATCTGAATCATTAAATAAATAAATAAAATAAGTAATAATTTAAACTGTGAAAAAATGGATATTGAAAAAAAAACATCAAAATTGATGACTGGTTGGTCTATACATGATAGGCTAGTAACCGTGGTGTAGTTATGGTTAACTTTTACAACCTCTACATCAACAAGACTCGTGATTATGCTAGCATTGAACAAGTTGCAGGTATAGAAATCATATTTCAATTTCAAGATAGTCATGAATGCTATAGCTCCCAACTGCAATATAAATTCACGAATTTATCCATCTTAATGAACACAAGTAACTACGGTGTTCATTTCTAGGAAAGCTGTTTGTACACTAACCCAATCAAACCATTTTCCTTCCTTTATATAATTTAGATCACATTATGTATATTAGGAAGGTAGCTGGTGTCGATTATGTCGGCCTTGGAAGTGATTACGATGGAGTCTGCTGGTAAGATTGATTTTAACTTAATGTATTAGTCCGATATACTTAATATATAAAGTTTGTAACAACTAGTCTTTCTTACCTATAGTGTCCCTAAAGGATTGGAAGATGTCTCCAAATTTCCAGATCTAATCACCCTATTAGCTCGTATGGGATTGAAAGAAGATGAATTGAAAAAGATTGTTGGCAATAACTTATTGAGAGCAATGAGAGAAGCGGAAGCGGTAAACTACAAGATTCATCTCAAACTTCTTTAGCTTCTTCATAAAATAGTGATCAATGACTATTTCATAACCTTCATTAGGTCAAAGATTCTTTGAAAAACCAAATGCCATATGATGAGTGGATTAGTATTACACCAAATGCATCCGGTTGTGCTTCTAATCTTTACAACACTCCATTAATGAGCGTTGAGCAATCTAAAGTGGTAGCTGAGCGAGTCCTATCGCAAGAACCGCTCGTCGATGGGTAAGATAGTCACCCTCTCCCTAATGAGCACAATTCCCTCTTATAAGGATACTTTCTTCCTTAATTCAATTCATGACTCCGTTATCGCATTATCCTTTTCTAGCCATAATGATTTACCATGGCAAATGAGAGCATATTATTACAACAAAATTGAATATGCCAATGCATCACTTAATTCCAATCTGCCCCACCTTCATACTGATATTGCCAGGTTGAGGAAAGGTCGTGTTGGTGCTCAGGTAAATATGTACAATTTGAAGGCATTCTCTCCTTCTTGTCGTTATTATTTTCTCTCTTTTTCAAGAGTACAGAATGAGACGTATGTTGAAAGTGTAATTGTTGTGATCTATCTGATGAAATATCTAGTTCTGGGCCGATTATGTCCCTTGTGCTTCGCAATTTAAAGATTCAATTCGCTATTCTCTGCAACAAACCGATCTCATTAAGAGAATAACTTACAAGTATAATCAGACTTTTGAAATGGCATATAGTGCTGATGACATCACGCGCATCTTTAAAAGTGGTAAAATTGCATCGTTAATTGGCTTGGAAAGTGGCCATGCCATCGAAAGTAGCTTGGCAGTACTACGAATGATGTATAGTCTTGGTGTGCGGTATATGACATTAACCCATAGCTGTAATACTCCATGGTAAGTGAAATGATGGTTAGTTTGAGAGATTGATTGGAGGTAAACGCTAGATATCCACTGATAAATGCATCAAGCTATAGTTTAGCCCGACACTGGAGGATATTGTAGTTATGATAGAGAAATATTAAATTGATCGCGTAAGGCTTATAGGATAGTTTAGATATCTAACTGTTAGTTTAGGGATATAATCAAGAATAGCAATAGTAATTAAAAATGATTGGCAAGTTTATCTTATAGGATAATCTAAAATCAGTCGTTTGGTAATAGGATTATAGAAATGGGTTAGAAAGATCTGATTTAGTAAAAATAGATGTAGTATGCACGATTATATTCGATGGAAACAGATCAAAATTGATGTATATGTATGAATGAATGACTTGCTATTAGATAAAATAAAAAGTACGAACTTGGAATATTAAAATATCTTGTTATTATTTTGATGATTAGGGCTGATTCTGCAACTCCAAAAGACCATCCTCATAACGGCTTAACAGATTTTGGAAGGGTAAATTAAAAATTTTGTCTAGTATATACTGTAACTATGCAATATTTTCAGAATTATCCCGAACGCGAACTACTGTATATCCTTTTTTGCACTTCACCGTCTACTTCTTGATAAATTATTGAATACTACCCAGTATTAAAACTCTAATTTTAAATTTTGACATGAAAAAATTGATCCCTTAAGACTATCGTCAAAGAAATGAACCGAATTGGTATGCTTATTGATTTGTCTCATGTATCAGTAAAAACCATGAAAGATACCTTGGCGGTAACAAGAGCACCAGGTATGAAACTCCATCTATTGCCAGATAGTTTATAATTGTATACGTGTATGGCTAAAGGTAGTAGCGTAGTATGATTCTAAAATAGCAGGAATAGTGGCTCTATTTAACTATTCATAGAGACCGCTAACGACGAGCTATTCCTTTAAAATGCATAGTAAGAAAACAGTTTTCTTTCTCTTTTAGTCATTTATAGTCATTCATCTGCGTCGAAATTTTGCAATCATGAACGAAACGTCCCAGATGATGTACTCGATCTTGTTGTAAGTCTAATATCCAATGATAATTGAATAAAAATAGTATAAATTAATTTCAGAGGACTGGACATTTAATCTCAAGCAAAATAGTACCGTAGTACTGTATAAATAGATTAAAATTTATCATATACTTTTCTTACTCATAGGCAAGAAATCGTGGCGTCGTCATGGTCAACTTTTATAGCTTGTACATCAGTTGTAGTAATGAAAATGCAACCTTGGAACATGTGGCAGGTTATTAACACTTGCAATACTGATTAAAAAGAAGGCTAATATACATCTTACTGTACGGATAGTCGGTAGTAAAGAGATTATTATTTTCTGAACAGATCATATCATGTACATCAAGAGGATAGCTGGTATCAATTCTGTTGGTCTAGGAAGTGACTACGATGGCGTTTGTTGGTATGTTTAAGATTAATATAGTACTAAAACTGCCTTTAGGAATATTTAAAATTAAATTTTATCACAAATGCTAAGCTAGAAGTAGATATTGGCCGTTCCAGCTTAAAACTAGATGTGCTATTTCACAGTTATTTGAATACCTTTTTTTTTAATTTCATAGCGTACCGAAAGGACTTGAAGATGTATCGAAATTCCCGGATCTAATTGCTACATTAGCTCGTCGTGGTCTAAGTGAAGCTGAATTGAGAAAAGTTGTAGGTGGAAATCTTTTGCGTGTCTTTAAGGAGGCTGAAAAGGTAAGGAAAATTTCGATATTAATAACCTAAACTTTGAGCTATTCCAATAAAAGACATTTAAAGTACCAAAATGATTTTCAAATAATGAATAATTCATTTTATTCATGATAATCAAGGTAAGAGATGATTTGAAGAGTCAAAAACCATTCGATGTATGGCTATCTCCACCTGCCAACAGCACGGGATGTCTATCCCCAGATGTTTCACAATGATTTAATTTATAGCATACTTTCTATTTTTTCCGTGTGTCTTGATGTTGGTAGTGAAAATAATATAGACAATAGTATTTACTAAAGAAAGGTTCGACAATCTGAACTTACTTTTCTTCTCAAAGAATATACTTAATAATTTACGCCAAAAGCCAATAAAAGAATGCTAAAATTGTTATTCGTTCTTCCAGTTGTATTCGTCAATATTTTCCAATAATACTTACTGATGGTTATAATACTTTACCTTTAACCAGTAAGCTCCGTGCTCTTCTTTGATGCAATGTCAATAACCTTGGCATGGCCTAGGATGTAAGATAAAAAATACAATACTTGATGATACATTTAGTAATCATTAGCTTAGCAGTTAGTCGCAAGATTATTCATAACGAGATTCACCAAATATCCGCTAGAATGGCGGAATCCTATGGTGTAGCGATTCCATAAAAAAGTAAACAAACAAGGGCATATCGTAACGATAGCTGTATATCCGTGGAAAGCATGATTGATGTATTGCCTATGACATAGCCTGTGCCAATTCGCATAACGACTTTACTTACTTTGGCAAAGAGTTCTTTCATATTCATCAATATTTAACTTTTATGCTTGATTTTTCACATAGAATTCCGTCATTCTTTAGTTAGGGGGGTCTTAAAATAATACGCATATCAACAGGATTGTAGCACATAAAAGTGATTAACATCCAATATTTAACGTTGCTTGATTTTCTCATGGAATTCCGTCATCGTTTAGTATATAGGATGACGTAAAATACACATATCATGAGGATTATATCCATATAAAAGTGATTAACATATAATAATATTTGGTTAATTTTTACATAAAATTACGTCATCATTTATTATGGGATTTGTAGTAAAGCGAATACTCGAATCATATGCTTATAAACTCTAGGCAGAACTATAGACTATTAAGTAGCGGTCGTATCATTATCATCACACTTTCATCCTACTGTAGCGCATATTAGTAATTCTGATGGTGAGAGCAAATAAGAATTTAACTTTAATGCTAAACGCACGGTACTGCTAGGATGGTGTAAAAAATGCGCATACCATGAGAATTGTAGCATGTAAAAATGATTAACATACAATATTGAACTTCCTTGCTTGATTTTCACATGGAATTCCGTCATCATTTAGTTTAATAAAGTGATTTAAAAAAACCTTCATCATGGCGATTAATTTTACGTAAAAATAACTGACGCACGATATATTGCTCAGTGTACTCGAATCAATCTACAATTGACGAAATACGAGTATCGTGGGATGCTGCTTCCAGGTAGCGAAGGATTAAAAATAAAATGTATTATATCTCTTGAAGATTACGCATTCCCATGTATAGTGACAATTCTAATGTACAGTCAATATGTATATCTATGTAGAATATAGTGTAGTCAACCAAGGCCACAATATTGGCTAATAAAACAAAAAAAGGATGAATTTTCTGATTGCATACAAGCATCCTTTTTTAAAGCTACGGTAAAGATGTACGGTATCTATGATTTGATGTGGTAATAGTCTTCAATGTTTAATTTATTGGCAGTAGTATTACAAAGTAAAAAGTACAAGTGTAGCTTGAGTATAGTATGCAAAGTCTAATGAGAGAGGGATCGACTAGTAATTATGGAAAATTAATTTTACAAGTATTCTGCTCGTATTCGTTACGTTATCCCAATTTTTACTGTATCAACGCTACAAACGACGTACTTATAGTAATTGGATTCTTTTACGAGATAAACGCATAGGAAGAGATTACGCTATAAGTTTATATGTTAGTCCATAACAATGAAACTTATTTAAAGCTGTCTATACAACATAAGTAAAACTCAGTTACTAAAAGCAATCTGTAGTTAAATAAAGAGATATCAAGATTCTCAAGCGGGTTATTACAGATATGCCTTATACCGTGTTCATCATTACACGGTCTAAACACAAGCATGCATTGGCCGTTAAGACATATCAATTTACAGCTCACAATAATAATACACATGGAACATAAAAATCCTTGTGTAATTTATTAATTTTTGATTGGTTACAATTTCAGGTAACAATTTTTCAAGTTAATATTTTAACTACTTTCCGCTTTAGATTTTCGATTCCTTGGCGATCTTTTTGGTGATTGCGAGCCTATTGTGATAGAAAATTAAATATTAGGAGACGATTATGAAATATTAGTTTCAAAATAGTAATCTTTGTTCCGTATAGATTTAAATAAAGGAATTTCGCATCTTTGATTGAGGTTATATTCATAATACGTAAACATATTATCCAACACCACACCCGAATAAGATGCTATTTTAATATTCTTCCATCAACGACCGCACTCTCATAACAAGTGTTCATAGGGCGGCGCTTTTAGGAAGCTGCTATATTATACTATACAGCATTCACTGGAATAATAATGATTGTACTACATCGTCATCTGGATAGCAAAGTTTTACTACTCCAAGGAGTAAACATTACCACATAGGTAGGTACTTCACATTCGTTAGAATATTAAAAGGTTAATACTAACCACCGGCAATAACTAAATTTTCTTTCGGGATCCATTCCATGTCAATATCGGCATTTTGAGTACCAGTTTCAAACGTAGGTTTTGCAGATTTTTTACTCTAAAGTTACAATGTATGAGATTAATACCTTCTAGGAAAAGGAATATATTAAGCGAGATTTAGCTCACCATTCTGGCTACGACTAGCTGGCGTACCAACAAAACAACCAAAGCAGCGCAAGCAGCCAAGAAAACGTACATAAAGACCCTATTTTACAGTTGATGAAAATAATATAAAAAAATATCTTTACCGTTAGTGTTCGGATTAGTAAGAGTATTAAAAGATTGTATTGAACTACTCAGACTCACATTTCACCGTCTACTCCTGATTTTCCTTCAACAAAAGTCACGGTATCGTTATAAAGAACAGTTTGGAAGGTGTTTCCATCCTATCATTATGATTGCGATTTTCAATTATACGATTCGTACTATTCAGGCAAATAGTTAGATTAAATACAATTTAGACAGACATTTAATTAGCTATGTGACTTACTGCATCTCTATAACTGACAGTAAATACTAATCCAAATGGGCGAGAAGCAAGAGAATCATGAGGTGCAAAGGCATAATAAAATGTGGTCTGTAATGATATGAAATGTGCGACATATGATGGTTAATAAAAATAATAATAAATATACGTCATTTTGTCATGTACCATAAACAACTGTCAAGTGTTTGCAGCTATACCGTACCAATTCTCTTGGTTTAACGAGCAATCCATAGTGGAGGGCGGTAAACTGGTAATAATAAATAAAATTTCGACATTATTATTGCTATAATAAAAAATAACGGCATCGATTAAGCATGTATTCGTAACTAGACTTACATTTTGTATGAAGTAATTATAATCTGCAGGATACCTATTGTAACACATAACCGGAAATAGAACATTGTCATTTTGATAATGGAGTAGTAATACGATCATTTCATTTTCATAAATGATTGTCCATTGATATAATACTCGTATGACAGTTAACAATTGGACATAACATTTCCTAAAATGGGTTTGTCGGCTAATGTTACAATAGTCTGCAGAGATATGTTCATAGAGCATTAAGAAAGAGGCCCTAATATATCCTCTGTAGATAAATTGTGAATTGTTCTCCTTCCTCGAGACACCGAGCGCTATCATTACTAATCGGTAGTATAGTTTTAATCTATACTACTGATTTCAGTTGCAGCGAGGTACATAAAAAAAGGAAGTGCGAAATTTATTGACTATAGCTACATAAAAGGTTTCGATTGGATAGGCATACCTAACGGAACCTTCGATCGAATCAACGATGAAGTCGAGTTCTCCGATATTGGAAAATCCAATCAGGCATTTCGATAGTGTTCCAGTAGGTAGAGCTAATTGTGAAATTAAAGAAATGTATTCATCACTGCATCATTATTCAAGTTAAAGGCATCATTTGATCAACTTAATACACAGTCATTATTTCTGTTTTATTAAACAGTGGTAGGGATACCTTGTACATCGTTTGTGGTAAAAAGGATGTTCGTTTCAGCAAATTCTGATGATTTAATTAACGGAGCTGCTTCTTCTTCTGCTTTCTCTTCCTCTTGCTGTTCAGATAAATATAGTATTTACAGTTAGGGATAATTTGCTTTACAATTGGATTGTCATTCAAGCTCTTATATCACAATATCAGTTTCCGTTTTGTACGTTTACGTCTAGCTAGTTCTTCTATATAGTGGGTAAGTATACCGTACCCATAAGAGATGTCATAATTTGATTATTATGAACAACATTGTCATAGTGATAGTAATAAATGAATCCGATCGAAAAATGCTACTCATTCTATGAGGACTGCTAGGCGATTCAACTAAATTACGTATAGTATATAACAATATAAAAGACTAGTAACAATTGAAACGATTACATATTGCCACTACATGAATACTGTAACGTTTGGGATAGAATACTTGGTAAGGCAATTTTTCAACAAGCATGTATCCGCTAATTACGCCGACATAGTCGTACAGATAAATATAATAAAGGTAATGCTATACCTCGTTTCCACCTTGTGCCGAATCCGCTGATCTTTGTCCACTTTTATCGTCTTCAACCTAAAGGATGACGAAAAGGTCTTGAGAAATTTTTCTAATTTCAAATTTACAACCGGAACTTAACAGGATAGTCAGTACAGTGTACACTATACATATACAGTATTGGATGAGAAAGACCGAACGAATTTTGAATGCGATTCTTGACTACTACACATTTCTAATTTATTAAGTAAATGGGTCTGTCAGTTTTATATTGACTGTAGAAATCACTACGTTGCTGTACTCAATCACAAAACATTAGTACCAAGTGTGTATAAAGGATTGATGAGCGATTCTTGTATCGCCAAGGAAGCTAACTAATAAGGCATCCATTAAAGTAGAGTACAATAGAATGGTTATAAAGTTACAACAGTATCGATAAATTGATCTTGTCCATTGCAAGCTGATACCATAAAAAGATACAGCAAAGCCAATTGATATTACGTTGGTGTTTGTATGTAGACAGTGGTAGAGAATAGGAGTAGTACATGAGTAAATGAGTGAAGTGGCTATTTTTTTAATCGTTTGGTGACGACTAGATATGCTTACCTCTACATCGCTTTCATCATCGACAACACCTTCACTTTTAGTTGCATCATCATCGCTGTCTTCTTGAGCATAAGCTACGTTGACACCTTATGGTAATCCACCAAATGATTGATTTATCGGATGAGAAAAATAAAAATTGAATAATATTAATATCACAAAAGTAGTATTTAATTCATCCGGTACCATTCCTATTGAACTATGATGAGCATTGATTATCGTTTGTGCTGAAGACTCTATCTCTATTTACAGTATACTACAAGCTTTCTTCTTCGCTTTCAAGTGGTCATCATGCCTCAGATAACAGTACAATACTGTATTGCATAGTCATAGCAGACCTTCTTCTTGACGAGCCAATTTTAAAGTGAAAAGAAAGTTGTGATCAAAAGAAGAAAAAACTCCTTCAGCTAATCACTCACTTTGCAATATAGCAATCGTAACAAGAAGGCAACTCAGCCCAAATGCCAAAAAGGCATCATCGTGCATTACCCTTCAAGCAATTTTCAGAAATTTTTTGGCTAAGCAAACTAGTCAAACTTTTAAAAATATACCAAGCCATCCAATTCCTTTCATGAAAGCTGTACTAAGTGCAAATTTTTTTTCATTCATGGATCCTTTAACAATCGTCTTTTTTTTTTTCTCTAATCCTTTACCATTCATTTTAATCATCCACTTACCGTTGCTATTATGCAAACATGTGAAAGGTGCCAAGAGTAAAACGACAAGTATTAGTTTAGTCCACAATGTATTCATATTAATAGTTCGCTTGCTGTGGCTCTTTTGGAGCCGATGGAGTCGATAAATGAAAGATTGCCAACTGGATTTTACTGCGACAAAGATGGCAACCAAGAAATGCTTTTAGATGCCTTCTACACTTAGGGAAAAGAGTTGCGCAAGCGTATTGGCCTCCACTTCATCAGTGCTAGCGTCATAGCGACGCCCGATGCCGTGGCCAATGGTCATAATGGAGCCTCTACCAATTGGTCTGTTGCATACTTACTATAGTCTACAGTAGAGGAAGACGTCAACAAAAGCACAAAAGGTTCCGTTCCGTTTCATTTCCTGTTGGTCTAGGCTATAATGTGGCTTTAGTGTCCATTCATTACCAGTGATCGTAGGCTATCGTATAAGTATGTCCGATCATCCTACTTTCACTACTGGTTAACAGCGCAAATCGCATTCCTCTTCTTCGCTAAATTGAAAGTACTGCTACTGTATGTAGACCAGACACTCGTTTCAGTACCTCGATAGTCAGTCAACGACCGCAGACCATTGGGCCATGTGTTCCATTGATACTAGCTTCCAACATGTCTAAAGCAAAACTACGTATGGCAGACCAAACAAGGCCTTCCAATTTTCAATACTTTCCACACTGCCTTAATTAATATTAGCTAGTCATTGATTCTCTAAAATTTGAAGGCCAACAAACTATTGACTAGGAGATTTCAAGAGGGAGATAGGAATACTTTGTTGTTAGCATGATTAACATTTCTAGATCTTATCCATGCTACAGCAGATCAGACAATGGCCTTTCTACTGTACTGTATTTCTATAGGAGATGTGAATACTTTGTTGTTAGCATCATTAAGATTCCTAAATCTTATCCATGCTACAGCAGATCAGATGAATAGCCTTTCTACTAGACTGTATTTCTAGGCTTTCATGAGCTACCCTCTTTATTGTAAAAATTGGAATTTAACTTAAGGAGATAGGAATACTTTGTTGTTAGCATGATTAACATTTCTAGATCTTATCCATGCTACAGCAGATCAGACAATGGCCTTTCTACTATACTGTATTTCTATAGGAGATTTGGATACTTTGTTGTTAGCATCATTAAGATTCCTAAATCTTATCCATGCTACAGTAGATCAGACGAATAGCCTTTCTACTAGACTGCATTTCTATGCTTTTATTAGCTACCCTCTTTATTGTAAAATTGGAATTTAACTTAAGGAGATAGGAACACTTTGATGTTAGCATGATTAACATTTCTAGATCTTATCCATGCTACAGCAGATCAGACAATGGCCTTTCTACTATACTGTATTTCTATAGGAGATTTGGATATTTTGTTGTTAGCATCATTAAGATTCCTAAATCTTATCCATGCTACAGCAGATCAGACGAATAGCCTTTCTACTAGACTGTATTTCTAGGCTTTCATAAGCTACCCTCTTTATTGTAAAATTGGAATTTAACTTAAGGAGATATGGATACTTTGTTGTTAGCATGATTAAGATTCCTAGATCTTATCCATGCTACAGCAGATCAGACAATGGCCTTTCTACTATACTGTATTTCAATGCTTTCGTTAGCTATCCTCTTTATTATAAAATTGGAATTTTAGGAGATATGGATACTTTGTTGTTAGCATCATGATATGCATCATTTTGAAAATTCCGAAGTCTTATCCATGCTACAGCAAATCTGACAATAGCCTTTCTACTATACTATATTTCGATGCCTTCATGAGCTACCCTCTTGACTGTAAAATTGGAATTTAAGGAGATATATATCTTTGTTGTTAGCATCATTAAGATTCCTAGATCTTATCCATGCTACAGCAGATCAGACAATAGCCTTCCTACAATGCTGTATTTCTATACTTTCATTAGCTACCCTCTTTATGATAAAATTGGAATTTTAGGAGATATGGATACTTTGTTATTAGCATCATGATATGCATCATTTTGAAGATTCCGAAGTTTTATCCATGCTACAGTAGATCAGACGATAGCCTTTCTATTATACTGTATTTCGATGCCTTCATTAGCTACCCTCTTTATTGTAAAATGAGAATAAGAAGATTGGATATGAATACTGTGTGATTAGCATCGATAGAATCATCACTTTATCGCGACGCATAGTACAACCAGCAATGAATTACCAAGCAATTCTCTTTACAGTTAGCAGTGTATAACATATATATACCGTACTATCCTTTACATACTGGATTAATATCAGACTATAATCTTCAGAAATAGATACTTTCTATACTATTTTAAAATCAGCTACCCATTGACGATATAAAATGGTATGGATTATAAAGTGATTGTCTTTACAGTGAGTCATAAAATTGCTTTACAGCTTGTATGGTAATCCATGGCACGGAGGACCTGACAACGGATCGTATATTGCCCTTTCCATGCCGTACTAATATCAGCTGCCCACAGTACTGTATAGTACTACAGCAGGCCAGTCTAGAATCTACAATTTTACATATTTTCCATACTATTTTAACATCAGCTACCCATTAACGATATACAATTTCATAAATTACGAAGTGAGTGTTTTACAGTTAGTAGTAAGACTGTATTACAGCCTGCAGTCATCCATGCTGCCTTAATATTAGCTACCCATAGTATAGTACTGTAGTACAACAAATCACAATAGAATCTTCAATTTTAGATACTTCCCATAATGTTGCAAATGTCAGCTATCCATTGATGATATAAAATTTCTAATATCTCTATATTTAAAGAATGAAATACAGTATTATTAATGGCAGAAGTGCAGGAATGGCAACATCGAAAAGTTTGATTTCCCCTTTAGCACTACTAGAAAGAACTTTACTAGAACAACGGAAATAACCAATTAATTTATGCTATGTTGTAAATATTTAAAATTGTTAAACTCATCGCATGGTAAGAAGGTGGAATCACTTTCTGTAAATCTTCCAATTGAACTTTAAGTAAGATAGTATAATCAGGGCTTAAAAGTCCCTGGTACAATCTACAGTGTTTACGATGTAAAGACTGTTGTCGCAATGCTCCATTAATCAGCTACAAGTGCAGAAATAGCCAATATCGTTAACTTTCACAATTTACGTAGGGTCAAGTGATAAGCGCTATCCAATTACTATAACTTGATCTAATCAGAGACTCAATAAAAGCCATAAAAAATATAAATTTTTATATTAAAAAATTGTGTCATGGTGAAAATAAGGATTATAAGTGTGTTTCAGTAGATATTATCTTTTCAAAATAAGGACTATAACATCAATATTGTGGTGAAAACATTTCAGAAATAAATTACCCTAATGCACTACAATCATCGTTCTATCAAGTAATATATCTTGGTTAGTGCAGAGGAATACGACCATCAACTTAACCAGTATACATTTCATTATACATCATCTTTCAAGTTTCTTGGACAATAGAAGGTTTAATAATAATACAGAATTGAGCAAGCATATAAATTCGATCGCCTCTAGTTATTAGCATATAAACATTTTTTAGGTAATCAATCTTACAGATAGATTTAGCATCGTACTTAATACATATATTCTAATAGTTTTGACACGCATAATATCTTATCGCCAGCTCTCTTTAATGGCATCAAATTGATCCGGAGAAATGAAAGGTTGATCAATAAGGCTATCAATGTAAAGGTTAATAATCAATAACGTTTACATAGCATTTTTATAATACAAATAGTAGCGCTAAGTAATTATACCTTATCATAAGTTCTCCACAGTATAGACATTCACTGGCAACCAATTCGTCTAGTTCATCCTAAAGTCAAGAATGATATATAATTCTGTGGTAAACACTCGCACCATAATCACAACCATAAAATAATAAAAGATCAGAGGCTAAAACTCAAACCTTGCAAGAATCTCTTAAAGTGCTTTCAGCAGCTTGAAGTTCAGTCGTATATGATGTACCTAGCTTTTTTTGAAGTTCCCTCAACCTTGATCTAGAAAGTAAGCAATTTTATAGTATGATTAAGTAATACTTTTGTATTCTATAAGTGGAATTTTAATTCAGCTAGATTTTACTTTAATAATATACTTAAGTAAACAACAATCTTACCTCTGCCTATCATTGAGATGAGGTTCAACCTAGAATTTAATTCATTTAAAAAAATAAGAAAAGATAGCTTGTTAAAATGTTTCAAATTATTTTGGCTAGATTTGAATTATTTAAGTACCTCAGCTATTAAACAATCGGTATGAAACATATGACCACAAGGAAATAAGTAAAAGGCTCTGCTCATGATATTAAATGAGCAAATGGTACAGGTTTCTTGAACAGAAATAATTCTATAACTAAAATTATATAGATAAAGTTATCATTAATTAATAGGCTTTAAATTAGAAAATGCCAATTAGCATATTGGTACTATTACGGTAAATAGTTTCAAAAAAGTTAAGATCGATACTGTACCTATTTTTCATTGCCTGAATATCTTCCCGAAGAGATTTAGCGCTTTCCGTTGCTTCCTGCATTTCTTGTCTTAGTGATTCGATATGCTTATTATATTCTTGTAGTGATGAACAAATAGCGTCCTACATGAAGATCATTAGCAGTTTAAGCCTTCATTGTGGATAAATGAGATTTTCTCTAGCCGAAGGTAATCCAAATGCTGTTACCTTAAAATGATCGATAGTTACAAAATCCGGGAAAAAAGGCAAAATATCTTCAATTTTTAAAAGGTCGCAGTCTTTCAAAAAGTCCATGGCTCTAGAGTCCGGTAATAAAAAATTTTTAATGTTTAGGCAAATATATGTAGGTATGTGTTGCTGATCAAATTATTGTCATTTTATAAATAAGGAATATCGTGCATTAAATCATTGGCATTCATCTGTTATCCAGTACATCTACTTACTGCTTAATATCATTTTTCTCTTCAATGACATGACGAGCAATTAGGAGCCAGAGCCTCCTTTTTAATTCTTCATCATCCTCTGGGATTTGAGCATTATTTTTTGCAAGATCTACTGAAACCTATTATGGCACATACAATAATCCCATCTTAACATCTCTATATCATTTCAAGTCAATATTTCCTATTATAGAAGTTATATATTACCTCCTTTAAGGCCAACTCAACTGCTTCGTCAAATAAGCCCATCGCAGCATATATGTAGACACACGATCGATGACAACGGTATTCAGCGCAAAGTCTCAAAGCATAATTAGGATCATAACTCACAGCCTATTATTTTAGTATCGAAATAATAGAAGTTTGTAGCTGTCAGAACCACGCCTTCGTATTGCCTGATATTTAAACTAGTAATTTAGAAAATCTTGCTTACTCTTCCTTGTACTTGTAAATATGTTTCTAACTTTGATTCATCTTTATTCTTAGCATATAAAGATATCAAGTAATCATGAATTGCTTGGTCATTGTTGCGAAGATCACGTATACAGAATTCCAGGTATCGAATAGCCTCAGATGCCTAGAAATCAAGGATAGATAAAGTCAGATATTGATCCACAGACGACTAATAGACTATAACCAATACCTGAGGTGAGTGTTGACCGTAATGAATAAGTGAAGGAATGAGTTTTTTGGCGTCAAGATTACCCTCCAGCAAGATCCAGGTAGAAATAACATCTTTTGGTATGTGAGGAATTAAATCTGCTGAAAACTTATAGTATAATTCAGGATTCCGCTGAAATAAATATACTATCATTAGTTATGTGATTAAACATAAAAGTTCTATAAGTGTACCTATTAGTTATGCAAAGAAATGTACCTGATTCGATAGAGCATTGAGTGCCTCTTTAAACCGATCTCTCTGAATATAGTACGTTATGACCTTTTCATGATCTATTTCAACAATGGTAAATATATAAAATTAAATATTTTATTGTAATAGTACATTTAATCTGTTATATAAATCGGTCTATTGTATATTATTAGTATTACCATTCATTAGTTTGGCAAAAAAAATCATGTTATCGGTATCGCCATGACTGGAAATAAGGTCACTTAGAGTAGCGCACAGGGTCGGATTGTCATTTAAGCAATTCTTTATTTATAAATTAATATAAGTATAGTCATATTATAAAGTGTTCAAATAAAACGGCCAGAATAAGCTATATAGAGTTTAATAGTATGATGTAGCTACCTAATAAATATGGAAAAGTAAATTTCATATACTATTTAGTACTTACAGTTACTCGTTGCTGTTGAAGAAAGTCCCTAAATTCTGCTTGCATTACTTCACATAATTCAGTCTTATCATCATCTTTCAGTTTCCCAATATCATTTAAATACAGTTCTGTTAACCAAGTTAGTAACATTGACATTTGTGTTTTATCCTAAAGTAGGATACGGACGTATGGGTAAGTACTATTATATATCTTTAATTTCATAATAACTTTTAGATAGAAATAAAAAATCTCCGTACAAACCTGAGCCTTTAGACAATTAAATTTTTGAATTAAAAATACTTTTAATGCATCACGTCTATTAAGCTCTAAAAATTTCAGAGCTACTTGCTCAAATGATTTTTGTGACTGGGCATAAAATAATGCCGCTGACTGGTACCTAAAATCAAGAGTGAGATTTTAAAGTCTTCATAAATGACATGTCAATAAATTTGCGCATAAATGATTTAGTCGAATTTACTCTTTATTATCGAAGAAATGATCAGCTTGGGCTGTTAAAACTTTATCCAAGTGTACTGGATTGTCCTAGATATATAATATAGGTCAAGTTCCATGTTTAAAGTCGTGTATAAAAACAGTATATATTTTTATGATGTCTAAAAATATCAGAATAAATTCACTCGTACGTCATTTTAGCAACTAACGAAACGAGATAACTGTCTACCTCTTACCTTGCAAAATTGTTTAGCTTTTTCAAATTCATTCTTTTCTAGAAGCATTCTCCAAACGTATCTATCTTCGTGAATGACCTCAAACTGAAATATTGATGTTTGGCTATACATCCATATTATTTTACTGACTGGATCGACTAGCACTGCTATTACATCATTAAATGCCTAAGGAAAAATAATAATCAGATCATTGCTATTCGACAGAGAAGAATATATAAAAGAAAAAAATAAAACGATGAAAAAAGACACGAAATACTGACGTTTCCTTGAAAGTAATCTTCAAAAACTACTTCTTCATTAAGTAATGCAACCGCATTTAATCTGAAAATCGTTATTATAAAATCATCTTAGAATCTATCACTACTGTATATTTTAAGAGTGTAAGCAAAGAAGTTCTATTTTGTTAATTGTTTCTACCTATCCTTAAAAAGGAGTAAGGCGTGAAATTCCGTTACGGTAAGCGATATAGGGGGCGAAACGCTAACATTTTCTCCATCAGTGGTATCTAGAGCATTATAAGGCATAAGTAGCGCTCCCGCGGTAACACTATGTTTCGGGTCTCGGAAATTGAAGGTTCCATGATAAATACCGGGTTCTAACACAAACATGTAAATTATTATATTCAAAATTTATAAGTACAGTAGTAAGCAAATGTTTCAGATTATATGATCATTACCTGTTAACCAGGCAAATGATACCGGTATTTTATCCTTTCGAGAGTAGGCAACGTGAAATTCACTAAAATTTAAAGTTTCACCAGGTAACTCTAAGAATTGAGCTGTAACAAACAATACAATGATAAGAGTGGAGTTATAATAATATTAGCTGTCATTACAACTTGTCACATTGTTTTTACCAGGGCGCCCTTCGTAGGCCGAAAAAAGCCTAGTAAATAGAGGCTGATCTTGGCTGAGTTCGCCAACGAACTGATACATACGACTAGAAAATAAAGAAGGGAAAATGTTTTCAATGTATCAGTTATTGAACGTAATGTTATTTAAGTCTTGATATTTTTTGTACTTTGGAGTGGTAGCGATGACAAAGTATCTTGTATCCAGACGGTAAGAAGATGGAGGAAACCGATCAAAGAAAAGCCCAGTTATGCGCTCTGCAGTTTCAGATGCTTCAGACCTGTTTAAGCTGTATACCTGCAATATTTTATGTTCAGTACAGTATCAACATGTTATGATTAGATCCCAGTAATAGTTAGATATCAAGAAAATAACACAGACTACATCTAGTATCTTATTGACCTGTTTCATGTACTTTTCAGTACCGCTTTGGAATCTTAATCTTTCAACAGATGCATCAAGCTCTGTTTCAAAGATTAACCCTGCAAGATAGATTATATTTTCATGCTTATTCGACAATGTACGTATATGTACTTTTAAGTGTATTCTTAATGTTATAATTGTTATAGTATTGTAATAAAAATATTACAGTATATGAATAACGATATGGTAATTCGTACTGTGAAATAAATATTCAAAAGAATGTATATTTGACATATCTCTTCTATTTATATACCTCTGGCTGTACCAATTAGGATATCCCTAGTACTCAAATCTGTTGCGTTACTGCCATTCCATGCAATAGATTCTATGAGATGTCCCTAATTATAATGATAGGATAGAATTTATATAGAAACTAAAACTGTAGTGTATTAGTGCTAACACAAAATTAATGGGAACAAGGTATTTAACTAGACTAGTATGGTAATTTGATCATATAAGAGAGGTATTCGCAAATTTTAAACTATACGATAGTAAAACGTTAATGTGCTTCGATTCTATTCAAAATGGAAGAATTAAATAGGATGACAGCTCATTACTACTTGGCTAATGCTATAAATTGCTAATTGCGAATGAAATGATTGATCTTCGTATAAATAACCCTTCGTTTTACAGTATAGTAATCCTGTATTGGGAGATTGTTACGATTGGGATAATACCTTTCGATCAGGATATTTAGATGAATTTCTATTACATATAAGCAAATCACTTACCTTTAATTTATTTAGAAGTTTTACTTTTTTCATACTAGCAGCTAAATAATAATTTTCCATCGATTCCATAGCAATTATTGCATGCTTGCCCGTTGGATCCAGGAAGATCCGGTATACTTTATCAGTTAATCGTCCAGAAATTTGGACATCTAGAGTACAAATATTCGTTTGATATATCAAAAGTCTCGATTTATCAGAAAATGTAATTATACTCAAATAGGCTAACGTAACTACAGTAATCCTTCTGTGACGTGAATTATCAATTGACAAGTCTTATCCTGTAAAAGTAGCTCTATATACTAGTATTAAAGTAGTTTTAGTGATTGACAACATTATACTGTACAGTGTACAGTATTCTATTATGCTACAGGATCAAGTAGCGGATTCGAGGTGAGCTACTGTACTCGTTATCGTAGGGAAAATTCCGCATAACGTAAAGTGTATTTTGCATAAGTCTTTCCATTTAGTTGATTCCTATTCAGACGACATCACTATACTTTATAGCAACAAATTATTACAGGAATAAAATTATCATCTATGTACCGTCGGAGAGATTCTTATCGTATAGGCATATTCTTCTTAAGATATTATTAGACAGCGCGACCAGCATCATGTTATTGCATATTGCAACACGTTGGATAAAAGTATTGACTGGTATCCTAACAAAAGAAGTGTTATTATTTTAGATTGAATAGTGCTCACTTTAATACGACATACAGAAAGGATGTTGACAAGTTTCGTATAAGGTAAATACGGCCTGGTGTATTTATTATGAATAATATACTGTAGATCTATTTTGAATAATTTCATTTAGATCATGCAAAAAGTAAACTTATTATATTGCCTAGAATAGTCGTCAAGGATTGATATCATGAGTGCTATTCTTTATCAGCATTATTACCTGAAACCGGAACCAATTCTATTAAAAATAGGTCTCTCTTCTTCAGACATGATATTGACGAATCCTGAAGATGGAACCTGTACAACAACACATACATGTATCATCTCTTTACATTGATGAAAACACAAGATATTGTATAAGACATGTAGAAAACGATGATTTTAGCATCGATCAAGAGTTAGGTAAAGATTCTCTATTTATACAGTTTTATTCCATCGATTGGATTGATCTCTAGTTATCCAGCTTACTGTTTCATTTTTGGCTGCAGTACTCGGATAATTGGTTCTGCTAGCTCGAAAGTTGCTTTGCTGATACTGTTCCAATATGGATGCCATTGTTAGAAGAGTTTCGTTCGATTATATCCTATGTATGAAAGCAGGGAACAGAGTAATAATACGAAAATATATTATTGATATCGAGCTAGGAATGGAAGGATAATTTGGATGAATTTTTCTCCTTTATTGCTAGTTAATCAGGTCAAAGATGAGCGAGCAAAAACTATAACGAATCCATTGCTAGTGTGGTAAAAGCAATAGGAGGTGTTCCTGGTAGTGTATTATACCGTAGGCCTTGGACAGTGTAGAGGAGGTTTTCTTCTTTCGTATAGGGTTGATCGAGAAGTTTTGCCAAAATGTACGAGCGTCTGTACGTCTGTTTATTTTCAATGATATAATTAACTGTACCAAACGACGCCCAACGATAGAGCACTGAGTAGGGCACAAGCTTTCATGATGGTTACTTTTAACCGAATAATATTGATTTATTTTTAAATGCCACTCATTGATTTCCCAATTTAGGTCAATAATTGGCTACTTTGGGGGCAGATTACAGGCCTCAGCGTATTGTCTAGTATTCTCTTGTTGTAAAATCGATGAACAAGTAAATTTGCTTGTTGTAGAGCGGAATATTTTGACCTAAAGTATTGCCATTGACTTGAAAATCGACTAAAAATGGAGAACAGTTAAGAGGTTCGCTTCGGCATCAGGATGTTACGCAATGTTTGCTACAGTACACTGTACAGTACACTGTACAGTACATTACAGTATATAGTACTGTACACTATTCGTTTTAACCTCCAATAGCTACAGTACTGTACACTAGCGCTAATCCTGCTCGATGGCTGACTCTACAGTACATCACTACATGCTGACGTCATCTGAATTGTAGCTCTGTGGTCATGTGAATCGGAGTTGACATTTAGCCGGAGTGGGGGTTACAAAATACTGGTGTACGTACAGTACAGTACAGTACTGTACGCCTGTACACTGTACAGCATGTAGCACTACGGTACAGTATAGTAGTAAGTACTGCAGCTGATTCATAGATACTTCGTACACTTGGACGGACAGACACCACGGCCTCATCTCGTTAAATAGAGTACAGTACCAAACACTTCGTTATGATAGACAGTACTCTAGTATGCAGATAGTCGATTTTAAATTAACTGATTATTTCCAAATTAAGTAATATTACATTGAATTTCATTATCGATTGGCCAAGTTCTGATTAGAAATAGCTACATAAGATCGACAATGTTATTTCAATTAGTACCAGAGATTTAGAAAACAGACACGGAAGATCCATTCTAAGTAGGCATTTATCAATATATTGCCGGCCTCATTTAGTCAGGAAGGTCCGTCCGTCGGAGGTACATTGGACTACAACTGAAACACAACCATAAATCCAATGTTCGATACAGCAGGGTAGAGTTCTGTGAAACGCCATTTCCAACTCCAAATCTGATCCAAAAATGGGGAAAAAAAAATATCCCAAGCATTAACTTTATTCAACGATAAATAACAGTCTAGCAATCTGTGAGTGAGACATCATCGCATTTTCCACAGACCTTTAACCTGTAACCTGTACAATATCCAATTTCCACTGGTATGAGCTGGCGGGCGGGGGTACAGTATGCAGTACTGTACGCAGAATCGAAAGTTGAGTACTGTACTGTACTGTACATTCAATCATCGAACTAACCCACTGTGCTGTACACTACGCAGAATCGGAAGTTGGGTACTAAAACTACAGGCTTGACGGTTATGATCTACAGTACTGTACTGTACTGTACGGTACTGTACTGCAGTATTGTGGTATTGCACATTGTATGACAGCCACACGAGTCCATTGGCTATCGCAAGACTGCCTCGAATCGCAGGATTGACTGCTTTGCCATCTCCCTTTCCAGCCATATTTGTCCAAAAAGGCACAAAAACTTGTCGAATTTATTTCGCAATTACTGGTCAATATCCTAAAGTAGAGTACCATGCTTATTAAAGTGAAGGTTAGTATCATTTAGTAGGGTAGAGTAGTCATTCTCACATGGAAGATGCTTGACTTGATAGAATTGACTACAATGCAACGTTGGTCTTGAGAAATCCTTTACCATACAAATTGTTGCATTTCTTGCTAATGGATCCATTGTTTCACTCTATTTTATTCTAGACTTTGACAGGAAAGGAGGTCTGTTTCGATGTAGAGGATAGACGTATATTACAAATAAGTATAATTATCATTGAACTGCATGTTCGAGAATTGATCGACCAAAATCTTGTACTGTCTATCATGCGTCGACTGCAGTCATAGATTTGTGAATTGTCGCCATTTCAATGATAGCTTTCTATTCACTGATGATGTTCTTACTTATTTCTTAGATTGAGATCGATATCGAACCAACAGACAAGGTAAAATTGGAATTGAATAAGCGTTCATCTAGTTTAGGCTAATTTATTGAAGGCAAAACAGACGTGATAGAAAATAGCAACGCACTTGTATTGCATTCAATTTCGATATCAATCATTTAAGCCAAACCGGCTTTATGCCTGATACCAACTATCAACCAGCTATAACATAGAATTTCAGTGTTCAGCGTTAGTCTAAAGGTAGAATTGATGCTTTTTACTTGACTAGTTACTTGCAGTAGTAGACTTCGATAGCGTCATGACTACTTCATAGAAGCGGCTAGCTATCCTGTAGAGTGTAGACTAGTAGAATGCACTCTATACTTACAGATATAGAAATAGAATAAAAGGAGCAATAGCAATGTACAGCTACTACAAGTTTTGCATGATCTGCTTCTGTACAACACTCAACTGATCATTCACAATAATGAATGATTTAATAGTAGCTTGAATAAAATTCATTTTTTCATGTATCTCCATAAGCTTTTACTGTAAACATCGTGACGTTATCAACACATCTGAGCTAGTTTGAGTCAAATAAGAGAGTGCTTCATGCATCAAACCGACCTCACATTATTAATGAGTTGCATTATCCTAATTGTAACCTATGCATTTATTCCTATATTGGTAGACAACACTGTACAGTCAAAATTGCGCATTATACGTATAGACAGCTTAGTGGAAATTAATTCAATTCCATGTAGTGCTCTGAAATAATCCTCTATTAGCATCATCTGGTATCTAGTGGAGTGCTAATATAGCGTATAATTGCTTTTTGTGTATTAAAGGTGGAGAGAATTAAGGAAAGAGTAGAAGAGAAAGAAGGAATTCCTCCACAACAGCAAAGGTTAATTTCAATATAACTACCAGTATTTCATACCGACTTTACTCTATTGTGCACTACATACTACAGTATAAGAGAATATTGTCAAAAGCTCATAATAAAATCAACTTTATTTCATTTTTTCTGGGTAGGCTAATTTTTAGTGGCAAGCAAATGTAAGTACAACATTCAATAGTTCTACTTGATAAAGTTCGAGGATATAGTGAGTGCAAAGTATCATCTATTAAAAATATTATAAATGCACATGCTATGATCAATTATCATGATTGCATATACATAATGGTACAGTTGATGGTCATCATTTATTATATTACTCTCATACATCAGCGATATCAATTAAGAATTACAATTTAAAGCAAAGTATCTTTCTCTTAACTAATATCCACTTGAAAGTGATAATTGTATAATTAAACAACTTGTAATAAACACACGCGTATAGTGTGACAATTAAAGTATAATTATCGTTATTTGAAATATTGAATGAAAGCACTTCTTTATTATATTCCTATTAGGAATGACGAAAAAACTGCTGCTGAGTACAAAATACAGGGAGGTTCTGTTTTGCATTTGGTGCTGGCTTTAAGAGGCGGATGCTAATGTATGATGTACAAAAGATAATTATGTGACCACGCAGCAAACTTTTAATGATATTTGCATAAAATTAATATGTAATTATCAATCTAAGTATAAATTTCTGATAGTATGAATAATTTAAGTAAATCTACACTAGTCCATTTCTTTTGTCGTGAATTACATTAAGAACCCTTGCCGGCATAATTAGGATCTTTAAAAAAGGTGCTTGTTTATGTGAGAATTTCATATTGTAAAGCTGTATTGTAATACGGTAATTTTCTTCCTATCTTAACTACACCAGTTGAGAGATTGTAATGTGCCGTGTATATCATTGGTTTTATGAATACGTTGACCACTATACGTATCGTTCACACGATGTAGTAATTTTAATACTGTAGTTTAAATAGTCTATTAGTCCTTTTTGTCGTCAGCGATATTGGACAAGAACAAATTTAGATTTTGTGATGATTTTAAAATACGTAATACTTGGTATTGGTAATACACATCTGTATCATACTCGTTAACAAGCAATATAGCCATTTATCCGGTTTTCGCGGAAGGGTTTTGTATTATTACTCATTGTATGTAGTTAAGGCTCGTTCAATAATAAATCGTTTTGGACAGCATTTCTTAGTCTGGTAGAAAGTTTCAAGTACACAGATTAAGGTTAATAAAAGAGTTTACTTTTTCAGTAATAAATCATTTTAGGGATAATGTGTACATATTTTAGTTTGTGGAAAGCTTTCGATACGCAGATTAACGTTAGCAGCTAAGTTTTTACTTTTGTAATATACATTTCTTTTAGCAGTACAGACGTACAGTATATCAGTACCAGTACCATCGTTAAATTACATCATGGATAAAGCGGTAATCAATAAATGATTATAATTCAGAATTTCAGATACCGCAGGATATGTGTATGGATATTATTCATTTATAAGTGTAACCGTAACACAAGCTTGCAGTTATTACAGTATAATTTTATATTTAAAGTTTGTGCTTATGAAGCAATTAAGGACCTCTAATTGACTACATGTCACACAGGTGATTAATGTCATATCCTAGGATGCTAATATTGTAAGACTGAAAACACGGGGGCATCAATCTTACGGCGACCGTTCAATGCGACCAATTCTATTACCGATATACATTCTAAAATTGTGGCTGACATTTTTCGCACTAGGCGGCATGCAGCCGAGGCTGTACCTGTAACGATGAATAAGACGTATGACATTTAAAATTAACAAGGTTCTATTTTCATGTTTGATGCTGCCCATAAAAATGTATGCAAAAGAAAGACTAAGCTAGCATAAGGAAAAAGGCATGATTTAAAATAGTTGTATTGAAGAGTTTTAATTTACCTCCTAGTGCGATCAGATCATCAACAATGACAACGTTTTGATCTGGCTTGATAGAGCCTGTTTCAATCTCTAAAGTATCCTTTGCATTATTTAAAAAGAAAGCGATCGATTGGTATGTTGTTCTTTGTTAGCGTAGTAATCCACTTAAGAATGTAGCTAGATACGATTATGCTACTGTGAATCTTACTTCGCCATATTCTAACTTATATGAAACTTGTTCGACATTGCCGGGTAATTTTCCTGCTTTTCTGACCGGAACGAACGCAATTCCCAGGCGTAGAGCAACAATAGGAGCTATCAAAAATCCACGAGCGTCCAAGCCTAAACATATGCATATAATATAATTAATTATCCAAAAATGAATCTTAATTGGAGTCACTGCATACGTTAGATCTTAGTTTGCAATCAGATACACAAGGGTCGCTTTTATTTTAACAGTCGATTTTAGTCACTATGAGTCTGAGCTTTGACGTTGTTGCATCTTTATAGTATTGAAATTTGACTGGCTTTGTCCTACTGTAACTATAGACTTACCAACAATGATATCAGGAAGTTGCGGCTTGGATTTAATTTCTTCAACTATAAGATTGATAAGATCAGTAAACGCACTGGGATCTTGTAGAATAGGAAATATATTCCTAAATAAATTATACAGTATATCCGCATTAGAAAACATTTAGTAACATTAAGTTGCCCATTTTACCATACAATTTGAATGATCGATCGGTTCATCTTGTTTACCTGATCATTATAATTGTTATACTTGTAAAGAGTAAAGGTCTGTAATTATACTAAGCAATATCGGATAACTGAAATACGATTTCATGACGTACTTAAAATTACTTCGCTCATCATATATGAGAGGGAATCAGGAATTTTAAGAAGGCTCATAGTACCAGTAGATTACTTTCAATGACAGATTATCTCCTAAATACAACAGCAATGGTATGGCTAATTGACTATTGCAGTATTTCTGTGTACGCCACTACTGCATATAGCCTGTTCATCAAGGGTTGAAATTTATTTATATATAAAATTTGTAGTTAACATGATTAATTATAGATCAACTGATTTGAGATTGAAATACTGTATATACGTCGTAAGCGTGATAATAGTTAATTCGACACGTGTTCTGCGATGACTTTCTCTCGAGTACTGATCGACGAATGAGTAATTATTGTACTATTGACTCGGTGATATGCACACTGATTTACTGTAAGATTTAGCTTTATTGCAAGAATACCAAGTGATTGTCGCTATAATTGCAAAATTAAAAAGCGGAATAATAGCAACACATATACTGTACATAGATAAAACTACTGTAGGAGGATTATATCTGCGATTAACAAAAACATCATTTTTAATGTAATTAATTTAAGGATCGTCATGCGAGTAAAGTAATGTGCGGCAACAGAGGTCGCTTTCATCAATTGCATGGAATGATTGATTAGTCAATCAATAAAACTGATAAAATATCTCATCGATTCGGGCTAATACTGTATTTAGTCGATATTCGTCTTCGTCTAAATAATTGTCTGGATTCCACGCTAGCTCAATTCAAATTGCATTGTAATTGATATTATTATAGTGCAGCTTCAATTACCACCGAATTACAACCAGTATTTCGATTAGTACTTTAGGATTACGTCTGTAATAGGAGCTAAACTATTCATTGGTTATTTATTTTCATGGTACAGAGAGAGTGATGAATGATAATTTCAAGTTGTTCAGATTGGCTAGACTACTATTTCTATCAATGTGCAATGTACTACGTACAGTACTTTATACGAGTACTTCAGTTGCCGGTCAGTCAAAATTAAAGCTCGTTGCATATTCTTTCTACAATAAGGACATCACATTCTACAACTAAAAATGAGTTATATAAGGATGGATTAATCACCGAAAAGTAACTCCAGGTTTAGGAAAGTTTTGATGAGTTGAAACCAGAGATTTCAATTTTTCAATTCGATCAAGCTGGACAGACATGTTGCAGTTTTTGCGCTGTGCCGGAATAATTTTATACCTCACTGTACGAATCGAAAACTGATCACTATAGCGTACAGTACTACTGTTTTATGCTTTTATACTGTATAGTGCAGACTATACCGTAAGGAAGTCATGGCCTATAGTTTACCCAATCATTTATTTATTCAAAAGGTTAAACATTTCTTTACGACAGAGGCGAAGAATTGCAGTAGAGATGCTCTACGTACAATGCAATGGAGAATAGACGTGGAAATCATGACAGCAAATAGGATAATAAGAAAGAATAAACTTGTGCGGATAAAAGGAATATTGACGTAATCAATATTCCTATATTGAAATACATTTCAATGCCATCACAATAGTATTGTCGTTGCGAGGCCACTTGCTATACTGTAGGTATGACTATGATCTAAAAGTGTTCAACCAATATGGTTTAAAGCTTGTTGTGAAACTGTCTTACATGAAACAAAATTGGCCTTAAACTTCGAGTATGGGTAGAGTAAAATGGTAAAATTCACATCGAGGCAGGCACTCGTACGTACATCATTGGACTGCATTGAATATTAGGACAGGGCAATATCAAGCCATTTTCCATGGGCAATTTGGACTATCCACTTGTAAAAAGAAATGATGTATCAATCATGATACTCTCTGCATTACGCTGTTTCTGCTACAAACAGTAGAGTGATTCTAGGGTATTTGCTCCACGGACATGACATGATCTATGCACGTCAAGGAATATTGTTTTTTGTGATGTAAAAAGATTTATACGATTAAAGCCATTTTAATTCACAAAATGGGCGCTCGGCATGTATCTGTGTTTGTAAATCAAACGTACAGTAGGTTAACTAAGCCGTATCTTGGTTAGCTAGATCGAGTTCATCTCTACGTTGGTAAATTCCCGTTAATTAAACGCTCCCGCTTTACTAGCAGTCCTGCCATTTCCTACTGTACTGTATACTAGCTAGGAAATGGACAGTATTTTTCTTCATGCTAAATCAATTTTAGAAGACAGCAGCAGGACAGTTTTAGCAAAATACAGTCTTGGAAACACGTTCTTGAAGTGAAAGAGCAGAGCAGTTTCATCAGAGTACAGTACACTCACTCAGAGACTTTAAGAGAAAAATCGAATTTCTCTGTTGAAGTTCCTTCTTCACTGTACGCTTGATTGTCCGCAACATGATAGAATAACATAAAGATTAGCACGATTTAATTCAACTTAATTTGCTTTCTACTAATCAACATCAATAGCGGATATCCAAATTTGTATACTCGTATGTGAATCTCAGACTGATTGTTGATGTAGTCTAAATAATAGCCAAGTTGAAGATTACGATGTAGGCTTAGGTTATACTATACTTTATAAAGTTTAGCGTTTACTTTATGGGCAAACTAAGAGGTTAACGTATTGACAACGTTAAGTAACGTAGTCAGAATTGTTGACAGCTTTCAATATTTTATGTATCCAATAGAATCTTTGATATCCTAAATACGAGTATGCACACTATATTATGAGCAGTGAAAGATCAGAAATTTAATTACATCAACATTAAGACTTTAACACATCTCTGTAGACTACGTTTTTAATCTTAGTGGACATTACTACGATCGACGAAGGACCTCTACGCACTCGTTGAGCAGCGTTGTTCACAATTCAATGTTTAATGTTATTGTCTAGATAATAAGCAACAATGATCATCGAGCTACTGTAGAAAAATATTTTATTTCATGTCGATGCATTTTTTAGATATCTCTTGAGTTCAATCAACTCACGAGTTGGTAAGTAGCATCATGGACTTGTCTATCTACTGTATATCTTTCTTTTCTTTTATCTCGGTAAAACAAAGAATAGCAAAATCCCAAGCAGTTTTCTTTTCGATTTTCCACTGGTCCCTAACTTGATATTGGAGACAACATGCTAGACCATCTTTGTTATTATAGTTACGACATACAATAATCATCGTCTGATCATTGTAAATAATATTTTCTTTCTGCTTATAGACTGAGACGAGAGATACGCAACTTTATTACTCAAAGTCCGTCAGGTACAAGGTACGTATTATCATCATGATTAATAGTATATTAGTGTCCATCTTTGTTATTATAGTTACGACATACGATAATCATCATACGCAAATATGTCTTTCTGCTTATAGACTGAGACGAGAGAGAGAGAGCTGTTTCAGAGAAGAGAACTTTATTACTCAAAGTCCGTCATGTACAAGGTACGTATTATCATCATCATTTATAGTATATTAGTGTCCCTGATTAGTAGATAAGTGGGCAATAATATTACAATCATCACTTCATACAGTACATACAACATGTTTCTTTTCTTTTCAGGCGTAGAAAAAGGGAAAAAATATTGCTGAAACAAACGTAAAATGACTACACTTTAAACATTATGTAGCTCGACTTGGAACTCCGACTGTCCATGCTAGAACAGTCGAGCACATAATTAATTACTACTATGTACCTTAGTTTGCCATCCAAAAGCTGGAAACGTAAATAACACACCCTACGCTGTACTGTATAATTTATTTCGATATTACAACTTAGAAATTGTATCAAATGAAATATGATAGAATCGATAATTAATATACTACACCCTGGTATCAAATTGAGCAATCTTTTCGTTATTTAAAGCTAAAAAATCGCTTAGTTTTTGAAAAAATTTCTTCTTAAGGATAGCACTCAGCGTTGGAAGGGCCTCGAGAAGGATTTTGTCAATAGGAAAACAAACTCAACATCCGCCAGTACGGTACAGTGTACAGTGTACAGTGTACACTACCTAGCCAAGACTGTACTGTAAGGGCGGTACGTACAATGCAGCAATTAAAATTTTGGCGCTAAATTCTGACGCTTGCCTACTGCATTCATAATGCCAGTAGTCGTGCATACTGGATAGTAGGGTATAGTACCGCGTAGGAGAGACCCGTACACGTTATAGTATAGGAAGAGTCGAAAGGCGATAGGAAAACAACCTTGCCTTGCCCATTGCAATCTTGGAATAATTCTTGACTGTTGATCCCAGTTTGCAATTCTTCATCAACGTCGAGACAAGACTGTATTGCAAAGAAAATAAATATGGGAATTCATGGATTGGCAAAGTTAATTGCCGATCATGCACCATCTGCTATTAAAGAGAACGAAATCAAGAATTATTTCGGTTGGTTTTATCTTTCCATCTTGCAACGAAAATAGGACATGTTGACTCCTACTTTCCATTATTTCATGGACACTCAATAACATTATGTACAGACTCGATATAGACAGGAGTAGCAATCATCATCTTCGTCCATGGATCATACAATGATCATAAAGTATTCACTATTGCTCCAATATTTTAGGTCGTAAGGTTGCGATTGATGCTTCCATGAGTATATACCAGTTTTTAATTGCCGTTCGATCCGATGGTAATGTCTTGACCAATGAAGCTGGAGAAACAACAAGGTAAATAGATTGCAAGTTGACAGACTCTAATATCGAGCTATTGGTTGTTATACCTTCATTTTATAGCATCCATGACAATGAGAAAGATACTATCATCAAATTTTAAAGGATAGTCCTATTCAACATTGCAATAAATTAACAAATTTTATATCTACTCGTATTGTAGTCATTTGATGGGATTATTCTATCGGACTATTCGTATGATGGAAAATGGAATAAAGCCTGTGTAAGTCGGTTTACATCACATTCTCATTTTGATCTTAAGCTATATAAAAATACAAAGCAAGGATCAATGTTATTTCCTTGGATTACTAGGCAAAATAGGGACTAAAGCCAACTAGAATAACTACATCTGATTACTCTTTCTATTTTTAAACGACAGTTATGTTTTTGATGGAAAACCACCTCGACTAAAGTCTGGAGAGGTAATCTGCGGTGCTTATTATTGCCTATCTTTGACAGCAACTTGTAGACAACTAGTATTTGCTGTAAATAAACTATTTCATCGTATCATTCCAGCTTGCACGTCGCCAAGAAAGGAGAGAAGAAGCTCAAAAACAAGCTTCAGAAGCTGAAAAGGAAGGTATGTAATTCATATTCTGTTGCAATGATTTCTTCGATTGTACCTTTGGTAGCTATGTTATGTAATGTATGTATGTCTGTTCCAGTTTTACCATAAATGTAAACTTACAAATTCCTTGACAGGTGATGCTGACAACATTGACAAATTTACAAGAAGGACTGTAAGTAGTATACTTAATCCTGAAATGATGCTACAATGGTATGCTTTTACTTAATCATATGCCATAAAAATCCTATCTTACTAGCAACAACTGTAACGCTATGTGCAAATAGGGGTTATATCGTATGTGCTGTTTACATAAGTACAATGAATAAATTTAGTCATCTACAGTTATGTAACGTTTAAACTATAGAGCGTATAGAATTACAAACTAAATTAAAGAAATTGGATCGCTCTTAAAGCGTTTCTATTACCCGTACCTTGAATGCAATTTTAGGTAAGAATGACTCCTGAGCATTGCGAAGAAGGCAAGAAATTGTTAAAATTGATGGGTGTTCCTGTCGTTCAGGTATCGCATATCGCAATCAATTGTAATGCATATGCGTCATACTTTTTCATTAACAATAGCGCATTGGATAATAAGATAAAATCAGACATTAGCAAATCTATTAAACTTATTATACTTTATGATGCTAGCTAATATACTCCACTTCTCTATACATAAAACCGTTTTTAAATGTAGGCACCATGTGAGGCCGAATCACAATGTGCTGCTTTAGTTAAAGCTGGAAAGGTAAAAATGATCGTTATACGATCAACGTATTTAAAGCATTCGTCATTAGATCCATTTAGACTATATTATCAATAATTTAAATGTATATTTAGGTCTATGCAACCGGTACGGAGGATATGGATGCCTTAACATTTGGGTCGAATGTCATGTTAAGGCATCTAACATTTAGTGAAGCCAGGTTAAATATTACTGCATCACCATACAGTCTGACTGTAATTTTTTCATTCTAATTATTTTTGTTGCTATTGAACTGATTTGTTATAGAAAAATGCCCATACAAGAATTCCATTTGAAAAATGCGTTGCAAGAATTAAATTTCTCAATGGAACAAGTAAATAGCTGGCGTTATCGTTAATTGATCCATTTCGCACTTTTATACGATAACTATTTTGTTATTATTATTACAAATATTTTACAACAGTTTATCGATCTATGCATTTTACTTGGGTGTGATTACTGTGATTCTATCAAAGGTTTGTCTCAATGATTAAATAGCCGAAAAATGATTACTTTATTGGACAATGATTTTTAACATTCAATCCTTTAACAGGTGTTGGACCGAAACGAGCAGTCGGTTTAATAGAAAAATACAAATCCATTGAAGATATCGTCAAAAATATATCTTCTGAGGTCAACTTAAAAACGAGTTAAATATCTAGACTCTGTAATATAGACGACGTTCGAAGTAAAGCCCTTGATTTTAATTTTTACTTATTTACTGAACAGAAGTTTACTGTTCCTGAAAATTGGCCATATAAGGTATGGTCATTAATACTATAGCAAATTCCATTAGCGTTAACATATATTTAATGTTTCTGCAAATTATATATACTAATGATATTGATAATTATATACAGCAACGAAAATTAAGTTGCACTTAAAATGACTCATCTTACTGTACTGTACTTAGAAAGTACCGAAATCTAAAAATAATTCTTATTATTTCATACATAGGATGCAAGAATGCTCTTTCTCAACCCTGATGTAGAAAAATGTGAAGATATGGAAGTAATTGATAATATTGTATTTCTCGTAAACCTAATATAGATTATGAAGTAAAATTGAAAGATACGCGATGATAGATCATCTAAGATACGAAATTAATATTACAGTTAAAATGGACTGAACCCGATGCTGATGAACTGGTAAAATTCCTTGTTGAAGAAAAAGGTTTTAGGTAAAGAAACGGTAGTCATAATTTGGTTATGGTTAGAATTGTTTGGATGGTTGCAATAAATTTACGTCTTACTAAGCGTAATACATTTTTTACGTTTATATTGTAGTGAAGATAGAATTCGTCGTGGGGTAGAAAAAATTTCCAAAGCACGAGGTACTTCAACACAGGGAAGATTAGACTCTTTCTTCACAATTACACCTGGGGCAATCAAACGAAAGGTTATTACTTTAAATAATACAGCTAAGGAGTTATAATTATGGAGATTAACGTTTAAGGATAATTTTTTGATTAATGTTTTTTACTTAAGACTGATGCCAAGAAAGATGCTGGGAAAAAGAAAGCAAAACCAGGCCCTGCCGGAAGATTTAAGAGGCGATAAAATCATGCCAATATTGACACATTTGTATTATGTCGTTTAAATTTCTGCAATAATAAGTAAAACAGTGTTTTATATTGAAGGTAGGAATATCAGCAAAGTTGATTATTAAATTTTTATATGTTAATGAGTAGAGTACTAAGCATTACGGTTCATTTTTGCTGTAAAATTGATTGTTAACATATGATTTAGCTTTTGTTTAAACTAAAATGTACAGAACTTAGTCGTTGCATATGTGAAATACGAAATAAATCCTTGCCTTTTTACCTTATTATAAGAATTGCTTTTATAATGTAGAAAGCACAAGAGAGAATTATTTACAAACATCGATGAGTACAGTACTAAGAAGCTTAAATTTGTGTTAGGGTATTTCTATGCTACAATCAGGTTAGACTATAAATAGAATTCCACGAGTAAACTGTTCAATATAGATGCTACATCTATAGAATTTTGTTATAGCGTAGTGGAAATGGACTTGCACTAAGAATAGATTATACCGCATATAGAAATTACCAAGAGAGGTAAAACAAAATAAGAGAGTAAGTTGAGCAATATGTCTAGCCATTGATTGGATGAATAGGTGGATTTTATGATTCATTTTTTCCAAAGTAATAATGCAAATCTCATCTGCAAGCACTTTAGCTATGCAATGACCCGCAAGCCCTTACAGTATAAGGTATTGGTCGTCAAGACTAAGCTATAGCAAACTGTGTCAATAAATAAAAATTACAGTAAAGTAGAATCAATACATTCAAGAGCTCAACGCGGTGATTGCATGTTCTACACAGCCGTTTTTAAAGAGAATCCTTTCGCAGAGAGTCTCATATCTTGAAGGTAGCAACAACAGCAAAGTTGTTGACCAATATTTTCACTTGATAACGAATAGCAAGAGCACTACAGCTCATCGTTGCTATAAAATTAGTTAGCAAGGTTTGGATTAGCTTTGTTTCAAGCAAACTGTACAGAAACTAAGTAATCATTGGACTGTATACGTATGAAATGGGAAATGAAGTATTACCCTTTTACCTATAGAATAGTAATTTCTCCTCCACAGTAAGTCATTCTCAGATATATCTTTCAGTCATTAATACAGCTGCTAAGCATATAAGAGTTGTATACTTTACTTTTACTGTACGTCAAAGAATGCTGGCAATACTTGAATATTCTCTTTTTAATGCTATGAATAAAAATTACTTGATATCTCATGACTACAAACAAACACATCCAATCAAGCTAGTTGCAACCCTGATTATAATTAGCCACGAAGAAAAAAGAGATTCTACTTACGACGTCATCACTCACTGATGAATGCCTAACATATCAATCCTTCAGTTAAGGGTATTAAAATTGCTGAGTTGGCAAAATCAGCTGAATAATTTAAAATCTTGCAAGGACATCCACTTTCTAATAATAAATTACTTTATTGCAATATAGAACCTCTTTATTCGATACGAGTCGCCACAAAACTTTTGATGAGCTAATTAAAAACCCTGAGAAAGCTACTACTTAAGGTTGCGAAGACGTTTTGCAGTGGAATTTCCGTTTGAAGAATAAATCGTATACAAATATTTTATTTTCTATTCTAAAAATGTGATAGTAGGTAGATTTACGATTATACTGTTTATGCATCTTTCGCACACTGAATTTATATAGCAATTGCTTGATTTTAGTTTATTGCATGTTCTGAACTGATATAAAAAGTATGAATACTAAATATAGTTTTATTTTTTAATGCTAATATCTAAATAAATGGACAAAATTATCAGGGAAGATTACATTTATGTTATCAGGAAAGATAGAAATATTTTGATGCATAAACGATCTATTTTAGTTTATTCTATTTTTTCACTATTGAGATATGAATGCATTACTTGCTAATAAAAATATTAATTGGACATTTTAAATGTTGACAAAACACGTATTATATATACTCAGAAATATGGTTTACTAGTAGCGAATAATTTATTAAGCTGCCGAGCTAACATCAACCACAGATTGTGAATTGTATCATTCGTATTTTCTTTTTCTATATTTAGTATTTTGCTATGTGCTTCTTAGGTAGTTTTTTCTATCTTTCCTAACTCACTAGTATCCATTACTATAGAGTAAATGCCTCCCACTGCATTTAGAATTTTATTCGATGAAGCATTAATTAAGCAGGAAATCGTTATATTTCTTGAGAATTATCCTGTAATTCTTTAAGATTGATTTTGACTAGCTGAATATCGTCATGGTAATTGTAGCCAAACATATTTTGGAGTATTGTCGAAGAGATTCAATGGCGTCAGGTTTGTTTAGTTGGTAAAGAGTATCGATTAATAGCTTAATACTCTTATCTACCTCCTAATCTATTATTATTTAAATGTGGACTAACCAATTCGTGATTATCGACGAAAATCGCAACGTTGATATTTCTCTTTAATCAGTTTCTTACGATAATCGAGGATTTGTCATAAATTAGTCTCTGTATCCTATACTAGGGCATAGTTCTTCAACTACAATATCTCTAAAATAGCTGTTCTAATGATATTTTTAACCCATTACTCAACTATAAACTAAATATATTATTGCGGCTGTTCTATTAGTATTTTTAAGTAACTACTCGATTGTAAGCTTAATTAACGCGAGATTACTGTCTAATAACTGATCCAGTCTGTACAGATAGACTTATACAGTATAAGTTGTACTAACATTTCGAAAGTGCTAAGATTAGTCCAACACCTATGACGCAGAATATCTATGTTAGGACCATAGAGAAGAACCTCTATGGTTAGAACTTCTAGACTTATACCACTGCTTGTGCTAAGATCAGTACAGTATCTATGATGCAGAATAGCTATGTTAGAACCATAGGGAAAATTGACAGTATTTAGTAAGGTTAGGACTTCCAAATGTTAGAGACTGCCATTTCGAAGGTGCTAATCACTGACTGCATCACTGTCTGAGTGCTGAATATACAGCTATGTTAGGACCTATTACAGCCTTCTGCTGTAACATACATAGGTATAAAAAGCACTAGTTAAATCTTTCTATGTAATCTCATAATCTCGCAGGATACAATTTGAACTAGACATACGTTACAATATTATGCAAGTAGTACTAAGAATAAAGCGTAGTCTTTTTATATAAAACGGAAAATATACCATAATTAGGACATAATACTTGTAGCTTGAAATACTCCCAATACGATCGTAGTTATTTACATCCTATTGCCATTCAGAGGGAACAGAATTTATTCAAAAGTCGCCAATCACATGAATTTTATGACATGTAGAATGTTAATTTCTTGCTTTCAAACTATAGAGAAAACTCTACAGCTTCATAAGATACAAATTATACTGTACATCACTACTTTATTCTAACTGTAATAACTTTTTGTTATCACTATTAAATTTCTATGACTTGATGTCCTGGGACACCAATAAAACGCACAAAGACCAGAAGCTACAAACTGAATTGTAATAAATTAAAAATATTTCAGCTTTGACAAGTTTCGAAAGTACGATGTGTTATAAATTCAAACGATATACACGTAAAGATAACATTAAAAGTTACAGAATAGCAAAATTTTTTACATTAATTAGTATTCAACAATGGAATAAAGAGAGTTAGCCATAAGCTGCTAAGTACAAGGTGAATGTAACTATAAATAATGAATTTTTTCTTCGATAGTATCACGGTTTATTAAAAGTAGAGATAAAATATTCCCCTTTACGCGTATATGTTAAAAAGCAATCGCATATGTACTTCTATTATACTAAGCATCACTTAAAAACAGATGAGACTTCACAAATAATGCCAATTAGGGCGCCAAATACATTACCCCACACAACCAGCCATCCCAAGTGTTTACGTATCATATGCTCTACCAGCTACATCCAAAAATAAAACTGTGGTCAGCGGAAACTCAGCAATGCAAATTGCAAACTTACAAATACATGTCTACAAGTCTTACCGCTTTCACGCGAGCAGCTGTCATTTCTTCTAGTTTTACCGATAATAATTCATCTACCTAATAAATAGTAAATTTTAGATCGACTAATAATACCGCATATGTTTATCTAACTTAACAGCAATAAAAATGTACTGTTAGGCATGGTGTTAACAATAAAATATACCTGTTTCCGAATATTTTCAGGATTGATAAATTCTGAAGTCTGAATATTCTTGGATAGCTGTATCGGGTAAATAGAACTTTGATAAATAAATTGATCGAAAAATTTTATTATTAATATAGCCCTATCGATATCATAGGTAATAATGTAATAAATAGCTGGTTAAATTAATACCACAGATGATACGGTAGGTCCTAGGCCATGAATGAACGGTAGAATCGTCGGCTTTAAAACGTTTACGTTCATACCCATAAAGGATAACATCATACCTGTATTATTTAGTAAGACATTTCTCAAAATCTAAATGCTGAACAATCTTTTACATTAGCATTACAAAGATATTACTACTATATTACCTTCTGGTCTACTCATCATCAAACTTAATTGCTTGTCAACAATTTCATCCGCAGCTTGAGATTTTAAAACTCCGTCTATTTTGGAATCTATCCCAAAAACGTAAGTATTCGTTCTTTATCTCCAATTCATATAACTTCATTAGATCATAAGGTAGATTCAGAATCTTTTTATTTCGTTATATAGTATGATAACCATGTAATCTTTTTTTCATTAGTTAAAAATCTCATATGATACTGTCTAATGTTTAACCAATCATGACTTATAATATGGCAACTAGTCAAAGTTAATGTTAAAATTTGTTTACCTATATCCAACTGTTGTAGCCAATCGTCTTGCTTGCCATTTAAATATTCCATCATGCTGCTGGGCTCGAAGAAGGTATCTAAAACTACCATCTTGACACAGTTACGAATTTCTATGAATTGATTTCGAATAACTCCACTAAAGCAGTATTTTCAAATTAAATAAATATTTGAGGATGAATTCAATGACAGGTGTAAAAATCTCTATTACTTCATGTGACAATTTAACAATGTTTCAGTTTCTATTTTTCGAATAGTTTCAAAATAAGACATAATATGAAATATTACCTGCCGATTAATCCGGGAATCTTATCGAAAAGCATCTTTACAGCTAACCAGTTAGTTATACCACCTATTAAAGTAGTTTATAGCCAAGTATACAAGTTAGTATGAAGGAAATTGTATAAGGAAAGTTGTATTAACTTGTACATTGATTGTATTAACAACAGTCATCGTATCAAGTTCTATGAACGACATTCGAAAGTTGGTACTGACTTTAATTATATAAATCTATCATCGCCACTGATTAACCAATATTCCGATATATTGTATCACTAATCAATACCGTAATAATTTATTTTAAATCTTTTAGGTGCTCTTTTTTAGTCAATTTTTTTACGATATTACCTGATAGTCCAAATACGCCAATAGCTCGAATAATGCGGAAAATTTGATAATACACTAATGGAAAAAACTCAACATTAATAAACAATAACGGTGTAGATTTTCGAAATAAGGTATCATTTCATGAATCTACTGTATAGTATACTACACAAATATTGGTTAATAAAGTTTAAATAATGATCTGTCTTGGTATTGGAACTTATTTAAGAAACGCAATATTGTATCACTCTATCACTAATTGATTATAATAAAGATGACTTGGGTGTTGCTATTATCACGTATTAATTGTAAATAAGCGCAAAGACGAAAACGTAGTGTTGATAGAAACTGAATATAATAAAATGTACCTTTCGGATGTATGTGTTTGAAAATTTCCACCAGAATGATTCCTAATATCATAATTACCAAAGTAATAAAGTTACCCCATTCAGCTACACCACAGTAATTCTTATACAGTCCTTCTACCCTCTGTTCAGATTGAATTTAAACGCAATAACGTACCATTAGTTAAAAGTATTAAGTTTATCAACAGTTTAACATTTTATTTAACTCAGATTATATTATTAATTATTGGAGATAATTAGCAAAGGTTAGGAATACAGTGCAATATTGACGATAACTTCAAGTTTGTACAAGTACGCTAACTATGGTAAAATAATAACGATACAATTGAATACGCAAAAACGTATAGACATGAAAATCATTCACTTTTAGTAAATGCAAGACAGCGGTGTCATTTTTATTACCTGTCGAAAAGGTATTTTGCTTTGAGTTCTGTCCGTATTACTTTCATTGGTAGTCTCGATTAGTATCATTTCTGTCGATTCCATATGAATTTCGTCATCATTGTTAGCATCCAACAGTAACCCCTTAGCATTTGAACTATAATAATAACGCAACGCAATCAGTTACGAAAAGGTGAAGCAACCTTTAGAATTAATAAGAATGATGTTTAAAAGTCAGTGTTTATCATTGCGACTTTTTCTATTTATTTTTATAACTCTATTTTTGAACTTATTTTGAACTTTATATACTGAAGAATTTTCAAGTACTATACAGTAGAGTATGAAGCGACTACTGACTGTCTTAGTAGTCCCTGCAGTATGTTACATGTTGGTTAAAGCTTATACATTAGCTAAGTCACCAATCATGAAATGAAATGAAAAAAGGTAAAAAAAATATGCCTGCAGTAGCAAGCAGCTGCATTTTTGCTATCCAGTTCTCGAGATATACTGTACGTATAATCAAGTGTACCTATTACACGTGTGAGTATCAATAAACTTTCTACAACCTTTACTTTAGATGCATATTGGTACAATGCACACTCTAATTAAAATAATAATAATACTGTCTATACCTTCAAATACAGTAAAGTAGTAATTGTGATCATTTGGATGCCGATGAGATCAAACTACTCGTACAAGTATATCAAATCTGATGTTATTTTATGGCTACTAAAATCTGAAGTAGGCTGTATTAATAATCAATACCGTGATTACTATTTTGTCACTTGCATGAGCTACTATCTAAGATAATTGTCATCATCATAACTAGTCCATTAATATATATATACTCCATTCATTGACGATTGCTACGAGTTCAGCAACATGGAATACTACGGTACTGCTTGTGTAGGCCATTGTCGACTTTTCAACTATGCTTCTTCTCAATGTACAGTGAATGTGAAAATAAAAATGAAACCACTTTGACGATTTCCTTATACTCCATTGAAGAAAGGATCATTTTTACGAAAGAAATCCTTGAATTATGGCTTCTTCATCATGATGAATCAGTCCATTAATGTGGTCAATTCATTGACGATTGCCACGAGTCCAGCAAGGTCGACTACGAACGGTAATACTTGCGTAGCTCATTGTCGACTTTTCAACTATGCTTCTTCTCAATGTGCAGTGTATATCAAAGGTAAAAATGAAACTACTTTGAGTTATTCTACGATTTCCTTCTACTACATTAAAATTAAGATGTTTTTTGTAAGAGAAATGCCTGCATAATAGCTTATTACAGGCTCAATTTCATTGAAGATTGCTCGGTGTCCTAACAGAATTGACTACGACAGTGCTCGTGCAGCCCATTATACAATTTTCAAATACTGTACGCTTATTCTGATTTCATGGCAAAGAAAAAAGTTGAATTTTGAGTCATTTTGTGACTTTTGGATATGATATTGAAGAAAGGAGAATCCATATTGGAAAAATAGAGAACATTGAAATGGATTACTGGTTAGAAATTATACTTCTATCACCTACGTTGGCATTGTCACTATCAATCAAACCACATCGAATTGCTTGAATTGGAATTGTTCTATTGCCAAGCGGTTTTTTTCACTGCTAAACCAAGATTATAACACCGTAGGTACTTCTGCCTAAGGTCTTACCGAACAGCAGCAGGATCTTCCATAGGCAATATCTTCATTTAATTGCACTGGCATGAAGGTTAACGGTGAATTTTTGCCTTTCCTTTTGCAAAGAAATGTCGGCTGGAGAGGGCAAGTCGTTGCTTTGGCTTCCAGCTGACTTGTACTGTATGATGGATGATTGATCTGTGGTCGAGTCCTATGGCGCGCACTGATGCATGGACTAGTAGGGTCTACCTATGAGGCGAAAAGCACGCTACACACTCAAACTGTCGGACCGGACCGGACCGGACCGTTCGTACCGTACCGACCGAGCTGGTCTGTACGTCCGTACCGTTTTGGAGTACAGTACTGTACTGTAGAATGGAGTACTAAATACGGTATGTAAAATTCAATTAATACTGTATGCCCAACACTGTCTTTGGCATCTTCCTCTCTTCTCTATTAACAGCACCTTACATGGCGATCATGGCTTAGGGTTGGTTGCTAACTGAGAATAGATCCCATCGCTTATGACTGATTAGCATCTACCAAGGCTCTCTCCATTGTAATCCTTAACCATCGCTTCTTTATACATTAAACCAATTCAAGTTGTTAAACCATTGATAGTGTTGACATTGCTGCCAATTAGAGACTAATAAGAAAGATGAATATTTTACCCAAGAAAAGGTTTGTTGTTACGCAATATCAATGCTCATCCATTCATCCATCGTCTCCTTCTTCCTTCTCGCTCTTTATACGACCTCGTCTATCTAGCATTGAAATTGCCTCTGTACGATGGGCGAAATACGTCAATGTGTTGTTGTGTGCATAGTTTCCAGCTGGAATTAAAAATCTTGTATCCTATTACTCTATTATTATTTGCTGCTGTACATCCACATTTCAACATTTCAACAGCTCTACTCTAATAAAAACCTTGCATGCTGCAGGAAAGTCCCTTCTACTACCACCTTATATCTAATACTGTCTGTTTTTTGTTCTTTTTCATAACGGAACTCCTTCTCGACTTACGTATTCACAGTTGGCATGTACGCAATAAGCGCAATATTGAACGTGTACGACGCGATGAAGAGAAAGCTCGACAAGAAGAAGAAGAGAAACAACGAAAGATTGAATTAGCTGTAAGCGATCTAGACACGTAATTATGATATTCAAATTGACATTACTTTCTACTTGCAATCACAGGCATTAGAGCTGTGTTATATCTAAAAGCAACTTACAAACTTAGTGACAAACGTTGTTGTTTATGCTATGCAACTTGAGTTCTCATATCTGATTCTACGTAATGTTCAAATGACTCAAGAACAGTGATGTAGAGAACTGAGGAAGCTAAATACGTAGTTATCATTATAATTTATGCTATGTTGTAAAGTAATTGGCTAGTAGTTGAGGGTATTCCAGAAAATCAAAATTATAGATACAGATGATGTTAGCACACCAAAACTGAATCATCGCATCTATTGCCACGCAATATTCAAATTACTTTAGTGCAAAGTGTGTCGTTGTAATTCATGCTAGGTTATAAAGTAACCCTCTTTCGAAAGCTGTAGTCATAAATATAATCTAGATGACCTTAAAACCTAAATCGAATCACCGCAGTTTAATTCTGCTTACAGTTAATTTTCAAATGACTCGAGTAGATACGAAAATTAAAGTACCTAGTATTTCCTACGTAAATCACAAAAAATGAGTCTATTTATTAATGATTGAACTCTTACTGACTTGCTAATGTTAATCGATTGTGATTGAATTAAAGGAAAAAGAATCTCGTCTTGAAATACTTCGTAAGAGATCGCGAATACACTCTGGGGAAGACGTTAGCGACAGTCTAACCAGTAGTAGAACCAAGGAGAAAAATATTAACCTCTTTGAGGTATTGATCTTGCCATCTTGTGTACAACTGCGGTTGGCAGCCATTATTATTTTAATGTTGTACAATGTTCTAATAATTCTGAAAGAACATTGGCACATAGGATCTTAATGTACACTATGATAGGTGTACACACAGATATTAGCTGTAGTTTAAAATGATAGTAGCCAATCGAACTTAGGCTATAATCGGCCATAATAATCTTATTGTAATTCTGATATTCTCTTTAAAATATAGCAAGACGATGCTGTCACAACAAATAGTGAATATGAAGCAGAAAAGAAAGCAGAACAGGAACGACTAGAAAAGAAACTTGGGATTTTAACTTACCTCGGCCAAAGTGCTATAGAGTCTCACAGTACGTCGTATTTGAATATACTGCGTCTGTAGTAGTAAAATGCATTAATACCTTCTGTGTCTAATTACTAACTTATTTAGTTTTTACCAATAGATGGTAAGCCTTGGTACTGTGATGATACCCGCTCGAAAACACCTGAAGAGAAAGCTAGGTACAGTATGATTGTATTGCAATACTCATATACAATTTATTAAAGATACCATTAGAAAATGCTAGTAATCATGATATTTGTTTTTATGTGGTAGTCCCTATCTGATCATTTTAATTTTGCAAATAAAGGACTTTATATAGTAGTTATTAAATTCACCTCATTCTGCTAAAGTAACACAAAGATATGATTATCGTTTTGCTAATAATCGATATAGCCAAAGGGACAAGAAGAGAAAAAATGTCATGGATCCTCTAAACGATATTAACAAGTACTTGAAGGCTAAAAAGACTGGCAATGATAAGGTAATATTACAAATATGTTAACAGTACAAATCATTTTACTCCGTACGAAACAGGACTACGAGTTATAAGCTACAATTTTTCTCGTAAACATACAATCATATTCGCTGATTTAATATAGGCTGATCCGTTGCCTCCCCCTATAAGTGCTTCAAAAGCTGCTAGTAGTAAAGGTAATCAAGGTAAGAAAACCTTGGAAGAATTAAGAGCAGAGCGAATTCGAAGAGAGAGAGGAGAAAGACAAAGAGAGCAAGATTTGTTAAAGCGTATTTATAGTACTAATGATAATTCCGGGCAAAAGGATCGCGCTACTACGCCATATCAAAGGTAAGTTTTAATATTTATCTACTACTGGACATAGACACAAACGGACAAATATTCATTTGTTAAGCTAGTGCTTAAACTCAGTCTTTCTTTCTATTCTTATGACAGGTACAATTCTCAATTTCACCCTGAATATGCGCGGCAATCCAGGCAACAGTAGCATGATATGACTAAATTTTGCGAAAGTAATTTCAGAGCTTTGTAATAATATTTATTGTGTAATGTAAAATATAATATTTTATTGACATGTTATAATTATGTAACTGCTGATAGTTCAACATCAATTCTGTAAAACTTGGAATATTATGAACCGTAATGTAAAATAGATTTTCGTATGCTTTCTGTATCATTGTCAATAATAAATAGTATTAAAACTCCGGAATGTTTGAATATAATTTCCGAAATTCTGGGTCTTAAAAATCATCCAATAACCATTTTATTTAGCTTAGATAGCGAATATAGCAGCATTCATTATCAAAAAATTGATAATATATTAGGTAATTTTGATAAACTATAACGATTTTTGAAATAGGTAATCTTCAATTAAAACGTAATCTAGCGTGTCTGATTGATTATTATCTAAAATTTCCAACGCTGTATTGACATTATTTAGAATGGGTTTACCCTATTGGATAAAAATTTAGAAGTTAATGATAATGTTTCTGCCACAGTATGATAATAAATTAAATTTAAAAATACAATCTTGCTATTAAATGGGTGCATTACCCCTTGTAAACTTACTTTCACATTAAATGAAGTATTTAGAAGAATTTCTTTTCCATTAGTTTTCTGCCCTATGGCTACGAGCAGCGAATGATACCAAGGTTCATCTTCATTGCTTACAGTTTGAAGCCTAAAATCAAGACAAAATGTTTATATATTAAAATCAAACACATTAACCAAAGATGTAAATAGCATACAATTTTTACTGACACAATTTCTACAAATGAAACTTGTACTGTGTTTACCTAGCAGTTCCATCAAAGTGAGATATAGCAGGAAACATTTCTTTCGCTTGTGCAGTTAATGGTACTGCGAATGACATATAAGGAGATGCAGGAATCCATCCTTTGCTACCATTACTAGAGATGCATGATTTTACAACGGCACCTTCCGAACTACTACAGACTTTAGTAAAGAATAAACCTTATGCTATTAATAATGAATACTCTATATCATGACCACAATTAGTAAATCATACCTTCAAAGATGTCCCTAGCACATTCGACTGTAACTGATGGACATAACGGTCGAAACCATTGCCTTGATTTCAATCTAAATGGAAACCACATCTTTATTAACAAGACTCAAAATCAATCGTAAGAACATCCCTATTATGCATACCGATTAATTTTATCTTTTAATTCTTGCTTGTTAGGGTAGCATACAATTGATCTGTGACCAAGGGCACGAGGACCGAACTAGATACCACATCAATATAATAATTTGTAATAACTGTTGTCTTTTCTATTGTATCAAATAAGATTTAAACGATACTATTTACAACTTACTTCTTGTCTTCCGCGAGCTATACCAATTATTGCACCATTTGCAATAATTTCCGCAAGCTAGTCCATTACAAAGAAAGTAATAGATTGTTTAATTATACAATAGCTATAACTATTTTACAGCTAATTAAACAATATGAGCAGCAGTACATACCTCCGTTATTGTTACAACTCTTGCGTTACGCTCTTGAGCAAGTTTTGTTAAGCTGTCTAATCCATGAAGAGGCAAACCACAGTATTGAGTTGGAAAGTGTTGTATAGGCCTATTCAAACAGAAATCAAAGATTGCACTAAGTTTCGAATAGTAAACATGTTAGAGAATGAAATACATTCTTTTTTCATTACTCCATCCACATTATGATATGCTAAAAGTTACGTACACTTTGAATCACTTACGGTGTTACTTGCCATGCTGCTCCAATGCTGATGCCACAGTCATTGGGAGCGGAAGGTACATGCACAGGATAACCAAAGTCTTTAGCAACTTCATAATTTGCATTTACATTCTACATATACATTAATCGTGATATTTCATAAATTAAAAATTTACTGACATAACAATAGATAATTATAATTAATAAATTTCTTCATATTTTCAGTATTACCAAGGCACATCCCCCAGTCAATACAATACCATCGATATCTTGGCCAGTCTCCCTAATTATAAAATCCAATAGATGTAGCCATAACTTTAACACTCATTAAGAAGTATCGTAAAAATAAGCAAAATATTGTCAAAGTATACCGAAGAGTACAAAGACACTTATTAACTTCCGCACACAGTAATTCTTCAAATACTTTCTAAAAATCAGGGTAATAGAGTTAGTTATATATTATTACTAGGCCCATCATAATAACTTATTACAAGTTATGTAGGATTGGTCTACCTGACTTGATGCAGCAAGATCTCTAGCATTTTCATTATCTAAGGCATTTGGTTCTAAATTCTAATAGAAATTATTTTATAAAGTTAAAAGTAGATTAAAGTAAACCAAATTTGCATACAGTAATCTGTTTTTCTATCAAAATGATACTGACAAGATTGAGCTGATCTCCAAGTGAAAAAATTGCTTGCAACGGAGTCACAAACCATTTATAATAATCGGAAAGTTCCTGGTGCCATTCCTTACGCACTTTACCTAAAGCTGCGTAACCCATTACCTATTACCGTTGATTGAATAATCATTTAGCCAATAATCTGCAGCTACTTTAAACTGAAGAACAAATTCTTAAAAATTACTTTGCCAGAAAGAGCCAACGGAGCGAATCTCATATAATTTGTTGGTTCATCATTAGAAAACGTTTTACCGGTAACTTCTGGCATACATGTTGCCAATTGGCGATACGGCGTACCTAAATTTAGCCCGATCTAAGAGTGAATATTTTCGATTTAGCGAAATTAAAATGTAAATCGATCAATTACAGGTAAAAGTCTGCGCCTTTTCATCACTGCTCAGCTATATTTTGCAACATCTGTTACTGGTGTTACTTTTACCTACTTTGCTTGGTGTAGTTACCTTTTTAATTAGCTGTATTTTATAATCCTTTCTTGTACCACTGTAGATGTTAAATGTTCCATCATTACCTCCACCATCATACGATAAAATTAATGCATTTTGGAAAGGAGAATCATAGAATCCCAGAGTCGCATGACAGAGGTGATGATCCACAGCAATCCACCTAATTGGAGTACAATAGAAAATCAAGCTATTCGATTTCTAAGCATCGTCTTTCTACTTGACACTATTCAGTATTGAAAAAGCTTTGGTGCTAGTGTAGATATTAAGGTGTATTAAAGACTTAAAGTACATTATGTATCTGTATTACATATGCAATAGCAACATGGAGTATATAAGATTTATCTTACTTGTCACATTCTATTAATTCTTGTAAAATGAGCCTTTTTGAAGGCATAACCCTTATGAGGAAAAAAGATATTTTTCAGACTATATCATATAAGTGGTATAACATTCTACAATATATAACTTCATAAAGTACACAGCAAGTAAACATCTCTGTATATGCTTTCTCGTATACTATAATGTCAATGTAACAGATTCTATAATCTTAGTTGACGCAACTAATATCTTAACATAAATTGTTAACTTGAAGGAGAAATAGTTAGCAATTTAAGCATGCAGTAAACATTATCAATTGGCTATATAAGAGATTATTATTATGATATATTGCTAGTACTTACCAACTGGTCACTGCTACATCAAAATGGTGTATACCAGTATACTTTGTAACTTCATCAATGGCTTTCTCCCACTGTTCACGGAATTGTGCATTTTTACTGATTAAAAGTGACGATAGATAGAGAAATGTTAAATATTTTAGTTAGGGAATGGAGCTAGCGGTACTAGGTATTATTCGGACTAGTAGCTATGGCATCATTGCATACACGGTGTATGAATTGCAGCATTTTTATTACTACTGTACATGAATTTACTGGCAGGAGCTAGAAAGGAACAGATTTATGTAATCTCCTTAAGGTAGATATATACATTAGAGGTCAAAATGATAACTCCAAAAAGGATAGCAATCGCTATGTTAAGAATAATTCTAAAAGTAACTAATAATAGTAGACTTACGGAGCACTGCAAAAGTAACGCACTTGAAATAGTCCTAGAATGTATAAAGCATGATTTAGAACATCTAATTTAGATTCATGAATTATGAGTACGGCAAGGCTCAATATGAGCCTATTTACAATTAATAGTCCTAGCAACATTTCAGATTTATAAATTACTTGGGAAAGTAATTGAGTTTTGTACATTGCCATTGTTTGAAATGCCGCTTGATCTACACTATTATTGCCTTTGCTAAATTGTAGCCTTACTGAATCGGTCTATTTGTATTCTCGCTTAAAATCTTGTCGTATGTAAGATTACACTGCTAATGCAGCAATCTGTAGTATTTTAATTTGAATGTTTCTGACTACTACTTAATTATGATTTATTATTAATGCATATGTATTCTTAAGTTTGGAAAAGATTATATAATACAATATATCTTTATACCCATATAATGATAGTTTCTTGCCTATGCTCTTCCAAATCCAATCATAACTTCAACTCTAACTAATTTATTAGACTTATGTTACTAAATTAATATGCAATACTACTGCTGCTACGGTATTTTCAAATTTGGCTATCTTGCGGTTCTGCTAATTACTATAGAACGTATCCACGACAACTGATGTAGCATTCTGGTTTAATATCCATGTTAAAAATCAATAGAATTCTAAAAATTGAAAAGTCCTAATCAATCATTCTTGTCGACAGTACTTAGAGTGTAATTATAACTACATCTACAGCTAATCTTCCACTAAATAATAAATAAATATAATACACGACGACGACAACATTGGCTAATACAGATTGATATTCTGAGTCATGTTGAATGATTTTGCAAATTGCTTCGACCACTTACTCTCTAATTCCAGGACTACTCGGACTTCTCCGTTAACACAAATACAAATATTAGCATCATGCAGTACGTGGAAAGCGATAACTTTCATAATCAACACGTAGAATATTCGATCTTAATTAGCAATCTACGCAATCCAATAGCTATAACAAATGGTATTTGCACACTTGCAGTGTAGGTAAGGAGGTCTTGTCAATTTTGGGGGCCACTTAATTCATCTTCCAGCGGTATGCTGTATTACTTCATACCGAATGCTCTATTCTAAGATACAGTTTGAGGAATCGATGTACGCATGCCGGCATGACCAATCATAAGAAAACGTATATAATAGTAATATAGCGCAGTGCCACAGATTGCTGGCTACCGAGCTCAACGACCAGCTCTGCTAGCAAACTCCTTTATAAATTAATAAATGATTGTAGGGAAAATTCATCTATCTTACTATTAATCAAAGATTACTCAGTGCTTATTAGTCACAGTCTAAGAAGTTCTGGTGCATTATTCTTATGCATTATAGTTGTTGATGCTGGTAATAGAAATTGAACGATATAGCCATGTCTTCAGCCAAGGATAAAGCTTCCATCTTACTTGGTACATTAGATTTAGAAGAGATCGATGTTGATATCTTCCGAGGTAATACATTATGGTACCCTCTATTTTCACAACGTATATTTGGTGGTCAAGCGATAGGACAAGCTCTAGTAGCTGCTAGTAAAACAGTTGATGAACAATTTTCACCTCATTCTCTACATTTGTATTTTCTTCGCGCTGGCGATCCTTCCATTCCTCTCATATATAAAGTAGAACGTATCAGGGACGGCCATTCATACTGCAGTAGAAATGTTCATGCTCTCCAACAAGGTTTAACCATTTACTCAAGCCAAATATCATTTTGTAAATTTGAAAAAACTGTAATCGAACATCAAGCTAATATGCCCAATGCACCCGATCCTGAAAGTTTACCTACAGATGAGGAAGTATCACAACGAAGGCTTGAACATGAAACGAATGATAATAATCGTCTCTTAATTGAGAAATCACTTGCTTCACCAATCCCTATAGATATTCGGCGTTGTCAGCAACAGTGGGCAGACATGACCGAACATCCTCCTTACCAATTGGCGTGGTTTAAAGGCATTGACAAAATAGGACCTGAATTGAAAAATTTACACTCGCCTATCGTAGGATATGCTTCCGATTATAGTATACTCTATACAGCTACAGCAGCTCACCCTAACTTTCGATATACTATGATATCATCACTGGATCATTCTATGTGGTTCCATTTACCAGTACGTGCTGATGAATGGCTGTTATATGAAACGCAAAGCCCAAAAGCGAATAACGGAAGAGTTCTAGTATTAGGCAAGCTTTTTACACGAGATGGTAAATTAGCGGTTAGCATAGCCCAAGAAGGATTAGTGAGAGGAGTAATGAACGAGCCTAGTAGTCGATTGTAATCTTCTTCTTCTTAGTTAGTAAATGCTATCGTAAACTCGTCATCGCATAATTTAAATAAGCTATGATATCACAACACGTCTACTTTTTCCATCACAATTATCGTCATTATACCGATCGTAAGAAATGCAAAAAAGTTCTTACAATTTCCCTAATTTGCAATATCAATATACGCGTATAAAATGCATAGAAAAGGAATAATTTTTACAATTGTCTTGCTAGATAATCATTTATAACTGTTTTCAATTTACTAGATAGCTTTTACTAGAATAAGTATTTATACTTAGAAGATATAGACTCGATTTAATAACTCAGCAAATTCATATCTTAGTGCAACGTACCCAAAGTATTTACCTATGTGTTAGTGTTAATTGTAAATTTTTGTTAATTCGGTGATTGATAATCTTTAGGACAATTTCAACTTTTACACAGATCCATGGTAGAGCTAATGATCTCAGTATTTGATAAATATGCATGAAATAGCATAAATTCACGTATATCCTATCTTAAAGACTAAGTGGTTGTCTCACTGTCTATTTACATCATGGCTTAAATGATAAAAGGAATAACCTCTTCTATTATTAGAAATACTTGATACACAGTACAGTGCTTCATCATAGACTACTGAATCTTTGAATTATAAAGATTGTTACAGCAACTGGCTGAGCTTGGACAGCTGTTGTAATTGCGATTTACTTTGCACACTTTTCAATTTGTTCTATCGCATCTAATATGGGTATCTTTGAATCTATCTTGATATTATTATTTATATTATCACATTTTCCAATACTGTAGTGTAAAATATTACAGTATAATCATCACTTTTTATTATACCATACTTTTAACAACACCGAACTCTATGTTAGTTATTATCATCAGCTTATATATATATTGTTTTACTATATTAAGATGTCGATAACCAAGTTACGACGGTGCAATATTTTATCAAAGCAAGGTAGATTTACCTAGTATTTAAAAGTTTCTAACTCAATATCACAATTGCAAGGATTGGATATCTTTAATAAACGTGGGCATCAATACGGCTACAAAGGCTTACTCATTCTTCTCTACAATCTTCTATGAATCTGGGAACGACATTTAATGCTTTCAGAAATGATGTCGGAAATGAAAGACATTACAACTAACATAAAGTAGATGTATGCAGAGAGATAATAGATAAATACCATCGATAATAACCTGTTAGATACTTACGCAATGTGTAATATGTAATAATTATAATTAACCACCATAATTCATGATGGTCTTCATCTACAACCATCCCGTATCTGGACGATAATAAAAACTTTATGTAGTCGTTGTCTTAAATTGATCATAAATAACTATATAATAAGGCCTCGGTGAAGAAATTTCTAATATTTCACTTCTCGGATTAGGTAGTAATAATAATCACGCAACTTATTTATTTAGTACAATCTACCACAATTACATGATAGCTTTAATTTACAAACTATTTTATGTCTTGGGCGATAGTAGAAAAATATCATTTAGTTATTAAGCTAAATCTATCATCTACTATTATATTGTTTATACCAGATTATAATACTTCTGTATCTCAATGCAAATACCCATCTGCTAACCTTTCGTTTCGGTAACTAATAATATTCGACTTACGGAGCACTTCAAAAGTAACGCAATTGAAATAATTCTAGAATGTGCAAAGTATGTTTCAGAATATTTAATTTAGATTTGATAAATCATGAATGCGGCAAGGTTAAATAGCTCATTTACAATCAATACTCGTAGTCCTAGCAAAATTTCACGTTCATAATTATAATTACTAGGCAAAGTAACCGAGTTTTTGTATATATAGCTTTGGTTTGGAATTCAGCATGATCTATTCTATATCAACATTATTTCCATTACCAAATTCTAGCCTTACTAAATAGACAATGTTGGCGTTCTCACTTAAAATTTCTACCGGTATTAATATTATCTGCAGTATTACTTTTAGTTTGAAAGTTTCTTACTACTTATTAATGTATATGCATACGTTTTTTTGTTTGGAAAAGATTCCATAATGCAATATACCTTTCTATCCATATAATAATTGTTTCTTACCAAATTAATATGCAAAACTAGTGATGATACGGTATTTGCAAATTTGACTATCTTATCGATGGTTCTACTAATTGCAATATACGAGTATGAGTAAAGTATGCACGACAAACTGATGTAGCACTCTGATTTAATATCGATGTTAAATATCATTACAATATTAAGATTGAAAGGTCCTTATATCGTTCTATACGTGCACCCACACTCAAACAGTTTTGACACTCTCTCAGATTGCAGTTTAATACGCTCTTTATTCCTATTCAGTTACTCTCACATCTGTCTATTTTGTATCTCTAAAATTTTTAACATATTACGTCTGGGTTTACTAACCATGGCTTCATTCTATGTTTACAACATTACAATCCCGTTTTTGCAGGCCTAATAAATAATTCTTGTCTATAGTACTTTAGGCTCTAATCATAGTTGTACCTGTAGCTAGTTAACTAAATGAATAGACGACGATATTGGCTAATACTAGATGTTAATTCACGATCTACGAAATCCAATAGCTCAAGAAACGATATTTGTACATTTGCATATGCTGGATATTTCATTTATCTTATAGTGATTGCTGTTACTACTGGATACTCGATACTGAGTGCTGTATTCTAAGATACGGTTCGAGTAATTTATCTACACGTCTACTGCAATACTGTCCATATTACTGTCTTGTACACAGTGTACAACATTGCCGCAGATTGCATGGCTACCGAGCTCAACGACAAGGATCAACTCTGCTAGCAAAAATTCCCTTGGAAATTAATCAATGAATGTAGGGGAAATTCATCTATCTTACTATTAATCAAAGATTACTCAGTCCTTGTTAGTTGAATAAGTTCTTATGCAGTCTTTGATAGGGTAATGCAAATTGAACGATATAGCCATGTCTTCAGCCAAGGATAAAGCTTCCATCTTACTTGGTACATTAGATTTAGAAGAGATCGATGTTGATATTTTCCGAGGTAATACATTATGGTGCCCTACAGTTTCACAACGTATATTTGGTGGTCAAGCGATAGGACAAGCTCTAGTAGCTGCTAGTAAAACAGTTGATGAACAATTTTCACCTCATTCTCTACATTTGTATTTTCTTCGCGCTGGCGATCCTTCCATTCCTCTCATATATAAAGTAGAACGTACCAGGGACGGCCATTCATACTGCAGTAGAAATGTTCATGCTATCCAACAAGGTTTAACCATTTACTCAAGCCAAATATCATTTTGTAAATTCGAAGAAACTGTAATCGAACATCAAGCTAATATGCCCAATGCGCCCGATCCTGAAACCTTACCTACAAATGAAGAAAGATTACGACGAAGGCTTGAACATGAAACGGATGATAATAATCGTCTCTTAATTAAGAAATCACTTGCTTCACCAATCCCTATAGATATTCGGCGTTGTAAGCAACAGCGGGTAGATATCATCCAATATCCTAGTCATCAAAGTGATCCTCCTTACCGATTGGTATGGTTTAAAGGCATTGACAAAATAGGACCTGAATTGAAAAATTTACACTCGCCTATCGTAGGATATGCTTCCGATTATAGTATTCTCGACACAGCTATGTTACCTCACGCTAACTTTCGATATACTATGATAACATCACTGGATCATTCTATGTGGTTCCATTTACCTGTACGTGCTGATGAATGGTTGTTATATGAAATGCAAAGTCCAAAAGCGAATAACGGAAGAGTTCTAGTATTAGGCAAGTTTTTTACACGAGATGGTCAATTAGCGGTTAGCATAGCCCAAGAAGGATTAATGAGAGGAGTAATGAACGAGCCTAGTAGTCGATTGTAATCTTCTTCTTCTTAGTTAGTATATGCTATCGTAAACTCGTCATCGCATAATTTAAATAAGTTACGATATCATAACATGTCTAATTGTGTCCATTCCAATGATCATCATTATACCGATCATAAGAAATGAAAGAAGTTCTTACAAATTTCTTAATTTGCATTATCAATGTATAAAGTGCATTGAAAAGGAATCATTTTTTATTTTATTGTCCTACTAGACGACCATTTATAACTGTTTTCAATTTACTAGATAGCTTTTACTAGAATAAGTATTTATACTTAGAAGACATAGATTTGATTTAATAGCTCAGAAATTGACGTCTTGATTCAACGTACCTAAGTATTTACTTAGTTAAAGAGTAAGCTGTTTTATTGTCTATTCATATCATGGCTTAAATGGTAAAGGAAATAATCTCTTGTTGTCATCTAATATTAGTATCTTTGAATCTATCTTGATATTATTATTTATATTATCACATTTTCCAATACTGTAGTATAAAATTATCACAGTATAATCATCACTTTTTGTTATACCATACTTTTAACAACGCCGAACTGCATGTTAGTTATTATCATCAGCTTATATATATGTGGTGTTCTACTAAGATATCGATAACCAAGTTACGACGGTACGATATTTTATCAAAGCCATGTCGATTTACATCGCATTTAAAAGTTTCTAACCCTATATCACAATTGCAAGGATTGAATATTTTTAGTAAATATGGGCATCAATACGACTACAAAGGCTTACTCATTCTTCTCTACAATTCTGCTATGAAATCTGGGAACGATATTTAATGCTTTCAGAAATGATGTCAGAAATGAAAGATATGGCAACTAAATATAACTATATACGTCTATAGAGAGATAATAAATAAATAACTATCGACATTAAAGATTGATAGGTCCTAATAAATAATTCTAGTCTATAGTATTTTAGAATGGAATCATAGCCGCATCTGTAGCTAATTCGCTACATGACTAGACGACGGCGATACTAGCAAATATCAGATCTTAATGAATAATCCACCAAATCCAATAGCTGAAGAAATAATACTTATATATATATATATATATGTGTGATGGAGGGTTCGATATCTCAGAGGATTGAGATTTAGTCGCCATTTACAATTATTACAACAAAGGGTTTATAAAAGTTATGCTTTATTGTAGGTTAGTAATGTGAAGTAAAGTGAGTTAGTGTAGTGATGCACCCTATATTTGCTTGTAGCGATAGCTATATTTGATTGTGTTGTGTACTATATTTAGAATAGTTAAGTTTCTAAAAATAGATATTCTTGTGCTGCTAGATTTAGGTGACTGGTAACTACTATATTAGAAAGTGTTATTCACTAATATAGCTGTTAACTAATTATGGTACAGGACGTTATACGACTTGAAATACTAAGATTGTAAAGATGCCCAATACCTTACGGTGTTGAACATTAATGGTAAAGTAATAATATTGTAGCAGTTTGATTAATACTGTAAAATGTAGTGATGATTCATGTCTGATTGTAGACGATGTTATTGCCTTAAATAGATTCAGAGAAAAGTATATAAGGTGTACAAATCTGAGCGTAAAGGAGGAGAAAAGATTTGATATCTAATTGAGCTCAGATTACTTTAGACTAGATTCTTGTGAGTAATTAATTATTGCTGTACTATTCTTTAGAACCTTGTAATAAAAAGCTTTTATAGTACTGGATTCCTCTGTGGACTAAAATTACTGTGGAAACGATATTACAGTTAGTTACGGTAGATCAGCGTGCAAGCTGTCGTGAGTAAAGAGTAGAAGTATTAGACTGTGAGAGACTAACTAGAAAACTAACTGAGAGGCTAATGAACTCTGAGGTAGAAATCGCCGGTATTTATAGTTTTAAAGATAGAGCACATGCAGAGAATAGGATTGTGGAATTAGATACAACATATACCATAACAGGTTACAAAATAGCAGATGATTGTAGAAGACAGCGAGTACCGTAATAACTAAATACAGTAGTCTATATATGAATGTAGAGTAAGCGGACTGTAGATCTGTCTAAATATAAGAGCAATACAACATGTCTATATTTAAGAGTAGAATATAGTTACAGTATATTCTAAATACACTACAATATGTAAGGCATTTTGCAAAATACCCAAGGGATTAGGTATTTTGCTATTAACTTATATATATATATATCCACTTGCAGAGAGGTCCTTCAATATTCTTGATACTTAATTGATTTTATCGTGGTATGCTGTACTACTTGATACTGAATACTATATTCTAAGATACAGTTGAAGTAGTCTGCTTACGTATACACTGCATTACCATTCATACCTTATTCTAGTCTATTACAGTCCAGCTATGCCACAGATTGCATGGCTACCGAGCTCAACGACCAGCTCTGCTAGCAAATTAATCAATGAATGTAGGGAAAATTCATCTATCTTAAGATTAACTAAGGTTGCTCAATCCTTGTTAGTCACAGCTTAAGAAGTTCTTGCGCATTATTCTTATGTAGTCTTTGATGATGGTAATGCAAATTTGACGATATAGCCATGTCTTCAGTCAAGGATAAAGCTTCCATCTTACTTGGTACATTAGATTTAGAAGAGATCGATGTTGATATTTTCCGAGGTAATACATTATGGTGCCCTCCAATTTCACAACGTATATACGGTGGTCAAGTGATAGGACAAGCTCTAGTAGCTGCTAGTAAAACAGTTGATGAACAATTTTCACCTCATTCGCTACATTCGTATTTTCTTCGAGCTGGCGATCCTTCCATTCCTATCCTATATAAAGTAGAACGTATCAGGAACGGCCATTCATACTGCTGTAGAAATGTTTATGCTATCCAACAAGGTTTAACCATTTACTCAAGCCAAATATCATTTTGTAAATTCGAAGAAACTGTAATCGAACATCAAGCTAATATGCCCAATGCGCCCGATCCTGAAACCTTACCTACGAATGAAGAAAGATTACGACGAAAGCTTGAACTGGAAACGGATGATAATAATCGTCTCTTAATTAAGAAAACACTTGCTTCACCAATCCCTATAGATTATCGTCGCTGTAAGCAACAGCGGATAGACATCATCGAATATCCTAGTCATCAAAACGATCCTCCTTACCAATTATTATGGTTTAGAGGCATCGATAAAATAGGACCTGAATTGAAAAATTTACACTCGCCTATCATAGGATATGCTTCCGATTGTAAAATACTCTATACAGCTACATTACCTCACGCTAACTTTCAATTTACTATGGCATCAACACTGGATCATTCCATGTGGTTCCATTTACCTGTACGTGCTGATGAGTGGCTGTTGCATGAAATACAAAGTCCAAAATTAAATAACGGAAGAGTACTAATATTAGGCAAAGTTTTTACACGAGATGGTCAATTAGCGGTTAGCATAGCCCAAGAAGGATTATTGAGAGGCAGTCGATTGTAATCTTTTTATTATTGATTAGCAAATGTTATGGTAAACTCGTCATGGCATAATTTAAATAAGCTACGATATCACAACGCATCTAATTGTCTACTACAATTATCATCATTACACCGATCATAAGAAATGAAAAAAGTTCTTACAAATTTCTTAATTTGCAATATCAATGTATAAAATGCAGAGAAAAACGAATAATCTTTTATACAATTATCCTACTAGACGATCATTTATATCTATTTTTAATTTATTAGAATAAGTATTTGCACTTAAAAGATATAGACTCGATTTAATAGCTCAGAAATTCGCGTCTTAATTCAACGTACCTAAAGTATTTACCTATGTGCTACTGTTAATTATAAATTTTGTTAATTCGGTGATTGATAATCTTTAGGATAATTTCAATCTTTATACGGATCTATAGTACAGCAGAGCTAAATAATTTGAGTATTTGATAAATATAAGTGAAATGCTATAAATTTACATGCTGTATGTCTTTGATTAAAGAGTAGGTAGCTGTTTTATTGTCTGCTTACAATATGGCTTAAATTATAAAAAGGAATAATCTCTCGTTATGATTAAGAAATACTCGATATACAGTTGTACAGTGGTTAATCATAGACTACGAAGTAGTCTTGAATTGATTCTACTCTTTGATATAAAGATTACTACAACAACTGGCTAAGTAAGCTTAGACAGCTACTGTAATTACGATTTTCTTTGCACACTTTCAGTTTGTTCAACCGTATTTAATATTAGTATCTTTAAATATATTTTGATAATATTATTTATATCAATTACATTTTGGAATACTGTAAGATATTACAGTATAATCATCACTTTTATTATGTCATACTTTTAATAATACCGATACTCCATGTTAACTATTGTCATCAGCTTATGTATGCTGTTTTACTATACTAAGACGTCGATAATCAAAAAATTTGATAACCATTTTATGACGGCACATTATTTTTATTAAAGGCAGGCAGGTTTACCTACTAATATAAAAGTCTCTAACTCTATATCTCAATCGCAAAGATTGAGATATTTTTGATAAACATGGGCATCAATACGACTACATAGGTGTATTCATTCTTCGCTGCAATCTTCTATGAAATCTGGGAACGACATTTAACCTGTTGGATGCTTATGCAGTGTGTAATATAGATAATAAAGAGAATACCTAGCCGTTGTGTTAGATTGATCATAAATAGTAGAAAATAGTGATGTACTATTAGAGAAAAGTATTCTGTTTGATGGCTCATGTCTGATTGGAGATTAATCAAGTTGTCATGAATGGATTGAACGAAATGTTTATCAGAACTAACGAAGGAAGGATTATCGTGAAGCTAATATTAGATGATTGCTAACTACTATATTAAAAACTATTGATGACGAATAGTAGCCAGTTGAGTAATTATGGTACAAGATTGATGCAGCTAGAAACACTGTAGTGGTTAAGGTGCCCTTTGGAGAAAGAGGCTAGACGTTAATAGAAGAGTAGAGACATCTTCAGTAGAATGATTTAGATTGTAGAAGATAATGATGTACTATTAGAGAAAAGTATTTTGTTTGATGGCTCATGTCTGATTGGAGATTAATCAAGTTGTCCTAAATGGATTGAACGAAATATTTAGAAGAACTGGAGAGACGAGCCCACGGAGGAGAAGAGGCTTCATTTCGCGTTGAGCTCGGAATACTTTCGATGTTAGACTAGATTCTTGTAGTAATTAATTATTGCTCTACTATAGTTAAAATCTTGTAATAACAGCCTTTTAGAATATACCATTTGACCAAGATCGTTATTGCGAGATGCATTTATAACAGGACTACTCGATGCACTTACTAGATGGTATATCTAGTAGTCTATGGAAGTAATTGTGAGTAAGAAAATTACAAGGCCAATATTGGGTTTTAATATTCTAGACTATACTGTTCCGTATAGCACATTGCGTGCTCATACAGAACTCCAGTATAGAACCGCGTGACCATGACTAAACGCTAAAGTACTAAATTAGTACGGCGATGAACCAGGTGACCAATGACCTCCGGATCAGCTGTTTACGAACTACAGTATTGCAAGATCTAATATTGATATATGTAGATGAAGAAAGAATCGCTTGAAATTACTAAGTTAGGACTAGCTCTTGTTCGATAACCTCTTCTGGATATTGAAAATTATTGATAAGGGTGAAAAATTGTAGAATCTTTGCATCAATCTTGGCTATGTCTTCTACTAACGATAAAGCTGCCCTTTTATTCGATACGTTAGAATTAGAAGAGCTCGATGTTGACCTATTTCGGGCTACTACATCATGGCAACCTCCATTTACACAACGTATTTATGGTGGCCAAGTAATTGGACAAGCTCTAGTAGCTGCTAGTAAAACAGTTGATGAACAATTTTCACCTCATTCGTTACATTCGTATTTTCTTCGCCATGGCGATCCTTCCATTCCTGTTATCTATAAAGTAGAACGCACTCGAAATGGTCGTTCATATTGCTCAAGAAATGTTTATGCAATCCAACGAGGTTTAACTATTTATACTAGCCAAATATCGTTTAGTAAATTTGAAAAAAGTGTCATTGAACATCAAAATGATATGCCAAATGCACCTGATCCTGAAAGCTTACCCACAACGAAGGAAAGGCTACAAGGTTATCTTGAACGTGGAGTTAGAGGTGACCGGAATCGTTCAGCAATCGAGAAAGCAATTGCTTCAGAAATCCCCTTAGATATCCGCCCTTGCGATCGGAAACGTATAGGCTTTTTCGATCCTGATTTTGAAAGTAAGGCCCCTTACCAATTGGTATGGATTAAAACCGTTGATAAAATTGGACCCGGATTTGAGAAATTACATCAATGTATCGCAGGATATGCCTCAGATTACAGTCTGCTACAAACGGCTAGATTACCCCATCCTAAATTTCGTGTTAATTTCGCGTCGTCACTCGATCATTCCATGTGGTTTCATTTACCTTTCCGTGCTGATGAATGGATGTTGTATGAACTTGAAAGTCCAAAAGCCAATAATGGAAGGGCTCTAGTATTTGGAAAGCTTTTTACACAAGATGGCCGATTAGCTGTTACTGTAGCACAGGAAGGAGTATTAAGAGGGGTTATTAAAGATCACCCCAGCCGATTATAGTTCACTAAATTAATCAATAACTGAATAATGTGATGGGTCTCTTATAAGGAATAAAATATTGTTATGATAATTGCTCTCTAGATTGCAACAACTCTTAATTATTTAAATTGAATTATATAATATATACTTAAAAGTGTAGATAACGATATTTGAATAAAACTGTCCCATTGACCGTATGTTCATTAGCTGATATAATTTTAAAATTGGCTAGACAGCTTGGACCTTTTATTTATTTTTAAAGTAAAGTATATCACGGGATAAATTTAAAGCACAGCTCTATAATTTCGATATGATTCGTATATAGTACACGTCCTTAATATTGAAATGTGCACAATCTCACCTACCTATAGAGCGTCGCTATAATGGCCTACTAGTACTTTTTTGTTGCCAATAAAAGTGTGATTTAAGTCTTATGTATATGAATAAATAATCAAGTTGAAGATGCAAGCGCAGTTATACGCATTAATCTGGAATAAATTAACTTTATATATAGACAATTTACCTTACCTACATGTGTAGTATCGCTGAAATATGGACAACTAAAATCTGGAGGGTTTTAGACGTTTATGATTATAATGAACTCTCCAACATTTATTACCTGTAAGAATGCGAGTGAGATTTACAGTAAATCATGTACTGTATGAATAATCTAGTTAGAGATGTAAGCATTATCATATTATCCTCAATGTAATAATTAATTTCGGGGTTACTTTTATACTTGTATAGAAGCTAAAGGAAACAAGTATGAGAAGCTCGTATAATTATTTAGGCTACAGTACTGTATAGCATACTGAGAGGTAGATGACTAAGATCGTACGACAGTAATTGTTTAATACAGTAGATTTTATCTAGAAATATAGTTTAAACGTATGGCAATACTGTAGTAACTAAGGTTATAAGTGCATATACGTGCAACTCGTATATGTAGCAAATATGCACCTGCAGGAGATGGCATGAATATCCTTAATAACCTTATGTAAAATCTGCCTATAACCTTTGCTATGAATGTGTAGGAAGCACGATTTCACAATAAGCATTTATGGCATAAAAGTACCACAGCCACTATCTGTCTACATAACAGTAAATAATACTGTTAACCAGCATCATGAATGTAGTATCATAATAAAGCTTTTAAATGTTATCAAGAGTTTAACATGGTTCATGGGAGAACTATTTCCGTTTCACTCTTTAAATGGCTTCAAGTAGACATGAAAATCAATACGCAGTTTAAAGGTATAGCTCATAAATTTATTACTGGATTTCTAGCATCAAAAGGTTATAATACAAGGTCGACACACAACTAAGTAGGGCTAGTTAGGAAAAACTGAGAAAAAAATAGTAGATAAGAAGAGAAGAAATGGTTGGTAACCGCTACATCGTCTTCGTTGTTTATCTCTGGTGTGACTCTGTGATGATGAATGTATCTATCATCAGTCTACAAGCATTTCACAATAACAACTAGTAGTGTTAGTTTACAAGTGAGAATGCAATCAAAATGTTAATGATAACAGACAGATGGATGAGATAGTGCTGTCTATAAGCGGAATTACTGCCACACTCACGAAATAGTTAATCAGCCGTCTATTTCGATATCATCATCACCTAACAGAAGTGAAGAAGCAGGAATAAACATATACAACCAGAAGTTATTTACTTCAATCTATTTAATAGTGATATCACGACAGCTTCAACAGTTGCCATTTCTTAGAATATATCTCTAGTGTCCATGGTAAGGAATTTGGAAATACAATGCACAGATGAAAAAGAGTCGTATAGGTATATTGCTGTACATAGCACCAATAAATTATGACCAATCGTTTCAGCGCCGACCGCCGAATTTTCCACCACGTCCGCCGCGGCCTCTACCGCGACCTCCACCTCCAACTCCTGGTCCGCCTCTACCGCGGCCTCGACCTCGACTCATAGTAACTAAAAATAGGAAAAAAAATTTAGTCGTTCTCTCTCTTTCTATTAGCCGTAACAGATATACACAATAATTGATCATTCCTTTGCAGTAAATGCTTATGCTTGTACAGTACATAATTTTCACTTGACAATATGGAATCCTTCTTAGAACGTTTTGACTATTACAATTGACTGGTACTACAAGTTGTATTGTATAGCATTAAATTCATTGAAGTTATAAAAATGAATACAAATGTGGCTAACCTATAGCTACTGTAGAATGGACTACAAAATATGGGGATCCAGCTTTTATCATTATACATAATGTATTTAATTAAAATAAGGTAGAGAATTTCTAAAGTATTTCTTGTATGCATGATTTCTTGCACGATGATAATCAATATTTAGTAGCATAAGATTAAGAAAACAGTACAAGTATTCTGTATTTGTACAGCTCTGCATTTACAAAGAAATTGAAAAATTTGTAATAATAAATGAATGATACAATGACATTTATAGTCCATTGCCACCGGTAATAGAATGCTATATAATATGAATTTGCTATTTTACTTTCTGCTCTTTTCTTTGCTTTCATTTTTGGTGAATCGTCGACAAGTAACTGATCCAGTGCTAAATTATCAGGTAGAATAAAATAACGAATATTGTTGCCACGGATAGCAAGAGTATCTAAAGTTACGGGTTCGCGATTCTTGACGGTCATTTTAACGCTCTTCAAATGCGTATTCATGCTCATATCTACACCTATCAATATAAAAATGTTCAATTGTTTAAGCTCCTAGTTTACTCATAATTCATCCACTCTCTATATCAAGTCAATACAGGTATAATATACAGTTTTTCTTCATCATGCCTACATATGATAATGACGATTGATGTTAATTTGTCATACAGCCAGAGCTGTACAATTAGCTAAAAGTTTCAATACTGAAGCTACTGTATTGAGTTTATTTTGCATTCTGTCTATGCGATACTGACTATACTATTCCAATTATCAATCCTAAAGGACGAAAACATTCATCCAAGTCTGCATCATAGACTTATCGGAAAGAAATTGAGTAAAATAAAAGGTTTCTTTGTAGTAGTCCAAGCCTATATGTAATCACAGTTTCTATAATGACAATGAATGAAATTATCCATTGACATTCTAACCCCATGGTAAGACGACTATAATTAGAGCACTAAAGTTTGCCTACCTTTCACCACTGTTTCTATTACTACTGTAGTGGAATTTTTCAATGATGATTGCAACTTGATGGCTAATTGTATTTATACTGTTGCATGATCAATCCTTGTGCAATACAAGTCTCTTCGACTCTCTGTCTCTGTATACTGATTATGTAGTGAACGTTAACTAGGTAACATCTGTCCTATCGATGTATGCAAGCTATCCTATTGCAAGTATTGGATAGGAAAAGCAGGAAAAGTATGCAGAATGGAAAGTATCAAGCGAAGCAAGACTTGGAAGGATTACAGTCGTACAAAAGCGCCGAATCAAAAGCTGTACAATCAAGCCATAACTTACCCCAAACAGTACCATGAACCACAGTCCCATTCTTTAACTCTATTGTTACTGTTTCATGATTAATTTTCATTAGAAACCTACAATGATCAAGAAGAGCAAGGATGAGTATTCATCCATGATTGCAAGTTGTGGTTGAGATGGCGACATGAAACCTTGGCTGCCAAGGAAGCCTTATTTACCAGCTAAATCATCTCTTTTATCCTAAAATTACTTTTGATTATCCTTTCACCTGTTGTAATGGATAACCTATACAAGATACTGACCTTACAAGCTTCATGATGTCTCCGATTGACTATGGATTGGCTGCCAATTAATTTTTTTCACAGCTCCCGCCGACCCAACTTACATACGTCAGCTAGGAAGCTTAGGATGGAAGATCAAGATTCAAAAAGGAGAATGAAGAGCGTCCATTGGATACTATGTACTGTAAACACGGATTGTAGATCGGTTAGTACAATACAATGTACTGTAAGAACCTGACAGTACATTGCACTGTACAGTCGTTTTGCTCAATGCTGCACACTGCACACTGACTGGACTGTAAACGCTGCGCATGGCTGATGGCCGGTTTATTGTACTTGCTAGGGTAAATCGGGCAGGTAGTGACATTACTTTTACTTGCATTGGCTCGGTATACCAGGTCTTCTTCCTAGGGTAAATGGAGCAGGTAGTGACATTACTTTTACTTGCACTGGCTCGGTATATCAGGTCTACTTCCTAGGGTAAATGGAGCAGGTAGTGATATTATTACTTTTACTTGCATTGGCTCGGTATACCAGGTCTACTTCCTAGGGTAAATCCAGCAGGTAGTGATATTATTACTTTTACTTGCATTGGCTCGGTATACCAGGTCTACTTTCTAGGGTAAATCGAGCAGGTAGTGATATTACTTTTACTTGCATTGGCTCGGTATGCAGTGCTGTACTGCGATACGGGGTCTACTTCCTAGGGTAAATCGAGCAGGTAGTGACATTACTTTTACTTGCATTGGCTCAGTATACCAGGTCTACTTCCTAGGGTAAATCGAGCACGTAGTAACATTACTTTTACTTGCATTGGCTCGTATAATACAGTGCTGTATTGCGAAAGTAAGGTTATGGTGGTGCACTCAGTCATTAGCACTCAATACAGTATGCTAGCAAAAAGGATGTCACTATTCAAATTATAATCCGATAGTAATTCAATGTAAAATCATTGCCACTGCTGACATTACTTTTGTAAGGAAGCAAAAGAGTCACAATACCATAGAAGTTAGAGGCTTTGCTATTATCATGCACTGTATTGAACACTGCTACAACACTGGTCAAGATACCAGTTAGGCTGAAGATCCACTTTCTAAAGAATGCTAATGAAATACTAATAGTAATACAGGTCTAGTATTATCATAGACATCGCGCTTGCAGAGCTCTACCATTTTATTCGACATCATTTATACTGTACTATACAGTGTACAGTACAGTTTACAGTATATTCGTCAAGTCAGTACAGTATACTGTACTGTACGAATAGGCTATAGTATGGAACAGATACAGTGTATAGTACGGTATTACTGTGACCCGTGTACTGTACTGGAATCTCATACAGATACAGTATGCTAATTAATTACCGTGGGTACTGCACCGTACTAGAATGTTAACATTTGTGTCCGGTTGTCATAGTACCCATTTCGCCTTCAAAGCTAAACTGGAAAAATGGCTGCAGTCTTAACAGAAAAGGACAGTTCGACTGACATTGTTTCTACCTCTTCCAATGATCCTGAAGATTTCTTAAACGATCTTAGCGATGAAGATTTAAAGAAATTAGTAGACGAAACCCTGTAAGTATTGTCTATTTTGATACTGCATGAGTGTACAAGGAGTACAATCAAAATCATATATCATAGTTCAACTTTTCATAGCCTTGCAAGGATTGAATCATATTTGAATTATTTTGTTAAGTGGAACCAGCTCAATAGAGGCTACTAAATAGGAAAGGATATTAATGTTCTCTTGGGCTTAATATCTATCTTTTTATCTATTATACTAGTCGCAATAATGAGGTTTTGGCTACAGAAACTAAAATGTTTGAGAAATATCTGAAACGTGTTGAACCTCATCTATCACAATCAAAACATATCGCTGGTAAATATTGAACGTATAGATCAATTTGTAAATTCATAAATGATAAGATCGCTAGTATAGAGAACATGATTTTTTTATAGTTGTTGTCGTTATTGCACCAACTTTGAATACACAGAATTTCTATCATAATGGCCACAAATATTTTTTTACCTTACTATGGTGGCTATTGACTAACTTATTTCCTTGTCCATTGGCTAGCTCCTCTCCTACCACAACTACAATTAGATGCCCATACTTTGAATAAGAAACGATCAAGAATGAGAGGAACTTCTGTAACAGACAGGTTTGCGATACTGAATTGTAACAATACAAAATCACCTTGCCCATTCTCAGTGTGATCTCGTTATCGTAATGACTGTAACACATTCAATTATACGGATGTAGACTTTCCAAGTTAAATGCTGAACAAAAATGTGACATAGCTGCTCGAGAGATTGAAGAACTCCGAGATGAAATCGACAAGTCTAAAGAAGATGCAGAAAAAGTCGTTGATAATCATAAAGCAGTTATGGAAGAAGCTGATATTGCTTTAGCAGAAATTAAAAAAGCAATGTACGAATATAATCGTGACATTGTACAAGGAGCAGTAAATGATAGAACGAAAAAAGTCATGGCAGAAAAAGTTCAACGATACTTTGAGGAAAAAATTAGGCAGAGGGTAAGTCCTTGACTTAAATAACAGTGTTGGATAATATTAAAATATCGACTAAAATTGAACAATATCATCAATACCGCAAATTTAGGATACCTTGGTTGAGAAACTTCGCCTAAAAAATGCAGCTTTACGGGCACAAAAAAGAAAATTGAACTTACAATTAAAGCAGGTGTGAACTATTGACAAAGCTCTGATCTATAATATATAATATAGGATAACCTTTAATAACAATCAAAACATTTTATGGACTATGCCTATAAGTAACATCATAAACTACATTGCGTGTAGAAAGAAGAAATGGGTGAAGTTTTGCATGAAGTCGACTTTAATCAATTAAAGATCGAGAATAACCAATATTTGGAAAAAATTGACGAGCGTAACCAAGAATTATTAAGACTAAAATTAATGGCCGCAAATACTTTGCAAATTTTAAATTCTTACAGAGTAAATATTATTAAATACTTCTCTGGCAATGTTACTTATCGCTAGCATTTACATGAAATTATTTTAATCTTTTCTCCTTATAAATTGATAGAAAAAATTGCACACGTTGACACTTGAATCCAACCGACTTAAAACCGAAATAGGTCAACGCCACGAGATATTAAGCAAAATTACCGTCGAAAATGATCAAGTTCACCATGAAAAAAAGATGGCAGAGAGTGTAAATACGAATCTTAAAAAGCAACTAGCAGATTATAAAGTTCCTGAGGTAATATAGCTACTATTGACGAATTTTATAGACAATCGAGTAATTCAATAAATTTTTATTAAATACGAAGCGATAACTTTTGGATCTATCTATTCCGGTAATTAGATCATGGAATATGTTGCGGAACGTTCGAATTTATATGATTTGCAGAAAACGGTAATTTGGTAGTAATTTTCACACTTGTTTATAACTATTTGTGAGATAGACAAAATAGTAATCCATTGTCGTTGATGGGAGATAAATAGAGTTCATTCAATATTTGATTTATTATTTTATTTTAAACCTATCAGGTAAAAAGTTGGGAGAGGAAGGTAGAAATAGCTGAGGTAATAATTTTAAATAGTTAACAAATCTGATTACATAGTGATTTTGTTAATACTGAGATTTTTATTAGGTGCATTTCATAGTATATTTATGTGGGTACTAACATTTCTTCTTGCATTTTTACTATCAGATGGCACTAAAAACGAATAAGAAAACTTGGACAAAGATACAAACAGGAAATCATCTACAAAATCAATGGACACAACCACATTTGGAAATGTTAAGAAAGTAGATGTTTATACTCAAGATCCGATACTATTTGTATGGCTCAGATACAGAGCGTGAAAAAATTGATTTGATTAAATCGTATATAATTATTGGAAAATGCTGAAATTTATTTTAAATTTCAAATTGCTTTTTCGACAAACTTCACGCTTATATATATATACTCAGGATTTATTGCCTGAGACACTCTTTATAATATATGTATAGTTCTATTTCCATTATTATACGCATACAGTAAAAATACAAGGTCCATGGATATATGCCAGTGACAATGTTAATCATATTTTTTAACTAATTACAATATCAGTATACTATTCCAAAATAGTAGTAATATTTACGTTTCAAATGGCCTGAATTTAAGAGTCTGCGATTTAATGAATTGTTTAAATGAAGGGCAGTTAATTGTTAATATTTTACTACTCTAATGTAATATTAATACCGCAGCATAGCCTCATTCATACTCTTCTGATTAAATATCATCAACTACGGTGTAAAATTCAAATGCATATCCGTATATTGCAATTCATAACTTCAGAATTTGTAGCGGATACAGGGATATACGCGTAAAAAGAAGTACAGTAAATCGATATACTACACAATAGACTTTATTGAATATTTGCATAAGGGCATATTTGTGCTTGTGCTTATACTTACTGTATCCCAGTATCATATCAATTCCGGTAAATTGACGAAATATTTGTATTAATTTTGTCTCGCCATATCGTATTATAGTATTGACTATGTATAAAGCACTAAAGGAATGTAAATTTGTGAATATTTAAGTAGTGATCATATCGTATTAGTTGTATGAATTGCAGATATTTAATCAATTTTGATAATATAAAGGTTTTTGGGAACCCGTTTTAACGTATTGACGTGATAACTTAATGTTATAAGCTATAGCTGATATAAAATCATTACGTTCTACGAAAGTGATTACATGTATAATTGCGTATTAAGAGTTTGGATACTTAGCATTATAAATAAATAATAGTATGGATCGTACAGTACAATACTAGTTCTAAGAAAGTGTGATGAGTTTGGAAAAGGATAAAGGCAACATCTTCAGATTTTCCGGATCATCAATGTAGCTTAGAGTCCCTATATACTCTTGTTTTTCCAATAATATATGAAACAACCAGAGATTTTACTATCAATCCATAACCTACTTCGGTACTTACCCAATACACTTACGTACTTATTATAAAACGATGAAAATTGCATTGAAAAGAGAATGCCATACTATCATATAATTAACAGTGTATTTGAAGAAAACTACTGTTGTTTCAAATTTGCTTTTATTTTCTTTATCGCTGCAGAACTCGATATTAAATCAGTTAGTATTTCGTATTAATTTGCATCGTCGATTTAGGTTGTGATTTCTATCAAAAAATAACGTTTATTTTTCTTTTACTTTAATAACTTTTCATTTTCACAAGGTGAAAAAACGATAGGAGACAGTCTTAGTATAGTGCAATGATGAACGATTATTCTTGTAAGGTAAATAAAAACTCTGATTAAATTATAAAACAATACATAACATTAGCTTATATAACCTGTTCTATAAAGCATAATCAAGCTTACTAAAATCCAACAATTACAAAACATAAATAACATTTGTAAAACTTTAAAAAGTGCAGGTTTTGATATTTCGTACCCCTTTACGACAACGGGCGATATCTCTATTCTTTAAATAAATTCTATCTATAAAGTCAAATTGTATATAATAGTAGAGATGCATTAAATGCTGAGGGGCTATATAACTGAAGTTAATCAATTTTTTTTTAAATTGCTAATGCCGATAATGGCAAAATGCAGACCACGATTACAGTAACCCATAACAAATTTTTTGGACGGTATAGATCAGTGCTTATTGTAAACGAGCTATTTAAAACCCTATTAACATGTGTGTCTACGTTGTTTACGTTGTTTTGTAACAAATTTTAGATGTGGTCATGTAGGATACATCTTGTACACGTATAAAAGATAAATTCGGGTCTAACATGAAAGTGAACCTTCAAGTAGCATATACTACGTTAATTCTTCAATATAGATAGAAAGTATGTATACAGTAATAATAGAACTGTATTATACCGTAAGCGTTAACAGGATCAATCAATAACGATGAATTGCAATCGTTATACGCGTATAAGGTTAAACATTAATCAATCTTGGATTCAATCTTGAAGTACAGCACTGATGAATTAAATTTAATTTATATCCCAGCCTATTGCATTCAATTATCACAAATCCAATAATCTTTAAGGAAGAGCATGATCCTGTTGCGTATCTTCTTCATTCCATTTACACAGAACATGTTGTATGGAAGGAGCAGTATGACAAAGAGATATAAAAATTCCTTGATCAATACCATTATCGCTTAGTTTAACTGTTTTTAGATTGATTGTGCGGCTCAATAGACATTTTACAGACTCTAATTTTTGTGCTAAATTATTACTTTCTAGATGCAACTCGCTCAAGTGTTGACAATGTTGTTGCGATTCCGCTAGATCGAATAAATCTCGATTGGTTAAACAACAATAATTGAGTTTTAATATTTCCACCGAGTGTGTAAGGTTAGCTAATAGTTGACGTAGTAGTGAATTTAAACGATTACCACTTAAGTTGAGGTGTTTTAACGATTTTAGATACAGCAAGGATTTTGATAGTAGAGTAATTTGAATACGAGTTAAATTATTGTAGGCTACATTGAGTGTTGTTAAGCGCAGACAATGTTGCAACTGATTGGTCAGAGATGAAAAGTACTTACCACCAAGATCATTAAAGTCTAAATTTAGCATTGTTATCTCATCGGGTTTGAGTAATCGCAATAACGATAGGATCTTTTTACAGCCAATTTCTTGGCATCGAAGCGATGTTATATGAACATCGATGCGAGCATTTTCCATTCGTAGTAACTGACCAATTTCGTGATAGTTATTAGTATCAACATGGCATTCGAGAAAGAATTGTAATTGATGGGCCAATTTTAATCGCTTGGTAGATGGTTTTGGATGTACTTGATCTTCATTGGTTAATGCATGATCAGTTTGAGTATATTTTCGTCGAAGTTGGTCGTCATCAAATGATAGCGTTAAATGATGATGACATGGATGTTGATTTGTTTGCATGATTGCTTTTACAAATGTCAACATTCCATTAGGATCAATGGTGATACCACGCAAATCGATGACTTTTAATTTGGAATTTTTTCTAGTAAAATTATCGATATTAGCAGCAATTAAATGGGATAAAATGCCATAAACCAGTGGTAAATGTTGAATGGTAGGATATACATTATATTTGTTATAAGTTAATTGGGCTAAGGGCCAATGGGAGATCAACATGGATAACGGCAAGACTCGTAATTCTCGCAGCGATGCATCTAATAACGCTGGAAATAATTCAGCTGGCAATACATTGAGAGCGATCTTGGTAATACTAGCATATTTGACCACAATATCAGCACAAAGGTGGATTAATTTGTAGGGTGGCTGATTCGTTTGTAAATTACTACGATAGCTAGAAGCCATTTTCAATTCTGCAATGAAAGTAGACGTGGAAGAGCATCAAGGCGCCATTACAAGCTAGGCAAGCAAGAGGACTCAGGAGTGAGCATTCCGGTACGATTGGGAACGGCCCAATCTGGTACTGGAGTTGTAGAGTGTACAGTACTTTCTGGCTTTACAGTACAGTACACTGTACACTGTAGAGGGAAACTTGGCAATTTTCTCAAGGTATCGGTACAGTCTAATGGATCGATAGAACTTGTACCATACTGTATAGTACATCTATATGACATCTATATATGTATATAGACTTCTTAACGTCTTAGAACATTGCTGTTTGCGATATTCAAATCTGCAGAAGATGATCTTACTGCATGCAAAATTTGGAAATAAAGTCTGGACACATCTTTCGTATAGAACTAAATATGATTTGTCCAGACTTTCCGGACGCCCTGTACACTCCGGCATTTTGGAATTCTATTTTTTTCTCTATTTTAGTACCTATTGCTAATAGGTATTAAAATAGAATTACAAAAATGCCTTAGAGTAGAATGCACCATGGTTGACTTCGGTAACGCTTCTATTCGCTACTATGTCAGTATGAAGATGCTCCATTTGTATAATCAAGTTATTTTTCTAAATGGCCTAATATTATAATTAATTAATACAAGACTTGGGGATATGCAAAATCAACCCCAAACCCTGCTCAAGGCCGGGATTCGAGCTAAGAATTTCTGTGGTGTTAGTCGTTTCAACTGGACTTCACCAAGCTGTCATCCCCTCTCGTTTCCTTCTTCATACTAAAGCTATCTTTCTATCTACTATTAAAAGCGAGAGGCATGACACTCATATCTGCACACGCTACACCGTGAACCGGTCTCATCTCGTCTACTACGCATGACAGGCTCCGTTTGGTGGCTCTAATATTATAATTAATTAATTAATACAAGACTTGGGGATATGCAAAATCAACCCCAAACCCTGCTCAAGGCCGGGATTCGAGCTAAGAATTTCTGTGGTGTTAGTCGTTTCAAGTGGACTTCACCAAGCTGTCATCCTCTCTCGTTTCCTTCTTCATACTAAAGCTATCTTTCTATCTACTATTAAAAGCGAGAGGCATGACACTCATATCTGCACACGCCACACCGTGAACCGGTCTCATCTCGTCTACTACGCATGACAGGCCCCGTTTGGTGGCTCTTTTAAACACAAGTATACCCCCAAGTAAGCCCTTCAAGAAGCTATTTTTCTAAATTGCCTAATATTATAATTAATTAATATAAGACTTGGGGATATGCAAAATCAACCCCAAACCCTGCTCAAGGCCGGGATTCGAGCTAAGAATTTCTGTGGTGTTAGTCGTTTCAACTGGACTTCACCAAGCTGTCATCCCCTCTCGTTTCCTTCTTCATACTAAAGCTATCTTTCTATCCACTATTAAAAGAGAAAGGCATGACACTCATATCTGCACACGCCACACCGTGAACCGGTCTCATCTCGTCTACTACGCATGACAGGCCCCGTTTGGTGGCTCTTTTAAAAACAAGTACTGTACAGTATACCCCCAAGGAAGCCCTTCAAGAAGCCATTGGCAAATGGCGACTAGTCTAGCGGCCTCTACGTGACTCTTTCTTGCTACCGGCGAGGGCATTAGCGCTGGAAAATTGCTCTAGGACTAGCGAAGTAAATTGATTGTTACACTACTGTAAGTTAACCATCCCGTATTGGATTGATTTTGACTTTTTGATCACTTACGAGTAGTGGTATGCGATGATTGAACCCTAACATGCTTGGCTAGTCGTTGCATAGGGATCGATTACAATCTCTGGACTGAAATGTTTATCATACTGTACTAAGTAATACGAGCTATTGTTTGTACACTTATTAGCTGCCCTTTCGAGTTTAGCCCGGTTCAATCATTGCCGCCAAAATAATGACTACATGATAGATAGCAATATAGATATAGATGCTGATCCAATAATCATAGCTAAAGAAGCCCAACCATACCTTCCCATTGCCCAAGCAAGTACTTCAAATTCAAACTGTTGATTCTATCATCATCATCAAGTGAGTCATTTGTCTTCAGTACAGTTCTGCGTTGAGATCAAGTTGATCTTCTTCCATCGATATTATACGTTATAAACGCTAGCATACAGTAAAAGGTAAAGAAGTGATCATGCAAAGTTAATGTAGTTATCATCATCATCATAAAATCGATATCCAACCACAAGATGATATCAATTTACAACAAAAACCATGGCTGATAATAGTTGTTAATCGAACGTATGGAAATCATTATTTAATAATAGTACTATTAATTAATTCATTCATTAAAAATCTTTTCTATTTCTTATACAGGAAAATCTCCTATTTTATTCATCATGTCAGTTAAAATCAACCAATTAATTTAGCCTAGTCATTTGCAATTAAATACGAAGAAAAATAAAGAATCATTCATTCATTCATCGATATGTTCATAAGCAAATACCCATGTAGACAAAAATGATGGCTAATGTGATAAGCAAATGGATTGCATGGTGGAATATCCAACGTCTATATCGAACTTTTATCATCATTATCGGTATAGGTAGCTTGTTAACTTCCATACTCTATGCATATTATTTCTTATCGCCACGTACTCATAAAATCGAACATAATGACCAAAATATATTACCTATGGATCATGCTATCATCTTACAATTATTAGTTGGTTCATCGACCAAAACAGTTCAACAATGTCGTATGCATACGTGCTTCGATCTAAATCGTTGTGGTTTAGATGATCATCGCCGATTAACAGTCTATGTTTATCCACGTTATCTATTACCTGATCTTTATGGTATCAGTGATCCAGTCAACACTATCACTAGAGAATATCGACGCATGCTACAAGCGATTATCGACAGCCCATTTTACGTCGATAACCCCAAAACTGCTTGCCTTCTAATACCATCATATGATGTCTTAAATCAACGTCATGTTAACCTTCAAGGTGCAGGTTTAACCTTAACTAACTTACCCTATTGGAATCAAGGTAAAAATCACTTATTATTTAATATGTTGCCTGGACAGTGGCCTCATTTCAATACATCGCTTGATGCCCGACGAGGTCGAGCGATGCTAGCTGGCGGTGGATTCTCGTCTTTGTCATACAGGTATCAGCCAAGAGTTAATAATGAATATTTTTCACCTTCTCCGTTCTTTTTTTCAATCTTTATTTTAACTTGAATCAATCAATTATTGCTTACGATAGAATAACAGACGTAAATATATAATATGCCATTGCATTGTCTTTTTCTACGACCATGTCATTAAAGTAGTTATTAAATATTAAAATTTTTTTGTTTTCCAATTCTTTTTTTAGATATGGCTTTGATATAAGTATTCCAATCTATAGCTTACATCAGGATGATGATTATCATCAAAGATCACAAGATGAAAACTATCATAATAATATCAGCCATCATCATCGCCCATGGTTATTACTATCATCACAATTACACTATGATAGAAAATTTGACAACAGACTAATGAACTTAGCTAATGATAATCGTATATTAATCTTACAACGATGTTCTGTCAATAGTAGTCATAAAGCATACTATCAACGATGCAGCCATAAGCAATCCATTTCATATCCAACTATTCTTCAGGTAACAGAAATGTGCTACTTTTTGGGGAAATTCTACTGTACGCGTATGATAAAATTGTTTTAAGTTGAATTAAATTGGATTATTGATGAATCATTAAGCTCTTGATTCATAATAACTTATATTGTAATTTGATGCCTCAATATCACTTTAATTGTTAAACTTTAAATTAAAATAAAAATACTCTATTATCTAATATTTCTACGCACATGCTGGTATTTACTACAGAATTTTATATAATTGGCTTGCCTAATATTTTCGAATATTCCATCTTTAGGATTCTACTTTTTGCTTAATGTTGAGAGGATATCGTCTCATTCAAAGCAACTTCTTGGATGCATTAAAATTCGGCTGTATACCAGTTGTTTTAAGTGATGAATATATCCTACCATTTTCAGAAGTGTTGGACTGGAAGAGAGCTGCTCTGGTATTTAGGGAAGATCAACTACTATCTCTACCGGCAGTATTATCGTCAATAAGTACTAAAACAAGACATAACCTTCGGAAACAGGTATGTAAAACTTCTAAGTCAATAACTTGGTACAGTAATAAGAACAATATGTAAATTACTAAATTGAATTGAATTAAAAAAGTAATGATATGATATTAATTTTTACCTAACGTAGGGGATGTTTTTCTGGCAATCCTATTTTAAATCCTTAGAACTAATTACGCTTACAACTTTACAAATTATTAATGATCGAATTTTTTATAACACGGCACGATCATACTCTGAGTGGAACGAACCTTATTTAAGTAGGCAACTTCCAGCTGTAAGTATTTATAAAGAACTACTATGTTATTAAATAATTTACTTTATAGTATAAGTTTTTATGGTATATACGGGCATATACGTGATTTAATATTAAAAGATATATTTCATTCCCCCTACTATTCGATACCATAATTAATATCATATTATTGTGCATTCATATTGCAGGTTTACCATAATCCGCCGATATTTTATCCTGTGATTGGGCGCAAAGAGATGGGCTTCACTGTAATTATTCTCACTTATAATAGGTTTAATAATTTAAAACGGATACTAACAATCTTAGAGAACGTCGCAAGCTTGAAAGAAATATTAATTATATGGAATAAACAAGAAATGGCAGCTCCATCGGCTAGTTACTTAATGGAAGAAGCCAATACTAAGAAACCTGTAGTGGTTATGATGATGAAAAATAATAAATTAAGCAACAGGTACAACATCTGTAGAGTATTCATTCTTAAATTTCAGGTTTTTGTACATTGTTAGATTCTATACTATAGTTAAGGTGGTGGCTTCTATATGCTTGCTTATGAAAAATGTAAATAATTACTCCTATCCTACAGATTTATACCATTCAAAACGTTAAAAACTGATGCCGTTTTTGCAATGGATGATGATATGAATATGTTAACACCAGATGAGATAGAGTTTGCCTACCAAACCTGGCTCGAATATCCAGACCGTATTGTAGGATTTCCCGCATGTAATCAGCTTTGGAATGAATCTGCGCATCAGTGGTTATATACGAACGATTGGACTAATGATTTATCAATGATATTAACTAAAGCGGCTATGTATCATCGCTACTATAATTATTTATACATAAACAATATGCCGCAAGATATAAAAGATTGGGTAAACTCTAACTTCAATTGTGATGATATCGCCATGAATTTTTTAATTGCTAACTACACTGGTAAACCACCGATCAAGGTATCAAATGATGTAAACTAATTTTTTTAATATTTATTGTAGTATTGCTAAAACTTACTGTAAGTCTAGTTTTATATTGACTTAGATTCGTAATTCTTAATTTCAACTTAGGTAACACCGAGAAAACGTTTCCAATGCTCGGAATGTGTAAAAAATAGGAAGCCATTATCAACTCATCTACAGTACCTCGAGAATCGAACAAAATGCTTAAACGTATTTAAAAGGATATACAAACGTAACCCATTAGTGCGATCATCATTTCGAATTGATCCAGTCTTGATGGGAGACAATATTTCTTCTTCATTTCAGAAATTTCCTTCAGTTGGAGCCGTTTAGCTCAATTTGATTCGTTTTATATTAGTTATGTATAATGAGGGATTGCAAACCCGGGTATTTCGATTTTATGTATAACTGTTGTAAGTTACGCTCTGCTAAATATTGTTTATCGAATGTTAAAATTACTTGGGAGAAAATATTTTCGTAATTCAATCCACACGATTAGAATAATTTTAGACAACATTTAAGATTTTGGATATCATTTAATTAGTATTTATCTGATATTAGCAAAGCTACATGATTTTTACCGTGTTTTATTTAAGTACAATTTTAAAATATTTGGTAAATCAACTTTACTCAGCAGACGAAAGTATAAATTTCATCAAGAATAAACCTACTGTCAATTGAGTATTTAAGAATACAAATTACCGAACCTTGATATCAAAACTCTTATTACTGTTTTGACACATTGACAGCGTGGCTGTAACAGGATCAATAACTGGAATTACAACTCTTTTTCTGGTTTAATCTTAGCTATCATTAATCTATTCTATAAGATATATTGTAATTATTGACTTTACACCAATACGTTGGTGTTCACTGTACACAACTGTTAAAGAGGCATTATTTACTCTTAAGGTATACAGTATAGTAACAACATTTGAACAAGTAGCGAACGTATCTTATGAGTTTTTGAATAAAAAATTTCAAGAAATTGTCTTAACAAATATAATGTCTAAAGCATATTTCTTGAATTTAAAATACTGTACAAGTACTGTACAATAAATAAATAAAATGATGTACTCGTGGTAGCTTTTTTGTATTTCTTGTAGTTATACATTTAAACATGAAAGAATCATAAATTATAATGTTCGTATAACATAAAAATTATTATAACTATATATTCAAACTTGGTCTAACAACTTAAATGGGAAAGAAATCTAAAATGCAATACCAATAAATTGTCTTACATTTAAGGTAACTATTTATAAGTACAGCATACTGATATTGTAAAACTTTTTGAAGTTATTCGTTTACGACAATAATTTCAAAAATCCGAACTTAGACTTTTGCCTGTAACTTTAGTGCTTTAAATCACTTTTAGCATTAATTTTAGTCAATATTATGTAGTAAGAAATGATGAATCATACACTATGTACATTGTAGACCAATGTTAGAACCTACAATACGGTAATACCCTTTATTAGCCTATCGGTAAATGAGAAATACGAAAATTACTTTAGCTTTGGAATTTATTAGCACTAATAAATGATCCGCATAACAAAACTAAATTTTTCTCATCTTAAATTAAGAATCATAAAACTAAATATTTTATCATTCGCATGTGGGCATGATATGTTATCAATTAATTAATTAATTGCAAATATCTAGGCAGCATAATATAAAATCTATGAGTAGATGAATGAAAATTGAATCTGAGCCTTAATATGATCTCTTTATAATGATATTTACAACGATAAGCTTTTAAAAATTGACAACCCATCCTTGGCTATTCCAGCATTGAATATATTTTTTAATAAATTCACAATAAATCAAAATAGAAATTTTTCTAATAAGTACATTGAGGCTAACCAGAATTACTGCGGCATGTTAAGGTTACTTACGACCTCTTATGTTGTAAAACGAAATGGTAACATTAATTGCACGTCTGCACCTGTTGCATTCGATATACGGTAGTACGTAAATTTTTGAAAACGTTTTGTGAAAGTGAAAGGTCTCTACTGTGCGGGCCCATTTTACCAAGCTAATACTGTAACTAGTGCAAGTAAAACTGTGATACTTACACATCTATCAAACCAATGTCACGTACATCAAAAAATTCAAGTGGTTTTCTACTATTGTAAGTAATAAATGTAAATAATATAAACTATATGTTGAATCCTGCTACGAAAATTTTAATATCAATAGAAGAACACTTTTCATTAAAGAGAATTCATTATCAACTCCAAAGTAACGTGCATCCAAACGTTTATTGTATGATAATTATAACCTATCAAAAAGGTTAAATAATAATATAGGTAAAACTCTAAAGTGCTTGATACCGCTAATACAGCGTTAAAATGCGTAGGAAAGATATCCAACATAAAACTCTTGTCATAAGAAATCGCCATAATACGCAAAATTTATTGCTGTATTCAACTACCTCGACGTGCATGTTAGTACAAATATTTGATAGAATAAGCATATCAAGGAAACCTTACTTGCACTAGTGCATATTTCTATCACTATAACACTAAAATTTTTATGATAACGCAAATGACATATTACTCTAACACCATCGTTTGCCTTGCTTTGTAATCCTTGCATAATGGGCAAAAATGATCCCTTAATCTTTTACTAACTTATAATTCAGACCGATGATTAAGAGCTCTTAAAACCGTTTACATAATCATCGCAACTAATCACATCGAAATGATAAGTGTAACGCACAAAGTCTTAGTAACGATAAATATCACTTTTGAAGGGACCTTCCACTGGAATATCTAGGTATTCGGCCTGACTTGCGGTCAGCTTAGTCAATTTGGCGCCTAAATGATCCAAATGAACGGCAGCTACCTCTTCATCCAACTAAATAAATTCAGGAAAATACTTTAAGTCGAAACGCATAGTTTCACCTTATAATAATATTACTAGTATTGTTACCTTTTTAGGTAGTAAGTATACTTTTCCCTTCTCGTATTTGTCTGGATTTGTCCATATGTCTATCTGACCCAATACTTGATTGGTAAATGAATTGCTCATAACAAAGCTTGGATGTCCAGTAGCACAGCCAAGATTGACTAAGCGGCCTTCGGCAAGTAAAATGATGTGACGCCCATTTGGTAAAGTGAAGCGATCAACCTACAAATTTTCGACACATAGAAGTGTTACTACGGGAAATCTAATGAATTTATTACAATTTTTTTTTATACAATATTCCAATTATTTATTTATAGATGCACCTGTGGCTTGATTGTATCTCGTTCGCAGTTATCCAATAGCCATTTAACTTGCAATTCACAATCGAAATGGCCAATGTTACAGACGATAGCATCTTCTCGCATTTTCATAAAATGCTCCGCTGTAATAATATCTGCACAACCAGTTGCAGTGACAAAAATATGTGTCGTGCTGATGATATCGTCAATGGTAGTTACTTCCATACCTGCTCGTACAATACAACATAGCTCATTTTAAACAGGGTTATATCGAAGTGAAGGAATAAATATTACTGCATTATACCTTGCATAAGCGCTTGTAGAGCGTTAATAGGATCGATTTCAGCGACCTTAACGATAGCACCTTGCGATTTGAGAGCAGTGGCACAACCTTTTCCAACATCACCAAAACCAAAAACTGCACAAGTCTATGAAAATGATTAGGGTATTAATGCAAACAATTCTTTAATTACAGATTTTAATTAGCTAATACAAAATATGTATATTATCGGTATTTTTTATTTTATTTTTAATGATAACTAATAGTATGTAAAGGATAGAAATATCCCTCAGTATGAGTTAACTGCATTGCCAAACATTACAGAATTAATTATCTTAATACAAACGCATAACTACAGAATAGTTACAGCTAACATTTTAATATAATTTCAATTACAAACCTTTCCAGCGATCATGACATCTGTAGCCCTTTTGATACCATCAATAAGAGATTCGCGACATCCATACAAGTTATCGAACTTACTCTGTAAATTAATTTTTTATGCCGAAATTGGAAGATTGAATCAAATTTATGCAGAGAATTGAATCGTTCTAAGTTAATCTAAACTTAAGTAAAAATTGATCAGTGATTTACAGTTAAAAAATACTAACTGTTTAGATATACTGTATTGTTATATTTTTATAAATTAATGCACACATATGGACATATGTTTTGTTAACTGGTAAAATAATACCCAAATTCAATTTGCACTATTGCAGACTGCAGTAACAACTCTCAGGGATGACATATACCTTGGTAACAGAGTCATTAATGTTTACGGCTGGCATAAGTAGATTTCCATGTTTAGCCATTTTGTATAGATTATGCACGCCAGTTGTAGTTTCCTCAGTTAAACCTCGTATACCTGCGCAGATCATGAATATATTACGTCAGCCCATCTAACATAGCAATGAAACAGTATATAGATATTACTAGAAGGTATCCACACGAGAAAAACTAAAAAACATCTTTTCCAATAGTCCTAATTAATAAGCATAACTATTGATATAATCTAAGAACATGCGATCAGGTGTAATATAAATAAATCACACAAGCAATGCATTGCTTGTTTCAAAGTAGTTTCCTAAATCGATAAATCTATTAATTTGAATCATCTACTAGCAATTTGAAATGTTGACATTACCAGGGATAAATTGGGGATACTTCTGATGGACTAAATTGGTTAAGTCACCACCGTCGTCCAAGATCATGTTGAGTGGTTCTCCATTAGCAAAAACTAATGTTTGCTCGATGCACCAAATGTACTCATCGTCTGTCTCACCTTTCCATGCATAAACTGGTATACCTTTAGCGGCCATGGCAGCAGCAGCGTGATCTTGGGTAGAAAAGATGTTGCACGAAGACCATTGAACCTATTCGTATAAATCATTGTATATAATGTAAAATTATTACGTCAGATTGAAAATAAAAACGTGAGAATTAGTATATGATGCAATACATACTTCTGCGCCTAATTCTATTAACGTCTCCATCAAAACCGCCGTCTGAATTGTCATATGCAAACAGCCAGCAATACGTGCGCCCTTTAACGGCTTTGATTCTCCATATTTTCGTCTCATCTTCATCAAACCAGGCATTTCATTTTGGGCTATTTCAATCTCTTTACGACCAAAATCGGCCAACGAGATATCAGCTAAAAAATTATGATATAGTGATAAGATGATCAATATGATGTACCAAAATGAAGCTCAAACCCATAATAATACGTACAAGCAAATATATGCAATTTTATTTGATTACTGTATGCAATCGACGATAAATACTGAATGAAAGCTATATTACCGCTAACCAAATCTAATTTATAATAAAGTAGTATGTTAATTGCAGTCAATTTCTAGGTCTACAGGAAGTAGTACAAGAAAGGTTTTTAATTTAGACCGAATAAGCAAAGATGGAACGCTTTTCGGCTAATATTTATAGCTGCTGTATATAAATGCTATACACGGTTCTGATCATCTAAACAGTGATAATTCATTGTAACCGATGTGAAGTATACAGGTATAGCAAAAAGCGTTAAGGAACATGAAAGCACATTTGAAATTTTCAAAGTTTGTGAAAGCTGTACTTGCATACTCTTTTAATTTTGTAGACAGACAACCCGAGTAGATAGTCATCTCAAAACCTTATCCATATTTCAAGCATTATGACGCAACACTATAATTGCATTTTATTGAAAGTTGTTTGTGAATGTCGTACTGGTCCCTTTACTAGTGCTACTATACGTACTGTATACTGGTCGAGTATGCAGGCTAGCTGATGCAAGTGTTGTACTCTCTTTTTTCTGAGTTATTCCGAACATATTTGCTCCAAAACTACTGCAAATCATGTCAAAGTGAACAATTCAGAGTAATCTCATTCATGACTGACTTATTTTAAGCTGAAAGTGCAACATTTATAAAAGATACTTCTAAAAACAGACGACTGGTAAAGAACTTCAAGAAGATTTGCCTCATATCATTACTGTTGTATACAGTATTAGCGAATTTGGATTTCAGTAGCGCACATAGAACACACTACCATGCTATGCTGCCTTCTGAAAACTGCCTAGTATCGTTGGCTGTTTCTAAATACAACTACTTTACTACTATCGACCAGTGTACTACATTGGAAAGTGGCTAACCGGCTGAACCGGCTTACCTATGCATTTCAAATTGTGAAAATTAGGTTGAATATGTCTGCAATGACTAGGAACGTTTTGGATTTTTTGGGGGGGAAAAAGTGTCCGCTTCAATCGTTTTACGGTACTGTACCACCCAATAAGAAGGCACTCGTATGGTGACTGTACCGTAGGAGTTGACTAATGAATGCTACGATGCACGATATAAATTGGTTGCTATTTCGCTTTCAATCGATGTCGACAAGGTAAGAGAGAAACTTATTCTTGTCTATTTTGCTCAATTCGTCTATTCTATTTTTAATCCTTGAAACTGGGCGAGGCACACCGTTTTGCAGCGCAGCTTGAACAAAGTGATTGATACAGTACAGCAAATGCGAATAGTAATCCAACATCATTGACGTGATTATTGTACGTTTTGGACGTTCTTTATTGCTAAAATTAATTTTTTTAAGACTAGAAGCATTGGTTGATGGCATTCGTGCATTAGCAAGAAACTTACCAACTTTATACTTGGGTTTTTGAGACATTTTTAGAATTTGGCTCAGCGAGGACAATAAACTCTTCAGCAAGACACGGATGAAAAGAGATCTGATTTATGCACGCGGGCCCTTTTAATTGATGCAAAAGTACTGTACCATACTAGCGGTGTACAGTACTGTACACCATACTGAATAGTACAGTACAGTACTACTATCTACAGTCGTATGACGATGTACTACTGTATGGGTAAGAGAATACACTAGTCCCAAGGGACAGTGTACAGTGTACAGTACATTCAATTGGTGGAGACGGGCGTCTGGAAAAATTCCCAATTCAATACGGTAGTCAGGACTTTTGTTGTACTGTACAGTATACTGTACTACAGTATAGAGAGGCTGTATTGTGCTGTAGCATGGACCACCTTTATTTACAGTACCTTTATGTAGACCAGTGACTTATCTTGACACTAGTAGTACAGATCCTGTTAACACGGTACAGTACAGTACAAACCCTGTTCCCACGCTACAGTGCTGTACTGTACTGTACACTACTAGTACGGTACAAAGCCTGTTCCACGCTACAGTACATTGTACAGTAGCGAGTTCAAACGAATTAGATTTAAAGTTCATGATCGAAATGGAAAAAACTTTTTGTCATCATTTTGAAGTCATGGCTGTCGCCAGACGGTGGACAAAAGGAGGCCACTGTCCAGTTGATTGGACAGCAGTAAATACTGTACAGCTTTGACGACATGGAGTACTACTCTCTCTCTTTTCTACTGCTAGTCATTGTTACTGTACGAGTATGCTACTGTACATACTCTAGTCTACTTGATGATCATCATACACAAACCCGTTTGACAGGTTACCATGGACGAACATGGAAAGAAGTTGACCATGTGTAGTTGTGTACATAAAGCCTGATAACGCCTCGGCAAAAGAGCCTTGCTTAACATAGGCCATACTGCAGGTTCTTCTACAATCACTAACAACGTCGTTAAAACAGGATACTCTCCGGTTATCCCTGTTACCACTGTACGTACTTGATACTGCGCTACCAACATATAATCATGCTGTCAGCGTAGGCACAAGTTAGCGCTAGGGAAAACAATATGCGCTACATATTGACAAGATGGACATTGTACTACCAGTAATTGCCTTCTTATTGCAGTCAGTAATTGCAATACTACCAATAGACAGTATTCGTATTTTGCCAATAGGATTGTATCTTTGTACTAGACAGCCAAGTCCAGATGCAATTATAGCATGCAATCTGCCCTATATAAACTATCTTATTATTCAATTACAGTATAAATCTCTTTCCTTAATTGAATTTGATTGTTTCGTAATCATAAACTACACAACTGGGAGTAGTAGTACAGTACAACAATCACTGGTGTAATGCAGTGGCCATGCTCGTCGTTATATCATAAGCAAATTGAAAGTAGAATTTACTAGCACCTTCTTGACGTTAAAAAAAGTTACACATTGAAAAAGCTTGCGTTGAGAATTATTATTTACATTAAATGATACTCAATTTCTTATAGCTTCTACTCATTTTGGCCTCTGGCGGCACAGTACATCTGCGTCTCTGCATATACAAGAGATCCACTCAAATGGGATCACCTTACTCAGAGAGCAAAATAGACTAAGCAAATACGATAACCCTAATACAGATTGTAAATCGGTGAGTAAAGTAAACAAACTGTGATCATTTTGTAGCTACAAACGTCTCTTTCTAAATACCGAAATAGAAACGCATTATCTGCACGCACAATCTTATCCAACAGTCGGCGTAGTACTACATGCAATGCTAATGCCTATTTATACACAAAGATGTGCATTCATTTTCCAAGATCCCTTTTTAACGGGCAATATTTGTACACGTGCTACTAGTCGCCTACGATATATATACCATTCTATAGCATATTCAACAATATCTGCATGTGTACAATCGACACCGCATACTACAAACTTGTCTAATTTGAATCAATTAAAATGCACTCTTCAAAAGCAGACAGTTCTACAATTACCCTACATACTCATCTGTGTCAAGTTGGTTGGAGAAGCAACGAATAGAAATACTGCTAATGCATGTTATTGCATTTGACTTTATTCGAGATCTAATTCGAGTATGAAGTCTGTTTTCAAATACAATAACATTGTAATTGATAATCGACATCTTACGTTGAAACTATACAATTGCACTGTTTTTACCATAACCCAACAGCTTACTAAAAAAGAAAAGGGAGAGGCAATGCAGGCTAGTGTAGTATTCTCAGCATATCGATGTGGCTTTATACAAGACATTGTCAAGACCGTTTTCAGAAGTAAAATCAACAGCTATGTCAAAAAGGAAAATTCATGACATCACAATAATAAAAGGAATTACACTGGATAGCCTATATCTGTTCTAAGGGATATTCAATTAGTATCTTTCTTTGTTCAAGGGTTAATGATAGCCACATAAAAAAATTCTCCCTATGCAATTTTAGTTTCTAGCTTTAGCACACTCAAGTTACCATATTACTACCGCTACTATGATTGTACCTCGTACTTTACTATACAGATACTAACATTAAAATCAATCATAGTAGGCAGCAATGTCAAATACTGTCAAAAAGAGAAAAGAACTACTACCACTTTCGGGTGTAGTGGCCTCTCACTCGAACACATTAATGTATCAAACTGAAAGCAGTTGACAGTGTTTTAAGAAAAGAGAATTAAAAGTGTCAATTAGATGGTAATAAAGTTCTTTCAATAAGAAGTAATTAGGATCTGAGGCAACAATGTATATAAATTACATCCAACAAATGCTTGATAGCACACCTAATATCTCTTAAGTAAATCATTTTACATTCGCTAAGCCAGAGTACAGGCCGGTGTCGAGAGCAGGTTCATAACTTCCATGAAGTACTTAATTGGATACTTCTTACAATAACTCATACTGTCTCAGATGCATTCTCTGAATGATATCACGACAATCATTGAAGACTCTTCGAATATTTTCGGTATCAACCGCACAAGTAAAATGCGGATAGCAGTAATGTTTGCCTTCACCAGTTGCTGTGCTGATTCGCTAGAATGGTTAAGAATATAGCCCATCAGTATTCTACAAGCTAGACATCTTTAAGAAAAACTAGTAAAGAATCTATAACTTTGCAAACGACATACTAGGAATGCATCTCTGATAAAGTATTTAGCCCTTTTAACGTTTTCATCATCTCCGGGTTCAGTTGTTGCTATAAATAAAAATTATCAAACCAAATTATAATGATAAACTGTCAAAACATCATAATTATTCTATTGTAACCCATTCGCATAAGAGAGGATCATATCGACTATTTATACATACCATCAGTCGGAGTTGTATAGCGGCTAAATTCAGAAAAATAATCCTCAATCTTTGACCTTCCAGCTCTGACTTTTTCCGCCAACAAATCTTGTTTATTTAAAAACAAGATAATCGATATCGTTTTCAACCATCTAAGAAGGAAGCACAAGGTTAATATTACAAAATTAGACAATTGCTACAACAAGGTTACCAAAAATGCTCAACTTACCTATTATTCCATATCGTTTGGAAAAGCTCGAGCGATTCTTTAAGACGATTCTGTATATTGGTAGCAATTACATACAATCACAAACAGTTATGAAAATTATAAGCAAGGCAGAAAGAAAACAAATGTAGAATATAGACAGTGAAGGTTACATTACCTGACTAGGATCTTCTCGCAATACAAGATTATAACTACTACAAGCCACTACAAAAATGATAGCAGTAACATCTGAAAAATAGTAAACAGTAGATAAGATGAAACTTCAGTTAGCACTTTCAACAATCAACGCTGTTTTCCAATTTTCAAATTATTTAGTCGATTCAAGTTAAAAGTGCGGTAATCCATAAAGCACACATTACAATTACCGTTAAAACACTGAATCCACTTTCTTCGCTCGTCTCTCTGGCCACCAACATCAAACATACTATATAAATAAATCAACCTTGTTTTAGATGATGTTTAACAACTTTCAAATTAATCTGTCGTTCAGAAAAATTTCAAAACACTACAGACAATTTTATTGAAACGTACTGAAAGTTGACTCTTTCAACTTGAAATCTTGTTTCTACAATGCCAGACGTAAGTACACGGCAACGAAGCACGTCCTACAGTGTAGTAGTAAGTAGTTCAAATATTTAATCCAACTGGGATAACAAGTTATCTGTTACGAAAATCTTGCAATAGAATCGGCAATGGTAGAAGCTATACAGCACACTAAAACCGCGCGATACCCATCAATGCATAGATAGATACATTACGTAGGATGATACGAACCTGATCGGTAGGTTGATAATCGGGCAGCTTAACAACGTCTATTTTATCGAGAAAACTGAAAAAATAAAGAAAAAAATGAAGTCGTTTCTAAACCTCTGGTGTGCATTACTAACGTAACTCGTCGCACAATTAACTTGAAAAAAAAAGTGAAATTCGCCTAAACGTGGAAACATATATATATATATAAGTGTATATATTCAATGGAGAACATTTCAAGCAAGGGTCACTTTCTGATTTGTTGCTTTCATACAATGTATGTTATATGTGAATATACAGTACGTTATTGTTTTAAAAGTAGTAATGCTGCCGACGCCCTATGTTGACAAGTTGCCTCATAAAATGTTGAATGGATTTAAATTTTGGGGAAATTTTGTACAAGATAAAATAAATTGCACGCACAAATATAAAAGATAAAATTAATAGCAAAACTGGACTGCATCTTCGCGTCATCACTATTGTTTCATTGGGCAATGAACGAATACCAAACAGCACTGCACCATATAGTGTAACGTTTAATTATGTACAGAATATTACTTTTCTTCTAAATACAATAGTTAAAAAGTTTAAACATTCGCGTACTACTTTAATTTAACTAATGGTGGATGTTACAGAATCTTGTAGTACAGTCCTTTCACGCAAAGTCGATCACTTTACTGTATTACATTTTAATAACAAATTATTTTGAGTGTATGCTACAATCTGATACTAATACAGTATAAATTAAAATTTATTTGGTAGAAGGCTTCTTTTGAACGTAATATATGTTTAAATAAAACAGTATTACATCAGAGATTGTCAAATATCCGTAGATGAGACTTGCAAAAAAAAATAGACTTAAATGTCATTAAAAACTACTAATAACTTACTATTTAGCACAATCGATTAATTGATATTCGTTCGATCGTTCGTAGCACTGTTGTACTCCTTGATCTTTCCACAATTCTTTAGTGTGTTCGAAGAATACCTGTTTATAAAAATTATTAAAATCATTGATTGGACGAGTAAGATCATTCTATGGCGTCGAAGTCTGTTACAACTCAGACTATAATATAGCAGAGAACAGAACTGTAGACAATCATCTTCGCCGTTCGCAAATAGCGCAAAAACGCGTTGATCATAACTTTATTTACTCTACACACACTGTACGTACAGTATAATAATATTATTATCAATCTATAGCTAGGGCTTATTTTATTTTCAAATCAGATTTATAACCCGTAGAAACTTAGTTACAAAGATAAAAATAAAAGTAAAAAAATTGATCCAACCCAAGTAATTCTACAGTAGTACATGTATTAACACATTGTGAAAGCAACTTTAAACTGTAACTAGCAAAGGATAATTTTTCAATGTCATCGTATAGCGTAGACAAACCATACTGTACTTTCACTATCTCTGCCCATGTAAACTAGAGAAATAATATAAAAGACCCACCAAGATTGCCGGGCATTCAGTAAACGCTTAGTTATCTTGGTAGCTGTTCGATATTAGAGAGCAAACTAATTTTACAACTATTTTAATAATCTTCCAGTATACGCGTACGTATTGGCATGGACTACTGGAAAAGAATGGAAGGTTCTTTTCTGGTTAGTAATGCATGGTGGTATTGGATACGGTGTATAGAAATATCTTAGAATGTTACCTTAATTAATATAGATAGATTTTACTAAGATACTGTATAGTAACCAAGGGTCGACTTCATTTTTTCTATACGAGAGTAATAAAACTAGTGAAAGCAATGTACTCAGCAACCCAGCAACGAATGAATAAACCTTTTATTGCTATTAACTATTTGCCAGAATGCAAACTTCCGATTTCTCATTCTTGTAATTCACTACGAATAGAAGATATTATAAAAGGATAGAGTGTAAAAAAAACGACAACCGCGATAAATGGTCGTCATAAGAGGATGGCAACGGCGGATAGAAATATTTGTCATTGAGGAATGATGTTTTAATAGTCATAATATGACGACCGGAGCGTAAAGATGCGTAGATGAAGTTTGAAATAAAAAAAAAATTGAATAATACGAAGAAAAAAAACACTAACCATGTGACGCTAAAGATAGAAACTTATAGCAGCGTATCATTTCATTTGAGGCGTAATAAATAATGAAACGGACGCTCGCGAATACGTAGTTGTTTACTAAAGTATGAAATACAGCCGCTTCTACTAAAACTATTGTCACAATTGTTTTCTTTCAAAAGGTTAGAAAAAAGAGAGTAAAAAAGTTTGAAGATAGAATGTTTGGATATGTTGTATTATTGCAAACGCTTGCACAAGATATCGTCTTTTTTGGATATGACGACAACTAGATCAATTAGTCAATATGAAAAAAATGTCGACGTGGCTATAAAACGATCAAACGATGATAAAAAAAGGGCAATTAAATGAGAAAAATTGTGACGGAGGTCAAAGCAAGCGATCATTTTCTTTTTGTAGTCTTTTCATTTTTCTTTTGATGACAAAAGAGAGTCAGAAAGAAAAAATAACCGCTCGTTATTTTAGGTGCGCCACATTGGACAAAACGAATTGAAGGAAAAAAATTCGTCATGTTCATCTTGATCATCAATCAGTTGTAACATTTGAATATGCTTGACTTACCGGTGGATAATTAAAATCGTCAGCTGAAGCGATTTCAGTAATATAATCAACACGGAATTGGTTATTAAGGTTAGCTAAAGTACATGGCGGAGTCAAAGTTCCCATCGCGGTGACGATGGCCTATGAGAAAAATTGCAGTACAAAATGGTAGACAAGTTATCCATATGAATAAAAATGCAACATTGATGAGCAAGTAAAGTATTGATGTTGGATGAAAAAGAAGTAAAACAAATACGTGATTGTCGATTGAATTTCAAAAAGAATTATGGTAAAAAAGGGGAGAAAAAAAAAAATAAAAAATAAAATAATCCATTCCTTCCATTATTGTTCCGTTGGAAAGACTACTCTCAACGAGTAGTGTTTCCAACCATACACTGTCATCTGTATGGTTGGGGTTTTCTCTTCGATACTACAATGTCTTATACAAGTGCTTCATGTTGATACTGTTTTAACTCTAATTTTAGTATTTCTTGACAAGCTATCACCAGAATCCCATCTTCCAGTGGTGGTGTACCAAACAAAGCTTTCATGTCATACGACCTAATCCAGCCTAGTGTTGAACAAGTTGGAGCGCATCCTATACAAAAATCTATATTGCTCGCTCTTGTTACGGTATGATGACAACAAGAACGGCGACCAAGTTCAACATCACTTTCTACTCCATTGATACGCGGGGACACACGTTATGCAAGTTGGATTGGACAGTAAAGTAACGCATGTCAGTGTGTAGTCTTAGTAGAAATACTAGTCGACAATTGCACATTCAATGTACTGTATAGACAGGGTCAAGACGATAAGGACACTGGTACTATTTTCCATTCTGCATTTTTATACTTGTTGATAGTAATATTGTATACCCAAGAGAGACGCCTACTGGACATGATAAGATAAAGTAGAGTATGAAACACTATCCTATACTATCAACGGGCGTACTGTACAGTCTACAAACTTCTTGTATGAAAATACATTCTAGTGAAGAATGTCTCTGTGGATTTTTTATTTTATCCCCAGTTTTTTACATCAAGTCTAAAATACGCCATTCTACAAACCACTCAACTAGTTCAATTGAACTACCATTCGTTGAAAATTCAACATTGAACTGTAATTAACAGGCTACAATACCCGATATATATCTCTCTACATGTACAAGGCTAATGTATCAATAAGCATCATACTGCAATAAACGATCAGTGAGAAAAAACATGAAATTAAAAAATAATTTCCAACTTACCACGATAGAATCGCGAATATTCCTTTTGATATCCGCTATTTTTTGTCGTTTCTCTCTATATAGATCAAAAAGAAACCAACTATTAATTACAGTAAGGTAAAGTAGAAGCTATTTTAATATACAAGAGCAAGGAAAGAAACAGTTGCTAGTGGTCAAGCCCTTTCCCATCCAATTTTTCTTACAGTATTTGTCGTATTATATTACTCTACATCTTGTACTCACTCTTCATTAAAGCCGTCAACGTGAAGTATTCTCATCTGTTTGACTATAGTACTCTTACCAGATTCACCGGCACCTTCAATAAATAGCATAATCATTATCAAAATAGGATAGAGTGTGTTATAAAAGTTAACATTTTAAATCTCTTTCGATAAAATTCCAATAAGTAAAAATTGAGAAAACGGGTGACAGCGGGGATGAGAATTACGTTACCAAGTAAGAGCAACCGATGTGTCGATCGATATGCAGCTTTATCTTTCTTGAGCTGCCTTTCGATGCGTGTATTTTCTTTCTTTTGAAGCCTCGAATCCTCAGTTTGATTGCCGAAACAACCCATGGCATGCGATGGTAGCTGCGGCTACAGCTCGCTACCAAGCGCTAGTTTAAATAAGTAAATTAAAGCGAGGTAAAGCCAAAGAAAACCTCGTTCACAGACGTAGTCGTCGACACGAAAAAAGGCGAGCAAGTTAGTAACACTAATAGCACAACAAACAAGTCCTAGGCGGATCCCTTACAGCATTATGGGATCGACTAAAAAATAAAAATCCTTGGAGCCACGTGATTTACGTCATATCTACAGTACAGAGTAGGAATAGTACTGTAAACGGTCATACTGTGCTCAGGTAAAAGAAAGAAAACAATGAACAGTACAGTACAATCCTGTATTGTGCTGTACTGTATTGTACTGTACTGTGCAGTACTGTACTGTACTGTACAGTACTGTAAAGTGGAAAAATGGAGCTTTTTTCTTGTGCACACTACTGTACCGTATTGTGTACAGTAGGACGCGGTGCAGTTACTAAGAGAAAGCTTCTTCTGTTCTGAACTGTTACAATGGACAGTATAGTCAGGGTACAGTACTATGTACTGTGCAGTACAGTACAAGCATACTGTACTGTAGGAAAACAGAGGACGCGCGCCTAAATAAATTACAGTACTCTATGCCCTCCTCAAACCTTTTTGCTGTTTAACAACGGATCAGTGCAGTACAAGTGCAGTACAGTACTGTACTGTACTGTACTGTATGCCCTCTTCAAACCTTTTTGCTCTACAGTATAACAACGTATCACTACAGTACAAGTGCAGTAGTGTACTGTACACTATACTGTACACTGTACCGTAGTCATACAGTACTGTAGATACTGGTTACCGTAAATATCAATACTGTCAGATGTCATCATTTTCTAGATATCGATTCATTCTTTAGTTGACTAAAAAAGAAAATACGCGTACACCACAGTATTTGCTCGCACAGAGAGCAAGCATAACCGCTAATGAGTAGTACTCGCTGCTATAATAGTCAAGTTAATATTGTGCTTCTTCTCCATACTTCATTAATCATTTTAAGTTATATACAGTATACTGTACTGCAGTGAGAACGTCTTGGCCAACACTTTACTTATTGCTACTTTTGAATTCAAAAATATTGAATAATACCAGGGTATAGACTACTCGATTTCATATTGAGCAGTCCATTGATATTTTCAAAGTACGTACAGTCATTGTTACAAACTTATCGTCAATTTATATTCGTATTAATAAGGATCTGGTATCATTCATTCGTTTATTGTCCCTTTTCAGAAATAGAATATAATTTTTCGGTTTTAATAGTACTGAACTGTATGTATACCGCAGTGTACAACACTTGATCGTTGCACTAATCACGTAATTTAGTAACTTGAACTGTAGTCCATGGTACTGTATACTGTACAGCACAACACAGTAGATCCGTTCATAATAACCCCGATTACTCAGATACTCGGCGTCAAGACTCCTAGAATACAGTATCATCCTTTTAAGCTATTTACGCTGAGTATCTGAGTGAGTAATCGAGGTTATTATGAACGGGGCCGTACAACAGAGTTACCGCAAGCTTGTTCGGTCATAGAACTACTCATTTCTAGAGGTTCATGACACTGTACACTGAGCATACAGTTGAATGCTGTACTGCACATTGATAGGCTCTATTTACCCGATTTTTAATTGGATCTACATTGTATACTGTACAGGACTTGGCAGAGGTAAAAAGAAAGAAAAATGGAAGGAAAATGATTCAAAATTAGATTAAATAAAAAGTTAGCACTCTACTGTACTGTAGTAAAAGAAAGAAAAACCTTCTACAGTACTGTATAGTGTACAGTACAGTATAATACTGTACACAGTACTGTACTGTACAATTACTGTCAAAGAAAGAAGTGTACAGTACAGTACGTACAATAGAAATGGAAGGGATTTTTTCTTCTTTCTTTGAACCTTAACCAGTACAGTACCGTACAGTACTGCACAGTACTGTACTGTACTGTATGCACTACTATGCAGTACAGTACAATGCATTGTGAAATGGACCAGATCGTACTGTAAACCAGGGACTTTGCACATTCAAAAACAGTACTGTACACGTACTGTACTGTGGAGAGTACTGCACGTGCGTATCGCATTCGAGTTCACTCATTGATCCGCTTTTGGCGGTGCCGTTTGCTGATCACGGTGTTCAGCAATCGAGATTGGAGACTTTTTATTTATTTATTTATTTATTTATGTATTATTTATTTTGTCTTTTATTTTATTTTATAGTAGTAGTTCCTGTCTGTACAATCTGTTTATAGATCTGCGTGCATCTGTATATTACAAAGTAATTTTAGTGACTACGTGACTTCTGTAACAGATTCACCAGTGGCATAGTTATACGAGTACACGCGTATATACTGTATATATTATTATATTATATACACATGCATATACTGTACAGTATATGCAGTAATTGTTTCCAAGAGTATTTGATCACTATTACTATTTTTTTCTCTCTGTTGACCTAATATTAATCGTCACAATACTTGTACACTGTACTTTACAGCATACTGGTACAGTACTATAAAGCACAATGAAAAAGGCTTGTACTACACTCCGTAGAACTCCATGGCACTCGATTAAAAAGTAACAGAACTGAGTAGCGGAATGATTCATTCTTTTTTTAATATAGAAAGAAAAGTATCTTATTCAATAGTGACATCATTTCTGCGTGCGATTTATTCCAATACTACAGTATATACCCAATCTGAGTGTCTATGATTCGCGACTCAGATTCATTTGGTCATCGCTAGCAAAAGTGATGTCATGCTTGAATAGAGCGCAAGCACTCGGGTGACATTATTTTGCACTGCATGGACAGACGCTTTACAGCAATAGAGGCCCTGTGTTCTTATACATAGCTCATGACTACTACAGTATTATCAGTCAATATAACTACTACCGTGTGCTAATCAAATGTCCACAGCTTCAAGCAGTAAGTACAAATTGCGCTAACCGATACCAAACCCGTTGTACTGTACAGTGTACAGTACACAAGATTACAGTACAGAGCACTCATGGTCTACAGTACACTGTACTGTATTGTACGCAAGTCTGTGCCATCTGAAAACTCTTGACGAAATCGATCCAGTCCGGCAGAATCTGTAACCTAAAAATTGCTGCATAAACACCACCAAGCTCAATCAAATAAATCATCACTTGCTTTTGTAACTGACAATATCCATGTATTCTGCCTGCTAAAGGTTGGTATGAAGTTGCTTTAGTATCCATGTTTTAGTATCACTGACTGTCGTTGCTGTTAGTAGATTGCAAAGATACAGGATAATAAATAATAGTATGCAATGTGTCAGGCATGCATTCTGCACGTAGCGGCATAATGCAGCCTCCTGTGGTTCTACCAGATCATAGCCACGCGCTATTTATTTATTTATAAAACTTGTAATGGCATCCATCAAAACTCTTTTCTATTCTGTCGCTGTCTATCTTCAATATTCAGCTAGAGTAAAATGGTCATATCACGAGTCAATGGAATGCACAACCAGACAGTCATAATACTGTACACAGTTGTAATCGTTTCATTATTATTGGAGATCATGTTTTGTTGATTGCAGGCTGTAAACGATCTTGGCATTGACAGACGTCGCCTGCTGTAATAACATACCAGTATTATTATTATCATACTCGTAGAAAGGTTGCACAATTTTACACAGGATAATATTATTTCAAGGCGGAGTAATAACTTTGCCAATGTAGTGATTCACTAGAGACAACAAAGACTCCGTCGACGACGGCAATAATAAGAATCATAACTGGTAAACAATTCCTTCAATATCAATATAAAATCATCAGCCAACATACGAGCTACGAGTGTATGTAAATTAAAAAATAAAGATACATTTGCAGCTTGAACTACTATAGTACAGTATGGGACAGTAGTAATGGATGAATGAATACAATTTTACTCCTGACATTAGCTAGTCGATTGCTAGCATATGTAGCTTACTTTTGAAAACACTAGCCCTTTCCATAATGCGAAACACAATACGATACGATATAAAACCAAGAATGATACAAACCTTTCAAATTATTTTTAAAAACTAGACATAGCTAAATCAACGATCATTTTGATCCAATTAATGCTTACTACTATACGTACATTGTTGCTTTGCTGGTCAGCAATGATTACAGACTATCTCGTTATTAAATATTTTATGCCTTTACATGACGCATTTTTTAATTTCTTACGCAGTGAAGCGTTTCCTTGGTAGTGAATAAAAAGTAGTTTAAAGTTTTAAAACGATGTAAATGGTAATGTATGTTTATGTTATCGATGCAAAAAAAAGCGATACGTTCACACCGTCAATAAAGCAAAATGCAGGGGATCTACTACTGATACTGTAGATTATAAAAGGTCTATACGATCAGCATAGACTGGTATAACCGAAGCACTGTAGAAGAGCTGAAACTAATAGATATTATGTGACGAATGACTAAGTTGCTATTAAGAAACATCAGCAGTAACTTGTTGATTCTTCAGTAGGCCTAAACTTTATAAAATTATGGACATATCAGGTGACTATAATAGCTAATATCTTCACGTCTGGCTTTATCGAATAAGTTGGAATAAGTATATCTTTTGAGTTGCCATAGTAATTTTGTCCTCATTCTTTCATGTCACAGTTCTAAAGATTGCAAGCGCTAGTATTAACTGTTTTATCGAACATTCCTTTACAGCAGCGATACATGAGTAGATTTCACCACTCAAGAAATGTTTTAAAGGTTGCCAATATTCCAAGATTACAATCATTTTAATAATTTAATCCTGCTTCCTGTATACCTAAAGAAGCTTTTCGTTTTATGGAAATAGACAATTCTATGTATTAATTGAATTTTATTGTAAGAAATATGAAATTTCATGAATGCCGCGGACTTAATATCTCACTTTCAAATGATGGAAAAGCTGCTGCTCGAACTCATGGGTTTAGCAATGGTATAGTGTTTAGTAGTAGACCCATCAGACCCAATGAAGTGTTTACTATTTTAATAGAAGAGATACAACCGGATTGGTCTGGCAATTTACGTTGTGGTTTCACATGGGAAAATATCGATAGGCATTTTGAGGTACCTGAGTATTCATTACCGGGCATGACCAATCAAGGCAAAACTCGTGTTATTGCATTGCCAACAAAGATTGCAATCTCGGACGAACTGAAGGTAAAGATATATGAATAATTATATACTTATCAGTAATAGTAGCTATTGCAAGTGTATGTAATACTATAATATAGATGGAATTTTAATATTACTAATAATGAAAGTACAATGAATCATTTTATATCATATAAAAATTTTTCATTGCTTTATATCATAATATGATACGGACATCTATGAACATCATGACTCAATCTAGACATACAATTTTCTAAATATTACTAAATTTATGTAAAGGATGAAGGATCTCCTAAGCATGTGTTACTAGATGAAGGCACAACAATTGGGTTAAAGTACAACTTGAAAGGCCAAATTCATTTAATCATCAACCACACAGATTTAGGGCCGGTGGTTCAAAACGTACTTATAAATCAGGATGTATATGCAATCGTTGATATTTATGGCTCAACAACAAAAGTTAAAGTATTATCACCTGAAGGTACTTGTAATACTACACGTACTTTATGACGTGACGATAAAATATCTCTCAAAAATTAAATCCGTAATTAATTACTGTATGTACAATACTGATGCATTTAAAACATTTCAGTGCAGATATAACAAACTGATTCTTAATCTTAACCTACTACTGCTTCTAGAAAAAAATAAATTTAATATATTAATACTTAAAATCATTTATTAATTTTATAGTACAACCACTTCATGAGATATGTACGGTGGCGTTATCTCGTCTGGTACCAAAAGCTAAGATATCAGCTTTACCATTGCCGCGGAAATTTATTAAAAGTTTGCAATCATCGATGTAACTATAACGGAGAAATTCTACTGTAACTCGGAATAAATCATATATCAAGGGTAAATAAAATTTCGGATTTTCAACTTAAAATGATAAAAGGTGCATAATTGCAATCAATCCAAACTGTACTGTGTATATATCAAGTACGACTTGCAAATATTATAATGCTGAACTTTGTCAAATTTATAATATAAATGTTATAATGTAATTTTATCAGTGTAATAAATTTTATAGGAACATAGCCCAGAGCTTACAAAATCATGTTATATTCATCCATGACATTTATTGTACCACCAACACAACAAGCGTTGTTTGATGACGGCTATACTGTATTTTATCTAATTAATAGGATTGTGTAACCATTTTTGACCCTATTTGATTAATCTTCATTTTAAATAAGTAAAGGCGAAACGGAACTTATTATTATTTTGATTCAAATAATAAACACCTCAAAAATATTTTATATCTTCACCTGTAATGCTTTTTATAATTAATTAATAAACAGAATTTTACTCTTTATTAATGCAGTGTTTATTATTTACATCAACATTTTATCAAAGGAATCTCTAAGGATCAATTAAATTATATAGTAACCGTTAGCTTGGATATTTTTTAACAGCAGTATCTAGAAGGAAAGCATACAAATACTTACATATATATATATATGTATATATATATTTATACATACAAAATTTCAGCTATAAAGTACTACCGATCCATTTTGTTATTCAAAACCTTTTCGCAATTGACGATAATGGTAAAGTTTATGAAACGTTGTATCACGTATTGGTATTTATTAAAAGGTTCATCAAGTGTTGAGGTTTAATTTTTAGATAACTTACTACAAGTTTATGTTTTAGTAACACAGTAGTGCAAATTACATAGGTATTGCCGAACGTAGCACTTACTCATGTAAAACGGTCATATCAAAATCAGCTCTCCAATTTACCGAGTTTTTGAATTTTTACTTGATATTCATAGAGTTTTAATATTATTTTGTTGACAACTTCGCTATCTCTGATAGTAGCACAAGAATCCCATTTTCCCGAGTAATTAGCTACGAAATAAGCACAGTGTACTAAATTAAGAAAAAGCTAAGATGCAATAATAAAATAATATAAAAAATGTCATCAATACCTTTCCACAGCCTAACTTGGCCGTCATCGCCAGACGATGCCAAGACAGTTCCAGTTATATTCCACTCAACTCGCCAAATCTAGAATAAAAATACACTAATTTTATTAAAGGTACGTGTACAACAAAGACAGAGCCCTTGATTGCTGCAATGTATAGGACTAACCTGTGATTTATGTTTCTCCAATGTCGCTACTTCTTCAACATTAAATGAGTCGCTCTGATTCTTGTTAAAATTATCACTGATGATAATAATAATAACAGCAATTAAAGCGTCTGCATATATGCGTATATCACTAATTCACACCAGTGTTGTTTTATTGCTTATAGTCAGTAAATGAATACTACATACATATTACAATAAAAATTTGCTATTATTAACGTAGTGACCACTTCAGCAACAAATGTACCGTCCTAATTATTATTTTAGATTACCCTTTGGATAAATATTGATTTAAAAGAGTAAATACTTCTTAAATATCAATTTTAAGTGTATACTTTTGTATGACTTGCAATTAAATCTTATAGTATCATATACTGGTAGGGTGGTAAATTATAATTGCTACCGAAATAATCACTAACATACTAGCAAAATAATTTTTTGCACACGCTATACGACGTAAATGTAATCCGATTCGTTACGATACTCTTAACTAAAATTACGACTAACTTGTTCGGGATTTTGTTCATTACAGTATCAGTACAAACTTCGGTCACAGAAATAGCAATATATGATTTCATCGGATTGTATTGTTAACATGATTTCGTAACATCGAGCAATACTTACTCTGTCGGATAAAGTCTAAATATGTGCACGTTTCGTGCAGCGATTGCTAACTGAAAGAAAGATCTAAAAGAGCAAAAGATTTTATTATTACTCGACAAAACTACGAATAGTCTTCAGCTACCACAATAACTATAACGTATTTTCACCTAGCCATGAAATAAAATGCATAGTTATATAAAAATTTTATCATACCTCCCCATATGTGGAGCGAATGCAACATCACGCACCGGACCAGGGACAGAAATAGGACTAACAAGTTCTTTTAAGCCCCTAAGTTTATTGACAAAACTAGTTAATCACCTTTTGGACCATGATAAATCGCCGTCGAAATTACTGCAACAATATAAAAGACCTGCTTATATAGTAACTAGATAACTTTTCTTACTTTGGCTCTTCCTGGATGAACTTATAGATGAAAACTTTCGAAATACCGCCTGATACAGTATCGCTGCCCACAGCAACAAGCGGAGGTGTGATTCTTTGTCCAATTCAAAGTAGTCGTGTTATAAAATGTTTCATTTATTACTTACAAGTAATATTTCATCGAAGAAAAACAGTTAAGAAACAATTAAAGTCCCCAAATACCTTGATGGATTCCAAGAGAGACAGCTACAGCTAACCTTGGTATCATACCTATACTAAAATTAGGAAAAATAACAAATCATCGATAAATGTCAGTCTCAAAAATCTCATGCCATACTATAATTAAAATAAAATAGTACTACCGAATAATCTGAGTATAACAATAAGAAGTTGAAAATTATGCTTTTAATTAATTCAAAATGCTAGATCTGCCGCTGTTACAAGAATTATTAACTTTACCGATCGATAAAGGTTCATCTCAGATATGTCCGGAAGTTCGCAAATATAAACCCAGCAATCGGCTGAGCAAAAGCCCTATGAAATATTACATTGTAAAAAATTCGATATTTTCACGCAAGTAGGCGTCGTAACGTAGCGTACAGTATTAACTACAATTATTTAATTACCAGTATCAGTCCAAGGTAATGCGGTGCAAATTTGACATCGGTGACAGATGCTTTACATTCAGCAAGGGATAATTTTTTTTGCTGTCAAAAAATATGATACCGTTCATTTTAAGCAATCATTGCATGATTTACTGTATAATTTTTCCATTCCGTATATTAAAATATCCCATACCCAGGTATTTATTTGCTCTCCTGAATCCCTTCTAGCCAAGCCTATTCACAATAGATATTACAAAGGTTTAAGATATCTAGGCATACAATACTAGCATAAGTCACCAATTTCTGATGTGATTTTCTAACATCATCTGTCATATCTATAGTATACTATCAGTAATCTATAAAATTTAAAATTATTTAAGACGACGAAAGAATCTACCAAGCTACTGTAAAGCATAGCGCCAATCTCCTCAAGAAATGAAATTGCTGTTTTTCACATCTTTATTAGATAAAGATACATAAATCAATAATACTAAAAGACCTATTTCTTCCCAAATAGCGATGCTTTTATCGAAGGAACAAGTAGCAATAACATGTCCGAATTCTGGGTGTGCCCAAACTACTCTCCATATATTGGAAGGATGTGCCTAAAATTTTAAGATTAGAAAATATATTTTTCATACCAACAATTATGCCTTCATTATGACCATAACTATCACTATATAACATGTAAATAATTTATAATTTAGTTCTTTCAAGATCATGAAATGTACGTGGCACTAAGAAGCTGCTGCAATCAGTAAAATGGTTCTATCCTCGTAGAAAATATAATAAAATAAGCGACGAGCACCATAAGCTATATATTTAGCTTAAGGATTTATGGCTCTTAAATTACAGCCTATTTTTTGTTAAGAAGTTCAGCTAAGCTGCAATGTAGCATATTAAATCTATAGAATTGGCATAATTCTTAAGTTATAAACATCTGGTACACCACAACACGGTAGATGTAATATCTCAAAAATTATTCGATATATGTAAAAGAGATAGAATTGTGATGTGAATTATGCTATATCAATATCATTTTTATTTACCTTTAAGTGAAAGGTTAAACCTTAATAGTTATTTATGGCATTGATAATTGTTGTCATAGTAGTATCTAATTAGAAGACTGTAGCAACATAGGTATACTAATAAGCTTAAGAGTCATTAGAAATACTACACAGACCTTAAAGACAGCATACGTACTAATAAGAAAATGATACCAAATGCAAACGGACTTTTAGCAATTTTAAACAAGCATAGCGCACCTAAAAATGATGCATTAAGATACATACTGTACGTAAATTAGTCTTGTATTTCATATTTGATTGAGAGGTATCAAAACTATAGCCATATAATGCAGCTTACTAACATGACCGCTACCCATTATAGGAATAGTTTAAGATATAAGTAAAGGTGCCTAAAACTGGTTTTAGCAGCCATTGAGATACAAAACGATGTCCCTGTGCTGTACAAAGCAATATAACTGTACTAGTACAATTTTAACTGTACTCAAACTAATTCTTACATTGACGGAATTATACAATACCTGCCAACTAGCAGTCATATGCCATTCGTTATCTTCACCTAGATCCCATATCTAAAGAAACGTAAATTATAAACATTATCGTTAAAGCTATACTTAGCTAAACTACTTGATAAAAGTAAAATTGCACAATAAAATAATACATTTTTACAATACTGTAGCAATTAATAGTTACACTCTATCCTACACTGCAGTAATCTTCTCCTCATGCAGAATGAGAATCGAGTAGAACAAAAAAATTACCCATTTCGTAGTGTTTCATTAACATTAAGCATCACTATATACTACATTAAAGAAAAAATAAGTAGTGTATACTTATATCGGATAGAACTACAAAATTATTATGCAAAAGTTGTCGCTATCGAAAATGGTAAATCACAAGATACATTATACATTAATGGCATCGCAAATAGCCATAAACCAGAGAAGCTGCCCAATACTGTTGACGAGATATTTCAATATACAACATTGTAGGCATGTGAGAGCTAAATTTGTAGCAGTATGGCGGCATTTGTGAATCACGACATTGTCACGTCATGATCATCTTCGCAAGTCATATTTTCAAAATATGCGAAGATTTCGGCCCTCATCAGAGACTCTTCTATTATGTCCCTATAGATAGTTACTCATTTATGGCAAGATACGATATAAACTATACATATGCAGATATCATATTCGTATCAGATTATTACAATAAAGTTAGCTAAACTATTTCTTAATCCTTCATTATGGCACTACTCCAGATACAGTCAATACGTACGTGTTCGTAGGAAACTAAATCACCGGGGTTTTTTTAATAGAAAAATCTCAAATTGGAAATACTGTACAACTTTTCAAGATGTTCCTGTATAGCAGATACGTAGACAGCATATAAGTCCATTTACCAAATACCATAATCTAAAATCATTCTCATCTAGTTATCATACAAGAATATTGACTTGTATTCAAAATTAAGATTCTAGGAATGATTATAAATAGCAATTGAAATTATTGCTAAATGCATACCCAATATACTGCACAGTACTCCTAAACCGATTTACTAACAACATTGTAAAGATATATTCATCTGGTTAATGAACGTGAATATCAGTTTGTATTTATAAAATTGAAACAGCAGAAATAGCTACGTATCCCGTAACGAATATTATAGCAGCCTGTTTTTCAACTGAAATTGCAGAAATAGCAATGGCACTGTAATCAGCAAGATATTCCTTTAATTTTCATTTAATTCAAGGAATATTACAGTAGCTTGCTTTCAAGCTGAGCTTGCAAAAATAGCAAGCAATGGTTATCGTAAATGATACAATATTTTTTGTCATATGTTCCACAAGTTTATTTATAAATCTTCTAAAGTTCTAAAACTTTCATTGGATGCCTGCAGCTAGCTATAAGAATGATCGGCCAGTATTGAATACTACGTGATGGAAATAGGTACGCGTAAAAGAGGAATTGAATTTTGCATGATAGTTCTGTATGTACATCAGATCTAGGTAAATCTATACGAAGAGTCGAATACCCATTGATTTGCGATAATGAATCGATCGAAGTGTATAGTATTTCAGCGAGAGCAATCAGTTGTATTATAATGATGAAAATTGAGCAGGGAAAAAGCGTAGAATCAATTTTACCTTGACCGTTTGATCGCTAGAGCAAGTAGCCATTCGACGACCATTGTAACTATAGGAGACATCGTGAACTAAATCTGCATGTTGTGTGTTAATTTGCCTTACTATACTCAAGTCAGAAACAGAATTAGCCATGGTAACCAGAGATTTGGCTTGATTTTGATATTAATCCAGGTTAAATTGTCTCTAACGCGGGATAAAAATCCAAAAAGTGATGGCTAGAAATGGAGACTCATATGAAAGTTTTTAAATGCACCATCGAATATCGTCACCTCTTCTGTCTGTCCTAATATTACCATAGTAACAGCAAGGTGTGGACTCCCATACGAGCGACTAGGATCGATTCAGTATGGTGTATTTCTGCCATGGCCTATAGTCGCGCTCTATTTTTCCATCCTTACAGTGTAGAGCAATGCCTTTTAGATGATGTTTGAGTAATAGGACTGTACAATACCTTAATTCACCTTATCCATACTATACATAATACAGATACACAGACTACAGCTATGAAAGCCTTAGTCTGACTCTACTCTGACCATCGTCTTCATGCCATCCTGAAGGCCACCCTAGTCGTTAATGTCCTCTTCGCCATCCAATTATGGCTTCTATATTTGTTGCTACTCTCCTCTTTCGTTGGTTTTTAACTCTTTCCTTGTTAGCTGGTAAGAAGAAGAAGCGATCAATAGCAATAAGGATTATTTTTGTAGGCTTATGTCGCTAGTGTACTAGCATACAGCTGTATCATAGTCCTCCCCGACTGTTTATTATTGATTAATTATTTCAATTAATTATGATGTCATTATCTACAAGCTAATTAATCGCCAATTCCAAATATGATTCTAATCCTTATTCGGTGTTGTTGTTGTTGATTACCGGAGAATACTAAAAGACAGCAACAGTTCTTAATAGTTTATATTTAGGAGAAGTTTAGTGTAGAATTGCTAAGATGCTTTATTTCTCAACAACACACCACTTGTATGACTGCTATTCACAACAGGAAAACCAATACTACTTTCCACTTTGACAGTGGAAAAGCTTAGGATTGGCATGATTGTTATCGAGACTTCTCAGCGATATCGCACTGAATAAAATGATATAGAGGATATGAATAGTATAACTTGGGCAATCTTCAATTGCAGTTGTGGTGATGCTTCTATCGTGTACAATTTCCATATCTGCTTGATCACACAATCCATGCTTCTACATTCAGAGTCAAATGTATTCTCTGTTCTGATCTAATGGCTACGATAGATAACTGTTTAAGCTAGAAGTTTATTGATATCCATGTTGTAGCTAATACTTTTATTTATTTCATCCAGTAATGAAAATGGTTGCCTACCTAAGTTACTGTAGCGTAGGATATAAAATACAAAGTAAATGAAGCCATTATGTCGAACAAAGTTCCTATCATTTTTGTATAACAGGCCTCCATTATACACACACATAGGATAATTCAAAGCTCATAATATGTGATAACATGACAGTCTATGCCACGATTTTACTGATTTCCATACTTATTCTATCCAGTAGCAAACCTGCTACTTTCATCCTCATTTGTTGCATGTTGAAAATATTTTCCTATGTAAATTGTCGTAGCATAATAGCGAGTTCAATCATCATGTCCAACAAATTTTCATCATTCTTGATGATGACAAGCCTCTATTGTACAAATTATTATATAAATCAAAAGCATACTTTATTCAGTAGTAAACCTGCCACTTTCAGCATCCGCTGAATATCGAAAACATTCGCCTATGTCAATTATCGTATCATAGTAATGTGCAAAGTGAGTTCAATCATCATGCCCAACGTAAACGAACGATTTTCAACATTGCTTGAATATTGCTAACCTGGTAAAATCATGATAATTAACAAATTGTCTATCAATCTTTATATCTAGCCTCTATTTTACGAATCAATGGATTCTCCGCTTTATATTTCGGATTTTTCCTGGTAATGCCATTCTTACCCAATCCTTCCCATCAAAGCTTTTTTAGTAAGTAAACCGTGTCTTATTAATACATCTAAGAAATCAATATTACAATAGTACTTGTTGATGACTCTATAGCAAGATCATCTATCTAGCATAAAGTACGCTGTAAGCATGTTTAAAATTTTTTATGCAACTCATACAAGGATGTAAGATACTATTATTACATATAATGCAAGGTTTGTACATTGTTGACAACTGATCTAATCTTACACGGTATCAATCATTCTCACCTACCCAAATACTTTACATTTTTCAAATAGGAACATGCAAAACTTAGCTTATTATTTTTCTGGTAGATTTTGAACTAACTTAGCACCAAAAAATTTCTAAATGCAGTAGCTTGTTGAGCTTTGATGTCATCAAAATATATTAAGATTAGTATAAACTATTTGGTCCCAATGACTACCAGTCTGGACAAAAACTATTCACTCATTGACTACTTCTTTTAACTTCAATTTAGAGGGTCCTATTCGAAAATATCTTCTATCTATTTGTGCATTATCCCTTGGTCTTTGCGTTGCTCATATCATCTTTCAAATAGTACTTGCTGCCAATCCTCCCTATGGAAGCATCATCATCGATTGTAAGTCAGTAATATACGGGTATACATACGCAACATATTAGTCGACAACATCTTCAATAATATAATGACTTTATCTTATATACCTATACTTATTAAGATTATAATGTATAATATATTGCTTTATAGGTTTTTGGCAGGAGAGGCTAGCTAGACAAATAGGCTTCAATAAGTAGGAAAATCATCGTTATGCGCTACTTAATTATCGACGAGTATTATTCTTTTCAGTATGATAACTGTTATGACTTATTTAAATCGATATAGTGTTAAATTGAATAGTAGATAGAATTTATATCTAGCGCTTAACCGACTCGATAGTATTGATAACATTGAAACTCTCACGATACTATCATGTATATATATACGTTACAATGACTACAGCGCTCTCCATAAAATTACTTACAGAAAATATTGCAATCGAAATGTGCAAATTATTGCCTTTTTACCATCTCTATTTTACATTATGCAACAGGCTAGGACATAATGTGTGGAACGATATACGTTTACTTGCTCCAGATGCCATTATCTTTATCATCTCTGTAGTAACATTCTTATATTGCCGAAAATTAGCAAATAAACAAGTAGACCAAATTATGCATGGTTCTGATGATGATAGACGCCATGTATATGACAAATTAGACTCATTGGCAACACTAACCTATTCTAAATATGGACACTCATTGAAGAATATCAAGTAATTTATATAATGCTGAAGGCTTTCTGGTATCCTACAGTATAATTGTCATATCATTAATTGTTATTTAACTCTTTCTTGCCTTAGCTCATTCTTTAGTATAGTCTTGCTGTGGCTAACAGGGATTGTACAACCATCGGTATTATCTGCTGTGTACTTTATTACTTTATTAGTGATTGCTACGATCTGGTCTTTTTCGAAAGCTAAGCCAAACTCACGAGAACAATTATTAGCACGTTCTCACACAACAAGGAATCGATCTACATTATTTAGCAAGTTACGCAAAATTTTAATGGTCTACTGTGTACTACATCTAATAGTGCTATATTTGTATCAAATGCAATTTTTCCAAGATGCTGTAGAACCAAAATCATTCATAGCTAGGTATATCATATATTAATATATCATGTAACATGCAATCATTTCATATTATATCGACCACATTTCTAGTTTAGACTAGAATAGATATACAAACAGTTGAATTGACGGTATAATGTATGAGTAATGCATAAAAGTGGTCAGATATATTAATGACATCCGTCAATTTTATTCTCTTCTGAACAATTATTTTTATTAATTGACAGAATCTTAGGATTAACAGGATATTTTAAAACTAACTGTTCATCGCCTTCTTTACCAATTCTCCGCCACGGAATTCCGTGGTACTCCTATGTTTGTCCAGGATTGATTATACTAACTTTCTGGACTTTTGCTACTCATTATAGTTTCTCTTTAAAGTGGGTAAGAAAATTGTATTTCACATACTTAAAAGTAAATGATACAGAGAAGTCATACCAATTTAGTAGCAAGAAGGAAATGTATAGTATCCAATAATTAACATACTCGTATTTATTAAATCAGAATTCTTATGGTAAGTTTCCCAATCTTGCAACGCATATGTATTTCTTAATGTGGTGGACATCGAAAAAAAGAAGCGAAACAAAGCAAAGGAGTCCTTCAACTGTAAGATAAATTCACTTTAACTATATCTGTAAATGGAAATTTTATAACAGCTTATCGTTGAATCATTAATTTAGCAACTGCAAACTGAAAATCCTCTACAGGTATATCGAATCTGATTTTCTAATTTATTAACGAATATAGCAATTACTTTTACGTTTATCTTCACTATAAAGGTTATAATCTATTAAAATTGAAATTTTAAGAGCTATTCATGTCCATTTCTATAAGAAACGTTATAATCTTTTTATGATTACAAAATGGTTGCCTTTTGTAAATGTATTTCTATTTTATGGATAGTCCTCACTCACATACAAGACGTGTCTTTCTTAAAAGTGTATATAATTATTTATTCGTTCTAAAGAGATTCTTGTAGTTACTTAAAATATGGTAATCTATATCATAAGAACTTAAAAATCGTATCAAGATAGTTTGATCATGTAGATCTAATAGTCTATCTAAATATAAATACCGTAATTACTATTTCAGGTCAATGTAGATGCTCATCAAACTTCTACCTTAAATCAAGATGTTACTTCCCAAAATGTTTGTATATTATATAAAAGTTTCTTATTACATAATCCATATATTTTCGTTTTACGGTATGATCTAAAATGGTAATAGACTGTTGCCACTAACAATGACCAACGAACTGAAGCTGAGAATAATGTCCTCCTTGAACCAGTACCAACAGCTGTCGAGACCGACGAAAATCTTCACATACACAATATCATCTTACAGTATAGCCAGCAAAAATTTTATGCTTTTCTACAATACGTTGAGATGAACATACATTTATTAGCATTGATCGCGATGTTGGTAAGTTAGCACCTATTAAGGTCATATTTGTCATAAATCTGTAATAGCATCCATGAGCTACTATACTTTCCATCAATTCTTAAAATATTGGATAAATATCAATCTTTAATTACAGTAGTAACAGTATGATGCGCGAGTATACTATACAATAATAATTACATGTAATACTGTGTTCTACCCAATTTGATGTAGACTTGGAGTATTTCGTACCATTCCTGGCCAGCTTTCGTCCTACTGATATTTGCTTGCCTGTTTTTTATACATCCGAGAACGTATGAGGTCATGATGACTACTGCTCCGCTCTTAGTTATCTACGGCGAAATTATGATTATTGCTACTTACATATATGGACTTAATCTACACAAAGAACTCCCTGAGGTTGTTAACGGTTTTAATTTACAGCAAGTTGGTCTGCAACGATTTTCTAACCAGTGCCTGCATCTGGGATTGCAGGTATACAGATATTAAGTTAATAGTAGAAACTCCTTAAGTAGAAATATAGCTACTTTTAAAACTTTACAGGCAGTTGCAGTAGAAAGTAATGCAAGTCTTTGAAATAATACTATAACAGTTTTTCTTTAATTGAGTTCTTTAATAAAGGAACACTTAAAGTATATTAATTACTGTACCACTGAAGAATATGATACGAAATTACAATTATGTTATTTGTATTCCTATTCGCAGAGCATTTTCTTGGCAATATTTTGGCTTACACTTCGGCATAAGCAGAATAGAGCCAGAAATTCTGAAAGAGAACTCTATCGTGTAATCGGTATAACAATCCAAACTCTATTAGCCCAGTACTGGATATTAGCATGCCTTGGAGCGTTACTGATTGTATCTCTACATGGACAGCCTACCATTTATCAAATTATTTACATGTTCTTTTTCCTGTTGCTAACCGTAACTTATAAGGTATTCTCTACACAATAATTAATTCATTGCTCAATAAGGCTAAAAAATATTGTTGCGAAAATTTATTGGGCTTTTTAACGTTCTTTTTCCAGTTATCTTGGCCTGTTTTTAGATTTATTTTAAAACCTTTCTGGATTATACTTATAATGTATTCGTTACTGGTACTGGTATTATTATATACCTTTCAATTTGATGTGATACCTGAACTATGGAGAAATGCTACGCACTTGTCAAACGATTGGTAAGATAATCACTATGAATTTCAACAACAATAATTTCGATATTAAAAATATGCCATTTATTCATCAGGTTAGCTGATATTGGATTAAAGCAATACAAGAGCAGATTGGCATTATTTGGGAATCTTTTACCTCCTACTTTGTGCATAGTTACAGCTGTAATACAAAATTCGTACTTGCATCGTCTGTTTTTGATCTATAGTAGCTTAAAAGGATCCAGACATTTCGGAGAGCTACAAAGAAAATATGGCTACCCAACGAATAACATTGAAAATCAAGAACCAACTGTAGGCGAAATTTCTGTCGGAGAACCTTTTAGAGGTAATGTTTTCTTCAAAGACATGTATTACTTATATATCAGGTTAAAGATATAAACTCACAACTTAACCAGATTTACTGTAATAGAAGTCAATCAAAATGGCCTTGACAGCAATCCACATGAAACGCAATCACTCAAGGAAGAGACTAATCAGAACTTAGATGAAAGAATTGAAAGATTTCTACATGAAATGCCATCTAAACTTACTCAGCTTTACAATTTTCTATGGCTTCTTGCAGAGACACACATAGTAAAGGCTGTTATGCTCACTATATTTATTGTTTGCGTCGCAGAGGTAACGATCTCATACTAATTAACTAATATATTTTTGTAATCAGTGTTTACTGCTAAAAATGAGTGTTTACTACCTTTATTAATAGTTATCATACTATTTAGGTAACTGCATTGAATGGTATCTTTGCAATATTCGTCATTCTACAATTGCCATATCAAAGGCTACAAAAAGTCTTATCCTATATTATGACACTTTTAATTGCGGTTAGCTTACTCTCTAAGCTGACATTCCAGCTCAGTGTCATCGATACCAAAAATTTACGAAGCAATTGCTCATATGTAAGTAGCTATAAAATTACAGTATAGCTTGATATCTCCTCCTCTTAAGTTTCTGATAATTATTATGACGAATTTATTAAAGGCAATACCAGAATGGAATGGTACAATGTTTATAACATTTTATTTAAATCGTACTCTAAATGATATCGAATGGTTTGGATTAAAGAAAGTCTCCAACGTATCTAGTTATGTTGGGGTAAGCCTTACCCCCAATTATTTTTACATTTATTTAGATTTTTCGGCATCTTAACTTGATAACAAGTTTTAATCTAGAAAATAATCAATTTAAAAGATTTGCTGTTATTGCATGTACTCATTTAGTCAATTATATATTCTGAAAATCATAGGGCTATATCGCTATAATTTGCTTGATTACTATGGAAAAAGTTATCAACCATCGCCAGGTTTGCATCCTACCTGAATAAAATTTACAGATAGGAACTGTTGATTAATATTAGATATGTCGAGTGTGCACCGAAAGAGTTATACATTTACCACTTATAATGCAATAAAATTTCACTATAATATTTCAAGTTAATCATTCATTTGTAAATATCTAGAGGCAAATGTACGAACTTACAAATACCAGACGCCCACCAAGTGGAATTCTATTTCCAAATATCGATGAAACCAAAATTGATACCTCCCTAAAAAGCAGGATAAAATACGTTATTGACAATTTCTGTAGCCTTTGGGGTATAGAGGTTAGTCATTGTTCAAGGATTTATATGTCCTAGTGTTATGCTGCGACAGAATACTTGCAGATAGTACTTACTAATACGCTCTCTGACGTGATTTCTTACTGTTGTTTAGTTATGTATTTTCACGGAAATCATTGTCATTGGCGCAAGAGGGGATGTTTATTCCGCTATATATTCTGTCGTTCTTGGGTTGCAACTCTTTCTACCACGAAAACAGTTATCAACATTATGGCCTATTTATATTGCTTTTCTTACTATTTCTATTATTGCTCAATATTTGTTACTCCTAGGATTGCCTACGTACCTATGTTATGGTAAACATATTCATAATAATAAACCTAAAGTTAATTGATGACTTGCGCTACATTTAAATTAATAGCGGAAACTATGTTTCAGTTTACCCGTGGACTGGTTACTTAAATATAAACTTGTTGCAGTGGCTGTACTTACCTCAGATACGTTATAAGTTAAATCCTTTCTTGCTGATAGGTAAATTATACCGATATACACTTTATCAATATTTATTTACAATAGCTATGCAAAATATAGATACATCTTATCGTGAACAATTTATTAAAATCTAGAAATTAACCTATATCGATGATTCTTTTATGTAGGAGATTTCTTTATGCTTATGTTTGCATGTTGTCAAATGAAAGCATATCTATCCGGAAAGCGAGATTCACATTTAACCGTTAGAATCCATGCAGAAGATGGAAAAATGACTAATCCTGGCAATTTTTTAAACAATAGGTATTTTTTCTTGATTTATATCGCAATATCTCTACACTGTAATGGGTTGTTTACACCTCACTAATCATTACTATATGTTTTGTATTTATTCAGGTGTTGGCTAGATACTATACAAGTAAGACATATCAGCTTGTAAAAAATTCAGCTACAATTACTTGCGTATTTTTCTCCCCATTATTTAAATCATTTAAATTCTGTGCACATCACCTTATAAATCATCATACCTCGAGAACTGCGGCGTTTATGTTTATTACAAAATTCTAATTCATATTTTCCAATTGTATAATATTTAGATATTCATCTTCCAATATTTTCTATGGATAACATATGCAGTAATATTTATTGTTGGAACAAGTCAAATTAATATCTTCTGTTTTGGGTTCCTACTTGCTGATTTCTTCTTCTTATGGCATGGTCAGTCGATCGTAAAAAGGTTAAAATTCGACGATAATGGCAAAATGGTGAAAACCTGGTAGGTAATCCTGATCATATCACAGTTAAAAAATAATTTCAGTTAAGTTTTAAACTGAATTACATTGAATATGATAATATTTAGGTGGAAGCTGTTTATTGCCTACACGTATACCGTTATTTTGCTTAAGACGTCATTTCAGGTTAGTTTCTTGATACATAACATTATCAAAATTTATTTGTTCGGTCGATACACGTACATCATGAAATAATACACTTCTTAACAGGTTTACGACGTTTTTCAAGCTAAAACTACTGTTATATCATTATTGATCTCTTATCAATATACTTCTTAGGTTGTGGTTTGTGCTTGGCCAAATATAATACCTTGTATTGTCTCAAGAATATTTAACGTCGTATGTTTACGTGCGTTTGTTGGAGAAGGTTAATTAACAATTATTTTAAACTATATTTATAATCCTTTTATCATTCAATTCGCTCTCAAAATCTTAAAATATTCTTGGTAATTCCTTTTTCTGATTTAAAGATCCAGTAGAACGAATGAACTGTGTCACATTGCCTAAGAAATATGGTGTTGGAATCGATGGCGTCTGCCTAATGTTTTTATTAATTCAACAACTCATCTTCAATAGTAACCAGATATATTATGTAGCAGAGGAGTTATTCGAAACTAATCAATTATCAAAAAAGTAAGCTTTTTTAACGTGGACAAACTAATCGATAGTCAGCTATTCATAACATTAAGAATCTCCAGTTAATATTTCTTTAACGTTCATAGTATTGGATAAAGGGTATGTTATTCAATAAATACTGCTCATTGCCTCTTAGAGTTGCTAAATTTTTACGTGATTGTCGACAAGAACGAATTAAGCTAGAAATTGAAAGTCGCGAAAAAATAAGAAAACGAATCAAAGACAGGTGTAACTATAGCATTAAATTGGATACTAAGAATTAACATAAGGCAATAATAAGATACGCTATACTTGTTAGACGTGCTAAACTATTACATTATACTATTATTTCACAATTTTAGTGTGGAAGTACTAAAATCTAGACGTAATAGCAAATTATTTGCAAACTTATCACACGAACAAAGTGAGTACAACTCTTCCTATAGTATCAATAAAAAAATTAAATTTTCTGATTAGACGTTTTATTTTGTACTTGCAGTAATTGCTGCTGGTGATTACTATTTATTCCGGGATTTATATCAGAAAGAAAAATTGGTCGGACAGACCGTTGACACTCAATATACTGATACCGTTAGCGATGACCGTAGCACCCAAGATAAATCTCAAATTGATGATTTAGATCCTTCTTCAAAGGAAAAAATCCAAAATAAACAACAAATAGCTAATGAACATCATGAAGACGTACAGTCTAGCGAAGCAGCCTCTAACGATTTAGTCTACTTAAAACAAGACACAGACTTCGAATGTCATGATGTATCTCAGCGAGCGGAACCTGGCATAACTGACAACCCGTTATATGGTAGGCATTCTTCTATTTACGTTTCGAAATCTCAAACTGGTGGACCCGCTTCAACGCAATATCGAATAGCTGATGGGGAATCATCAAGTTCTACACTCCAAGAACATACGAAACATTCTCATAATCAATTTATTGAATCTGCATCCAATGCTGCATCTACAGATACAAAGAGGGCTTTTAAGACCCAAGAAAATATTTCTGATTTACCGGCACCTCAAAATAATTTATTCTTGAATAAGCAATTAAATGTACAGGAGGTTACCCTTAAAGATATCACAACTGATAGCCTGCCCTCAAGATTAGACTCCCTTGATGGCAAAGTTACGTCCAAGGAAGAAAAGAAAAAAGGCGCTTTCCGAAGATTTATCAACTATCTTTACTGTAACATCTGGATAACTTACACGGATAAATTAACTAGATGGTTGGATACTTTCGGTATTGAATATAGGGCAGCAGCTAAAAAAATACGTCAGGAACGTGCTAACCTGTCAAAAGTACACTCTAATGAACGAGCTGTAACCACCAATGATGTTCATGATTCAGCAGAAAATACGGTCGTTGCTGCTGCTGTTATCACTGCTAACGCTGATTTGGACTTAGATGAACCTTTAGAATCCAAAGAACTTCAAAGATTACAATCTTCATTAGCGTATAAAACAGAATCCAATGATGGTTGGCAAGGAAATATGTCAAGATTTGATCATTTCATTTTCGCACTTTATTATTCCTTATGCGCTAATACTGATAATATTTGTTACTTTCTAATCTTGCTCAATTTGATTGTTCATGGTACGGTATTATCACTTATTCTTCCGTTATCCACATTTTTATGGGCGTTCTTATCAATTCCACGACCCCATCGATATTTTTGGATTTTCGCTTTCACCTACACGGAAATAGTTGTATTAATCAAGTATACTTTCCAGTTCTCATTTTGGACATTTAATCGTCCAGATGGGAATAACGATCCTTTTTGGGCTCCACGCATTATTGGAATAGTACAAGAGGATAATTTTGGAAGAATAGTAGCATTTGACTTAATCTTGCTATTATCATTATTTTTTCATTGTGCTATTTTAAAATCATTTGGTCTATGGAACGACGATGATAGCAACAATGATCATGATGAGATGACTGAATCGGAAGAGATTTGGCCAAACATTAAGTTCATACAACAATTACTTCGACATGACAGTAAACCTGGAACTATCGATGTTTACACATCAATGTTTGCATGCACTTTTATAGCTTTCCTGATTATTATTTTCGGTTGGTCATCATTTGGTGAAAATGCATCGCAAAATGATAATTTATCAACTTTTATTGCCGAAAATAACATTCCATTACCATTTTTAATAGCTATGTTAACTCAATTCCTATTAATGTTATGCGATCGTGCCATTTATTTAAGGCGCAGTCTACTGGCAAGATTAATCGTCTACATTATCCAGGTTATCGCTCTTCATACATGGTTATTTTTCTTTCTGCCATTTCTAACTCGTCGATCATTCAAATATAATGCTGCTGCAATTATATTATATATCACCTATTGCATTTACTTTCGCTTAAGTTGCTTTCAGTTATGCCAAGGTTATCCGATAAGAGTGTTGCGGCGATTTTTAACCGACATATTTAATAATTATACATATTATTTTGTTCTATGTGTTAACGCGATTCCGTTCTTTCTTGAATTTCGAACATTAATGGATTGGACTTGTACTGATACAACACTAACGTTATGGCATTGGTTAAAAATGGAAGATATATTTTATAACATCTTTTATACCAAATGTCGAAGAGATTACGAAAATAGCTATCCACAAAAGAAAGGCGATCCGAAGAGTCCGTTGTTTAAAGTGGCCTTAGGAGGTTTTTTGATATTTCTCTTAGGTGCAATTATATGGTTTCCTCTTCTGTTTATGTCATTAGCTAAAACAAGTGGTATTGCTGACTTACCGACTGAAGGTCAATTCTCATTATCAATAGTCGGCTACGAGCCACTTTATAGTTATACCGCTGAGCAACGATCTATCACGATGTTATCGCAAAGTGATTACAATCATTTATTTAATGTTCATAAGTATAACAATCCATCCGCTAGGTCTTTTCTTTCGCAATACGACAGAGAGAATGTTGTGCGCGTTTTACTAAATGAAAATTCATCACCTATATGGGAGATAAGCCCACCTGTTAGGCAAAAGTTAATTAATGATTTGAGTTCAAACCAAACTATTACTCTACGGTTTTCTTGGTCATTTAATCGTAAACCTAATAGTGCTCTAGTATCTGACATGGTAACTGGCAATAATTACTTTAATTTATACGATCCAAATTTACGCGACGGTCTTTCACAAATGTTAATGTTTAATGACAATCAAACATCGATGGTCACAATACCGAAGTTATACCCATCATTTGTTCTGGTTCCAGCTACTGGTGCTTCCACTGTTGTTAAAGCATTAGATAATGGTAGCTATGTCGATTGTGGCGTAGAATTATTAAAAGGACCCACTTATGATGATGTTCTAAAGTCAATGGTTGAATGGTGGCGTATAGTTCAGAAATCACCCTTTCATATTAATAATACTAAAAGTTCGCGGTCGAATTCACTAGAGATGATTGTTTTTAGCGACAAGGTCATCCCGCCTGGATTGTCCTTTTTAGCGGGATATGGTATTATTGGTCTATACGTTTCGTTAGTCTTGGTTGTTGGTCGTTTCATACGTATCTTTGTCTCATCGGTATCTTATCGAATAATGTTCGATGAAATTCCAGACCCAAATGCAATCCATGAATTATGTGAAGAAATTTATATGGTGCGAGAATCACATGAATTTGAATTGGAAGAAGAATTATTTGCAAAGTTAATATTTTTATATAGATCTCCAGAGACGATAATACGACTAACTCGTTTAGCGGTAAATAAGCAAAAAGTAGAATAAGTACAATAATTTGTGTCAAGTTATGATGTGTTACAACACCGCTCATACTTTATATGTAAGAGGTATATCCATAAAATATTATAAATTCGTGCATTCTATGACCTCTTTCTACACATACCTGTTTTTTATTTGTCAGTATTGAAATTAATTTTATCTACATTGACTGAAAATAGTATCATAGATCTTATTAACGTTACAAGCAAGATACTATTACCGTAATAGAAGAGTAGAGAAACTTGATTATATTTATTGTATTGCGTCATGTTAGTTTAATCTGTGTATAATGAATGATTTCGTAGAGCAAATATCAGATTTTTAACACGCATTAGTCATATACATTGACCTGGTAATACCATAGATGCATATTGTATGCATGACGTATTGTATCTTATTACTTGAGAGTTTACTCATACATTATGCGTGTATCGATCCTACTGATACAAAAATCATTTCTTACAAAAGTGGTTGTATTGCGTTAAATGGCAATAACCTATAAAAATATGCAATACAATTTTTTTCTATTTCTAAATACTACTTGTATAATAAAAATTCTAAGCACTTAATATGACGATTGCCTGAATTTTAGACTTTATACTAGTCAGTTGCTACATGGTATTTGCTGCTTGTGTATAAAGAGTTGATAACCCTATTACCTCTATCGATGTTTCATCTGGATTAATTAATTACTGTAATTATAGATTTTCTATTCTACAGTCAATGACGGAATACAATAGAGTGAGCGTAAACTTTGATTAAAATACGCTATTGCAATTTTCTGCAAGAGTGCTACCCTCAGAAATTCTTTGAATGCAGATTAGGCATTAATATTAGTCGTTTTCTAATTTTATTTTAGCCATACTTTAATACTTTTATCATCTGTTTGCAAGATGGAAATTCTATACTATGGTACTGTATAATAGTGGAAATTCATTCTATACACTTTTTCACACATTTAATTCGCTAAGAATTATTTCACATCCCTATTCTATATTTTAATAGCCATAATTACAAACTCTTCCATCCATTTATTCTGTAGTAGATGAAGGAATACAAATAGAAGTCGTACGTGTGAACTTTTGATTAGAATAATTGCATTTTTAGCCAGATCGCTACTTTGCGAAACATTTTCAATCCCAACTAGTCAATATTATTATATTATTCATTTTTCAATTCATCTTCTCTTAATTTAATATTTTTACCATATATAATGAGAATTTGATTTCATATCATGGTAAAGGTACTAGAGAATTTATCCTATTTGATAAACTATTCCACATTTTAATTATTATGCGTTCTCCGATATTCTCATTCTATATTCATTTTTCTGCTAATTCTAGATTAATTTTATGTTTTTAGCATATATGATAGAAAATCTATATCATTAGTATAATGCTAGAATTATGTTACGCATACTATAGTTGGTTATGGCATGTTTAATATTCTTATTATGCGTTATCCATTTTCCTATTAATTCTAGCTTAATTTCAACGTTTTTATCCTAGAGGACTGCAATTCTATATTATTTTACATAATATTGACATAGTGTATTATTTTACATAATATTGCAATTAATTATATACTGCACGCATGTGCAATCTAAGTCCATCTTCTTATCCCTCCCCCCGCCAAAAAAAATAAATAATATTGGCGCTGAAATTAATTCTATTCTATTAATTAATTATATTTACCTGAAAATTATAAACTTCTATGAAAATAAGATGCATTATTAATTCAACATGGAAAAAGTATCTTGGCAGTTTTCATGAAATGCCTTCAATTTTAGTAATAATCGATTGAATTCTTTATCCAAGTTGACGAATTTTAGGATACGATTAGAAGCAATCATTTTTATAATATTTACGCGTATAGTCTGTACTCATTTAGAATAAATCCATTAGATAAACATGATAGATATCAATGCATTATGGAACATCTGTCAAGTTATTGCAGTATTTCTGAGTAGAGTTATGATTGCTATTATCCTAGTCGATGTCATAAACAGTGAGAAGAGATAGCAGAAAGAAATATATAATAAGTAGACTATGGCTGAAGGCCGCCACCTATCAAGATAGCCGTCTAAAAATTTCCGTTCTTGATTGCCCCTAATACCTAAATCGCGAATGCTTACGCTCACTGCTACCTATCGCTGTATAAAGTCATATATTACTAGAAGGAAACTACGCTAGAGTCCACGATTGAATAAAGTTCTATTGCTATGAATTACTGCTGGATAGATCTAAATAGTCCATGGAGTATAATTCGTAGCTCTATCATCATGTCGGTAGAATCTTTCTTGGACTGATACTAATGACTTATACCGTACTCGATTATACTCGCCCTCGCATATCGCTCCGTTGAATCGTAGGTTACGAGGAGGAAAACCCCCACCACAGTCTATGATTTAATACAGTTATCCTTTACCACGAGACGGAGCTATAGAACAAAATTTACTAAGCTATGATTCTCCCGTAGTACTCGTAAGTATAAGCTGTCTTTACTCACTGATGCTGCATGACTGATGCAGAAATAGATTAGCATAGCATAGTACTTAAATCATAGATAACTGGAAAGAAAAGTTACTAAAGTCTATGATTTAATACAGCTATCAACTACTGCTAAACAAGCCTAAAGAGTTAATGTAGTGATGGAGATGCATGGATTCCATGATCATGGAGATGGACAGGAGGGTTCTTGCAAGCTGTAGAAATGCTTATGCAGTATTCCGATTGGACTACGGTAAGACGACCAGACTGACCTGGAAGACATATTGTGATAACACCGTATAGTGTCTCATACGCTATTGCGCTCTCCTACCAAATGGAGTCCATCACTGGATAAACGGTAAATCAAAGTCATTTTTAATTCATTGCCTCCATACCTGGCCACTGCTATCGCATCGCTCCCTTCCAAAAAAAATCATTAGCAAGGAAAATCATGCCTCGCATTGACAACGATATCAAATTAGACTTTAAAGATGTCTTATTTAGACCGAAAAGAAGCACCTTGAAGAGCCGATCAGAGGTAAGTGCATGCTATTAGGTTGATTATGGCCATTTTCAGTCTTGAACTATCTTGATCAGTCACTAATGGCGATGTTCGCTGAATCAAAGTCGACCTGGTAAGATGTCGAGCTCCATCCGATTTTTTTAATTAAACGATGATTGAATCATTTTCATCCAAACTAGCCCATTTGCAAATCAAGATAGAGCTAGGCTATAGAATAGATTTGATCGATCAATTCTTTATTTTACTACTGTGATCGCGTTAACAAACTACATAACTGGATAAGTGCAGTTAAATCATTGTTTCAACCAGCCGTCAGAAACGGCGTATATCAAATTAACACACGCAACCAAGCAAAATAAGTGAACTAAAAACACGATTGGAGCTTGATATAGCCTAAATAAATGTCATTAGGGATGATCTGGATGGAGTATGTTGTCGATTGAGATGATCTGTGGATAGGATTAACACTTCAAAAAAGTGGAAGTAGGTCATCTACCAAGGCAGACAAGAAGGCGGTGGCTGCTTATTAGACGTTTTTATATAATTACTAGCTCAGATAGGTGAAGATCATCATTTTGAGCTATAGACATGATATAGTAGACTAACAGGGATAAATAATTCATTTAAATTCCAAGTAATCTACTCGTATAAAATAGAAAGAGATAGGTGATTATCGAATATTTTATCACTAATGTACAGTATTAAGTGGCTTAGATTAGAATAAGAATGAAAATGGGCCAACAGGTGGTGAATATACTTCATCATCAACATGATCAAAACTATCAACGCTATTTAGATTAAAATAATACTACAGTCAAGCTAATAGGTCTATATTCAAGTTGATGAACTAATGAAAGTTAGACAATGGACAAATATCAACTGAATTTACTACACTTGCCACGCTACACAGACACCTGATGTAGGATAGTACGATCAGTGAATCATAAGGAAGGTCCTCCTTAATAGGCTATGGACTACTAAAAAAATATTTTTTTAAAAGTCTGTGATACAGTAGATGATTGTACATGTATACTCGTATATATTATCCAAGACTACTGTAAAGCCTAATAAACTCCGTTCGTCGCTACTGCAACTAATTAATGATCATAGGACTAAAGATAGTGCTGCCGAGCTAAGACGTACACATTCTTCAAGTAAAGTAGTTGATGATCAAACACTACCCTAATAACCTAACAAGCTTAATTTGTCGTCGCTTATTGACAGTATCAGTTGATGAGAGGCATGACTAAGAACAGTAAAGCAATTTAGCTAAGGCGTGGATATTCCCTAAACACAGTAATTGATGATCAAAGACTACTATAAAAGCCAAGACGTACGTAATCCCATAGATTACTAAACAAATTTTATCTAGTTTTTGATCAAAATATTGCTTTAGTAGCCGAACAAACGCAATGTATTGCTAATAAAGTTGACGGTAGGTGTGGTGTACCTGCTACGATTAGCTAAAAGATTAAGTAAACCCTAATATAGCTCTACTGAACAATTAAGATGACATTGGACGCGATCGATGGTCGGTTTATACCCCAAGCTGAATTATGCCATATGATCAGGAGACTGTGAATGAATATTTTAAAGCAATCTCTTTATACTATAATCTTCTTGAAAATTGAATCTTAAAGTAAATTCTAGAATGGACTCTTTATCAAAACTCTAGTTTGCTTAAAAATTACTAAATCTATTTCATCGCCTAATCTGTCATTGCCTATACTATTAATTTATTCAACTTAAATAATATACGTCTCTTTTCTCTGTAGGTTGAGCTAGTACGTAAACTTCAATTCAGGAATTCCGGCAATTCTTATGAAGGAATTCCAATTATCGCTGCTAATATGGATACGACTGGTACCTTCGAAGTAGCTGAAGCCCTGGCCATGGTTGAGTATTATTTCTCTACCTTCTATCGTAAAATCTGTAATATATGCCTGGGACTACTTGTTTTAGTAGTCTCTGTATATGCTATCCCATTTTGTTATACGCATACTGTAATGAAATAACAGATACCCATTCAATAGAAAAATAGTTTTTCAGTAATACCTTCGTTAATATTATCTGCAGTGATGCTAGTAAGTTCAATTTTTATTGAATATTAATAACATAATTTTATATATGCCTATTAAATAGTAGAATTAATTAATTTTTCAATCAGCATCTTATTAATACAAGATGTTGTGATTAAATAGAACAAATAATTTTTTAAAGCAATCTATTTCTTAAACATGATGCAATAATATAATTTACCTCATTTCATCTGATAATGAACTATAATTATACGTGCCTGTTAAATAAAATTTTCCTGCAATAGCTTGTTAACATTAGATATAGCAATGCAGCTAGCTTCATTTTATCTAATGATTTTTATATCATTTTGTAGCATAAAATGTTTACCGCTATCCATAAACATTATTCCCTTCAACAATGGCAAGACTTTGCAAATGACCATAAAGATGTACTGCAGGTAAAATTATAAGACGTAGTGGATCGATAACAATCGAATAGCATTATATTTACATACCAATGATATACCTTGTTGAAATTGAAAATGTTACATGCATGTCCAAGTATCGTTGTGTATATCTGCTATAGAATGATACAGAAAATATGTAAGGTTTCAACTCTGTATACTAAGAGAATTAGTAAACCTCATCCACTGTTCGTATTGAATTAGATATTATATGTATCGGTAACGTACGATGAAATTCATACTAAAGGCTTATTTACACATTTTTTTCCGCTAAGATGTAGTACCTATACGCATATACCCCAATTTGCATAAAAGCAGTAATCAAGTTTAAGTTAATGTTTTCGCAATCCGATACATAGTATATGTAACTATTCTGTTTCCAATTCAAAGTATGTAGCCGTCAGTTCTGGTGCTAGCAAAGACGATATGGATCGTCTGGATGCCATTCTAAGTGCTGTACCTGCGCTGAATACAATCTGTCTTGATGTTGCTAATGGTTACTCGGAATTATTTGTTGAATGTGTACGAAATGTTAGAAAGAAATATCCGAATCACACTGTCATTGTATGTATAGTGTACCGAATTAATGATGTGCTTTTATGGTGCAATATTATAATACTAACAAAGATGTAGCGTACTAGAACTGTGATATACTGTCAAATACTTCGCACTGCAGATAGACTGTTTAAGTCATAAGATTCTACATTTCCTATTTTCGCCAATTTAGCTATGTTATGCGAGTCGAATAGTAAATTACCTAATTTTCCTATTCTTAGTTTCTCAAATATACTACAGTATAATAATTGTATCCAAAATAGAACACATCTAACTATATTCAAAAATAAGACTGGATTTGTACTGAAATCACAAGAATACTATCAGCATATAGTAGCCTTTTGATTTAATATTGAAAATCATAATTTGAGACGTACACTCATATTCCGTATTTAAATATCAACATAGAGTTGCCTAAAATTTCCTTCATATATTTGAGTAATCTTAATTTTAACAATCATATTTGATACCATTTACAGTAATACATATTATATGCCCAAGCTAATTAATCTTGTATCGTAGCAACGTAAATTGCATAAAAATATATATATTGTCTTAACCTGCAGGCCGGTAATGTTGTAACGGGTGAAATGGTTGAGGAACTAATTCTGAGTGGTGCCGATATAATCAAAGTTGGTATAGGCCCTGGTTCTGTATGTACTACCCGTAAAAAGACTGGGGTTGGCTATCCGCAAATCAGTGCCGTATTGGAGTGTGCTGATGCTGCACATGGTTTAGGTGGTCATATCATATCTGTATGTAAAGTCTCCCCCTGTTATTTTTATTTTAAGAATTACCGTTTCTGTAAATATCGACTAACATGATTTTCCACCAACTATTATTTGTAATATCATGGATACAATATTGTTATTAACACTATATCTAAAAGAGGTGTTACTGCTAACATAAAATTTTAGGATGGTGGGTGTACCTGTCCAGGAGATGTTGCCAAAGCATTCGGTAAGCAATCAAAGTTATCTAAAAGAGATTTAAATCATTTGCAAATTGTAAAGAGGAAAACTGTTACCTTCAAATTAGGAGCTGGAGCTGATTTTGTTATGCTTGGTGGAATGTTTGCTGGACATGATCAGTCTGGTACGCTAAAATAATATCCCAGATTTTGATCGAAACATATGATTGCGATATAAATTAATTATTATTGGTGGAAACTCTCAATATTTGATGTTACGATATGTAGGCGGAGAATTGATTGAAACGAATGGGAAAAAAGTGAAACTGTTTTATGGAATGAGCTCTGCTGTAGCAATGCACAAGTATGTCGGGAAAGTCGCCGAGTATAGGTAATGAAGAGTTTGACATCGTACTCTTCGCAATATGTCGATCATATCCTTCAAACTTCATTATTGCTTATCTTTGAAACCGATCTTGTCTTGATTAATATTAGAGCATCGGAGGGGAAGTGTGTAGAGATACCTTACCGAGGAGACATAAATGACACGGTTCTAGATGTCCTTGGCGGCGTACGCTCGACATGCACCTACGTTGGAGCTTCAAAGCTAAAAGAACTTAGCAAAAGAACTACATTTATACGTGTAACACAACAGCTCAATGAGATATTTAAACAGAACGAAAAGTAATACCGACAGCAACAGTTACAGTCCATGATTACCATATATTAAAAGTAATTAGCGTAGTATAACATTATAATTTGTTATACATTAACCTGAAGCTGATTATTATCTTACGTGACTGATTTCTTTCTGTCCTTGCATGTAACTGACGCATATCAGATCAATAATGCTGTAGTCGGTTAATTTAAAAATGAATTTAAAGAAAGGCAATCAATTTTAACTTGCTCACACTCTCTAGTATCTTAATATGCATAACTAGTTTAAATATTAGAGATAATGATGTTGATGATTAAAATAGATCAAGAGAACTCTCTGAACTGATAACATCGTTCTCTTAATGTATTACAAACGTTAGAAAACTAATCAGAAATAAAGGGAATACTGATTTATTCCTACAAAAACGAAGAATTATACGAGGCGTATTATAATTATCAAAGTTCATGTGCATGTAGACGAAAGTACTGGTACTTGATATTCTCAGGCCCAGCCTAATTATGTGTCGAAAATGTAAGAAATACATGGTTTGAGTAAAGGCTTAAGAACTTTCGTTAATAATACCAGATTTTGATTATACTCGTATGTTCAATATCCAGCGTTATAGTGTCATAGTTTCAGTATATTAGGAATATTCTATACTATATACGGTACCAATGATGATTGATCATTCATAACATCCAGCAGTAACAGGTAAGCTATTTTCACCCATTTCCTCTTGCTTATTAATCAAAATGGCAAATCCGTTAAATACCGTCTAACTAGTGCAATATTGAAATACTACTTCCAATAATTAACAACCATTACCGAAAGTCAATTGATTTCTAATGCTACGTAGTTCACGCAACCTATCTTCATTCATTTTCCCTTTCATATTAATCAAAATGGTAAATTCCTTAAAAGACAGTCTACTTTAATATCACATTTTCTTTATTCGGTAGTTTTATTGCAATATACAGAGGTATCTGAACATAAATTAGGTAAAATGGGAACTAATGATAGTGTAAAACAAACATCACCGACAGATAATAATTGACAATTTAACTGATATCGATTAGCTGTCTTTGTCGGTTGGCAAGATGACCAACCGCGGCCTATAACGAAGAATGGATGTTCCGCGGCAAATTCCATTTGTACCTGCAATATTTGTCTATCCATTAGTATTTCATGCTTAAATTAAAATAATTAATCTGTAACGTTATGGAAATGAACTGATAGACATAGTTTAATGCTAGTATAAGATTGAGCTAATATAATTCTTGGAAAGGAATATCAGTTCATCTAAGTATTAGATCAAAATAACTGTAAGCTACGGGTAAATACTGCACTTCTGCAATAGCTAGATAAGTTTGTGCTTAAGGTATTTTATTAACTATGATGGACTCAATAATTATATTGCCTAAACAATAGGATCATGCTATACAATGAATAAGAATGGAAAATTTTTGTGGGTAGAATAAGTAATTACAGTATGATAACAAATTGCTGCGTTAAATATTGGAAAACTTGAATTATGAATGGGCTATTTCTTCTACCTAGTTTCAGGCTATGTAGCATTGGATAATTTTAAGGTAGCAATATTAATGTTCACTATCATTCATAGAATTTAATACACTAGTTAAATTACAAACTCGAGCAATAACATGAACAAGAATAGAATAATGCGGATAGTGAATAATTTTTTTAAGACACACTGGTACCTGTTGGTTGGATTCTGCGGTAATAAATCCAATCACTACTTTTTCTGTACTTGAACTATCGTCTTTATAAACGATCCTACTTGTATCCAATTTTAATTCAGGATAAAGTTTTGCACAAGCTATGAAATCTTCTTGGGCTAAATCTTGTATATTTTTGACTTGATTATTAGCTAAATGGATAGGAGTTCCCTGTACAATTAATTTGAGTGCATTACTAATAAGATTATCCAAAATTTTTACTAACAACCGCAATATGGTCAATGCAGTCATTGAATATGTAATTATGCGATAACTGCTTCTGGTGGACATATCTTTCATGGAAATTATTGCAATATCCAGCAAGTTGACGATATCAAGAGAGTAAACTCGATAGCTAAAGTATGTTACCTTTTGAAAATAGTATGGATAATCGTTCTCGAATTGTAGATTGAAATTAGGATAAATCTGGCGAACTGTTATATCACCATAAGGAAAGGATAACGGCATTGCTGTTCTGTTTTCTATCTGGCTACAGCTTGATGAATTTCCTATCCAGTATCCATTAAACTCTTTCCCTTGATACTAGTTAAACAGAACATATTGTAAATATTTAATATATCAGCCAAGCAATCAATCTAATAACCACTTGCAGTGAGGAGCCATTCAAAGAAAATTTTACATTGCTAGTGATTTCTTCACCAGTGGATATGATTACGGATGAACATGGCGATGAATATGACGAATTTGTGCTAGCATCACTGTAACTTTGATCATCGGAAAAATCTTTAGGTGGTAATTCTCCACTCGATGCCATCATTTCCATCTATAATTCCAAAGAGTGCAAATTCAGTCTAGCGATCATCATATATACTCTATCGATGCTAAGCTACTTCTACTAAATATGGATTAATTCATGATTGCAAATAACAATTCTGTGCTGTAAATACTTGTATCGGATGTACATGTGAAAGTATGCCATTTGATAGGATATTAACCGAATAACGCTTAAAACATATTCCATATTTTGGGTGCTATATCAACAAGTATAAACAATCATTTGACATGTTTCAAAATACAATGATCTTATTAGATTAGGCCCTATTTGGTTAGTAATCGAGAAATACGGTTATTTTTGGATGTTCAAGATGTAGCTGGTAGAAGTTCGTAATATACATTGATCAATTATGACTAAAATGTTATATATTAGGAAAGATTGAAATCATTTTAAGCATGGTGAAAGATTACGCGATCAAAATCGACCTAGGTGTGGGGCTATCTCTTATTAGCTAGAGGAATCATGAAAGAGTCATTTAGGTCCAGGATATTACATTTCGATCAAATCCTACGTTTCATGATGAAAAATAGAAATTTTATCACAGAAGGCGAAGCGGAGGGCTCCAAGCAATTACAATTTAAGTCACAAGATCAAATCCTAGCTTTTGTGATGAAAAGTAGAAATTTGATCGGAAAAAGCGAAGGAAAGAACTCAAACACAATTAGAATTTTAGTTATTTGCGTTTTCGTTATTTATTGACTTGGATGCTGATTGAAGTCGGCTAAAAGAAAAAGGAATAACTTGTTGTGTGATAAATATTTGTGTTATAAATTTTGTAACACCTTGTTGTTTGTAAATTCAATTATAGCAATCAGACACAAGGGATATAATAAAGATATAGTTATCGTCTATGAAACTAAGCCTCTGGATACTTATTATGAGCTATATTGCAATAGTAATAGTCAAATAGGCATCAAAAATCATCCGTATACAGTATAGAAGGACTTCTCGATTTAAAGATTCTATCTTGGCTATATGATTTATACACAGTAGCTTCTCTTCTCTTGTGGGCGAATTCAGTAATCTAATTTATTTGTAAACTTGAAGCAAAGAGCAATACGGGCATAGAAGTGTTTAGACCTTGCTTACAGCTAAGAACTACCATACATGTGAGGAATAGAAATCATCTAGGTATACAGGCATAAAAAATTTAAAATACGTGCTTGGAATATAACATTAATACTCTTAATACGATACTGAGATACTACTTGGCCCTCTAATTCAGAATTATGAGGCTATGAAATAAAGCTATTAAGGTAAAGCAAAATCTAGAGCCTAAAACTAACATGCTAAACTACTAATTATGCAGAAGTTTGTAATCGATTGAGGTAGAGTGTAGGCTGTTGCAATGAACTAATTTAGAAATCTTATTAATAGTAAGATTACAAGTGCAGAGAATTAGCTCTTCCGCACATTTAGTTTTAAAATATTGCTACTGCTATCATAAATAAATGAAATTGCTTTAGAGATGATGGTAAATGAAAAGGATAATCTCTATGATAGATAAATAAATTTCTATATCGCTCCCGGCGACAATTAACGTAATAAAAGTAAAAGATACATTCGAAAATTAACTATCTAAGTTGTTAAATTTCAATAAGCTAAAAGAAATGAACGGCAAAATCTCTCAGATAGGTAAAGGATTTAGTTAATTAAGATGCTTCTCTGTTAAGACTGAGATTGTATGCTATTATAGGCATAACAGCTACAGCTAACAACCTCTTCTATGTGCAACTAAAGGTGTACAATATTCACTGTAGAGATATCATCACATCTAGAAATTTGATAAATTTTATGAATTATAACGTTTAACAAGACGCTGAGTTAAATGCTTTCCATTTCTGTAATCTAATTATTATTATTACCTGTTTGATAAGGTTAGTATTAATTGTGATTAATTATGAAGTGAGAAATGATCCATTAAATAGCAACGGAATAGGTTATATCGATTTTATGAAATTATACCGATAACTCGGACTATATTATCATTATACACTATCATAATGATCGAAACTGGATCTAATTGGCTTTATTGATGATAATGCAAGTGTGTTGCATGACAGGACTTTAACAAGTTGTCTGGCTACCGTATGGCATCAATATGATTTATACATTGTATACATTTGAAATTAATCAAACCATATGGTTGTACCTTTCAAATCAATGTGTTGCATTCAGTTATTCATAATGATAGTAGATCTTATGATATCAATATGCTCATCACTTATCGAGTGCAGTAATCTGACACCTTTTCCCAGAAAATATATTTCTCTGCAATATCTTCAACTAGAACTTGAGTCCATTTGCAAATTATAATACCCAATATCATTCTTGTCTAGAAGAAAGTACTATGTACTATGAAAAGATTAATATAAAACTTCTCAGCTCTCTACCAAGTGAACTGTTATTGCTCTACGAATAAATGCATTCAGAGCTATCAGTACCGTTATATATTGTATCAGATTTAAAAGCACTAGTGTACATTTATATAGTCACGTAGGTACATGGAATGTGATGCAACTTTAGGTTAGTGGTAGAAACGAATAGGTGGAAACGAATAACTTCAATTGTAATAAGAAATCTAGATTTAAAACTATGATACGAAGTATTATTAAGATAAATTTGAGAGTAAATATCTATAGTTTGTACCTAATTTGTTTGGAGTTTATTTTGAGATTATAAAGATTTTTGTGCGATTGCCTAACTAAGATTAGTCTGATGAGAGTAATATTTTTACTACGCTGCTAGAATTCATTAATCCGAGGATATAGGCGGAGGTCTACCATGAAGATCAATGTAATAATATAAGTAATACTAGTGACTGGTCGAAATACATATTATCTACAGTGCAAGATAGTACGGCATAGTAGTTTATTAAGCTCAATTTTGAACACACTGTTTTGTTCTAGCTATGATATATGTGTTCGTATATCTAATGCAAGTGAATTAAAATATCTTTCCTCTGTTTACACACCTAGATTAGCAACGTCAATATTTCTAATATCTTAGTTTACCGAGCTTAATAGAAGAATACAGGTTCTATTCTATGAGATATACCATATTCATTGGTAATAAATATATCCAGAATTGAATAGCAAATATCTGACATAATAGTTTATTCAGTTTAATTTTGAAAATACAGGTCTAAATATCGTCGTTTACTCAGTTTAATATAAGAATGCAGGTTCTCTTGCATAGTATATACCGCACTCATCGGTAATATATACATATCCAGAATTGAATAACAAACATCCTGCATAGTAGTTTATTAAGTTCCATTTTATTCTAGTTATTATGTATGTGTGCATATATCCGATGCAAGTGAATTAAAAAATATCTTTCTCAGTTTACACACCTAGATTAGTGACGTTAATGTTTCTAAAATAATATCGTACTTTATTTAGCTTAATATAAAAATGAAGACTATATGTATAAGTTCTGTTCTATAATATGTGTATAGCGACTATTTTTATATATCGTACTCATCGGTATTAATATATGCGTATATCCAGAATTAAAAAGCAAATATCCGCTCCTGTTCATATAGACTTATGAAATGAAAACTTCTAGTATGATATAGTGATTAAGAGCTCCATTTTGAGAATGACCCGACCCATTTACATACTGTTGAAATAAATGCTTCTACTATAATGTAATATTTCAATGAGCTCAATTTGAGAATGCAAGCTCTGTTCTTAGCTGCAAGGAGTGTGTTACGATATATATAGCTTATTTGATATGAATCAATGGTAGCTATTTCTTCTTGCTTATATAGATTGAAAATAAATGCTCGTAGTACGAGTAGATTATCTAGTTTGCTATGCGAATGCAACTTCTAGTCTACAATATAGTACTTCAATTAGCTCAATTCGAGAATGTAAGCTATAAAGAGTGTGTTACGAGATATATATATAGCATATCAGATATGAATCAATGGTAACTATTTCTTGCTTATATAGATTGAAAATAAATGCTTGTAGTACAAGTAGATTATCTAGCTTGCTATAAGAGTACAGTTTCTAGTCTACAATATAGTATTCCAATGAGCTCAATTTGAGAATACAAGCTTTGTTCTCAGCTATAGTTGAGGAATGTGTTATATATAGCATATCAGATATAAATCAATGGTAACTATTTCCTCTTGCTTATATAGATTGAAAATAAATTCTTGTAGTACAAGTAGATTATTTAGCTTGATATGAGAGTGCAGCTTCTAGTCTACAATATAGTACTTCAATGAGCTCAATTTGAAAATGCAAGCTTTGTTCTCAGCTATAATTAAGGAATGTATTATATATAGCATATCAGATACGAATCAATGGTAACTATTTCTTCTTGCTTATATAGATTGGAAATGAATACTCGTAGTATGAGTAGATTATCTAGCTTGCTATGAAACTACAACTTCTGGTCTGAAAGGTCCATATACAATTTGTTGCTTAAGCGTATATAATGTTCCTCCGTCCAATGTCATATTACTAGTCTTATAGACTAACGAAGTGAACAGTATTAGTACGGTAGAACAACTTACTGAGCTCAATTTGGACAGTGCAAACTCTCTTCCCAGCTCTACGTTATTCGATATTGCGAAATTGCCACGCTATATTCTTTACTCTACGTAGGCAAGAAAATCAGGATACTTTCGCCATAATATACATGCACTTTATAAGATTTACAGGATATCAACGCATGCAGATATATGAGCAATGTACGGTATAAATAATTGCAATAGCTTTAATTCGGCTTGTCTATGTTAATCTATAGCAAATAAGCTCCTATTTGGAATCAATTTCTAAGTTTAAAGAGCTGCCATATCGATTAGGTAGAGCTGATTTCCGTTTATCCATTTGCAAGGCTATAAAAGATAGTATAGCGTATAAGGTATGTTACCGAACAGTAGTATACTACAATAATATTCGGTAGTATTCAGAATACTATACGGACGGACTGCTGGTTGGAAGACCCTGATCCTCCAAGGGAGTGTAAGGTGGCATCGCTTACGGCCACATGTTTATAGGTATTAGTATCAAAACAGGTTGCATGTTTGATACATAGTATAGAGAAACGTGTCGAAGACTTAAGATTAATATATATCATTTATTATTATAGGCGTAATCATTCGACAACCCTTTGCAATCCAGGCCCAAAATTGCTCAATCTATCCTTTCTACTTCGTTTCTAATCGTTATTTCCAGCATAAACTGCGTGGATTGGACTTTATTGGTATTATCCTTGAGCAGCTATAGTGATTACAGCTAAAATTAGGGTTGAAAAATGTGCAACGTAGAAGATCAAGATCTTCTACCTCCCAGTAAGGCAAAGAATGCGAGGTAAGATTTGCTTAATTAAATGCAGCAATATTCAATTTAAAATCCAAGCCATGGATAAACATTAATTAATTAAGACACTAAATTATGGTGATTTTGCACTGAAATAGACTGCAATTATATCTTATGTAAGTGTTTAAGGGTGTTTGTTGCTCAAGTGTAGACTAGCGTCTATATACAAATTCGATTCGATACTGTACATGCTCGATGAGGTTTGCCTTTGCATCAATAGTCTCGATATACTCTTTAAATGTATCATGATCTATTGGCAGATATAAAGTTGGACATGCGATCTCGTATAGGAGCATTTTATTGTAGTCGATGGTATACAGTATTTTAGTAGTATAATTTGTTGTTAAATAGTATACGAGCATGAATAGATTCAATTCTGCAGCTACTGGATGTAGGACTATTTGCAATCGATAATTTATTATAGAAGCAGTGTTGTATGGTCGTAACATTTGCGATGAAATAATATACTAGCATGAATAGATTCCATTTTAAAGATAGTACATAGGTGCATGCACTTGCAGTAGTAGTCCCAATGTCAAAGATTGCAAGTCATTAACAAATAGTGTTATAAAGAGATTACTACTTGTAAATGTAAATATTCAATTTCGTAAAGTAGTACATGAAAATAATCAGCAAATATAGTCATTACCACTGTATTACATAAAGATAAATGCTGACTGTTTCAATCTGGAACAGAATAGGCCTGATATAAGGCTAACCTCCAACAATTGATTTATTCCTTGCGAAATTTCATAAAGTTTAAGATAGCATATCACTGTTAATGCCATAGAAGACCTGAATAGTTGACCAATGTTCTTTGTAATTTCATTTATAAAACCGTTTACAACACATGGAAATCCTAATTCTTGCCACTTACAAGTCGGACTTGTATCAAATGTAAGGAAGTAGCTCAAATAGTTCTCAGAGCGGATAACTGTTATTGCAGGTTGGTAGAGAATAATAAAGCGCTAAAATATAGAATCAAGCACATTCAGGCATCTATGAGGGTATTACATATCATGTGATATCCTGTCAATATCTCATGAATGTTAAAATTGAATTGGGTATGCACGCGTATGTAGATATAACAGATCGAAACTTGGAATAATGCATGTGATCACTTATATAGTTGCATATAATCATAATCAACTTTTAATATAATTTGATCCGAAACTTTATATTATCCACACTTAACATTTGTAAAGTATGAATGAAGTAACTACTTCATTCTGATCAAATCATGCTTTCTTTATTCTCATTAGATCTTGTTTCATTGCTTATTTTACTCACAAATTTCGAGCAACTATTGGAAAGTCTAAATTGATCAGATCAAATGAAAAGGTACCTTTGTCGAGATAAGTATTGTAGTTATCAATGTGCAATAATACAGTATATATTCATAGTCTATGTTGGTGATAATCTCTATTGCATATTTATTTGGATAACTACTGGGCTATGGATTAGAATACATATTTCTTGTATATAGTATCTCATATTGTAATGCTTTTATATATCGTATAAAATGATCCAATATTGTTCATTTATCAAATATTCCGTTGTCTTACGTGTAAAGTGAATACTATATTTACAGTCTATATGCAATATGTGTCACTGATAGCATGATAATCATCCATTTTGACAATACTTGCATTCTTGTAGGTTTTATTGGCATTCTCTGGTGGCCCACGATCTTCAGCTATGCTATATTTAGTCCATGAGGTTAATAAACACAGTTAACTTTACCAACTGATATAGCCTAGGCAACCCTATAAAAATTAATCTTCTACGTTATTCTATGATTATGGTTGTTGCGGAAACTGCTAATGATAATAGTTAAGCTCTGCAAGCTATGTAGTTATTTTCTGGTAATTATTTTGATAGGGCCTGTCTGAAAATATTCATAAAAAGCTGCGATTTCTACCTGGAGTTGTATTTATAGATGGTATAGTCAAAATGATAATGAGTTGTAAAGAGTCTGCGTAATGTAATGGTTTCTATCAAGTATTGCACTGATATACTGTACATGGATTAATTATTAATAGATGGTGCAATCCTACAGCTATCGGAAAATGAACGGCGTAATTACTTAGAATTTATTCGCACAACCGTATCGAAGACAGGTTTTCCGTTATTTTGCGAGAGTTTAGGAAAGGTAAATGTACAAACTCGCACATATTTATGTTCACTATTGGGTTTAAAACTACTGAATGAGTATAAAAATTAGCGAAATGGTGGCCTTATCTGGCTGTACATTCTATTATCTAACTCTTTCTTGGATATAACATGTCAGATATTTCCAACCAATCAAGATACCAATATCCAAAGTAATCTCTTATCGTCGGACTTGAGCAACACTACTCGTAGCGACGCTACTTCAAGTTCTAATTTTGACCTAGATACTTTAATTAAAAGATTTAAAAATGATGAACTAAAAATCGTGCAAGTTTTCGAAAAGTTACCCAACTCTACAGCTAAAGAGGACATGTTACATATTTTAAGGTAACGTATAGATTGTAATAGTCAATGGCATTGTTTTTCCAGTCTTATAAAAGTTTTACTGTAAATCATTTCGAAATACTTAGAAAAAAATTAATCCAACAAATTGCTGAAGCGAACGGTTATACAAAGGTAATTATTGCAGTTTTTACTAAGAGGATATTATCTATAAAACGTTAATTAAAATAAAGCAAGATTAATTTTAATATTTAATCCAAACATTAAACGAATAGGTTATGTTTGCTGATTGTGGAACTAGGCTAGCAGTCAAAATTTTAAGTGATATTGCTCAAGGCCGGGGCTCATCGGTTGCACATGACGTGGTAACTAGCCGAGTTTCTCATATGTCTAATTTCAACGTTATTATAGCTTTTTTAATACTCATTAATGATACTGTATACGTATTTTTCTCGTATTCATTCCTTTAAGACCTTTGCTGATGAGAGAAATCAAGCAGTCACTCTCGTTAGACCTATGAGGTTAATGCACAACTGAATGTAAACTACACTAGACAAATTACTGGCCTAAGAGAAATCAATTACTTTCATTATATGTTATTAACAACAGGGAATTTCTGACGAAAGAAGTTGCAAATTATTTGACGCTGAAAAGTATAGATTACAGAACTAGGTTATCCTTAACAACTATGGTAAGAACAAGCATGGGAAATACGAAAGCAATAATAAAATTGAACAATCTTACAGTCTTAACTATAAACTATTCTCAAGTCATTTACTCTGTCCAATAGATAGCTACTTTAATTGATGGCTGGTAAAAATATCAATTTTTTGTATATTGCAACAGAAGCCGGTTAAAAGTAGCATCGAACGTTTAACTGAAAATTTTGTTACAGACTTGCAGGTGTATTTTTATTGCTTAAAAATTGGCCATTGTTAATATTAGGATATCGTCATAGCATTTGCATAATTCATTCTTATAATTACATCTTGGTATAGGCCAGCTTTCCTTCAACAGTAAATACCATTTGTAGGTCAGTAAAATATAAAAATTTATGAATACATCATTCTTTACTGAAGCAGGAGCAATTATTATTTCGATATGTAGAACTGGAGATAAATTATCAGTAGGGGATACTTCCAAGATTGATGCTGATGCAATTTGTCCTTTATGCGACGTAAGAACACTTGTGTGATTAGACAATCATCCGATTTTGTTGTTATTATATCATGATAATTAGTTGTGTTAACGTTTGTATTCAGTCTCGCATAGATACCAACAATAGCTTGGAAGGTAAAACAACATCTAAAACTACATCTAAAATATGTCAGAATACTGCTGGTAATTTGCTTCCTTATAATTAAAAGCGTTTTTCAGTTATTTAGTAATTTTTCTGCAGTATCTCTAATGAATTATTATCTTTAGATTCTTGCTGCGGTGAAGGTGATGGTTCCTGCAATAGAATTGCAAGGATAAAGTATGTAAATACATGCAAATGCATAGATCAGTATTTAAGGGTTTTAGTAATCTGTATCAATTGTTAATTTTGTTTTCAACAGCTTAACTGCTAAAGAAATCGAAGATAGACTGTGTTATGGTATGAGGTTTACAATGATTAACTTGATGAATGAGAAATTTTGATATTGTATACGTCATGATGTGAGACAAAATTACACGGTTTATTGATTACATCTAATCACAATTTCTACGTTTCTATTTAGGTTGTAGGTTAATATTCCATAGCAATGTAAGTTTCCCTTTATTCCTGATTTGCAATTTTTACACTTTTAGAAATTAAAAAGTAATTAAAAACTCAATACCTTTGTAAAATAGAATTGGGAAATGGATGATTTACCCCAGTTTCTGATAGATGCTATTGAAAAGCAATTGAGGAGGTAAAATTGTTGATAGTGTTATGATATAATTACCAATTAGTTTTCGCAAGAGTCATTTTTGAGGTTACATTCTTGCACTATATTAATAAATAGCAAATACGATAGACATGTAAATATGTACGATTATAAAAAGTTATCTTTTTGGCTATTAGGAAAAGATTGAAAGAAGAAATTGAAGAGTTCTTATTGGATTAATTTTAGAACTTATTTCAATTTATAGTTAGCGAGCTATCTTGAATGAAATTCTGCCTAAGAAACATGTATGTAGTAACTTTACTGTGTATTCTTCGACAGGATATTTTGTAAAAATTTCGAATCTTGTTTATAGTTCTCGATTCTACTTTGAAAATGTGCACTATACGCGTAGCTAAAAATGTCAATAAAGCTAAACTGATTCGATATTAAGCTTAGGAATTGGATGATTTGATCTCTGTTTTACTAATAAAGGGGAATTCCTTAATATTGTCTATGCAATCAAGTAAGAAGATATTATAATTTTACTGCACACTTTAGTACTCCACAGTGGTGCAATAGTTTCATATTACATTCGCCGAATTAAGCTTTCGATTGTAAGGTAAAATATATGTACGCAATCTATAGTAGGGTAACTGTTAAGCGAATATCATCGAATACCGAACACAAACAGGGTCTCTTATAGTTTGTTTATTTATATATTATTATTTGAAAATAAGAATACAACTATTCATTAAAAGAAAGGCATCAGATTATATTTGATAGCATTGTTGTAATATAAATTTTTAAGATACTGCATACATTCAATTGTAAACTGTATGAATCCTACAAGCCGCTGCGTTGCATGTTGAAAGTTGAAGTGGCTTTTACGTAATCCAAAGTTAAAAGTTTAAAAATTGACAGGGTTGCATGACTCATCAGGCTTTGATAGTCAATTATCACCGTGAATAAATAGCGGTTAACATGTGATCGATCATCTATATTACTTAGTAAGTTTAAAAACTTTTCTAAAATGTGTAGTCGTAGCACCTAGTAATTATGTTACCTATCGTAATTAGACATTTATATGATTGTATGAAAGACTTACATCTAGGCGTGAGATTAAATTTGTAATGCATTTGGCTGCAATCAGGTTATATTATCAATGAGTGTATCCTAATCTGAGTAAAGTCAATAATACAGTACAGTAAGATATAGTCTGCGTGACTATAACTTTGTAATAATTAACTAATGTACAGTACACTGAGCTTACGTCAATTTACATATAATACGTCTAGAGATATAATTCATAATGTAATTTTGTTGCAATTGAATTATTATAGAAGGTATCATAGTCTGCATGCAAAATCAACAATAGTCGTATAATACAGTAAGATATACTCTCGCGTAGTGACAACAGTTTTTTACGAAGCAATATGCCTAAAGCTTATAATGTATAGACATACAATAGACGAACAAGATGTAGATAGAATGAATAGCGGTTATTTGAATAGCTAGTGATTAGTTTCACCGGCTGCTGTTGGCTTGATTTAGGTGGACCGTGATTCATTTTCATTATTACTCCTTATTCTACCATGATGAGGTATTAAATCTGGTATTCCGTCCACAATAGGATAAGCAACGTTTAATTTATCAGAGATTAACTCTGTTTTATCATCATTTAACCTAAATAGTAGAAAATATATCAATGATAGCATTAATTAAATACAGGAGGTATAATGTCCCTACATTTAAGCTCATATCCGGTAAGAAAATACATATATCGAAATAGCATTACAGGTCCTTGCCGTATTCATCTTAAAATACAGCAATGATGTTGTATTAAATAACACAAGCGAAAGGAGATCGAGATCTCTCGTATTGACTGCAGCAACATTTTACAGCATGTATTACCTTAATTTATCCTTGCTTAAGGGACATGCTAAATATCGAATGAAATCTTCTTTATTAACAGTTTGTTTTGTTGATGTATTCCTAGGCATGTTACTATTGAGCCCATAACTGTGATGAAATGGACGTAGGAAGGCGACTAAAGCCCGAGGACCTCGATACCTGATCGACCTGCAAAAAATGGACAGGAATGACTTGGACTTTAGCGTCAGCAATCAATTTTTCATCTTGTGTATACTGTATGTGTTACATATAATTGAATTCTTGTTGTTTTGCATCAGCAAGTAGAATATACTGTCCAGTATTGATAGGAAAGAGCACTTACATGATAATCGGTTTAATGGTAGTTGATATTAGAGAATGGAATCTGCAAAATGTTGGTTGTTAGCCGCTTGTAGAAAATCATCAGATAGTATCCAAGCGATGTTGTTGTACTGTACAGTACTGCTAGAAGAAGCTGTACTGTACCGTACTGTACTGTACAGTACACTGTGGATTGTACTGTGACACGGGGAGCGGATCAACTTGATTCTACTGCAGTACCCTGGATTGGAGAGAAATAAATTACTAACTCGTGCAAAAATTGCTTTCTTTCTTTCTTGATTTCACTCTTATGCTATGCATAAAGTCGAATACAGTAAACTTTTATAGCTCCATTGCAATCTACTGCACTCAGTGCACTGTGTATCATACTCCATTGGAACTTATAGACCAATGCATAGTATAGATTACTACCGTCAATGGCTTGCAGCCAACTGCTCATGATGTTGTTGTTTAGTGGAAGATGGTTGAAGAATACGAAAATAAACTAAACGTAGCTATGCAGCTACTTCTTTTCCTTTCCATTTTGCTTCTATACTATCAATGGAGATTATCCAACTAATATATTGGGCTCCTAAGCCTCATTCTAATCTCCAATAATGCATCTATCTCAGCCAGCAGCTGCAACCTCTCACTGTACTGCTATATAGAACTCCTTCAATATTCAACACGAGTTCTATACTGCAGGCAAGAATGTATGGGACCAATTGACTTGACCTGCAGGTGAGATTCAGATACAACGAAAAGTCACTGCAAATGAGACTGACTTGACCTGCAGGTCAGATTCAGATACAAGGAAAAGTCACAACGAATGAGGCTGACTCGACCTGCAGGTCAGATCCAGATACAACGAAAAGTCACTGCAAATGAGACTGACTCGACCTGCAGGTGAGATTTAGATACAAGGAAAAGTCACTGCAAATGAGACTGACTTGACCTGCAGGTCAGATTCAGATACAACGAAAGTCACTGCAAATGAGACTGACTTGACCTGCAGGTCAGATCCAGATACAACGAAAAGTCACTGCAAATGAGACTGACTCGACCTGCAGGTGAGATTCAGATACAAGGAAAAGTCACTGCAAATGAGACTGACTTGACCTGCAGGTCAGATTCAGATACAACGAAAGTCACTGCAAATGAGACTGACTCGACCTGCAGGTCAGATCCAGATACAACGAAAAGTCACTGCAAATGAGACTGACTTGACCTGCAGGTCAGATTCAGATACAAGGAAAAGTCACTGCAAATGAGACTGACTTGACCTGCAGGTCAGATTCAGATACAAGGAAAAGTCACTACGAATGAGACTGACTCGACCTGCAGGTCAGATCCAGATACAAGGAAAAGTCACTACGAATGAGACTGACTCGACCTGCAGGTGAGATTCAGATAAAACGAAAAGTCACTACGAATGAGACTGACTTGACCTGCAGGTGAGATTCAGATGCAGGGAAAAGTCACTACAAATGAGACTGACTCGACCTGCAGGTCAGATTCAGATAAAACGAAAAGTCACTACGAATGAGACTGACTCGACCTGCAGGTCAGATTCAGACAAAACGAAAAGTCACTACGAATGAGACTGACTTGACCTGCAGGTGAGATTCAGATACAAGGAAAAGTCACTACGAATGAGACTGACTCGACCTGCAGGTCAGATTCAGATAAAACGAAAAGTCACTACGAATGAGACTGACTTGACCTGCAAGTCAGATTCAGATAAAACGAAAAGTCACTACGAATGAGACTGACTCGACCTGCAGGTCAGATTCAGATAAAACGAAAAGTCGCTACGAATGAGACTGACTCGACCTGATTGACTCCTATTTAGGGACGCGTACAGATAAAATTTCATGGCAAAAGCCAAACAGACTCACAGTGTCAAATATTTAAGAGGAAATGTATGCCGCTGGTAGGACCGTATGAGACGCTGGCAAAAATATCACTCGACGTTTTTCAAGATTGACGCATTCTGTAATACTCACTTTTAACTGGCTACTGGAAAAGGCAGCGGGCTGACGCATGCGTTGTTTTCATTGTCTCTTCTCCTTTGTGTGTCTCTATGTTAGGACGGTGAGAGCATTTTTCCTCCAATTCTGCTATCGCCAAACGAAGAAAAGCAATTTACCAATGGTGTTATTCCACTTTCAAGTGACAAATTCACGCTAGAAGAAGATTTTCTTGTTCAAATTTAGTCTTATCGTTGCCCCTTTCAAATAGAAGAGAAATAGAGACGTCCATGAATACACAGGACGTTATTGTCAAGATGAATTGCAGTCAAGTGCAGGTAATGACTTGGTCCAAGGAACGATCGTGTTCCATCAACCTTGTATTAAAATGGATCTAGTCCAGTTATTTTCTAGCGACTATTGGTTATATTCCATTAAAATGGAGTAGAATTATATTCTATCGTTGTAGTGGCTGCATTTAGATGCGTACTCTTCTACTTGTACGTTATTTCTACCATCCGAATTTGCATTGGACAGTAGACAAGAATAAGTTGTTTCAAGGATTAGCCATGCATTTCACTTGTCACTACCGTAAGCTAGGGATATGAATCGACAGTAGATTAATATTGATATTGTCATGTCTGACTAAATTACAGTAATCTGTGACAGTATTGAATAATTCAAAAAAAAAAAGAAAGAAAAAGAGAATGCCTAATAGGATACCATGTAAATAACAATCTTGGTTGAATGAGCTAAGACCATACAGTTAACTTTATAGCCAAGACTCTATCCTTCTCACTATGGATGCTGTCAATGAAGCATTGTCTATAACTTAGGCCTAGCCTAAGCAATCAATGTAAATCCTTATTGGATATCACCAGATTTTTTATCATATTGAATGATCATCAAGCAGAGTATAATGGTCAACGTAGTTCGTAAAGCAGAATATTTGTGAATTTCAATTTCTTATAATAGTAAATACAAAATAGCTACAATTTTGATGCTAAAGTAAATATAGTAAGAGTAAAGTATGAAGCAGTCGCGTTGTAGGGTAAAGTATAGTGCTCATTAAAAGTTTCATGATTGTACAATAGTGAACACATTATATAGCACTTGTGTATATTTTACTTCTCTTATAGTTAACTATACCCTGTAGACTTTAGAATTTTACATGCAGTAGTTGATATACTGTCAAATGCCTACTAATCACGTAGTCGCTTGGAAGTCACAATTGCAAGATTGCCTTCCCTTCTAATTGACTGCCAGTTACATACAGTAGACGTGTACATATGGTATAGAACATTAACAGTAAACACATATACTCGTATGTATATAACATATATTGATGTACTGTATTCATAACATATTATTTTGCAAATTGAGCAACAGTATATACACGATGACGCTTCGTATTAGCACTACATTCTAACGTATCACTACCTTGCTTACGGGTTACCTGAATACAGATTATCATTTATAAATATTAGCCTAGGTATACTCTACCATAAACTACTAGATACACGTTTAGTATATAGTAATTCATCACAGTGTACGCCTAGAGATAGTAAAAAATTGACCACAATAATTAGAAATCTTTTCTCGAGTCATCTTAAATTTTGGATAAAAGCTTTATAATTCTTATTTGTCAGTTTGTTACCGTTACAGGATAGAATACCAGTTTAATACCTTTTAAAGTATAGGAAATAACTGATAGTACATTATTGGATACAGAAATGGAGTTGTTAAAATTTTAGTTTGGAATGTATTCAATTATCATAAACGGATACCTACTGTATAATTACGTCTAGCATTCTATCAACGGTACAGTATTGTCGATAATATAATTATAATCATTTAATTTCATCATTGGTTATGTTAACTAGGATATAACATTCGGAAGTTTTACAATAGCCGATAATTCAAAATTCTTTATAGATGGCAAGCTAAAATCTTGCTCTGCTGCATTGGTAAGAAATAGCTATTATCGTTTAACACTTTTATCTGATTTTTCTATATACAAGGGATCTATTTTTCATTTTATGATACTTACCTTGACTACTTACAAAGTGATACTAAACATTATAGTCTGCGTGCATAGAAAGTACGATTGCCTTCGCTATAATGTTTCTTACGCTACACTTTACCATCAGTATAATGGATAATTTACCTTAAATACATCTCTTATCGAATGAATATAACGTTTTATTTGGCATTGTATCCTTATAAATGATAAAATACATACCATTCAATGGATAATGTGATTATGATATTCTTGCATTGTTTGCCCTCTAAACTATTAGTTTCTGTGGGATCTAAAAGATGTGTATGATAAGCAACAATTGGAAGGTAATTTAAGTAGTAATGTAACACTATGAATTGTAAATCTCAGAATTATAGATCAAATGATTGCTCCTCTTGCACAATCATTGATTTTGTACGTATTATACTGTATGCAATGATTAAATGTTTAGACGAATGTTTTTTATGTGCGCTACTAACCGTGCGATATCGATTTAAAGCGACACTTGAAATAATGATTATATGCTTAATGTTAGCTGAAATATGAACGATATGATGGAATTAGGTTAACACATACTGTCACTCTAGCACTGATGTATTCAATTTTTAGCATGTTCGTATTCTATTAAAAGGCCTATATGCATGTTTTAGATAAATGTTACAAACGCATCAACTTTATTTTGAAACTTTTTCTACAGGCTATGACTGTGGATCGGATAAACTACATATCTTACTCAAGGCTAAAGAAGCATGCTCTAATAAAGTTCAGCCGACGCCAGAAAATGCTAACTTGTCTTCATCAAATGCACCTATAAATACTGCAGAGACGGATGGTAATATTGTTATCACGCTATCAATTCATTGATCCAACGTTAATATTTGCTTAAGAATACGATTATGAAATTGTAGAACTTTCATGCAATCATCATCGCCAATAAATATGCAATAGCTAGGTTTAAAATTGATATTAATTGCCCGTTTACTTATAAAATGATTCCTTTCTTTTCGGTAAAATAGGTCACGATTGTAAACTAAACGATACTCAGAGTAGCTGTGACGATAGTCCGGCGGATTGTACTACTGAGAAACAAATTGATCACAAAGTTACTCTGACTTTTGCCAATATTCTAAAAAAAAATCTACCAAAACAGCCTAAGGAGCATCAGACGATACCTGAAAATGATCAAAGTCCCGCTAATGAAATAAATTTTCCTGTTCAAAATAGCGAAAATGATCTTTCTGCGCTAGCAAGAATATTTCAGGAGACATTAAATTTTAATTTTATGCCTTTCAAGCCTCGAGGATTAACCAACAAAGCGAGTTTCTGCTTTATCAATTCGACTTTACAATCATTACTAGTTTGTTCACCTATACACAGAGCCTTAAGAAAGATTGGCTCTTTTCCAACACTTCAACAGACAATTGGTGACTGTCGGACACCAGCAATTAATGGTATGGCAGCTTTTGTAAACCAGTTCGACTTGCTGGAACGTCAGGAATACGAAAAGACTTTCGGAAAATTGTTAAAAGCTGGCAAGGAAGTTCGATTTGATAACCCTTTCGAGCCTCAATGTATATATGAAATGTTAGCTATTCTAAGACCTTCCATGGCAAAAGGGGAGAGACAAGAAGATGCGGAAGAGTTCCTTGGTTGCATGTTAGATAACTTGCACGAGGAAATAGTATCAATATCACCTGAAAAATCGTCTGCCTCTGATCAAGCATCGTGTGAAAATGATATAGATAATATCAATTCTGGCGATGGTGAATGGCAACAGGCATTATCAAAGAAAAAGAGCGCAATTAGTAGAACGGTAATTAAATAAATTTCATACTTAAATAGTATTACTTCTTAGTCCTTTCATTATGTCAATTACACTTATTTTTCTGTTATTTGTTTAGATTGCTCAGAATCATTCATTGATTAGTGAAACTTTTGGCGGAGAGATACGGTCATCCATAAAATATACTAACGAAAAACAATCCAATACTTCTCAGCCTTTCTTTACGCTACAACTAGACATCCATGTATGACCTACAAGAATTTATTACTTAGATAAACTTTCAAGTTCTTTATATGACATTACATAAACAATTTTACTTTAACATTATTATCAATTTTCCTACACAAAGGATTCTGAAATAAGCCATATTAAGGATGCAATTAAGAAGTCAATGGGATCTGAACAAGTAGAACATTATATTTCTGGCAATGATGGAAAGAAAACAAAGGTTATAGAAATTTTTAAAATTTATTTTCATTATTAACTTATGTCTTAGTAGACAACACGGGAAACAATTTTATGTTGATTACTCGGTAATTTATCTTTATTTTACTTAATCAACCTCAGGTCGAAGCAACAAAGAAAATGTCTTTTGAACGTCTTCCTAAAATCCTAATTCTTCATTTAAAGCGTTTCATATTTGATCATGGAATTTGCCAGAAACTTACAAAAGATGTAAATTACGACTTACAGTTGGAAATCGATAAAGGTAACTATTCAGTTGTTATAAAATTGTGACTTTTAGCTATGTTTGGCAATGAATTTCCTTGATTGTTGTTATGTAGAACTTTTATCCAGAGAATGTAAGCAAAGGTCGGAAATGTATAGGTCTTATCGGTTAATTTCGGGTATGAGAATTGATGGCACTGATCTCAATATCAAAATTAATATATTTTTGATACTGCATGCTTGCTACTTGATAGAAAAGTTGTCTAAAATTTATTTTTAAAGTCTTAATGTTGGAGAATTGAAGAAATTAACAATAGTTACAATTGTTGTAGTTGTCTTCCATCATGGTCTGCGAGCGGCCGGTGGCCATTACACTTGTGATGCTTATCATGCAAGCTTTAAACGCTGGATTCGACACGATGATACTATGGCTAAAACTATATCAGATAAAGAGGTACGTTTTACATCTCCACACATGACCATATCGTCAAATCTTTCATGCTCATAACACTGCAATTTATTACCAACGAGTCAAGCTATTTCAGCTTGTTATTTAACGAAACCTAGTGCTTCATTTCCTCGAGTCGTTAACGAAATGCCAATATATGTATCTTTTTATTCGCTCAGGTTATGAAATACGCAGAAGATCGTTGCGCTTACCTACTCTTCTATCAAAGGAAAGATCTATTCAACGCAGATAGCTAACTAAATGTCATCAAGAATATTTTTTAGCATTCAAATGTATCATAGGGTAAATATTGCTAATTTTCAGTGCCATAACTACATTACGTTATAGTTTAACTCAATCGCGTAATCATAATATAAAATTGTAATAGATTCCTACAACGCTTGCTTTTTAGCTTTGGCTGTTAAAATCGACACCATCTCCTTGTGAATGCCGCATGGGCTTTAAGAATGCAACCGTATCTAAACATAGTTTTTATTTGAATATGGAATATTAGCCAAAACGAATTATATTATCTGAAGTAATATGTCATTATTTCCACAATAAATTGCTGTAACATCTACTTATGTGCTTGGATAAGATTCATCAGCTGAAAAAACTCGGTGTTAATATATGCATTTATTTGTATTTTATGCAGATGTTGTAATGAAAAATGAAATTTATATTGCAGCTGTTGACATTTACTTACAGACTGTTACCGATTTCAACATTTAAAATATATATTGTCTGTTATGAAGTACTACGGATGGATTTTAAATAAAAGATTCTATTATTCAAAATCTTAGTAATTAACGGCTTCACTATTTGGCTCATCGCTATCTATGATATCATTTTGGTCTGTCTGTTGCTTCTTGAGCTTTCTTAATTTTCTTCTAAGATTACGATTGCGGCTAAACACGCTGTCGAACGATTCACTAGCCTTGATATTTCTGATTGCCTCGACCAAAAAACTGTCATTTTCAGTAGCCATGCTAAAAACTTTAAATCCATATTTTGAAAGGTAAAAAAACAATCAGTTAAATTACTTTATGAAATTAAAGTCGTAGATAAACATTTATGTTGAGAACAGTTTACAAAAATGTGAAAGTCAATGAACGATTAAAAAGATTAAATGAGGCAAGCTTTTCCACTTATGAAATTCTTATTACAGCTATAATACTTACACTGCCCCTCATTTCCACTACGGGCGGTGCGACCAGCCCGATGTAAATAATCAACTGCACTTAAAGCGAAATCATATTGAATAACTGCTGTAACGTTAGGAATATCCAATCCTCTAGATGCTATATCAGTTGTAATGAGGATAGGTATATCTCCATTGATGAATTTATTCAGAATTTCCTCTCTTACTTCAATTGGAATGTCCTTATGTAGTATACCGCACCTTAGCAAAATTGAAATATATAGTACAACAAAATGATTAACGTACCGTAAAATGCAAGAATTACAGCATAACATTCAGTTATTACAGTATGTGCACGAGATGCAGTATTGTGCTGCACACATATGTATGAAAGGAGAAGGATTTTCTTACAAGATACTAACCTGCCTTTCCACTCGTTTGAATACTGTGCTTTAAAATAGTTTTTTTCAAAATTTACAGTGTTTATAAGTTCTTCTTTTTGTTCAGGTGGTAATAGTTCAAAATGTAACGGTAATACACTCCTTTGTGGCTCTTTCATTAGATTAGGATCGGTACCATCAAGAAATCGATATAATGCAAATGCATGGTATGCTGTATTGGTAAATACTATCATTTTTAAATGATCACCCTTAGCTACAGGTGATCTGTTTAAGTTTTTGTTTGGAGTCATCTTGTTTTCATCATTATAATTACTTTTTACTTTATCTAATATATGCAATAATGTTTCCAATTTTTCGTCATTTTTAGTCATGATACAATCCGATTGTAACGTTGATATAATTTTGTGAACATTTTCAGTACGAGCTAAATGCACTAATGTAGGGTTTAACTTTTTGAGCCATCCATGTATTATGCCATATTCAGATTTTTCATTATTATTAGAAGGTAAGGTTGCTCCTACAAATAAATACTGGCAATTTTTACTATCTAATCCATGTCGAGTAATGGAACTACCACGACGAAGGTTGGGTATGCGTTTAGAACTACTTGATATTTCTACATTTACTTCCGTCATTTTTGTCTGTTTTTCCTCGTCTGCCTTCTTCGATTCAACCATTAATCGTTTACAATTGAGCATTGTCCAAACATCACGGCTAGCACTTCCAGTAACTAAAGCATCTGCTTCGTCTACAATAATCGTTTCAATACTATTCAGTAACGATGGCGCATGATATGTGGTAATGTTATGGGGAACACCAATAATTGCAGCTGTATTATCTTTTATCAATAGGGTGCTTTTTGATGTAACAATGGATGCAGTAAATTGATTATTTGGTACCAAGCTTCGGAATACGGTTGATATCTAAAATAAGAATATATGTATATATGGATCACTCATTGTAGCTTTACTGATGTATCTGTTGTACCATAGAAGAATGAAATGCATGATTTTGTTGCTGTTACAGAGTATCACAGTAGAAATGTAGGCGTTGTACAGTTTGCTTGTTCCTACCTGATGTACTAATTCAGCAGTCGGTGCCAATATCAATGCACGCGGTACTATTGGGCCTAGCTCATAGTCGGAATATAACTTATTTATCAGGGGCAAAAGATAACCTAGTCAATGAATATTAAAATACAAGGTAGAGAGTAAACGATGCTGCTATAGAATTTACTGTATTAACGTAAATAATTTATCCAGTAGATGTAAGCAGCATTGATAGCATGAATCAAATCCAGTACTCGTATAAAGTAAATGTCTACGTCTACAGTATGATTACCTATCAGTAGAGTCTATTTCGTCTTAGTTTTAAATAGTAGCTCGTAGTCATTGTCAAGAATAGTTATTGTTACTTTATGATGGAATCTTTTCGCGATATCTATGACTGCGTATTGCTTTACAGACAATATTGACTACTGATGACAAATTATGACATACCAGTGCTAGAGCAAGATATGAAAAAATTACAAATATAATTACAGAGAGTTTTTCCGCTTCCTGTTTCTGAATTTATGATTACATTACGTCCTTCCATGACGGCCTTGATTGACTATATGAATAACAATATCATTCATAAGTACATGCTAAAAATAATTAGCTTAAAAAGGTGCTATTTATTCAATATCAATAACATCCTGTTCCAACTATTACAGTCCATTTTTGATGATAGGAATGGCAATAGTTGAACTGAAGGTTACAAAAATTGATTTGTATAGGAAATGAATTATTCCCACTTTTATGCTAGTAATACTTGATATTGATGATAATCGGTACTGTACATCTACATGAAATGATTGTAGAATTGTTTTATTTTAATATTCTCTCGCTAGTAACATCAATCTGTTCATACAACTGTCAATAATATAATCATATACCGCTGTATATGTACACTTGTAGAGTAATTTAACTTTAGAGCTGTGCGACCGAATCAATTAGCATTGCGTATACGTATGTAGGGTGAAATTTGAGGACTCTATTCAAATTCATCGCATGTAGTATCCACAATTTTATCATAATATCTACACTATTATCATCCATTGAATAGCGTTGATTATTAATGCTGTGTGAACATCTTATATCATGCATAAGCTTGATGAAGAGATGTTTTATTTTTTGGCTGCAGCATGCAACCACTGCAATCCTGGATGATAAGACCTAACCTGAAGTTGGACTGGTGTCGGTTGAGAGAAACCCAAACTATCCAAGACAGTCATGACTTCCTCTCGAAATCCAAACTCTGCAAAACTAGTTAATGTATGCTTTACAGTAAGAGCAAAATGCCATCTCGGTAGCTTGCATAAGCGATTTAGAGCGATCATTTCTGCTCACGAGCTGAATTTGAGCTCCGAGCTTGATGATTTGATTGTGGAATGACGCAGACAGCAGTCGTTCTGCTTTGTAGTAGAGTGCTGCATACGCGTCTACAGTGCAGTACAGTATACTGCAGTATGGACTGGTAGCCCATGCGAGATATACTGTACAGTACTGTAAGATAGTAGTTTGTGTAACTATGACAGCACCAGTCACAGTCTATTTGCAGCGTGACTTGTACTGTACACTGTAAAGTACATACTGTATGCTGATTGAAGCGACCACTGGTCTAATCCAAAATCTGCAAAACTAGTTAATGTATGCTTTACAGTAAGAGCAAAATGCCATCTCGGTAGCTTGCATAAGCGATTTAGAGCGATCATTCTGCTCACGAGCTGAACTTGAGCTCCGAGCTTGATGATTTGATTGTGGAATGCCACAGACAGTAGTCGTTCTACTTTGTAGTAGAGTGCTGCATACGCGTCTACAGTGCAGTACAGTATACTGTAGCATGGACTGGTAGAGTGGTAGCCCATGCGAGATATACGTACAGTACAGTACAGTACTGTACTGTACTGTAAGATAGTAGTTTGTACCGTATAACTACTGTACTGTACACTGTACAGTACAGTACAGTATGACAGCACCAGTCACAGTTTATTTACAGCGTGACTTGTACTGTACACTGTACAGTACATACAGTACAGTACTTTATGCTGATTGAAGCGATCACTGACTGGTCTAATCCAAACTCTGCAAAACTAGTTAATATACAGTACGTATGCTTTACAGCAAGAGCAAAATGCCATCTCGGTAGCTTGCATAAGCGATTTAGGCGCTCACGATCTGAACTTGATGATTTGATTGTGGAATGACGCAGACAATAGTCGTTCTGCTTTGTAGTAGAGTGTACAGTACTGTAAGATAGTAGTTTGTACTGTATGACAGTACCAGTCACAGTCTATTTACAGCTGGACTTGTACTGTACTGTACTGTACTGTACAGTACAGTATGTTGATTGAACCGACCATACAGTGTACAGTACACTGGTCCAAACTCTGCAAAACTAGTTAATGTGCGTATGCTTTACAGCAAGAGCAAAATGCCATCTCGGTAGCTTGTATAAGCGTTTTAGAGCGATCATTTCTGCTCACGAGCTGAATTTGAGCTCCGAGCTTGATGATTTGATTGTGGAATGATGCAGACAATAGTTGTTCTGCTTTGTAGTACCATACCATACTAGTAGAGTATTGGTACGCGAACGCTTATGTTGTAGTCTTCTAGAAAGTTCTTTCGACTCTGCAACCAATTAGTTGTGACTACGTACAGTATCTGTCGTGCATCCGACGTTCAGTACGGTTCCATACAGCCAGACGCAGACGCAGACGGTACCAAGCCAAGCGATCCAATTCAAAAGCGTATGACCCTTCCGCCGATTGTCTAGTGTCTTGAACATATCACCGATGACAACCATACCATACTAGCGGAGTAGGGGAGTACCGCATTGGTACGCGAGCAGTCTTCTAGAAAGTTCTTTCAACTCTGCAACCAATCAGTTGTGACTACGTATCTGTCGTGCATCCGACGTTCAGTATGGTACGATACAGCCACACGCAGCCGCAGGCGGTACCAAGCCAAGCGATTCAATTCAAAAGTATGACCCGTCTGCCGATTGTCTAGTGTCTTAAACATATCACCAATGACAATACTACGATAGGCTAGCGATCGATCGTCTGTTGCAGTCACTTGATCTAGACAACGATCACGACGTTGTAGTGGAGTGAATACTGAGCGGGCGTAGTCAATCGCACAGATTGTAAACAACATGATGGTGCTGGTGCTCATGGGTTAGGCCTGCCATTAATATTGGTCAAATTCTCCTTCTTCTACAGTTCTTTCCATACCAAAAGAGTTATTGTCGTATTGGAGAGTTGAGATTGATTCAAGATGAGTAGCAATCGGCTATTGTAGCTACTTTAGCCAATCGACATCAACATTACTACAATATTGAAGCAATTTTCTATCAGGCGACAAGCTTCTAATTAAAATGCAATCTTGCATCAAGCCAACCAACACCCTAAAATAAATAAATAACTTACAATTATCTTTATCCCTTTACCCGTCGTGGATCAAGTGCATTATCTATCAAGTTAACGTTACAAGAATGTCGACATGAATGAAACCGATCAGCTTAGCGATATTTCCGAAGACGGCCTTGAATCGCCCGGACCTCATACTGAATTCGATGGTAAAGATCATAACAATATTAACAATATTGATTATACTAGTCATATTATCCTGTACTATACTGTAGTGTTCTACGTAAACCACATTCATACATACTTGAACCAATAACTGACATAGAATAAATAAAAATACCACATTAGACTTCCCTAAATTTGATACCATGAGTCTACTATAGGTCGAATTCGAGTAATTAAATAGCATTTTGGATTGCTTCCATCGCCACACTTGTAGGATCGATCCCATCATACGATAGTGATTTACTGACGACTTGATGGACACCTTGGTCTATTTACAGTATAAGAGCAATTGACAAGAACAGACAGACGGATCTGACGTCAAATTCAATCTTGTTCAAAATCAAGATATCAACATTTTTAATTTAATCTAATCTATTCTATCTCTTGTCTCCTTAATCCCTGATTGCAACTGATTATTCTCTTGTTGATATTAATATACGTTTAAAGTTATTTCTTAATCTCTTAAAACTCCATCTACTATTTCTGAACTATTGACAAGTGTACAATAAATTACAATATGCTTACAGAGATGCAACGCCTTGAAGAACTCTTCAACCATCGCGATCATTTTAAAATAATTCCCAGAATCAAATTATACGAGTATATCAATGGAGTAGATTAAGTAATAGCCTGAATGTCTTTATATATGCGTATAATTGGCGTGCCGCACACTATGGGACGTTGAATAATTATTGGCATTACTAGTAGAGATTGCTTAATGTAATGGATTGTGTTAGGAGTTGCGTCCATTCAGAAAGTAAATTATATCTGATTCCCTTAATATCAAATACATTATACACTACGTAAGGATAATAAGCAGATTGATGCTAACAAGAATTACTGTACTACCGCTTGTTCTGCTGACTTACTATTTGTTCTGTTGTGTTATTATCCACACAGATAACATCAATTGTATCCTACAACTATGTCATGTATTGTCTACTTTTAAAAGGCTCTCCTCCACCTTTTAATAAAATAATCATTCATTAATCAGAAATACTACGGATAGCCATGACATAGAACATTTTAGGATACCATTCATCAATTCGCATCCCTTTTCTGTATAAACTCCTTTCAATGCCTAAACATGTCTCAGTTGACGTAAAATATAAAAATAGGCACGTTAAACTGGACCGCTATATCTAACCTGTTAACGACCCGTACATTCTACGAGTACTACATATTATATTATTATCGTTTAATTGTAAATAAGATCGTGAGACGAAGCAACCATCTATTGAATATCAAAGTTATTTTATCATATCATCAACTGGCGATTCTTGAGATATTCAATTGCAATGCTACCACACAAGCTCCAGGCCGTTATTATTTACTATATGGGCGCTTCTATATCTCATTACAATAACTAATTAGTATTTGATGTCATAACATCGGATATATAGAAACTATATAGAATATACAAATATTCTACTCTGTACAAGTATGTTGATTCTGTTACACAGTAATCATTTTTGTTCTATTTCTATTACAGATAGCGATCTACTCTCGAATAATGTCCAGGCTGTCAGCAGCATGCACCAGTATGAAAGCAAACAAACACATGCTTTTGATCCATCAGAAAATATTGTCGATTACAGTATCGATCACATTGAATTTGCTAGAACTGGTTTTGCAAATGCTGGTTCTTCGACGATATATGATTTGTTAGCTAAAACTTTCGACTCCGAGTCAATGAGTAATATCGATACAGGTATTATGCTGATCACTATGGCAGAACAATATCTCAAATTATGCGGTGCTGACGAACAGCAGATCAAGAAGATTATAAGAGGTAAGTTGAAACGTGCGTTACATGTTGTTAGTTATAGGAAGATAGAATAAGCAAACTTTATCTATACAGTATTACTCTACCTGATCGATTTTGTTAACGTACTCATGTATTGTCCATATTCAACACTTGTTACGTTATACAATTTAAAATTCAAGAATACATCTCAAAGATATTTAACATATCCTACTTACTGCAGTGTATTACATACTTATATATTGTTAGTGTTTAACACCTATCACGTCTAGCAATTTAAAATCGAATAATACGTTTAAAAGATATTAGATATATTTATTATACCTACTGTAGTGCCTTATATCAAACTTATCTTATTTCTTTGTATGCTATATTCATATATTGTATGTATATATTTACTGCCCTGGATAACTACCCGTCAGACATTATCCAATCTCATCTCAAACACAAGGTATAATCGCTATCGACTAATATTGATAAATAGCCTTAACACACCAATAGCTTCTTTATTCTTTACCCTAATAAGAAAAAATTTGCAAAAGAATATTTAAAGCTTATTATCTCTGCATTGTATTATCTCGGCCTGAATATTACTACTAAATTCAACTATGTAATAATTATTACCTATTCTGTTCTTGCTATAACATCAACGTCATTTTGCACAGTTTACTTTAAGAAACACTTATACGTACGGAATTAAGTAAATAATAATAAATCTTAATAAATGCAACTAAAGCCTGCGTACAACTTAATAGACGCTAGCTATAGCCGCAGCTGAGGAGTTTTCAAGAATTAGAAGTTCCTTAGGTTCTGACTTTCTACAAGTTATTAAAGCGGTCTTAGAACGTAATGTGAGTTAACTGTAGGCATGAATAAACAGAGTACTAAAATAGAGACGTGACTGTAACAACTAACTCCAAAAATGCTATTTATTATAGGGCCTTTCTATTATGTCAGTAAATCAGTCAATATTAGGAGCTAATGGAAATATTCCCTTTCAATTGGAATTGCTATTCTCTAGCGGTTCAGAAACATTTACTATATCGTCGCATTACCATCGAGAATTTGAAGAACTTGGATTTCTTGGTGGTGGCGGCTTCGGACGTGTATTCAAAGTAACTTTCCTAATATGCAATTAATACGTTTCTCCGGATACGATCATTTGTCAGAAAAATTTTCACTTCCTAACCATGTTACCTGTAATATTAGGCTGTTCACAAAGTTGATCGTAATTCGTATGCAATCAAAAAGATACATGTAAAACTAGAAGAAGTTGAAAAGGTATTCCTCATAAAAATCTTTTAAAGTTTTATTAATATATGTTTCTATGTAACTATTTAAAAGATCTAAAATGTTTATCATTTGTAATAGTTGTATATCCATGACTTAGGCTTCTATCTTTTATTAATAAAAAGTAATCACTTTAAAATTTTTCATACTGTCTGACATCGTTAGATGCTTTGTATGGCTATAAAATTATATACTGTACTTGCATTATTACTACGGTATACCAAGTTTTCATCAAATACATGTCTTTTAATTATTAAGGTATTCCGAGAAGTCCGTGTATTATCACGCCTTGAACATCCGAATATAGTTCGATACAATAGTGCATGGCTAGAATGCGAAACAATGGATGAAATTGATTCCGGTAAAATTTAATTTTTCCTTTCTAACCGTTATACTAGTACATGCAGGCTGATTCAATTTCTGTTATTAACGCTTCCTAATGTTGAACTTTTGGGAGTGTATATCTTACCTACATATTTTTCCATAAATTCGTAACAACTTGAAGCAACTACCTAATTTGTTTTTATTAACTACAAAGTTTCCGGTACTAGTAATTCACAAGTTACTTCTCATCTATCAACTAACGTTGATGATTCCACTTATGACAAGTACGAAATTAAACTAACAATAATCATTAGATATGATACAGTTATTATTAGCACACTCATAAACATACACTATATTGATTTCTCTTTTATGCAGCTTATGGCCTTTGGAGTCAATCTGCAAATACTAAAGCTCTATAAATATTTTTATTTGTACGACAGATTTGCTAATAGCAATGATTTACAGAGAAATACTAACGATAGTGAAGATAGTGATGGCATCGTATTTGAAATAATTGATAAATCGTCGTCAATTAAAATATCAGAAAATAGAGCAAATGAAAGTACCAGTAAAACTACCAGCTCTACATCAAATGCAAGTAAAGCACAAAGATTACAAGATATTTCATCTCACAGTTTAGAAGCGAAAAACCGTAAAAAGCGCTTGATTCAAAAATTAAAGTCCATTAGTCGACGAGACATGTCCTCATCTGCAAAGAAGTTCTTATTATCTAAGATGTATCCAAGCGAAATTTCATTATCATCTTTGTCAAAAAGTTCCATAAATGATACAAGCTCGTCCTTTCATCGTAGCGTTTCGATGAATGATGCATTAATGTTATATAGAGGTGGCAGTCCAAGTAACTTTAGAATACCATTTCCAAGAAGTCCCTCGTCTCCTTTTGGAGTAAGTTAAAAAATCACTAATTATTTTCATACCTTTATTATCGCACTTTCTATTATTTAATAATATAACTCTTTCTATGATCGTTTTTAGATTGGTCCATCAAATAAAGTTGTACTTTATATTCAAATGCGTCTTTGTAAAAATACACTAAAAAATTGGTTGGTCGAGCGAAATTTTGACGTCACAAATAATTGTTAGTTGTCATTTCATTAATTTGTTTGAAATTTTGATATGAATCATTTATACCGAATTACCATTTATCATATGGTTCTTCAGGTCACTGCGGTGTCAATCCAGCACAAAATTTTCGCATTTTTAAACAATTATTGGAAGGCATCGATTACATACATTCTCAAGGTTTAATTCATCGTGATATCAAGGTAGATTGTCTTGTACTTGCATTCATTCATACTTATTAAATCAATTGGCAGTAAGTATACGTCTAGCGTCTGAAGTATTCAATTTCCTATTTTATTCTAGCCCCATAACATTTTCTTTGTAAACAACGCTGACGGTCAAGTAATGATTGGAGATTTTGGACTTGCAACACTGACATCTGATAAGGAAGAAAACGTTTCAACTAACAAAAACTGTAAGATGTAACATGTTGTATTATTATAAATATAGGTATATCAACCTTTTGACAGGATTGTAAAAAGATAGTCCTCATTTGATATCACCATTTGTATTTTATATAACCAGTAGATATTAATTCCGACCCTGATCTAACTTCCGGAGTCGGGACTACTCTTTATGCCTCTCCGGAACAAAAAAGCGGCTCATGTTATGATAGCAAAGTAAGTGTTGCAAAGACTTCTCAACGATGCATAGCACATACCGTATATGTTATATTCGTATGCTCTATTTCGATCACGATCTCTACGGCTTTATCAATGCATTACCAGTAACTCTTTGATTAGCCTTAATATATTAGTATTCCGGAAATAAGTGTTACGGTCATAATTATTTAATTTATTCATTTTCTCTTATAGTCCGATATCTATAGCCTAGGCGTAATACTTTTCGAACTTTTCCATGTGTTTGGTACTGATATGGAGAGAGTGACAACAATAAGTAAGATGCGAGATGGAATCTTGCCGAGCAAATTTTTACAAGAATGGCCTGAAGAGGTTATAGATCATTTTAACTGTTATTTTAATCATTCGTCACGTAGTATAACTTATGTATTTAATTATCAAGAACATGATTTTTTTTATGCTTTATCTTCCAGAGCGAAACGATATTGTTAATGACTAATAAAGACTCTACCAAAAGACCTAGTGCAAGTGAAATCTTGAAATTAAAGTATTACAAATCTGCAGACCAGGTTTACCGACATAAAGTAGCACATTAACAAAGACAATCTAACTTAAGCTGACGATGTTGTACATGAGCAACTATGATACTAATAAATTTATGGTATTGATCATGAATATAGATCATTGCAACAATGGAAAAAAAAATGGAACAAAAAGATGCAGAAATTGCAAGTCTTATGCGTTCTTTCAAAGAATTATACACTGCTGTCGAACAATTACAATCACAAATGCAAGAGAAAGATCAAACGATTTCATTCCTAGAACAGAAGCTGAACGTCGTTAACAAAATTAGATAACACTTTAGTCGACGTTACATACAAGTGACATTATGCCTTTAAACGTCTAATTTCTTTATTTTCTAACAATTTATTATCTTGACACACTTGCAGCAAGATTTAAATCTCTTTCCGTAGTTCACGGAACTATCTGCACACTTTCTTAATGAAATCATCATAGATCTTGTTGGTGTATATTTATATTTATATGTATAATTGTGTATATATATATATACTTGCAGTTATTCGATTGTGACTGTAATTTGCATCTATCACATCTCTGAGCTCCGCTTTCTATCACTTTTAGTGTTACGCTTTTGTTTTCTTATGCACGGTTAAAAATTTCGCACATGGAATAACTACAACATGGGATTATTTCACTAATTAATAATTATTAATAAACTTTTTTACATAAAATTTTTAAGTCTTAAAGCCATTACAGAACTAGCGAGTGCATAAATTATATCTAATTGATAAAACGATATCATTACTATCATAGTCTATTACAAAGATGTACACAAGCAAATGTATATATTATATCCTAATATTGGATTTATCATACGACTTGTGACTGAACCTCGAACAGAGGTAATCATAGCACGATATTTTTGCTACTATTATAAATACTCCTTTAGAACTTTCTGATTCTGTACTACAGTCTGCCATGATATGCGTAAGTAATACAGCAAATTTAGAAATTCAGGAGTAGGCTTTTAACTGTCGAATACATAGGTGTATCGATAAAGCATGAAGTATTGGCAATTGATTCTACGATAGAGAAAGGATTTCATCATTCACAGTGTTACTTACGAGTATGTGTATGAATTCGTATACTACACTAAGCTATTTAAGACGAATCACGTAATTGCCTTCGTTCATACCTACGTTAAAAGAAAGACATTATACGTAAAGAAAACTTCACTAGAAATAATCTGTTCGTATATCACTGCTATGCCTCGTGCTGTTAATTCATTGATGTATGTGAGTACTAAATTAATGATAGAGATATAATATAATAAATAACCCATCTAATTATTTAAAACTGATATCTTAACTACGTTATAGCAAAACTTACTGATTGCTTATGCTAAATCGATGACTACCGATATTTTTCTAGTCATTGACTACGTTGACCGATTGATTTTGTTAAGACAGTTTTAAGTATATAATAAAGTTTGTCTCATACTCGTCTGTAAAGTACCAGTAAGGATTATGACTCGGATAATGCAATCTCTAAAAATTGCACTTATCGATAAGTAAACGGCATATAAATTTGTGATATATACATGTGCGCTATGGGAGTATCTATAAGTAATAAGTAATCTAAAATAAGTAGCGACTTAACTAAATGAAACGATCCTCGAGTCGTGAAACATTTCAGTTAACAAAGTAAAATAAAATAATTTCAAGCAGCCACAACTATAAGCTGTGAAAGGAAATAAACCTATGAAAACATATTCAGATAACTAGTTTAATTGTTTTACTACAGTATAGTATTCTCGAAATATCTACACAATTTTGATATCTTCTTACCAGATTCGATTTAACGAATGTAAACATTAGCAAATAGCAGTAGGCGTATATCAATTGAATCTTCACTAAAATGGTTCTTGAACGTCATCACAGTATAGGATGGCTATCGAAAATATATACTAACCTGCAGATCACTGTACATGTACTACATACAGTAGTCAATCTCATTTTTATCGGATATTCACGAAAAAAAGTAAACATTTTGTAGATACAGTACAGTACATCACTAAATACTACGTAAAGCTATAGCAGTGATAACTAAGCTTTTAACGCGACACAAAAAATTATTACCATAAAGAAATATATAATTGATAAGAAATTTAATGCATAATTTTAGCAAAGACAATGACTAGCGTAGCGCAGATAATTACAATATGCCAACTGTGTTGCTAGTACTTAAAATGACCTGCTTGTTATTTTTAACTTAAAAGCAGCATTGGATGATACTGCTACATGAATAAATGTCATATTGTGATTATTGCAATACAATCTACAGTAAAGAGCAAATACGCAATACTATCAAGTACAGTACAACATATATTATAATAGTGACACTACAATTTTTTATATCGTTAAAAGATACATTACGTATGATAATTCTGTGGATGACATTACAATCGTAACTATATATTACAAAACCTGTACACAACAAGGTAATGTCTTTATAAAATTAGGATCATGTCGTTAACAATTAGGCTTTAATGAGAACTCTAAAGACAACCGACAATCATAAAACAGTAAAGATGACATTGCCTGAATATGATTGGATATGATGAGCTATAAGAAAGCGAAATTCCGAGCTTTCCATCTTAATTATATTTCCTTATCGTTAAAGGGCATGCTGCCCTTAGTCTTTTTTCTTCGAATTGCATCTTCAACATCCTTCAACTCTTGTAATAGTTGCTCTTTCCGCTTAGAAGAATTCGGTTGCTGCCCAGATTTCGTACTCCTCCGCGATCTACCAGAGTGCGGAGATCTTGACGGAGATCGAGATCCCGAATGAGGTCTATCCGATCCGGTTTTTTCCTGATAATAATTTATCGATATAAAAGTCGGTTAAAACTTGTTCAATTAGCAAATAGAATAATAAAAGGATTTCTGTTAAGTTCATCTATACTGTAGCACTTTAGTGATTCATATATATGTATATGAGATACTAACGTAACGGCCTCTCGATGTCGATCTTGATCTTCTTTCGTTCATAGAACTTCGGTAATTTGGCGAGGGGGTTCGATATCTCCTGTAAAAAAGTACGTACTTTAAGTTAATCGAACTATTAAATACCCCATAACTTGTCTAAACTTTTTATGACATTAATGCTATGACATTTATAGCTTATAACAAATATGTTTGTTACTGTTCTATTTTATATTTGCTCGATAAACTACGTAATGTCGTACCCATGAGAGTTATCACCATGCTCGAAAGGCTCTCTTTCATCATATCTTCTACGGTAATGAATTGGATAACTTTCATCATCGTAATCTCTACGACCCTGATTTCTAAGAGATCTACTCCTGTGCGGGCTCGGACTGTAAAATACAGGTTTCAAGGCCATGATTAATTGAAATTCTCATAACTTTACAACGACTATATAGGAGGAGTAATAAACAGACCTAAAATATGGAGATCTGTGACGTGATCGAGGATACCTATCCCTAGATCTCGAACGAGTTCTACTTCTATCACGAGAATACGACCTGGAATATCGTCGTCTACTTTCATATCTGTCATTTCGATTCCAATGAGATCCCGATGAATGTCTAGCTCTAAATGGCGATCTCCGCCATGGGTCAGTCCAATCATCAGGTCGGCGATTAGAACGTTGATAGCCTACTTCGGATCTACAGTATAATATTGTGGCATAATATTAGCTTTCCAAGTCTAGTCGATACTACTAATAAATTTATGACTTTGTACGAATTGAATGCTTTAAGAAACAATAGCAAGTTAATATACCCATCATCTGAGGGTGAATGACCACCGTAGTTTCTCTGTAAGAAATTAAAAATAAAGTCAGTTATGATAAAATAATTGATCACAAAAAGTACATAAAAAAAAATATTAATAGAATACCTTATCCGATGGAGAGAAATCGCGCCTGAAGTTTCCTCTTCTAGAATCGCGACGATCATAATCGTAATTTTCATCCCTTCTCTCTTTTCTAATAGTTTCATCTGTATTGGTATAATCATCCTTATAATATCGACTTTCGTAGCTATCTATTTGTGAATCTTTTGTTTGTCCTCTCTTTTCACTTTTCTTTCTTGCCTCTCTCGCTTGCTTGATCCCGAGCTCCCATGCAGAAGTTAATCTATCAGGTGGTGGGGTAGGCTTACGAGCAGCTCTATCATACCTTAACTCTTGGTCTCTATTCCATCCACCTCTGTCATATGAATGAGGAGCTTCGCAATCTTCTGCAGCATAATTGCGCATTAAATCATCATTTCTATTGTTGCGATATCTATTCTCTACCATGCCAAAACCATTACCACTATTATTGCTGTCGCGAACTTGACTATTTGCAACGGGTGGATCAATTTCACCTTGGTCCAATTTGGATGAAGATTCTTCCTCACTAATATTTACGTCTTGCTTCGTATTTTCTTTTTCTTCGTCACTGCATACCTCCCCTTCTTCTAATTCTTCACTGGCAGGTGACTTCCTTTCAGATTCTTTGCCTCCGCTTTCCTCGACTTCATTTTGATCATCAAACTCTCCTTTATCTATTTGAGGCTGGTTGTCGCGATCGGTAGAATCATCTTCGCTTCTACGACTAGCCTCTCCTTCGTCCATACAGAATGCAGAATACCACCTCTAATCTACAATTTCAGGTCCAGTACCACTCTAACAGGAACTTTGTAAAGAATTACGCATCGAGTGTGAATTCGACGTGGCGTAGAACTCCTTCAGTAGCTAGATTAGATTGTCACTGTAGGGAGATAAAATTACAATATAGAGAAAATTAATTAAGGGGTAGTTGACTAAAGTGTAGTGAACAGCCTGTGAGAACATAATTACCGGATGTTAATGAAATAATTATTATCAATAACCCATAGTTATTTACATTAACTAGGTGATACCGTAAATATTGGTAAAGACTCGCGATCCATCCCTTTCTGTACGGGTATATTAAAATAAGTGATCACTTGGTAGTATCTATTGTTTTGACTAGTACTGCATTAAAGTTAATTAGCAAGATAATCTAATCACATTGGTGAGCAAATAGTACAACAAACAGGCTGCAGTTGATGGATCCTAACTGTAACGCAACTAACTATTAACTAGAAAGATTGTACACAGCTTAAAATCAATAGCCTGCAAACAGAAGCAAGAAAAATGTTGCTAGTCCAGTTTAAAAATAAACAGGCAATGATCAGTGACGACTATCTTTTTAGCACTAATTTATGATTAAGGGTATAAATAACTAAGAGTAAATTCGCTAGAGCTTCACGTCTGGAATACAGCATCATGTCGCACGATACTGTATCGACGCTTTCATTTACTGCTCGTTGGGCACATACTAATTGCCAATGTCTATAACTGTAGGGGTAACAGTTTGACCGTAAAATAAGCAGAATTTTCACTCTGAGCTATCTTGCTTTCGAGTAGTACTCAATGTTATGTTGTATATTTACTGTACAAAGATTTTTACCGTACAGTACTGTTCCAAAGTAGCAGTAGAGTAATGTTGGAGCTCTCATAAAAGAATTAATTAAATCATGTATGAGTACTTATAAAGTTTCAACTATCATTCTATTTTACTGTTAGTAACTTATTCACCGCTGGGATCAATATTAGATATGATTCTATCGTTGATACGTTAATGTACTGTAGGTAAAAAAATATCTATAATAAAAAATTCGAAATTCTTCTTGATCGAGCACTTGAAGTTGTGAAATTCTACGTTGATTTTCAACTCTAAAATCTGTTCTAAACGCTTACGTTCTACTATCCACTTTTATACCTGATGATCAGCAAGAAATACTTGCCTTTTACTGCATCAATTAGATCTATCCGCGTCACATACTGTACTATTGTTCAAGATATCATGGCCATCAAGTATGCTGTTAACAACTCCGGTTCATCCCTCGTTATCAAGAGACGATATAAAAGCGTTTAGTGCACTATAGCCTATGCTGTCTACCTATGTATCTAGTATCCATTGCGGAACCAACATCTCTACGGCTAAATTCTAAAATAGGGATTGAATTACCATGGTTCGTTAGCTGTCTCACACTGCGAGGTATCTGATTTTGCTGCTATTAATGCATTGCGAGTCTCCAATTTCCCCGTGTATTATTCACGGTAGAGTAGAGTAGAGTACTGTACGCATAGTAGTGTCCTTGTGATACAGTACTAGAGTATGACGAGAGTTCACGTTGAAGTTGCTCAAAAGATTTGATATAGCCAAGAGTCAGTTTGCTTTTACGGCCACATCAATAAAAATGATTGGATTGTATTTAGTCTATCGATAATGCAGCATAGAGTAGAAATGGTAGATGACTACAGCTATGATCAGGTGAAATTTGGACCAGCGTGTTAATAAGCATGTCTACGTATCATTCTTATTGTAGAATATTGAGACGCATCGTTGAAGAGACTACTGTAGTACAGCGCTTGTACCATGTACAGTTGATCGTCAAGAGTCAAGAAAAGACAGTTGCAAATGCAATGATCACTATTTCCTTGATTTTTAGTCTACTGGATGGGTATTCAACGGTAGACTATCTACACAATCGGTAGAGTTTTTTATTCTATCTACTGTGCTCTCTCAATCTAGGTCCACTACTGGAATCAATTGCTGCTGTGAAAAGACCCCCAAAAGTTAGAAAGCAAATGTAAAAACCAATTCTATTCATAAAAGCATCCAAATGAGGAGAGTAGTATTGTGCTTTCTCCATGCTACTGCATTTTAAAGGCAAAAATAGAGTGATATCTTATCTTACCTGGAATAAAATAGAGGATAGGAGAGCCAACGAGTCCAAAAGAGCCTGTAGAAATGGCCTTTGAAAGTTGAGCGGTGCTTTTCGCCTTAATGAATACAGACGTACTATCGACCAGACTCTTACAGTCTTACCACTGCTAAAAGTTCAAGTGGCGTTGAGTGTGAGCGCATCCTTTTTGCCACAGTACAGTGTACTGTACAGTTTTACAGTACATGGTACAGTACACTGTGTAATGTACTGTACTGTACAGTGTACAGTACTACGAAACTACAGTATGAAGATCTCTGCTACTATGCCGGGGTGGCTGATGAGGAATTCCCGACGATTGAAATTGTACATTGTACGTACTACAAGACCATGAAGATCTGAGGTACTGTGCCGGGTGGCTGATGAAGAATTCCCGACGATTAAAATGATATGAAAACACAATTTTATGACCAAATTAGACCAATTTGGTAGTCAGTACCATGGGGATACTCTTACCACTGCTAAAAGTTCTAGTGGCGTTGAGTGTGAGCGCATCATTTTTGCCACAGTACAGGGTACTGTGTCGCCTTTACGGTACATAGTACCGTGTACTGTACTGTACATTGTACTGTATTGTTCTACAGTACGGTACAGTACAAGACCTTGAACATCTCTGGTACAGACTCAGGTCTAGGTACTGTAGCAGGGGGCTGATGAAGAATTCCCGACGAATTTTGAAATTATATGAAAACACAATTTTATGACCAAATCAGACCAATTTGGTAGTCAGTACCTGTATCAGAAAGAAAGAAAAAAAGCTAAAAAAAAGAAAGAAAGAAAAAACGTACTGTACACTGTACTGTATACTACTGTAGCGTAAAAAAAGTTCACGAGCAAGGCGTACCTTACAGTATTATACTGTAGGTACGAGCGAGTGACAGGCTTACAGCACGTACTGTACAGTACACTCGTCCAGTACTGTACAGTAATTGCATCATGAATACAGTACTTTACACTGGATACTTACAGCACATAGTATTGTAGTGCACAGTATATTGTACTGGAGTGAAACTCAACCAGATTGGTGATCATTGTACTGTACTCGTGTTGTCAAAGATCGCAGAAACGATCGCAGTGCGTACGGCATACGGCACAGTAGTCGCCATGTTTTCTTCACGACTTGCTTCGGGGTTACCCCAAATTGTTCATTCAACATTTTTGAATGGTTCCAGTACAAGATTAATCCCGGCAATTTCATCTGTAGCCAGCAAAATAGGAGTCAATGATAGATCTACTGTCATTGCATCGAATAGAACCAACAATTGCCATCAGGTAGGTCATCGCCTTCCATATCAATATTGCATAAGACACTCTTCTTCTCTCATTTCACCTAGTCGTATGTTATACGTTTGCATTAGCAAACTTGTCAAGGATGAATCGACTACGTGTTAAAATAGAGGATATCATCTTTCTACTGGTTCAATCTATTCTTTGATCACTATTACATTTTTGCCTGCAAGCAAAGTAATACATCGCGATAGGCGTAGACCCTACACTGGGGTGAACACTTCAAACTACGGCACTACCTTAGGATACTCTTAATTCACCGTGGTGACTTTGTACAATAGTTGAAATTGTACTGACACTTTCAATGTCAATACATTTGACTTTCTTATCAATTCATCAATACATCAAGCCATCGTTAATACCATCTTGAGACATTTTATCACTGTTGTTAATCACATTCACATCATTTTGAAAGGCGATTCATCATCTTACGAAAACGCTAGTGAAATATTGACACTGGTACAGTACTGTACTGCTAGTGTATTGTACAGTACGTGCCGCGCAGGATGTGCTCGTGTACGAGACGGTTGAGTACGTTAGGCGAAGCTGCTCAGTCCAAGCAGCTAACTCAACTTTTAATTGACAGTAAATGTGATCAGACTCCATCCATGATTTCATCGAAGTAATTCATTCAAGTTAATAATGCTTTAAGAGATAAATTGATACAGTAAAAATAAACATTCTTGCAGTCTACGAATTGAATTAAAATACTCATTCAAATACAGGCGGAAGATTCATTCTCAACTAACTTTATAGCACCATCATTCTCCTTTTACAACGTACTTAATTTAAATATCTTATACATTGTAGTCGTTTCTAATTTCGTTTTGTAATTATTTCAAATAGGGAAATCACAAATACGTCACAGCCATACTGATATCACGGTACCAAGTTTCGACAATTACCGTCGCGCAGCCAATTCAAATCCTGATACTTCTAATACCAATCCTGATGGTCGCCGAGCTTTCACCTATATGATGGTTGCAGGTGGTGGGGTTGTAGCTGCTCACGCTGCTAAAAATGTAGTTACAGATCTTGTATCAACTATGAGTGCATCAGCAGATGTTCTCGCTATGGCCCAAATAGAGGTCGATTTAACTACCATTCCAGAAGGTAAAAGTGCAGCTTTCAAATGGCGGGGCAAACCTTTATTCATCCGTCATCGTACAGCAACAGAAATTGAACGAGAACAAAATGTTAACTTGGACGAACTACGTGATCGAGAACATGACAATGATCGAGTGAAAGACCCCTCTTGGTTGGTATTAATTGGAGTGTGTACACATTTAGGTTGTGTACCTATTGCAGATGCCGGTGAATTCGGTGGCTATTTCTGTCCTTGTCATGGATCTCACTATGATGCATCTGGCAGAATTAGGAAAGGTCCTGCACCGTTAAATCTAGAAATCCCTTCTTATAAGTTTGCCACTGATACTACCTTATTGGTAGGTTAGTTCGGGTAACGTGAGAGAAGAAACATCTTCATCTTACCTGTTCATGATAAATTATCTAAAGCTGGATACAACATGTGCTACACCATAAACAGTGCTGTGTTTTGAATAACATTTAGTTTTGTTAGTGTTTAAAATGAAGCTATGCTATACTGCCAGGAACACTGAATTAACGTGCTACGTTTTTTTTCTGATACTTGTTTTGGATGCCATTGTAAGATCAAATTAACTGAAAGTCATTCAACTGTTGAAGGTGTTTGCAGTTTGATGTAATCGATCGTACGGCTTGACTTTTATTCGATTATACCGTGAACCAAATTATTCATGATATGTAAAAAATAAAATATGCTTTTCTGATCTTATGATTGGATGATCTGCGTTTTCTTAAGAGCAAAGTCGTAGTAGTCTTATCACGTAATAGTAACAATTACGAGTATAATTCGTACGTAAGAAGTGACCAATTCTTTATTACCACTCCACCAATTAAAACAGCTATTTTCCATAGATTAGCACTCGCGCGAATATTCAATTTTCTCACACAATTTCATTCAATATTGCTAAAAACGATGTAATTATATTTATTCAAAAGATATCTCAACTTCATAATTTACAGTTGAGATAAAAATTTAATGTACACTTATAGCTGTAACTAGATGAGGTGAAGTACTTTATTGACGATCTGGTCAAAGTGCTACAGTACTTACTTATTACTAGCTGTAAAGTATCACGTTGATTTAAGTAGTAATAGCGTAAGCTTTCTAATGGCTAAAGTCCTTTTAACCTTGATTACCAAGTATCCATGAAGTACAGTAATTTTTTTTTTTTTATAAACTACAGTTATCAAATATGAGTGATAACTCTGCAAAATAGTAACTTAACCTTCAGCACGAGCACGTTAATTATGAACACGAAGGACCCCTTAACAAAACTTTTATAATTTAATTTGTCCGTGAAAGTTTTAAAGTAGCCTCCATAAATTATAACTAAGCAATAAAGGTATTGTAGAATCGCACCCTTACTGTACTAAGAATCTACGTACCATGAAAGGGTAAAAGCATTTATTCTTCAACTTACGGCTTTTTTTAAATGTTATACGAGCCTAGTGCCATAACATCCTTGATAGTTTAGATTATAGAAACTAATCATTACTTTTCAGTTCAGTAATGACAATACATGTACCGCAAATAATATCCTTGTACAATGTACAGCGCATACACAAACCGAGTAAATAACAGTCGTCAAAATATATTGTACTTTTACAAGTCTAAAAATTGAATAAAGAATCTACCGTTTCGCAGTAACTTCACTACGCTATGGTTGTTACAATATTAAATAAACACGCAACTCATCCTTTCGTAAAGATCTTACAAATCTTTTACATTGAGATTTCAGTAAGAAGCTTTTTACGTATATTATATTGCTTCAATACAATAACGTATTAAAAGCTAATACTTTTACTTTCAATTCATAAAAATTTATGATCTAAGTAGCTTATGTCATTCTAAGATAAGCGAAAATTCGTATGATTTCAATCATAGAAACTGCACTAATTTATGCATCCATAAAGATTAAAAATAGCAATTACAGTACTATACATAAATCAACACAGTAATAGAAATCTCAATGTAGAATTTAAATAGATAACTTATATTGTACAGTACAACAATCTTTACTACTGCTATATCACCGTTATTCCACTATGCTGTATTATAAAATAAAATTTCAACCATTGCAGCGTAGTCATGACGCGAAAACCTAACCTATTGTAATTATAAACATATAACAATCTATACGACTTCTTTAAAGGTCGTATACTGTATAAGTATGTAACTACACTTGTCACAGTTATCTTCAGAAACATTACAAGAAAATAGAAATTTCCATGTCCATTTGCATAAAAATGACTAGACAATCGTTATCAGGATACTTTATGAAGTAATATTTCATTTACAATTCATGTCAATAAAAGATCAACTCTGGTAAAGACTTCAATATAGAAGAGTTTATCCTTGGCATATTTTTTGATAATTCTGCCCATACTTTTTAATTAATACATTATTGTTCATGTAATCTTTAAAGGAGTTATATGGACATAGCTGACTAACATCGACCTTATTATCAGAACTAGTGCAAAATTCCAGTTTTGATGTGACGACCTTGCCATCATATAGTACTCGTATAAAGTACTCCGATTTAGTTGCTGTCGATTGCCATAATTCGAAAACTACTCTTGCCGCATACCTTGGCCATTTTTCGTTATGGATCTTCAAGCTATACAGTAACGGAGCAATTGTAGAATCATGTCCAACCATTAATGAAAACTTAACTTTACTCGATGAATTAGTAACAATTTTATACATATCTTCTTGTATTCGCTTAAGTAATGGATACAAAGCAAGAGGAGCAATTGGTTCATATTCAGTTTCTGATACTAGATTTAAGCTGCGAATTACTTTAGCTAGTTGATGTTTACTCAGACAACCTTTTGGTCCACAAGGTAATTCGGTTTCGTGACAAACTCTAGTTATAAAATCATCAGCAATCTTCTTGATATTACCTATTTGAATTCTAGATTTATTGAATAGAGGAGCGAGTTCATCAAGGACTGACTCAATCTCTCGCAACTTGTGAATAATTCCTTTCTCTTTTTTACTCTCTTTCCAAATTTCGTTCATTTTGCCACATTTCGCACGAGGCTGATCATTGGAATCGCGAAACCAAGTATCTTCACCAGCTACAATAACTATATTTCGTTTCAGATCAAACTTGGATAGAAAGTGAAATACAAATGCTGCAGCACTCTGTTGCGTCCGTCTCACTTTCGTAGAGCGAAAGCTGACCTGTTGATGAAGATGCTCCTCTTGAATTAATTTAAGATGATTAATATAAATATCCTGAAAGAAATTCCCTAGTTTTAAAAACTGTTCAACACCAGCATTAGTCAGTTGTCCATAGTCGCAGACAGATGTAGCATGAGATAAAGGGTGGCCAACGTTAGCGTTATCACCTAAAGATTTAATTTGAATTCTGTCATCAACACCATTATAGTATCTTGCTACCTTTTTTCTTTGGAAGCCAACCGCATCATGACATCTGGATTTCCAAAATTTGATTTCTTTACTACTATCTTGGGCTAATTTGGATGCTCTGAGAGGAGTTCTATCGCCATGGCGCATAACCGCATAAACTGACTTTAATTGGTATTGAGATACTAATGAGTCCGGCAAGGTACCTTCCATACCAACAATGGGCTTTTTTGCTGAATTACATAAATCTAACATTCTCTCCAAAATAGTGGTATCCTCAAGTACCTCTAATTCATCTTTAGTATCTACCTTATTCAATACTGGTGCATCCAAAGCTACTTTATCCAACGCTGCATTCTCTTGATTGGCCGCTTGATGTATTACTGCACCAACTTGGTTATTCGGTTTTTCCCGAGGCCAAAAATTGACATAAACAAGGTATACTACAATGCAAATTGATACGTTTGATAACGGTATCAGACATCAGACTAGGAGCTTATACAATAAAAAGATAACCGATTGAAGATTTTTTAACTCTACAGTACTACAGGATAATATTTTAAGTGCATTCTGTGCATATACATTTAAGCTTCTAGCAGTTGGTTTAATCATTTAGGACAAGCGAACAGCATTGCACAGCAGACACTGCTGAATATTACTATTGGTATGAACGAGATGACTAGGATTATTCTCACAAGCTAGCCTTGAGAATAGCCATCTTGCTACTTTGTTCTATAGTACAGTACAATATATAAGCGTACGTATAAGTAATTACTCAATCTACAAATGTGCCGCATTGAGTAAAAGAGTGGTTTTGTAGAGGATTTTTGTCGAATTGCTATTAGCAAAACCGCAATCATTTACCTATGCTATACGAGTTGATATACTGTACATGTAGAGCAATTGATGCTCTCCGAGATTAAGGTACTACTGCACTATATATATACAGTACTGTACAGCATATATGTACGTAGCGATGTGCGATTGTACGCAACAATGCTAAAGAAACATATGCAAAAATAAGAACATGCAGCCAGATGTATTTATGTAGGCCTGCAGTGTATGTTCTACTTGATCCTACCTAATATAATTAAAAGCCATGGCAATGTTTTGCGATAACCGGTTCTTGCCATCCCGCGCTGTTCTATCAAAGCAAGCAAATCAGACTGCTGTGCGGTGTGCACCTGTTCACCTCTTGACGGTCACGGTTCCGTTCAGAAATTAGCCAGGTCTACAGACTCGACCAGGGTCGTGAGTCCGGTTCGGCGCATGTCCATCACACATTGTCGGAACAGTAATGGCCAATGAAAGTGCAATCGAAAAAATTGAATATCCAAAATCCTAGTCTAAAAGCTGTTAAAACCTAAAAAGATAGCACTTCTTATTTTGTATCCATAGAAAGAAATCTCAAATTTGTAAGCTTTATTATCCTATTTATATGATATATGAAGATATTTAACAGGCTACAGAGTGGGTCATTTAGCCGTTACAAGTTTTTCCAATTGGTAACAGCACGCTCTTAAGTCGACCAATGATTTTTTTCGACGGACGCCATCTTTTTGGGGGGTCTAATTCTTATGCTCACTCGAATGTTGTATTTTTAAAATTTTCATTTGCGGTCAGTAAAGCTTAATTCGAAATAAAATATTTAAATATAGAAATTTTCGATTTTTCTCTCTATTTTCGTGTATTTTAAGAAATTTTTGACCTTGTTTGAACAATTGAAATTGAATTCTACATATTCAAAAATTAAGTTGATTTGACCGCAAAAATGGCCGTCAAGAAGCCTTTATTACACTTTTATTGGCCATTAGTGTACAGTACAGTACTGTACTGTAGAGACCCTTACTACAGTATACTGTACTGTACTGTACAGTAGCAGGGACCCTCTAGTTTACAGTACTGTACTGTACAGTGTATCGGGCGTGGCGAGCATTTTAACCTTTGAGTAAGCTTTTATCTCAATGTCAACCGCCCCTGATATCGTTGACATGCTATGGTGGCATGATGAGAATTCTCATCATGCCACCATAGCATATCCACTATAATTATCGAGTATCAACGCTACACCCAAACCAAAAATGGTACTACTCATTGTACACTTTTTGATCGATGTGGCTACTTGTAAATTGCAGGTATAAGCAATATCGGAAGCGTTCTCTAAGTAGTATTTAATTGATAATTTACACAAACCCCAAGCGTCATTAATATGAATATGCATATGTAGCAGCCAGATATACAAGTGCTTGAATACGTATACAGAAATTAGGCTGTAAACTACCGAGTACAAACGAGTAGTTTACACAAGCAATATACAGTATAGCATAGTACTGTACAGTACGGTGTACAGCGTGTAGAATTTCTTGAAGAGAAATCCGTGCAAACTTTTATGAAGATTTAAGATTTTTACAGTAAAATTCTCAAAATTTGAAACGTGTAGAAAGAGGAAGGTCTGGTGAATTACTGTCCAGGTGTAGTTCGGTTTCTACTCTGTAGCGTACGCTACAGTACTGTACAGTGTACTGTACAGTCATGTGAGTAAAATTTGAATGAAATTTTTTTATCTTGAGTCCGTGGACTCCGTATGCGTGTCGTGCGAACTGTTATCTACAGTACTGTACTGTACTGTAGTGTTAAAGATAACAAATTACAGTACTGTACAGTACAGTACAGTGCAGTATTCAGTTTCATTACAGTACTGTACAGTACAATACTGTACTGGTACCCTTACGTACCGTAACGTAACGTACTGGATACGACGGTACTGTACAGTACAATAAATCGAGCTACGACGATTGTTGAAATTGAAATTACAATAGTTTAAAAGCCCAAGTGAACACTATAGTAAAACACAGTCACTCCATTGTGACCACCTATTAACTACGGTTAAGACTGGCTTAACATACAGTAAATTTATCATATAAACTGTATATATATACTATTATTTAAGACTCAGTTTAGAGATTGCAGAACTGTAGTTCTAGGGCACTGGTTGTAGTATCTCTGTACATTTTTTAATCTAGTGATAGAATCGATTCAGTACTGTATTAATACCAATAATACTTTCGTGTACTGTACTTAAAGAGATAGAGAGAGAGAGTAATTAATCACCACTTATTTGGAACTTTGCATACTGTGCACAAATTGAGCTGGAAACTTCAAATTGGAACACACCTTACCGTCGAGCCCGTGCTCAGTGGAGATGAGCATGAACTATTAATTCATGACCGTCTGATGACAGTATAATACTACCGTAGAACCAATTCTTTTACCGCTAATTATTGCTAGCTGTAACCAAAAAAGTCAAGGTAAGAACGCTTTCTCATTTTTGGCCCACCTTGAAATCTCGAAAATACTTTCAATGACTATAGACGAGTATATGTTACCACTGCTAATAAACCGGCAAGGTTAAGCTTAAAATACAATATAATAATTCATCAATGCCTGCAGGGTGCAGGCTGAAATAAAACTATTTCAGAATACAGTACCGTGTTTTATAAAATACAGTAAGCCATACTTTTTTATCTTGTACTCGCGTGCAAAATGGAAAATTGTATTACTCGTTATCTACATAGAATGTAACGCTGCTGTACATTTCTATCTCTTCTTTTTGGGGGATCATTCACTTGGTGAAGCTGCTGTGCTCTACAGTTATAACAAATGGATGATGTCTAAGTGAAACACGTGTAACTATAACGTACAGTAACCAATCAATCAATTCATACCGAGTTGAAAACGGATCTACATATTTAATTAATTTTATTTTATTTATTTAAAAAAAAAAACCTCTTGCAGCTGCACCTCCCATAGCGTATCTTTTCTTCACAATCTATGTAAACCATATACAAACGCAATGCAATATTGTCTCCGCTCCTTCGGTATAGCTCAACACTATGTAAAGGCACCTTCATACACCTTTTAAATTACTGTTACAAATAAAAGTTCAAGTTTGAATTCATCATGATGTGGATGAAGATTTATATAATCATTCGAATTCACGACTTGCTATTTTAAAAACCAGTTCGTCCTACTTACTAGTACAGTACAGTACTATATTGGATTGGACTGTACTGTACACTATGCCTACAGTCCTGAATTCACAATGACTGATCCGATCGAAGTTGTTGCGTGTTGCGTGCAACAGATGTGACAAAACCTTTGACATGACCCTACAGTACAGACCCGGCTAGCATACAGACATCCAGACGCCCAGACGATCATCACTGATGCTACTAAATGATAATAATTATCAGTAATTAATTAATCATGAATCAATCATAAATAATAATTCATTTAGATATGTGTAAAGTTATTGTTTATGTCAAGGTATTCATTGGAAATGAAAATCTGTGAAATTCTAAGGAAATGATAGATTTTTAGAAACTAGTAATACTGGATGTCGTCTCATTCGACTTCTACGATGGGTAAAAGCGATGACAAAAAAGATTCTAATAGCACCAAGTTAAAATTCCTGCACCACTGTCTAGTTTTCAACGCAAATCCCTGTATGCTCTATCCTTTAAAGCAGTTTCAGCACTATCGATTCAAATTCCAGTCATTTACCTACCTGTAGCTTATCATTTATTAGAAGCTAATGTTGAGCCCCATTTACCAGCATACAACAGTCGTAAACGATATGCTTTCAGCACAGTATAGTAGTATACTATCTAGCTACCAGCATCTTTAAGTTAATAACGTTATGCAGGTGTTACTACTTGCCTGATTGTATAGGCTCACCTTCACAATTTCAAGACAACAGCATTCACCATTTTCGTTACAATACATCAATTATGAGAATACTAATGTATTGCGAATAATAAAATATCACCATAACCTTACAGGAAATACGGTAATTTGTAATTTTTGACCACTACAACACAGAAATACTGCACGTTATCATCAATTCATTACAATCATCTTTAACACTCAAATGTGCAAATATTTTATGACTCACTACAAGTATATCAGTATTTGAAGTACAGCGGTCAGTAGCACTTTATGTAATTTTATGCACACCTCATGTTAATGAATTACTGATGTAAATGGGCACCTGTTCTCGTATAAAGTGATTACAATGCTAGGCAACTAACGTTTTTATTTTATCCTAAATACTTTTTATAATAAGGAATTAAAAATGGCTACTATGATTCAATCTTGGCGACGTCTGGATAGTGTTCGGAGGATATGTCTATATCAATTACCGACTATTTATTCATCAACGACCTTCACACGAAGAAACTTTTCTCTAGAGTCGTATCATTGTAGCAATGTGCTATCAATAGAACGCATGAATCAGAATATTGTTAAGATGGAATACGCAGTGCGCGGTATACTACCGATACGAGCTATGGAACTTGCTAGAGAATTAAAACAGGTAGACATAAAATCTTGTAAACTGATAGAACAGATGCAACTAAAGATGATTCTAGTAAATTTAATTACCATTAGATACTGCTTTAAATTAAGTTATAATTAAATTGTTTATTAATAGTCGAACTAAGTTAAGTTGATATAAACTGAACAAAGCGCATAATTTTGTAAATATTAGAAATGAATATAAACTTCTACCATAAGCGTAAAATTTTTTATACTTTGTTACTTAGGGTGTCAAGAAACCATTTGACAGTATCATATTTGCAAATATTGGCGATCCACATGCAATGGGACAGCAACCAACAACATTTTTTAGACAAGTAACTCTTAATGAAATATTCACTCTAACTCAAACCAAATTCCTGTCTATTGCATTTAGTGAAAAAGTGATTCTTTCACTTCATCATTGCATTGTGTAGCACCGATACTAAGCTAGTTCTCTACTTAATATACTTATGTACTTTTTAGAAGTGCGGGTATGAAACATTTTTGTTGATACATATTAAGACTTGCTATAATTGTTTTACTAGGTCGTAGCTTGCTGTGACTATCCTGAACTAATGAATTATAATGTTTTCCCCAACGATGTTAAAAGAAGAGCTTCCAAACTACTCAGTGGCATTGGAGGTGGCGGCATCGGTATGTACGAGTGTTACGAGTGCTATCAATTTTGATTATCTTATCGCGTTTGTACAGAGATTACATGCTTTCATATATTTCTAGTCTTCTCACAATACAAATATATGGATTGATATTATCAAACATTCTTTTAGGCTCATATTCTGATTCCCAAGGCCCTCTAAAATTACGAGAAGATGTTGCGCAATCTATATCAGATGGCAAACATGATTGTAATCCTGATGATATTTTCTTATGCGCTGGAGCTACTGATGGTATTAAGGTAATTTACCATGGTATTTTGATCAGGCTGCATAGATTTAATCATCCAAATCACATCGAAATATTGTATACGAAGTTTTTTATTATTGTGCTACTTAATGAGGTGTCCATCTCAGTAAGATTGCAACAATTAATTTTGTTTATTTATTTAATATAATAATGATATTTTATTGCTTTCATTTATGAATAATATCGATGTAATTGTAGTAACACTTTCTATGGATACTTTTACAGTCAGTCTTGCATCTGATAGACTTTGGGCAAGGAAAAGATAGAACTGGCGTTTTAACGCCGATCCCTCAGTATCCTCTATACTCTGCCACTTTAACTGAAATGAACCTAGTCCAGGTTGAATTTATCTACATGTTTACGATCGAAAATGGACGTTATGCTAATATTCATTATAAATTATTGTTCTTTTTTATTATGTGATCACTTTCTATGAGAAGATTAAATATTATCTCGACGAAGATAACGCCTGGGCTATAAATGTAGATAGTGTGCATTCTATCGTGCAAAAAGCTAGAGAAAAATGCACTCCACGAGCTCTTGTTGTTATCAATCCGGGAAATCCAACAGGTATCACGTTTACTATCTGCTCATGAATTACAAATAGTATATGGATATTCCTACATATTTTTGTTAATTACCACGGTATCACATAGGGCAGTGCTTTTCCAGACGAAATGTCGAAGATATTGTTCGATATTGCTCCAAAGAAGGTTTGATAATAATTGCTGACGAAGTAAGTACTAGCATACAGACGCAACTTCTTATAATTACGTGGAGCGCTGCTTAAAACGATATCATATACGACTGTCTTTTATACCTATAAAGATCGGCCTACCAATATGAAATATCGATTATTATGGTTGTTCCATAGGTTTATCAGGAGAATATTTATGCGAAAGGAATGCAGTTTCACTCTTTCAGGAAAGTTGCAAACGATATTGGTTTAGGGCCCAATGATATAACAATTGCATCCTTCTATTCTGCAAGCAAAGGTTATATGGGAGAGTAAGTAAATTTGATATACTTATTATTTCGTATAAAGTAAGAATTAATACCAATTATGCTATGTATATTGGCGAAAGCAGTTATTGAAAGTTTTGATTGTGTTGAAACAGATGCGGTTATCGCGCTGGATTTATGGAATTATATGGACTTGATCCGGTAGTTAAAAATCAATTCAGAAAACACAGAACTGCTAACTTATGCTCGAGTAATGCAGGACAGGTAAGTCAACGTTTGCAATGTACAGTATTGCTTTCTGAAATTTACTACTACAGTATCAGCTAATTGAATTAATGTTTTACAAAGGTAATCATGAATTGCATTGTTAATCCTCCGAAACCTGGGGACGAGTCGTATGAATTATTTGCAAAGGTTACTTGACTTTTATATTACGTACTATTTAGATTATTTTATATATATCCGTATCATCTAACTAATTGATAGAATTATTATCACGATTATATTTTTGACTATGTCTTTATCTCTTTACAGGAACGTGAAAATGTACTAATGTCACTTACAGATAAGGCATCCAAGGTATCGGAAGCCTTTAATAGTATCAAGGGAGTGAAATGCAATCGCATTGATGGAGCCATGTATGCCTTTCCTTCTATCACCTTGCCTAAGAGAGCTATTGAGGCAGCCAACGTTAGTTGAATACAATCTACTTCGCGTTTTTTAAGAAAGACGCTGTTAGATTATCTCTGGAATAGATGGTTATTAGCTATCTAGCTTGATTCTTAATTTATCATATCTTAGCTGATTCCATATAATCGTGTATTATGTAGAATTAGACATATCGATTACTTGCTATAGACTAACTCTTAGATATTAAACGGTGTTTCTTTATTACTCGAAGTCGGCGAAAATGGCACCTGATACCTTTTTCTGTCTCGATTTCTTGGAAAATACCGGCATCTGCGTAGTACCAGGAAGTGGGTTTGGACAACGAGAAGGAACTTATCATTTTAGGTAGATGTCAATAGTAAGAATTCTAAGACAATAATTTTCAGGAACGAATGTAGTAATGCAGTGCTAAAATTCTGTATATAGTATACACTCTCAATAGATAAATTATTATTTATGGGTATATAAATTTTACGCAATTCAGATATTTAACGAAAACTTATATGCTACTTAATTATATTTAATTATATACACACATCTTTACAATTACCAATCAAAGTTTTGTTTACTTTTATATCCAGAACTACGATATTACCAGACACGGAAAAGATGCAGCGATTTTTAGTTGCGTTTGAAGATTTTTATAAGAAATTTGTCGCCAAATATACTGACTAAAATACTATTTTGCAAATACAAATTCTGTCGCTATTGTAATAATCAAACGGAGCTTGTAGGTTAATTCGGGATTTACTATAATCTTAAATGCAAATCGTTACAGTGACATGAAATTGTAGACAACAAGAACAATTCAGATCAGATACAAATTATTTTATTTGATGGTAATCAATCGAATCGGATTATAATTATGAAGCATGCTTTTATGATTATGCCTTATTAATAATGATTTTATACATAATAACTGCTATAAGTGATATATGTTATCTCATTGACTAAAGGCTATATGGCGTATGTTTAAACTGTTTCGCATACAGTAGCCTACATCAGCAGTGCTGCCCGGTGGTTAATAAATTCTTAAAAAAGTAATATTTTTATGTGTGTCAAGTTCCTGCGGTAGAAAATAACAATATCGCCTATTAGATGCAGTTTACCACTGTAAAGTAAATTATTCACAGTTAGCCGGGAATTCAATTTTAGATGTGGAAATCACCGCAATCTCATAGTGTACACTGATTTAGCTTTACAAGTAATACGTTCATTTCCATTAACAAGCTTATACTGCTAGATAAAAAAACCTGCCAAGGGTTGTTTCAATACGATACATGGCGTATTCATCTAAGTCAACACTAACCGGTGATAATTTATAAATAATCTATAAATGAACTCATAAATTTAGTATTCTATAATGTAAAATTTTAGATTTCACCGTTACTTGATACACTTTTTTTCTTCTCGTGTTTATGTTCCAGAGAAAATATCCTTCAATTAGTAAGAAAGCACGGTATAGCAAAAATTCCTTACATGCTCATATGATATGACATACGACACTTAAATACACAACAGATGCCTGTTATAATAGCCGTAGCGCTAACTGTAATGATATAGATTAAAGAGCCAATTTGATATTGTCATGTTTCAATACTATTTGTCTTTATTATGTTGTTAGACGTTATTTATGTATGACGTAAATAAAGTTATTTCATTACTAGATTAGTATACTTTAAATATATAATCACATTAGTAGCTAAAATAGTTACGTTTGTGTTTAAATTTATTTCTTGCAGCGCTAATCCATAAAATTTCTACGGGTTTCGCTAGTAATAATAATAACAATATCTGATTAATAAATAAATAAATAAGACATTCTTGACGAAAGTAGCTGTAGATACTTTGTAAGTTCGGAGAAAAGTGTTTCACTTCTATCTGCCATCGCGATATTAACTTTACATAAACGAAATATCTAAAACACATTCAAAGCAAACGTGTTCTATCCAAATCCAAAGCCGTAATTCCCGTGTACACGTATACGAATGGATTTGGAATGAAATACTGAGCCGCATTATATATACTTCATAGATACATAACTACTTAGGAAGGCGATTAAAACTCAGTTGGCATAGCCAAGTTTATCCCTGTTTGCCTTCCGTATTTCATTTCCAATTAAAAATTTTTAAGCCTACAACTAGTGCTACAGCTCACTCTCAACAACAATATTTTGGCTTAAATATCTATAATATCATCAACTAATTATTGTATAAGGCACGATTTATGTTACGAACAGTCAATGTGATTCGTGGCCAGCATAAAAATTCTCCCTTAAATATAATGAAGGATATTGTTACATTATATTATATTTCTCAATACGAAAATACCTTACGCCAAGGCTTACGGTATGACTTGCCAGTAACTTGCTTTGAGAAGGGATCAATTCGAAATTGTTAGAATTGAGCAGAATATAGCGAGAAAGTGATAGTATAAAATCAAATTTAGTAGTATAAAATACAGTAGCTACTGCTTATTGTCAAATTGATAGCGAGTGCAAGAACCGCTCCACACCAAGGCAAGATGCTTTTACAATAATTATCTTTGCCAAGCAGTAACGACTGTTGTATAGATTAGTTCATTCTGTTTATTAATTGAACTAAAGCTCTACAGAATGCGATAGTGCTCGTTATGTATTATATCCTCGCATCGAATCGATCGTGTTAAACAAGATTAGACATTTCCAAGTAGCCCCGAAAACAAATCACATTTAAAATTGCATTTCCTTAAATACATGCATTAGTAAATTTTAAATCATTAATCAATCAGGATACCGTATTTGCTAATATCAATTTAACAGAATATAATTAAGGTTCGTACATGGAGTAAATCATCACTTGGATTTGACTGTATTATTTATATGGCGGTTAATAAGAAATTGTTCTGAAATAGACAACAGTAGTCTCTATTTCTAAGTAAAAAAAAAACAGCGTAAAATGCAGCTCAATGCACCAGAACTAGATGAATATGTTATTGTGAGTCATAGTGGGAGTAATAGTAACAGATGTTAAGCTATGGATGAATTAAAGATCAAATCAGTATCAAATTCAAAATGGAGATAAAGGGAATAGAACTGAACTGAAACTTTGATTAGAACGTCATTCTAACTAGTACTAGTAAAATGTGATTTAAAAAATGTCGGAATAAACATACTTGAAGCTTGAACGGATATACTTTATCTTTCGCCACAAATCTCACATTGAAGCATCACTAATAATAAGCCTGTTAATCTTAGATACAGAAAAATATAAAATAGCTACGTTGAAAAAGTATACAATATGTTAAAAATCAATAATCTAGAAATCTACATTACGAATCGTAAGGTTAACCGCTTTCGATGACAAAGTAAATCGTAGTACTTTACATATTCTAGTAAATACTTATACCGTACATTCCCCTTCAAAAATAGTGTACACAAAAAATGCTCTTGTTTGTGCGCTGCCAATAATATGAAGATAGTATCCTCGACGCCTTAAATGATGAATGATACTATGAGTAACTATCCATATGTATCTGCCCCTATTAGCATCCTTACAACGTTAAAAAATCATACCGTAATACCCTCGTTCATTAAAAAGACGATAAAATCTAAATTATAATGATGGGAAAGTATATAAAAATGTTAAATTATTCAAAATGCTAAAATAAAATGCTTGTTTACAATAATTATAGTGCACGGAACCGAATGAATAAAATAACCTTATATCGCCCCCTCCCCCTCTGTTGGTAGCCTAGCAATGTTGAAAAAGATATACGGTACTATTTTCGTCTATTACCGGTAAAACTTTAATTGTGAGGAATCTAGTACATATGAAAAAATTGGAAGTATTGGAAATTTTAACTGCTTGTTTATCACAACGCACAGTTACATCTTTTACAATAAATACGGATAGAATAGCTTGTAAAATTAAACCTGTGTTTATTAATAAACCCTTACACTTTGTACAGTCGCCAATGTACTGTAAAGCAGGTTAATATACTCTCGTAGAGAGAGTGACTCTATTGTTCATATCGAGTCTAATATTGTGGATGGAAATATCCATATGCACCCTGCTGCTAAGGGATTACTACAGTAAGAGGATATTTATTAAAGCAGTGGTTCCACAAACTTCCTCATATTGCTGTTCTCATAATATATATGCAAGTTAACTCAATGAAATTTTCAATGCGAGACATATCTATTACTAGCAGCTATCCATTCTAACTATTTTTTTTCCCCCAGAAACTTCAATTTCCTCAGGAACTATTCAAAAATCGATCGAACTTGATTATTACGCATCCTATCATAAAAACTGGAAATTTTCATAGACACTGCAAAAATCGCTCGAACTTTCCTGGTTGCTCTCCTTATAATGGTCATTAGCGAACCGCTTAAAATGTATGTACAGTATAAATAATATACACGTATATACGCTGGAGTCTTTTATTACTTTTACTTGGTAACTGGCGATCATGATGATAATTTTCTTTTTTCAGAAATTGAAATTTCTTACTTGATTGTTATTATTCTATCGTAGTAATTGCTGGAAATTATAGATACCACAATAATTGCACTCATCTGCCCTTACCGCTTTCCTTGTTATAATGAAAGTTATTGGTGAGCCCCTTAAAATGTATTGGATGTACGTAGTGTATCTACTACGTACGGCTTCAGCCTTTTTCTATTTGCACTGGGTGGCTAATTGTTTATGGTCATGACTAGTCATAAGTTGGACTTTACAGGAATATAAATTTCTTTACCTTAGTATTATTATTATTATTTAATCTAGAAAGTCTCGTAGATATTGCAATGTCACATTAATAACTTTCCGCTTGTTACTATCCTTCTACGATATGTACAGTCGTACACTATGTACATATGTCTTCGATCTTTTACTATTTTTAACCACTGACTCACGATCATGATTCCACCCATTGCACAGGAATTTAAATCTGGAACTTGAATATGATCATTGTTGTTTTAAAAATTACCCGTAGGTAATGTAGTATATGAATTCCAGTAATATTTTAGGGACTGTATTGCACTCCTTCAAATAGTTCAAGATCTTCTATACTAAAAGTGCTGCATGAATGCCATATAAGCGTAAACTTCTAGACATTTCTAGATGTTTTTTTTACGGCTTGCATTTCTGGCGCATATTGGAGTCCATTTTTAGACTATTGTATGGTTACAGTCCACCGTAGTCTCGTGGTATAATCGACGCACTGTAGGGAATGTCCATACACTAGCCTGTAATCAACACAGTAGCGTTGGAAGCTAGACAGTACACCGATCCAATAAATACTGTAGTCCAAATTTAGCCGACCGGTATATAATACAGTACGTCACGTCACATACGTCACTAGCGACTATTTTGCTGCTAAAGGGGTTGTCCACCAACAGTCAGCATAAAATATTCGATCGATTATGTAAACTTACTCTTTCTTCAATGATATCTTGTATTTATCATCGATCAAAGTATTTAGTTTTAATTTAATTTGTACTGTACAGTATTCACCGGTAGATTATTTTAATAATAGCGATCAGTGATAACTCTATACTAACGGTACTATGCGTCAACGAAGGATGATGGAAAATAAAATGTGCATCGTTTGCAATAAAGAGGTAAATGTCTAGGCTAAATAGAAATGAAATGATGTAATGATAGATTAGGTCATGCCAGCTTTTGAACAATTAATGTTACTTCGATATCAGTAAACGTAACTACGACTCTGTATAAATATATTTACGTGCATAATACATGATAAAAATTTTGAATCGGAGTTTTTTACTCTCAGGAGATGTTGTGTTTGATGTAATCAGTTGAATTTCAACACTACGATTAAATAAGAACATTTTACCGTACTCATTGTCATTAACTGCTAGAGTAGGTCAGCCGATATTGTATGCAGTATATTAAAACATGCAAAACGATTACTTGCTACAATCGATCTGAATGAGTCATTCTAATCTTGTAGCTAGAATTAATACAATATATCTTTTGAAATTGATATGGATAGATCATTTTTCACTAAATATAACGAGGTTATACGAAGAATTTAATTTTGCAGAATCGATAGATTCCAAGACCTTAAATGATGGTATTTTGATTGCGTTGTTGAACCCTAATTAGCCATTACCTCAATGCTTCTATGAATGCATGGATAGTAGCTTCGTATGCAACGTATTACATATTACAGTAGCTAATATTATTTAAGCTAACTGCTGACAGCAAGATTGTAATCTATCCAAATTGCACAAATTAGAGATATTTTGTTGATATTATTCCACGTACTATCGATCTCTACAAAGTAACCTTCTTATTGGATGTATTAGATCTGATTGCAAACTTACAATCTCACAATCCATAGTATTAATTCGAATTCGAAAAAATGATAAGAGAAATACTTTTGCTACACATTGCATCAAAAAAATTAATCCGTCCATCAATTTTATCCTTAAGAGCAACAATAGAGTGATATAAATTCTTATTCCGTTATTCATTATTTCTATCCATGACATTTATTTAGGTGCCACTAGGTGCAATTTCCTGCTCTTGTGGGCATGTTTTCATTACTAAACGGATGCTTGAATCTGGACGTATGTAATAAATTTATCTTTACAATTCGCCTGCTTGCTATTGTTTTAACTTACTGAGATCTAAACTTGATTGCAACTATAAGTGATCCTTAAGATTATACCACACTCACTTTGTGTATTTAACTTAGATATCGATTGGAGTGAACAATTTGGCGTTAAAAGAAAAAGAACACACGGCGAGGAAGGCAAATTGCAAGATTTAGATCAGAACGTATTTACAGATTTACGACTTATGCGAATTAAGGTTGGTACTGCCAATAGCACCATAAATTTAACTTGCATTTTAGTTACGCATTGCACATTGAATTTAATTTATGATCTTTATGGAAAATCAGTCATTGTAGTTATACATTTGCAGTTTTCCATCACTTGCAATATTCTATATCACAATGGTACCATTTCAGTAGAGAAGGTCAATAACCATGTTTCTACTCTTGAATTTTGAAGCGTCATAAAAGCAAATACGGTAAAGGCACTACAGAAGATCATAGGGGTAGGCGAAAAATTCGACAAATCTCGTCAAACGGGATGGCCAACAAATACACCGCAAAAAGGAATAACACTACTATTGGGTCCATTTCGCCTCCAACGGAGCGATTAAACAAAATAAATCATCATCCTAGCCACAATCTAAACTGTCGCGGTCTTAAGAACTCAAAATCAAAGCAAAGACTGAATGGCAATCGATATAAGCCCAAGATTACTCAACAATTTCACCACCAAATTAATGTCACGGAAAATTTATTTAAAACTGCTGTAGCAGACATTAATAGAAAGATAACGAATCAAAATCTACACGATATTCTGCTCAAAAGCAATCGATATCAGATGTAAAAATTATATCAAATTTTCACAGATTATCTATGTATTATGTATGATTTGAACATTGAAAAACCCTTGACAATATTGAAAGAGTGTTGAGTTAATATTTTCACTAATGCAGTAGAAATGAACCACTTATATAATACTCTACTTTTTAAGCTGTGCATGTGATACAATGCATTATCTAAATCTGCAACTGCAACAGTTGAACAAGTCGAATTTTATACTGTTTATGCAATTACTGCACAAAGTAATAGTTGTAAGTAGACTAACACGATAATTTTAACTTGAAAATTACTCTTTGATTATAATTATGGATATATTTATGGATAGCTTGAACCGCTTTGATTCTAATTGTAAGATATTTGATTTAGTTAATCAAAATTTAGAAATCAACATCTAGTATAATACGTACACACAGTATTGTAGTACTATATAATAGTGAATTGTGTCGGAGCTGTTGTTTACTATAAAGCCTATATCGTACCCTTTGATTGTAGATACAAATATCTCTTTATAATTTCTCCGAGTAAAATTTAACATTGTCCCAATTGACGAAAAATCTGTTCTTTACGAACAAACTTATCTTCAAGTCTGTACCGCACTACAACGTTAAGATATTGCATGATAAATATGAAAGTAGTGATTGTACAGCATAATAACGTTCTCACTAGTACGAGAAACCATGTATAGAAATTATACGTATATAATAGATATGTATAATTCGTAAACTGCAACAGTACTTCTATACTTTGAGTGATTAGCGCGAAACCATTTTTAACTACCGAGTCAAATTAACGTCATAAATGCGTAAATATTGCATTAGAAAATGTTAACATCTTCCTTATGAAAGATATAAATAAAGATGTCTTCCATCATCAATTTTAGCATTTCTTATTTAATTCTTGCTCGACTCTTTCCTTACGGCAACTATACATTGAACGCCTAAGATACAATAGTCGTGGTTGTTACTGACTTAAAATTTTAAAGTGCCTGGGGTTAGCGCATATGTAGAAAATAAATATAACAGTAAAAGAACTGGCACATAATCTACATCGTACAGTGCACGATATGTATCGAGGATAAAAGCCTTAACTACCCAAACATCTTGGTTTGAATATGAAGATGTTCCAATTGTAATTTGTACGGGATGTAGCAATTTTTTTTAATTTTCACTTTTAGAATGTAAACGTTGTAAAATCAGACATAGCAAAGTAGATACAAATATATTTCGGACTATACTATAAGGGAATATTGGATTTGAAATTGAATTTCTATACTTATTTTACCAGTACTGGATATAAGTGCTTCCGGTTGTATCCGTATTACTTCGCAAACCGAATAGTTTGGATAGCAAATGCCTAATATATTGTGTTCCATCCCCATTGCTGTTGATCATATAATAAGTGCAGTACTGTACTACTATGTAAAATAGCATGGACTACTAAATAAATCCCGGGGTTTATTTAGTTCATGACAGTAGTTAATTCAATTATATCTTTTGATATGATCGAATTTTCCGTTTATCACACTTTTAGAAAGGGTTTATAATATTGTTTTCGTTCTACCAGAGCTACAGTAGATTAAGCATTGTACGCTTTGAACGAATCATTTTACTTGATATACGCATACGGGTACGTGTTAACATTGGGTATACGCTTGTACTCGGCAATCAAATGTGTATACTTTAAGCGCGAACACCGTATAAAATCTTGATGACCTCGACACAAATTGAAGTTTATTCAAGTAGACGCTTACGTATACTACTACACTGTATACTCTTAAATGAAACGATAAGTCCTAAATCGCAACCGTGATAGCGTTTTTTCCTGGCGATGGTAATTTAGGCAGAGACCTGTGAAAACAATACTTTTTAGAAGTTGGTGATTCAAGTTTACTTTCTTAGTCAGGGCGGTAAAGTTATCCTCTCTGTAAATCAGAAATTTATCGCCAAAAGTATGTACATACTCAACTATCATATCATTATAATCTTCGTAACCATGGGGTAAGCATTTATGACCACGGATATTCATTTCGATTTTTTCCATTGCAATTGCATTTTAAGAGATATCGGATCCACCCCCATATTTTATATTAATTCCCTACCCTACTATAGTGTACAGCGCGGCATATTGTTCGACCTCGCCCAGAATTTTTCCTATTCCAACTATGGCAACATGAGTGACATTTAGTGAGTTCGTTATTCTAATCAAGAATAGGGGATCATGCATATACAGAGCATACAAGCTTGTCCATCAAACATTGATTACCTATGACCTAGGAGATCGTGACCGCGTTATGATACTCTTTCAAATAGGCACCGCTAAAAGAAAGGTTACGACAAAGGTCATGCTGTATTGTGTACGATTGTATCAGAATAATGCACTTAAAACTTTAGTCATGACGACCGCTACCTTATTGCATTGCATAATACCGAAGGAGGGCTAAGTGATAGAGGATGCTGTATTAGCTATGATTGTATCAAAATAATGCAGTAATGAAACTTTTTTGCATATAGTCATGACGACCGCTACCTTATTGCATTGCATAATACCGAAGGAGGGCTAAGTGATCGAGGATACTGTATTAGCTACGATTGTATCAAAATAATGCAGTAGTGAAACTTTTAGCATATAGTCATGACGACAGCTACTCTATTGCATTGCATAATACCGAAGGAGGGCTAAGTGATCGAGGATGCTGTATTAGCTACGATTGTATCAAAATAATGCAGTAGTGAAACTTTTAGCATATAGTCATGGCGACCGCTAACTTATTGCATTGCATAATACCGAAGGAGGGCTAAGTGATAGAGGATGCTGTATTAGCTATGATTGTATCCAAATAATGCAGTAATGAAACTTTTTGTATATAGTCATGACGACCGCTACCTCATTGCATTGCATAATACCGAAGGAGGGCTAAGTGATCGAGGATACTGTATTAGCTACGATTGTATCAAAATAATGCAGTAGTGAAACTTTTAGCATATAGTCATGACGACAGCTACTCTATTGCATTGCATAATACCGAAGGAGGGCTAAGTGATAGAGGATGCTGTATTAGCTACGATTGTATCAAAATAATGCAGTAATGAAACTTTTAGCATATAGTCATGGCGACCGCTAACTTATTGCATTGCATAATACCGAAGGAGGGCTAAGTGATAGAGGATACTGTATTAGCTATGATTGTATCCAAATAATGCAGTAATGAAACTTTTTGTATATAGTCATGACGACCGCTACCTCATTGCATTGCATAATACCGAAGGAGGGCTAAGTGATCGAGGATACTGTATTAGCTACGATTGTATCCAAATAATGCAGTAGTGAAACTTTTAGCATATAGTCATGACGACAGCTACTCTATTGCATTGCATAATACCGAAGGAGGGCTAAGTGATAGAGGATACAGTATCCTAATTAGCCGTGGGCGTGGTGAAGTGATGCAAGGTCTGGCTGGTTCTTTTATACCTTGGTGTTTCAGTACAGTAGTTACTAGAGTTATGCAGTACTATAGAGTAGAGAAATATATCATCTACGTCTGTCGTATGGTCAAGGTTGTTGTTGACTAGCTGATACCTGGCAAACTTTTGCAGATGGCTTCTGTACGACAATTTGAAGATAAAGCATCACTTGGTCAAGATCTTTGCAAATATATAGCAGAGAAATCTTCTCAAGCTATCCAAGATCATGGATTTTTCACCATAGGCTTTTCAGGTGGTAGTTTACCTTCTATCGTTGGAAATTCCATCCAACAAGTATCATGCGATTATGGACACTGGCAGGTATTGCTATGTGATGAGCGTTATGTATCATTAGATGATAAAGAAAGTAACTATAACGCATACAAGCAGCATATTGGTAGAAAATTACCTACACAAGTTGGCGGTGAAATTATTCTAGATTATAGTTTACCGCTAGAAGCAGCAGCAGCTGATTACGAAAAGAAGTTGCGTTCACTCTATCCAGGCGTTAGCATTCCATCTCTCGATTTATTATTACTTGGTATGGGACCTGATGGTCATACGTGCTCTTTGTTTCCAGGCCATTCTTTATTAACAGAAACAAGTTCACTTGTTTCCTTCATTTCGGATTCTCCTAAACCACCACCGCAAAGAATCACTTTAACCTATCCCATTATTAATGCCGCAAAAAGTGTAGCTTTCGTATGTACTGGCGAAGCAAAGGCTGATGTCTTGAAAAAGATAATCTGTGATAACGATCAGTCATTTCCATCTGCAAGAGTAAAGTTAACCAACGGTGAACATATTTGGTTTCTCGATCGTGGCGCAGCTAGTAAACTACAATAATTCCAATAATATAATCAACGACTGACATAAGTACTTATCAAATGGAGTTATAGCCTGATTTAATCACTGGCACTATTGGTTGGAATAGCTGCGACTACTTTACCTTTGATCTCTTACAAATTTTCGTTACAAGATCGCAGTAATAATCTAATTACACATTGCTGTCCTCGTAGCTATTGAGTCGATCAATATGATTGGACTATGATACAATCTAGAATAAATCTTTTCGTTATATCTAGAATTCTTCCTACCAGCCTTGTACAGTATCTGAACTGTACTACTATAGCAACTTGTTAGTATGGTATAGTTTAATTCTAGTAATACTTATTGAACTGATTCAGTTACTATAATACAATAAAGCATTTCTACATGATAGAGAATTGGTAAATTACTATCTTAAATAGGATAATAATTTGTCTCAAGCTAAATTATCTTATGTAGAGTCCTATTACAACTACTTCAAAGATGCAATTGACGATTTTTTATAAAACTGATGAACAATAATTCGATCAGGTACAGAATTGTTTATGAAGTAGACTGGTGATTATTTGTTATTTCTAAAATTAATTATAGATATAACATGGAATAAAAAAATTACTGCCGAAACCAACATGCTATTTCATTCCACACTAGTCGTTACAGTCAATATGCCCGTACCAGGGACTTTTTAAGGATTTCTTAAAAATCCCTGACCGTACTCGTACCTTACGTATTGTAATCCTGTCGCAAACTTGCAAAGACCAAGGTGCTTTTTCAATAAAAACTACTAAATAGAAAAATTTATCACGATAGCAAAGATCCATTCCTGAAGTTAGGGATTTACTAGTACTAAAAACTAAAAGTATCGCCCCCGAACGTAATTAATCACAAATTTCAATTTCTGAAATGCCTAAAAAAATCGATTTTGATTTATAACCAAGTTGTATACAAGTAAGTATACAGCAATACATAGCTGTTGAAGGAAAAACCAAGCTGGCTCATACTGATGTACTGTATTTGAAATGATTTAGTAATGATAGCATGCTTTATATATCAGCCACTATTCTGCATCCAAGATTGAAATCTCCAAGTTGTCACAAGCGTAAATCTTGACAAATTTATTGAACAATAAAATTTTAATCATGCTACTAAGTGCACAGGCAAATAAAATATCTTGTGTGCAAAGAATCTAATTAAGCTTTATGAAATGGTACGACACAACATTCATACTGTATCGTCTAAATAAGATGAATATCCAATGAAAAGTTTTAATACGTTTTATAAACAAGATAGGCACACGACCTATGTCAATATGCATTCCATCTTAAGATATTATACTCATATTGACTGTACAGTAGCTTGTGCTAAGTATTCATTAAATGACTAGAGTATAGATGTTATCCCACCATCATAGATAGTATGGGCACCTATTACGGCGCTATACATAAAGTGATAAATTTGCATTCCTCAGCAAATCATAATACTTGACAAGGTTTCCATTCGCGTAAAACTAACAGCATATAAGAAGCTTTGCATAAATTATTGTATGTCAAAATGGCCATGTGGTTTTACGACCACTTCCATCAAGTATTTCAAGTTTGGGCATAAATAATACCAAAAACACTTTTAATCGGCCGAATTGCAGCATTGAAAGACAGCTTCATTAAAAAGATCAGGCCTATCGGCGTAGACGTGATGACCTGCACCAGGTATAAGGGCTACATCGACAAAAGATTTTGATCTTATTTTCTGAACTACATAACCAGTTTCATAATCAATCCATGAACGAGCGCCATACATCATAGTAATTGGAACGTCATCTCTTATCTGATCCACTCTCTTAATCATCGGATCTTTAGACCAACCAAAGGCTGCAGTCATCGACTTAAAAGCGGATTCACCACTAATATTCAAAGATAAAAGTTAACGAGTAGATCCATTGATCGTACTGTCATGTTTGTTATATATCATAAATAGCAAAATCAATTCATCTTACCTTGGTTCTTGTGCATTACAGTGATAAATGTAATCTAGGACAGTATCATCTTCCCCACCAAATATGTTACTAAATTTTCGCTGAAAATCAGGCCTAAATCTTTTTACAAGCTGAGGTCCTAAAATAGAAATATCAAATATATCGTATTCAATATCAACATAAAATCATAACTAGCATATTTCTAGTATTTTTACGTACCCCAAGGGCCAGAGACACGTACTAGGGCTAACGGGTTATACGGATCCATCAACATGGAAACAAACTTAATCCATCTTGGTATACGTCTTTGATATTCCGATTCTGCAGGCTTTTCAGGAAAGCCCCATGGATCGACCAAAATTAAATGCTTTACATGTTGTGGGTAACTTATTGCATAAGAAGCCGATAGAAATCCACCTAAGCTATGGCCTAGCAAGATAAACTTGTCGATTCCCACTTGAGATCGCCAAGATTCAATCGATTCGATAAACCTTTTCTCAACTAATGTTGGATCGTTATCGAATTTTGGCCTAGAACTACGACCAAATCCAAGTAAATCAATTGCATACAATGTACGATTCTGTGATAAGTAGTCGATATTTTGAGCCCATAGGCCAACACCGCCACCAAATCCATGTAGCATAAGTAATGGCGTTTTGTTTTTATCTTTACTCTTTTGCACTACTTTTAAGGTTAATAGGCATTCATCGTTACCGATTACCACAAGTCTTCTTTCACATTTCGCTTTGACATCTGTATTTTCAATGAAAATGAGTAAAAGAGTGGGCACATTGAGTTAATATTGCTGAAATGGCAACGTTGGCGATAACTACAGTAGTTTGATCTACAGTTAATCTGTCAGTGTTGTTTAGTATACATGATTTATTTACGAAACTGTACGTGCAATCGTCTAAAATGACTAGCAAAATACTGTAAGTAGTCTATTGTGGTCTTTAGCTATCGAAATAATTATCCAATTCTACATCAAGTAGATAAAATCGTTATAAGATGCCTTAGTCAATATTATCATTACTGGTTTATATTAAATCAGCTATTAAAACACGGAGTGATTCATGCAGAATAACTCTCTTCATTAGGTCTAAATGGGTGTATGCAAGCAACAATAACAGACTTTATCATTACTATTTCTTTAATTTGTTCAATATTGAATGCTAGTAAGAAAGTTAAGATATCATGTAGGAGAAAAGGAGATTGTAGAAGAACAAGAATTTTATGCTTTGATCGAAAACTACGACGACTTTACTTTCTCAAATTTCTTCCATTTGCACAACAGTGAATGCTTAAAACAGTTAAGAGGGTATTTCCAATGTCAAGAAATTGTAAAATAAAAGAATGGAAAGTATGCCCAATAATTAATGAATAAATGTACAAGTTGAACTCCCTTTTGAACCAACAATGATGAATACTACAGTAATGTGAAGTCTAGAGTAGTGCTAAATCGTAACCCCTTTCGAAGTTATCATCATGGTAAAGGAAAAAATATTGCTACTGTAATAGGTCTGGCTGGTTCAAAGTATACTCGTCTGTATGAAGCCCTTGCATAAAGCAATCCATCGAAAATCCGTTGTGCAGTATGATACGATCAGAACTGACAACAAAGTTTTCGGTGTAGATGAATTTTGAAACAAGGAACAACGGAGAAATAATGATTAGTTTTAGATCATCGTTGCATTGGAATAACTGTATACTGTCCTGCGATCGTCGTCCAGTAGTATTTTAACGGTCGAGAAGTGTACTCGTATTGCTAGTACCAAGCGTACTATAATATTATGAACATTGATTAAGAAATGATGCGTGTTATTGGTGAACAACAACATCGGTACTACTTGGATAATGGTTCAAATTTTATGTTGATTGAAAAGAGGCATTTTAATGATTGGATAGGATTGTTGTTGAATGGATTATGATCCTTGGTGTAGGCGTAGAATAAGTTGGAAATTGCGCTTACGCACTTCTTAAAATCTTATTTTCAGCATATTCAAGCATAGCAGCACTGGTCGGGCACCATCTCAACCAATTGCCAAACCATCCATTGGACTGAGTACTACAGAAAGAGTTCAAATAGTCAGCGTTCATTATCAACAACAGTCATCAACATTTTGCAAGTCATTACTACGACAATGTTTTGTCATAGCATCATCACGGTCCAGTGCTATGATGAAATGATTATGATTGCTATCTATCAAAGTGAACTTTTACCTTTCTGAAGACATTTGTAGATTGGTAGTTAAGACTCGACGTAGCATTAGAAAGCTTAATAAATCATTTCCTACAGCAATGATCAGGCGGCAGAATTTCAAGCACTTTGACCCAAATCTAGTTCACGATCAATGTCGTCGTAACCGCAGTCTAGCAATATTGATTGGTACGGCCAGTTGCTACAGTACGATGACGAAGTGAATTTCTTTTGTTTTCGCCATTCATCGGTACTGTGCACTGTACTGGATGTACTGTACACTGTACAGTGCTATACTGTACAGTACTGAGACGATCGTTTTCTTACAGTACAGTGTACTGTAATTTCGTCCGATTTCCACCTTCAATGGGACAACTTTTTAGTCAAAAGCCTGTACAGTACAGTACAGTATAAGGCCTGGTACAGTACATATGCTAATTCACTGTAGTTTTGAGCTTTTGTATGACGTGGCATTGCTCCCTTACAGTACGGTACTGTAGTGTACTGTCCAGTATTTCATCAGCCCACATCATCATCAGCATAGAGATCCAAAATTTTTTAGACCACTATGTCATCCTTCCAGGCTGGCTTGAACAACTTCAAGACAGCCTGAGTGCTTTCCAAATACCCTAAAGTCACAAATCCAATTTTATTTTCCACATCAAAATGTTTTAATAAGTGCAGCGGAACAATAGGATCCAGCCTGTGTCTCTAAAATACAGTACACACAAATCCAATTTTATTTTTCCATATCAAAATGTTTTAACAAGTGCAGCGGAACAATATGATCCAGCCTGTGTCTCTTAAATACAGTACACACATATCCAATTTTATTTTCTACATCAAAATGTTTTAACAAGTGCAGCGGAACAATAGGATCCAGCCTGTGTCTCTAAAATACACTACTGCACTGTACAGTCTACTGTACACTATTGTATGATGTACATCATCACCATAATAAAGTTGCAGCTAAGCTCTGCCTCTGCAAACGACGCCAAAAATAAAATCAGAAATGATCTTGAAATCCCAGTCTCCTATGTTATACATAGTCTATAAATCGATTGATCAACGGTATAGTGTACAATCATGGACTACTAGAAATTTTAGTCGTCCATAGGACAGCATAGGACTGCATTTGACTGGCGAATCATCAGCCATTTGCACGATGCAATTCCAATATACGAGACGCGGCAACACTAGTTATTTATTGAATTATAATTATTGTTTGTTTTTAAGGATTATTTCTCCTTATTTTGATTGGCTTTACATCACTGGTTTCCTCAAAGATTTGTGCCGTTTGTAGAGTATTACGTATGCATAATATTATGGGATGTCAACTGAAAAAAATGATTCTACGCGTAAATGACAACAATAGTATTGTCTATCATCAGAACAGACACCATTTTTCTTACGGTACTGCAGCCAAATTCAAAGAGCTCATGATAGCCTACTGGCATTGCGCATCAATAGGACTCTTTTTGAAGAAAATTATCCCAGGATTCAATTCAACGATGAAACGAAGATAAATAACAGTCGACAGTAGTTCATGTAGCAAAAATAAAATACTATCCTAAACGAAGAAACATAAAAAGATTGCAGTATACGACGTATATCCAATAATTAGCGTCCTATTGGATTTTAATGATGACAAGGTAGTAGCAAAAAAGTGATATTACTGTAGTGTCTATTCAATCGTTGTAGAAGGTGGTAATACTGTACGACAGTCACAAGCTATCCATATTGTCAATAAAGTATTGTTGCAAGATAATAGCGTACGGTTTATTAACGAACAATATTAAGTAAACTAATCTCCATGGAAAACTGGAGTGGCATCATGCGCATTCTACTTGATGTCTAGTTATCCTAGTGGATAAGTAAGACAATCATGCTACAGTAATTAATACGTGGTATACGTCTACCTCCAATATGGTGGGCTTATCCATTGACAAAACTACACAGGGGCTTAATTAATTAACCAAGCAGCGTAAACAAGTAACGTTGTTTAACAAAGTGAATATGACTTTAAATATGCATGCAGCTAGGCGTGGCAGACCAGCCCATAGCGAGTTACATCATCGCTGACCAGCTATTACACAATGATGATGACAAAAGGAAAATTGTTTCCATGTTGTCCATGTCTACTAGTCTAGTGTACAGACAGGTCGAAAAAGAGACAGTGGTCTGGACGCCATTGCATACTGCCTGATCATGGACACGTAGAGTAGAGAGAAGATTAGTGAAGTACTGCGCTGCCTGATGGGCGTCCATTCCCTACGTGTTAACACAGGTTTGACCACCGCATGCCCGCACGCACGCAACGCGTGCAGTACTATCCGATACACTAGTAGAGTACAGTAGCACCCCCAAGTGACTATTTACCTTGGACGTATCCAGCGCTAAACCCGCTGGATCGAGTACACTTTAACGCAAATCCTCACGGGTGGCTGGAATGACATTCTTGTAACCCCCCCAGCCCCCCCCCCCCTATGTACCAATAGACAAACATGGTCAACGTTTTCCGATTCAATATTATGTTAACGTTCTCCATCTCCGATTGATTCTTTCGACATTATTACTAAATTTCCAGAGCTTAATACGATCACCCTGGCCAACCTGATATTATCATTCGTTCAACTGCAAGCGGGTTGAAATTCATTTCCAAATCATAACGGTAAGTGATGACGACGTGACTATAGTCCAATGATTAATTTTAACGGCTTCAAGGATACTTACGCCTAGTTCAATCAACGCAACGATAATATTCTAACCCCCCCCCCCAAAAAAAAAGGAAAATCAACTTGATCGATCGTTTGCATACTCCGGGTTGATATTCTTTTATTAGGGGGGAAACCTTTCCATGCAGCGTGCGGTTGGATCGATTGGTTATACTATACTAACTAAATCAATGTTATCTTGATCGTTGTCATTGTAACCGCTGATGATAAATAATATTGAATAGCTTATCGGAACTAGATATGCATGGCTATAGATTGAATTGCAATACGATCCAATTTATAGTTACAGGTTACCGTAGAAATAGATAGGACAAAGCTATCGTAAACGATGACTACGATAATCGATTTCGATCGATCACCGACATACACGCCAATCATAACGTGTGTTTATTAATCGATCACATTACGCCTAGCGCTAACGATACAAGCGGAGATTCAATGATGGCTTGGATAGAACAGATTATTTTCACCCTGGCCACTAACTGTAGTATCCCATTTATACGGCAGCTATGACATACAGTATAGATCAGTTTTGATTTTTCAACAATTTAGCTAGTCATACTGTCGATTCAACGCTTGGTTTCTATATTCCAGTACATAGATTAGACCCTATACATTGATTTAAAACATACAACAATAATTCCATATTATTTATCAACACTTTAAATTGGGACAGTAATCGCTTAACTTGCCTTCTTTTCAGCCCTCATGACTGGCTGTTCATTTTGATCATTTTTTATTCTTATTTATTTACCTTATTATCCCCGCGTATTATCCTTTAGCTTTTTTGTAGCCCTCCCCAAAATGTACACTGTAATATTATAGTCAGAGTACAGGCTTTGTATACAACCAAATTTACCAGTTAACACTTCAATAACGATGATCTATACCTAATAGAGCCATGGAGAACAACACGGTTCGCCATTTTTCTCTACCAATGGCCATATCGTGCCAGTTCTGACTCTAGCCACAGCATGGATTGCGACGCGATAATTAATTAAACACGCCTATGACAGAAAAAATCACATTGTACCATATTATATTATGCGCCATTTTAGTATATAGCAATGTAATAAAGGAATGTTGCATCAAAACACACGTCATACAACTTGACTTTTCCTCAAAATTTTAATGCCCAGACTGTCGCTATTACTCAACACCGATCAAGATTAATACAAGTTAGTTGCTATTTTGCGCCTATTTGATATCTTTTATTTTCAGGTCAGCTCCCTAGATCATGACTAATGTACTTAGAGATATAAATTTCAACGTATTATCAGCATAGGATCATGTGATGAGAAAAGGCAAAATTCTATTTGTAATTCTAGACTTTAAAGTAGAAAGCAGAATCAAAGTTGTTATTTTTTCACTTAAAACGATTAACCATCAACTTCTTGCTATCACTATCGTCATTATTAAACTGTCGATCGAGAACACAGTATGTTCATCGCTACAAAATACTGCATAACTAATTAACCCAATTAAAAATTATTAACGGTAAAAAGAGGTATTGATAAATTTATTTGTATTGAATATGCTCAGACCAATAGCTAATCCTTCAATTCGGAAGTAGTTGATTTACCCTAGCCCTCACTTAGGTGCTTTGTTCCAATCATAGCAATTCTATAGTAGCGAGTTTTTTAATATCCTTAACCTTATAATATTGAAAATGACTGCATCTTCATCATCTCTAGACAATCAAAATAAATAATCATAACTTTTTCTATATTTCAGTTCGTGAGACGAATACAAAATATTACAAGGAAACAGACAACAAGGTAAAACAGCTACACTTATGTGTACCAGTATAATTAAGTGGAATATCTGAGTCCAAAAAGAAATCTTATAAAGTTTTTACAAACAGTGGTTAGTCCATACTCCTAGATCAAACAACTCCATTAATTGAATATTCTTTGTAATCATAATCGTTGAAAGATCCTGGATTTAAACTTCAACACAAGACGGAGCATTAATTCCAACTTCTTGGATAAAACTTGCAAAAATTCCACCATATTCATACACGAATTGTCGTATGATTGGCAATATCGTTACTATTTGGAAAGTGAATGAGTAATTGGATAAACTCTTTGCTCTAACATTAACTATTACCAAAGTATTTACATTGGTAATCAACAGTAAGAAAATACAAGCCAAAATGAGTCTAATTGGCAGTAGTTCAAAAGATAGCAATGCCAAAGACAGCTATCGTAATAGTAAACATATGGTTAATTCATCCAATGGTAAAAATCATCAAGGGGAGAAAGAAGATGATAATGTTAACACCCCTATGCGAATTAATGCCGAACGATTATTTATCAAAAGAATAAACCTGCATAACCAAATTGCTCGTACAATGCTATTACGCGGAGGAGCAGAAAATTTAATAAGGTAAAATCGAATTACTGAACAGTTAGTGTTAATATTGATCCCATCATTACATCAATTGAAACTTACTGTGATTGTGTGCCATTCCATTCATAAGAAGCAGATAGTCATCCATTTTGTCTAAAGTCTTTTACTATTGTACTAGACTCTGCGTTAAACCAGTATAAACTTATTTTAAGCTCATCACCTGATTTTCAAATTACAATTACAACATCCTTTATAACCATTTATTTATTTGAATACGGTCTGGAATATTTTAATGAATCTCCCGTACGGGGGTACACTACTAAAATGATATTACTGTGCCTACAGCTTTATTTTTAAGTTGAGAAATTTCCCCTTTTTTAACTATCGACTTTTCCATATCATGAATACAGCTTTTTTTATATTTTTAATCTGAATACCAATTTAATAAATCTACGGTGCTGGTATGATGTAAACAACCATTGATCTACTGCCGAACTATGCGCTTTAACTGAAATTCATGTTCATTACCGAGTTAATTCTACTGTCTAGGTAACATGATTAATTTGTCATCTTTTTTTTCGAATCTTCCTTATTTAACGGTAAACGACCACATTGACATACTGTAAATATTCACAATGCAGTTGAAATACAGCGTCGCTCTAATTATTTATTTTAAAATTATTTTATGTAAACAGTTAGCAATAGACGATCTAAACAACTTTCAGTAGCTTACTGTTATCGATCGAACACTTAAGGCCATAAGAAAGAAACATCTCAATTTTCGAATCTCATAAAAGTATTAAGTGGACTTAGAACATGCTACGTCATTCTATTATAGTATCATGTAAGCAACTATTCTAATTGTAGCTTTATAGTATTTCTAGATACTTATACTTAAATTTTAATTTACGCACTTTAGTAGAAGCCCGGTATCCTGGTTTATAATATTTTACTGCAGTATTTTCATCTTAGCTAGTAAAATGATTCGCTTGATGTAACGCTACCGCTAATGGTACGTTTCATTTTAATAAATTTAAATAATCAGATTCATCAACTACCATATCAGGTCTAGTTAACTAATCGAACGTCACCCGTAAAGACATTCTAATAATTAAATAATTGGATTATTTATTAACTAGAGCTTCAAAATTTAATTGACAGAACCCTATAGATAAAAGATACTTTTAAATTAAGACAATCCAATTTATAAACTAATACATGAAATTTTCCTTGATGGAACGCTATAGTTGAGTGCTGTAGGTAGAGGTTCCTTTATTTTAAAATATACAAAATAGTCAAATTTCCAATTAGCACATCAGATTAATTAACTACTACTGTACCGTATCTTTTAACTAATCTCATAGTCTTTATGAAATTTTTGGATTATTTTCCTTTTTTTAATCTTTTATGGGTAAATTGATCACTTCGGCAGGATACAAATAGGAATAATACCACGCACCAATATCATTTTAATCAGGATCAATTTTATAGCGATACGCCACCTTTCATCACGAGAATATGTTAATCTTATTCAAATTATTGCTGCTACATTTACTTTATTTTTTCTACTTTATCCCCTTTGCAAGGTATGATTCATTTCAATCATAACACGAACAATTCCCATAACTCGATTTTTCACTTATTGATAAGCCTACCATTGTAAATTTCAATCGATTTCAATAATTTGGACATCGAGACGATAAAACTCTTTATTCTGCAACCATTTAATTATCATAAAAGATTTTTAGATAGAAAATACAATCCGCTATTAACAGTTCACTACTTTCCATTTTATCCCCACAATTAATTAGTTAAACATTTCATGAAAGACAAGCCATGATACAATGAATAATTTTCATTAATGCACAATATCAATACACATATAAACTAGTTGATTTCGTTACAAAATAATAAGGACAGTTAATCCTACTATGTGATTTGATACTTTAACAGAATAGGAACAAATTTCTATCCGTAGCGATAGCATATTTGCTTAAACTCCAATAGGACTTTATAATTATATTCTCTTAATTATTTATAACTAGCTGCACACCTATGCAACTATGACTATGACGTCTTAACAATTTAAACTCGTATACACTATACAGTATGCGTACAATCGCTCCATACCTAAAAAATTCAAAAACTACATATGTACATTAATCCACAGTAACTTATAATCTACGAAAAATTTTAAGATCGTAGCAATTTCCACGTTAAAACATTTAAGAAAACGTCTCATTCTTCTGCCATCAATCAATCTTTAATACTATTAACTCGTCATATTCATTGATACAACTGTTGAATCTATTCCATGAATGTATTAATCTTAAATTTTAGCTGCAGGAATTACTTCATAAGATGCAGCATCAATTATTATGTCGCTCATGTTGCTAACCCTAACATTTATAACAGATACTGTATTTTATGTCCTTGTTTTATACTTTCAATATATATTCTATATATTAATGTAAAATTTATTCAACTATATAAAATAATATAAAGTGTGTACGTAAAGTTAGAACATTTCATAATTCGTGCGATTTATAGTAATACCATCTACAAAATATATACTAGTACAGTAAGTACATGAAATCGAGAAAGCCTATAGCGATTTAAAATTTAACGTAACGTAGACTTTGAAATACTGTAACAGTACGATATCATTTATCGGGTTATTTTCTCCTATAAGTACAGCTGTAGAAGAATTTTAGGAAGTTAACATCGCTACAATCTAGCATTTAGATTATTTTTGCTAATAGCTTATTGATGTATTTAAATTACGACAGAATTATATATACTTAATGATATTTTTTTCACTTTTCAGTGCTACCAAAGACAAGTATATTAAGAATACAACCCAACATCAACTGAAATACTACATTAAAAAATTAAACAAACTTCATAACGACCTAGGCTCACTAAATAGCAATTTGATATGTTTCCAAAATGAAAGGTAATTCTTTTACAGTAGTAATGTTTCACTTACAGCGTCGCTTAATAACTTAATCAGATACTTCTAACTGGTTTCTATTTTATTTATTATGCCATAATTTTCGGAATTTATGTTAGCATAATCAATTAACTCAAAATAGGTACAATTGTGTAGCCTAATCTTAAAGTTTTCATGATTGCATTTAGCAACATTCATCGATCGGTGCCTATGATTACCTTTGGACTTAAAGTTGGTAAACCAATAAAATTTATGTTCGCCTTCAAGGTATCATGTTATAAAAACATTTAAATAAATACTTTACAAATTTAAAATTAAAAGTCGATTATGATACCTAAAATCGAACAATTGCCGAACATTTCAATTAAGACAGCAGTATATCGCACAGAATGATCATGTTGTTTTAGTTACGATTTTTACATTCAAAACTTAAACTGGTGCTAATCTTATAAAATATAGAATAATTATGATCATATTAAAATAGAAAAATTTAATGTTAACTACCTTCGTTAATGTTTTTAGCAGTAGCACAGTTATATAACGAAGATTTCATATAGATCAAAGATTGATGAAAGAATGTTAAATTCTATCAAGCGATTTATCTGCTAAAATATGTTTATTGTAGTTTCTCGATGCTGTTACTATCTGTACCTACAGTAAATTAACTTTAATTTCTTCCCGCTAAGGATATAATTAGAGATCATTATCATGAAGACCCTGATCTATACGAAGATGCTATTGAAACTTTTACGAAATTACGTGAGGTAGACAACTACTAAATGATTTTGTTTATATGAAATAAAACTGATAAATATTAGTTACAAGTATAAAGCTAAAATAAACCCAAGGGAACGATGATCTGTAATAGTATTTTTAAATGTCATAATAATTCAAATACAAGGCACGAATTCGTTACTAAACTATATTCTTTCATATGTTAGAACGCTTTGTCAGCGACACGATCAGAAGCAGGCCTAAAAAATTTAATTGAATACTTCAATCAATTATATTTTATTAGCAAACGATTTTTTCGTATGAGAAAAATTTTCAATATCCAATTTTACTGGTAAAAAGTATAGTGTTATTGACCTTGCCGTTAAGAGTTGTCATTTTTATAGAATAAGGAGTGTTTTATCTTTATATTATTCAGTAGTTCAATATTAAATTACCGTATTTTTTGCTACAGGTTTGACTGTTTAAATGGCGAGCCAATAATTCAAAAATCAATAAGTTTTGAAAAAGTAAATATTTTTTACACCAGCTTTTACGTCACCCAATACTTGTATAAGATATCTATTTAGTACTACTTGACAGTGAAGTACTTAAATAGCGCTAATTTCTATCTGAATTTCACTAACAGGTATACATAGTTTTATGTAATTATCATGATTCTCTCCATATCTTTGACAGGCATCAATTTTGTATAACATTGGGGCACTACTTACTCAGTTAGCTTCGAAGCAGGTACATTTTTGAGGCATTATAAGTGCTCATAAAAATATAATGTTAAGAATAAAATTAAACAACGTCTCATTTACTTAATCTCAAAGTTTTACGATTCGTCTTTCGATGATTTCTTTCTAGAACTTTGTTACTGTTAATGGAATTTACGCAGCAATTCAATACTATCAACGTGCAGCAGGTTAGCTTACTCTCAATGGATATCAATATTTCCTTATACAATTAATTTGTCAAAATATTTTAAAAGTAGTAGCAATCATGAATCCACGAGTCAAATCTAATCGACAGTATAACTTTACACTTAAATTCTATTTAACATACTTTTGGTTGTTAACTGAACAACGATAAAGTAATTTGGATGATTAATATGATTACTCAATTAGGCGCCTTCAATATGCTATTGGAAAACTTTAAAAATGCAGCATCGTTTGATTTAAGCGAAAAAATGTTGCGAATCTATATCAAGATTTTAAAGGTAATATAAGAGATTTTTGATAACTATCAACAGGACAATTTCCTCCAAATAAGTAAGTTTTTAATTGCAAATTCTCAACAGGCTCAAGTTCAAGAATGTTATTACGGTAAAATTGCTGTCACGATGGACAGTATCGATATTAGAACTAAAGTTATTCTTTGCAGAGAATCTGCTATTGTAAGTCAGACTTTTGAGTAGTGATATCGAAGAAAATATTGTATAAAAATATATGTATTACTAAAAAATCTTTCTCATGACAAATTGCTGTGTCAGGTTGGTAAGTGCTATCAAGAGTTATTTGAATTCATGCAAAATGATGCAAGTACAAAGTATATACCTGAATCATGGCGATCAATGAGCGAGGTTAATTGTTACCCTAAAGCTAAGAGCTGTATTTAAGTTGGTGTACTCTTGAGTAATTTAGATCAATTTATCCATATCTAGGTCAAGTCCGCTATATTTACGGCGGTATCTCATCACTTTGCAGCCGAAGTTTTGATGCATTATACAACTTGTGAGTAATGATTATTCAAAAGAGTCTTATATACTACAGATTTATAAAGTAAATATATGTAAATCAAATAATTATTTTCCATAAAACCACTACTTTATTAGCAACCAAAGTGGAGAGCACTCAAACGTTTTTAGCAGTGGTAGAATCTATGTATGGAGAGAAGTGCCCACCCGAGTTATGGAAAAAAAATCATTTATTGCGAAGTGCTTTAGGTAGTTTAATGGTAAAGAAGATCACTTTCTTTCTTCCGTATAATATACTTACCTTCTCTCTTAATCCTATTACTATTAGCGAAATTTCATTTGACTGAAGCCATTAATAAAGATAAAATGGCAATGAAAATTCGGGATCGATGTATTTTTCTTCAGCAAATGAAAGCTTTACAAAAGGTATATAAACTACTTTACTTTTAAAATCAGCTAACCAACCATCACTAACTGTAAATCATGAAACTCTTAATTTTTTACTTTTTGTATTACCAAGACCATTTTGATACTAGTATAGCACAGCATATATTCTTCCTAGTACTGCAACCTAACAATCCCACCTGAAATAATGATTACTGAAATCAATTATAACTTGCCAAGAGTTGATGAAAGATTTTTATTACTATGAATATCTATAGATCTTGATAAGATCACATAAGATATCTGTCAATATGATATCGTCCATCTGGAATCGAAATAATGGATCATTGGCATCTGTAATACCACCACAAATTAATGGTAATGTTCTATTTATGCTAATATAGTCTTTTCTGTTCCATTTTTTTATGAGATATTAAATTATATTAAAATTATTATCTTGTACAAATCTAATTTCTTAAAGATTAAGATAAATAAAATACAAATATTTTTATTACATTGCTAAATTTCTAAGGTTATGAATTTCTAGTTAATCCTCACTATAAAATAGAGATAGTACAGTAATTCAGCCATCTTATAATGTTATTAGGTGCCTCACAAAATCAATTTCAATGTGTTCATCCTGTCTTTGGCAAGTCAAGCGATCGTAGTGCAGATCTCTTCGCTGCCTTGGTAAACTTTGTTAAATCTTATACTAGTGCAATAAACCATAACGATTTAAAGCTAAGATATTATTTTAACTGTAACATAACTAATCATCTAACATCCGCATATCTTTAGGGCCCTTTAAGCGTATTTTGTGCCTCTGCAATACTTTCAAACCTTAAAACCGTTGAAATTCCCCTAACAAATAAAACTATTGGGTTTGAATTGTCAAACAGTGCACCACCCAGAATCGTTCGTGTGGATGAAAGCAAATTTTTGGTAAATATAATATATATCGACGTAGTAATGCGCTAAATAATCAAAGGAATTTTCTACAATGTCAACAAATAATTACTCCCAGTATCTGATACTAATTATTGGTGTATATGCATTTCTACGCTCTATTAAGCATGTTTAACATCGTCGTAATTACTAGTCGATGAAAATAGATTAGATTAGCATCTAACATTATAATCTCATTTAATAATTAATGTGTCCTAAATTAAAAATTCATTTCATCTTATCTAATATTAAAAAGGTTGACACTTTAAATGTCGATGACTACATCATCAGTTTAAATGAACGAAATGTACGAAATCTTAAAGGACCAGAGTTAATGCAAGCTATAGAACAATGCGACGAAGAGTGTGTTCTATGCGTGGCAAGAATAGTTTTAAATCCATCCGAATTTGATTCTCCCCTACCACAGCCAAAACGGAAAGTTGGAAATCCAGTGCATGTTACAATATCAATGGAAGGCGAAGAAGAGCGGATATTGCATGCTAGAACGGTCGAACTTCCTGCAGTTATTAAGCATGTTGCAAAAGATGAAGATGTCGAAAACGAAATCAATGCTGTTGTCAACTCAAATAATGACGTGGAAAATGAAGTTACAGCTAATGTTGAGATCCATATCTCCTCTGAGGAACCTGGACAGTACGATCAAGATGAAGTTGAGGAAATGGAAGGCGGAGAAAGTGAAGAATTGCATTCGCTTCCACGTGATAGTGAACAACAGATTTCTGAACCTCAGGTCGTAGTGGAAATTGATCTTGTCAATGATGATAAAGGTAATAATTATAATGATATAAAGTGAGATAATCTATTTAGAATAATATTTTTAAACTTGATATATGCGACGATGATATAATTTTTCAAATAATAATTTTATATTAAACATTATCATATCTGATTAAAGAATCATCCCATATTGACCGTCATGATGACAAGGAAGATATTGCCAATCATATATCTTTACCTCGAGCAATGATCGATGAAAATAGCAGCAATCTAGAAACAACTGTCTCCAATGACGAGCCTATCAATAATGAAACTACAATTGTAAGTACACTGCAGGCAGCAAAAAATGATTGTAGCGCTGACTTAACTGAAGATGGTGATAACCAACAAAATAACCATGAACATCAATTCTACGACAACGGCAATGAGATGGACGAAAATGATGGCTTAAGAAATGAAGATGAGACTGAAGAGGATGGTGATAATCTAAATCACAATGATATCAAATGGAGAACTAGGTTAGATAGTGATATTCGATATGAAATGGAAATACGGGACAATGCCCTCTATGAGGAAGACAATATTGATGATTGGTTATTCGTTAATGAGGGCGAAAACGAATATCAAGAGCAACTAAACAAAGAGAAAGCCACCAATGATGAAGTATCCAATAACCCGAGCATATTACATAATGATTCTGAAGTAATACCAGAAAATAATGATAAAATAGTTCAGGACGAGGAAACTTTTGCTAACCAAGAGACTACCAGTGTTGTTAGAAATAATATATCGGCCACAGTAGCTGAGACGACAACTACTACCATTGAATTTTCAACACCTGAAAAATTAAATGAAAATTCATCTGTTACTACTGATAACGCCATATTAACACGGTATGAAATTTCTACGATTTCGCCATCAACTTCAACAGAGACATCAAAGACGATAATTTCATATAGTGCAACGAATGATCAAAGTACTGTACCTATGATCACGATAGAATCTGCAAACGATGATAATTAATGCTACGGATACTAATGCATAAAGGGCATTTCTACCACTTTAGATGCAATGAATCTTCTTGGTAATACCTGTGTATTAGTAGTATAGCATAGCGATGTATATGTGCATGTACCTATACATAGGTGCAAACATTCTGCGTCTATTTTATGTCAGTTGAATGAGTAAAAAAGTAATCCATCATGAACTCTTAACACTGTACTATGATCACCATCATGAACTAAGATACTTGAATCATAGGTTTAAATCGATATTTATCCGCCTTGTCATTGAGGCATAAAAACGATTAGTTTTTCAATTTAAGCCAAAATATACTAGACGTCAATGATTAATATCTGATCTGTAGCGAGCTCACTTTTCAAAAATTGGTTACGTAGATTTAAACACGAATAATTCGGGTGGATATATTTTCGTAGAGGACATGGTATACTCGTAAAACTATTTCATTTCACCTCAGGATATCGTACAGTAAGGTAGTGTTGCTAATAATACGAAAGGTCAACTTGGTGACTAGAGCTAAATTTTGTTGCTTGCGATTATTAATTTCTGTAACTACATTTTATCGTCAATATTTATACGAAGCGATCTTTGTACTTGGGTTTATTAATATTTACAAAATATACTGTTTTATCTTTAAAAAATTTGTCAAGACTTGTTGCTAACCTAAGAAGGTCAGAAGTTATATCTTATGACAGATATCCACACTGTACTATCAATTATCCTTGTTGCTTAGGTATAATATAGTGAGAGATATAACTAAAGTGACTTGATATGAAGGTATCAATATAATATATCCATAATCTTATGTAAGTACCAAGATATTTTTACACTTAATTGAGGCTTATCGTGCGGCAGTGAATATGTATTTTACAGCTTACGGCTATAACTATTTAGTACATTGCATATGTTCGATCTTGTAAGGAATATGAAGGAAATGTTTATATTGCAATTATGATAGTAATGTTAAATGACTATGTTGCTTGTTATGATTTTGTATGATATTTTCGAGGTAATTAATAATTCGATTAATTATTCTGGTTTAAAAAGAATAGTCTAATATTTTGCCTGCTTATTTATGCAAGTATATATTAATAATATACGGTATTTTCTACATAAATGTTGGACTGGCAGTCTGTATAAGTTTTCGGTTGTAATAATTTTTACATTGGATCACCAGCTATTCATTTTATATAACTTAATGTAATAAAATGACTCTGTTTATGAAAATTTGAGTCTATCATCATCTAGTTACTATTCAATAGCATTGCAAGGTCTATAACAAATTCATTACTACCTCCAAAAATGTTATTGCATGGATTGACGAAAAACAATCGATAAATCGTAAAACCTGTACTGGAAGAAGCACTTACAAAACTCAATTTTAAGACTAGGTATCCTGCCATAATTAGAATATGCTTATCTTAAGAAAACGATCCCCAGGCATAACAGATTCGATTTTATCGAGACAATACTAGAAACTTTAAAATTTTTTAAGCAACAAATTGGCATTTTTGAAATTCAATGATTGAAACTTGTTCAAGATTATTATAGTATTAGACCCAAATACCAAGTTTACGACTTAAAAGCGTAGTATAATTATCTCAATATATTGAAAAAGCGGGGTTGCTGGTGAGTTACGGTATTGTATGAACCGCTTAGAATATCTATTATATTAAATCTTACTTGCCATGTATGGTCGTAATAACCATTCCTATTTATTTATCGCAAATACGAGTATATAATCACGAATTGAAATTAAGTTGTGCATGCATTTTATTATATTTTCATTCATAAAAAATATATTTCTCCTATTCACTTACGGCAACATAAGATATTGAAAAAGGAACAAATTTTGATGAAAGATGTAGTATTTCTGCAATATCCAGTAAAGCTAACTTGAAATATTCTCGTGTATGTATTATTTAAGTCCATAGTAAGTACTACATAACCGACGCAGTAGCATATAAATATATATACCGTCTGTAAATGTGCATACTGAATATCCTGTACACTGCACGTACATACTTTGTATATAAATTAAAAAGGTTTTTGTTTTTTACAATACTCTTTGATAGCTATACTTGCAATTTAAATACTTTCTCGAAGCAGTTAATCATCTATTGATTATTGCATTTATAGGTTCTATTTAGAACATTTTTAAGGTATACATATCAGCCTGTGAATGAACAAAAGATGCGTTAGATAACAGCAAATACTGCACTTGTTTGGAGTAGTAAGAAATTTATGGTATCATATTGATCGACATGATTAGTTTAAAATCAATCAGAACTCTGTTCTATTTAGTCGGAATAATGAATACGTTGTGTAGCAATTAAAAAGGTTGTTTTATCGTTGATATCGTGCCAACCGATAGGGCCTATCTCGCAATCTGCACATATCAAATATTTAATGCTAGACCCGACTGTCTTTGTGAAACCAACGTTTTCAAAAGTGAACATATTGTCCACTTTCCAAAATTGACTGAGCTGTTCACCATCCACTTGACCTGATTCTTGGTTGCTAGTATTTTTCTTTACCCTCATGTACGGTAAAAAAATCTATATAAAAGAAGAAGAATAGCGCAAAAGTAGTTTTAGATTGAAATTTTTGTTGTAATTGCGTATTTGCATGGTACAGTATAAATTAATTAATTATACTGTTTATATTCATGATTACATTGATGATTGGGTTTCCTATGCGATGAATCAAAAATTATATATTATAATGAATTGCATATCATTGCAGTAGGATGAGGTCATTCTAGTGACAAGTAGGGTTAGATCATTGCGAACAACATGATTGATAGAATTACTAAATGATTTCAAAAATTTTACTCCATCAAACAGACTACGTTCATTATTATGATTCAAGTTTATTGATTATAATTCATTAGTGAATGATCATTCCTAACATCTAGATGGTGTATGACATTGGATAGTACAGAAAATAGATGGATACTATTATATTATCAATTGATGGCTGTATACGTACATCAGTATTGACTAATTCCGCTGTTTTCTTTAATAGAATTTTACACCGGCAGTTTGGACAAATTATCATTTGTGCATTTTTCCCATCTGCAGTAAGTTGATGATTGCTATCTGAAGCCGATTGCACTTCTTGATTGTCATTCGTTGCCATAACTCAATGATCCCTGTCTCATATGAATAGAACAAGTTATTAACACAGGTATAAGCAGATGGATGCAAATATACATGTAGCTACTTGAATCGATTCAGAAAATAAGTAGTTGTTTGCTGCCATTAGCCACTGCTCACCGATAGTCGACTTGATTGAGTCCAGCGCGTTTTACAAGGAAACAATGCCTATCCCTCTCTACACAATTGCCAAATTATACTAGCCCAACTTTTCATACGGTAGATACAGTTACTAGAAATGGTTCTTCACTAATTAATGCAGATTGAGCTGAAAGTGATATCTCTACGATCTGATAAGTAATATCATCAAGCTCAGATGATTACAATTTGATCACCAATCTTTCCACAACTTGGTCTCTGCCTGAGCTAAATCTGGATTGCTGTATGTTTGCTAGCAGAACAGAATCCATGGGTAAGGGTTGGCTCCCAAGTCAGTCTTAAAGTTGATACGTTCCGTATCGTAACGTCCCAGATCGCCGAGGTCCACTATGGGACCGTGTGCTTGTTGTTACTTTACTATAGTATGTCTGTCCCCGTGATATCCTATCTGACAAAGGAGGCAAATCTCTGTAACAGCGATTACTATAATACAGCGGCTACCTTTTACGTTTACGATAGTACAATTGCTGTCCGTCCACAACCATGACGACCATACTATTGTACTGTACCTCTAGTACCAGCGAAAGGACCCATGCAACTGACACTTTCACAGAATTTAATAGTGTACAGTATAAAGTATACGGTAGTGTATTGGTAGCGGTACTTCGAGAGTGAGTTACTAGGCGACTGTATCCGCTGGCTAATTGCAGTTGGCCTTCTTTCACTTCTACGAGCTTCGTCATGTCGACTACTCCTAGTAAAAGGCAAAAGAATAAAGGAGAAAATAATCAATCCGATACCTCGGCTTCCGTCTTCCATAGAGCTTTAAGACCTAAATCAACGTTTGAAAAGGTAATAGCCTATCGTAGTTGAAATATAGCCAGGCGTACTCGATCCATCTGCAACGATTGAATCAATCTCACGTGCTGCGGAGTAGTAGTAGTAGTAGTATCGTGATGTTCATAAGCACTCTTTGGACTTGGCTATTCCTTACCTTCTTTAGTCGATTGTACTGCTGTTGCGATTGATTTTGTCCCATTCGATTTGTTATACAGTAACGCATGATGATAGCAAGTAGAGGAGACATTCTTGATATACTCGACTCTATTCGATTTATTCAGTGAGTAATCATATTCCAAACACTTTCCAATCATTTACATTCAATCTTGGACAACTTGTTACTCTAGATAAAGATGATACTAAGACATGTTGTTGTATACTTTACAGTACCCATTAATATATATATATATATATATATATATAAATAAATAACTACTATTAGGTAATGACTGTAATTAAAATGGAAGAATGAAACCATGCCGTACACTCCTATCTCAATATCTTTATGAATATCTAAAATAATCACCAAAATCCTGTGCAACCAATGATAAAGGCCACAAGAAATGTGGACTACATGTGAATGTCTTCTGTTTCTCATTTATTTATCTTGCTCTCAATATAATAGGATGAATACCTGGATATTATTTACTGGTTAAGGCAAATTGTTGGTTTAGTGTTTGGTGTCGTTTGGGGAATCATTCCACTTTATGGGATACTAGGCATAGGAATGTAAGTACAATACAGTATACCATTCCATCTGGCAGTATTGTCATCTTAACAATAATGATAAATGGACATAGAGTTGTCATACAGGATAACAAGAGTGATCTTTTGCACCTCTGCATTAAAACACATAAAACAACACATACCCATAGCCTAAAGTAGCTTACGTGTAATATATATATGTAGGTATCGATTGTATTTTGAGTCCAGTAAATCAATAAAAATCTCCTGAAAGTACTTGCTGTTCTTAGAAACGTCGTGCATACCATCTTCAACGATAGTACATCATGTTATCAACTACGAATTAGACTAATTCTCATCTTGCCTTCTAGATTTGGCATAGCCAATGCTGGCTTACTATATCTCTATTTCACCTATTATCAACCTGCTGATGAAGAAGAAGTTGGTGACACATGGGAATTAACTAAGGAAGGTTTTATGTCATCATTCTCAATTTTTCTTGTAAGTGGATGAAAATGATATCTTCCAAAATCGATAAGTAAAATAAACAGCAATCTCTAGGATATTCATCATCATAGTTCAAAAATTAAAGTTAAACCTATCTATCTTGTTCTACCAAAATTAGGTCGCTTGGATTATGACATATTCTGGCGTCCATTTCCATTAAATATTAACTTAAATACTTTGGAAGATTCGTTTTTTTATTCAATTACACATTGTGTATTATACATTCATCGATTCTTACTGTTTATAAAAATTATTAAAACATAATAAAAATGAATTTCTCCATAATTTCTAGTGAAATTAATCAAATGACACAAAAACAGCCTCGCATGTATCTTCCATTTGAAACTTCTTTTATCCTCAAATATTTCATCTCCTGCGTACGTTTTAAAATAAATGAACATTCTTCCCTTTTGCGCCAGATTATTGTTTTACCGATGTGAACAGTATATACAAAATATTGTATTTCCACTACTCCTTTTTTTAATTATCCCTAATATTACACGACCTCTATTAGTGAGCTATCAAGTTAGCCCAATTATCACACATACGCACAGTATATCATTTCTTGCATGAGAAGATTAAGTGACATATTCATACCAAACAAATACCTTTACAGGTGTTATTTTTACAATAATTTTACTTTATGATATGAGAAAGAGTGAATTATTAATTTATTATTAAATGGCATATCTACAAGTATATACGCCCACTTTTATCGTCGTCCAAAATTATTAATCAAATGCGATATAACCTAGAAATACGACCCATATACTGTACTTTAAATACGGTTAGCACTGATGAATATAGCGCTTAAACATTACTCAAATACAGTATGATTCCTATATTCAAATAATTGAATCCAACATTCGCCATTCCTCAACTATACAGCAGTAACTACTCATGGTGCAATAAAAGGAAAGGTAATCGATCCTATGGAGTAGCAACTCCTAAATAACCATGCCCGTCACTTTTGAAGCACTTATATGAACAAAGCTGCACACGCACCGGGATAACTCCTGTACGATTTTTAATCCCTAAAATCTGCATGAATAGTGCGAAAACTTTACCAAAATATAAATAATCAAGATTAAAATTTTCCAACAAGAGCTTATACCTTTTTCGCGTCGACAAATTCTGCACACTCTAACCATGAATTTAGAAAACAATTAGTACAGATCGGACATTCTTTGGCCTCCAGAAGCATTTCTCGAGCTTCATCATTGTAACGTAATTCAAATCGCATTATAGAGTCCCTAAGAAATGGATAAACTTATATCATAAATCTTATTACCGTACTACATCTATCATAGTAACAGAGAGATGAATTTTTATACAGCTTATCTACCTTTTTTTTAGATCTTTAAGTATATATCGAGCAGCAATCTCCTATTCGAGAGATCAATTAGAAGAATTTTCATATGATATAAAATTTAAAACTCTAACAATCTATTCAATATCATTTTGAGTAGGAAAAAGGAATATATATGAAAGCGTTATATATATACACTAGTGACGAAGGCAACTAATATTAGCTAGCATTTGAATTAAATTTTGAATATTCTCATTTATGGTCATTACATCGACCATATACACTGATTAATTATCATTATTTTATGGGTCATATTTTAGCCTTGAAAAGTATGTTACTGAATTAAGTATATGTCATTTTGTAATTTAAATTATATAGCCAGCTTTACCTTTAGTGATAACACTTCATCAGCATAGTCACAATGAACTGGAACTTTGTCAATTAGAGAATTTCCTTCAATGTGGAGCTCAGTTAATGGTAAATTTAGCAGCTACAAACAAAAAGTAGCTATAATTACACAACGATGTTAAAAATGTCACTGATAACTATATTTGCAAGACAGCAGCCAGAAAATAAGACTTACCTCGCTAGGTAATAACCTAATATTGTTAATAGATACATCCAAAATAGAGAGCTGATACATCTTACCTAAAGACTATATGAGATATCAATAATCCCACAGAAGATTTATTATTATTAATAAAAGTTATTGTAATAACATCAGCAATAAAGAGTTTATGAAGATGTAGTATACTGCATAAATCAATCATATAATTAACTTTTGTTTAATAGCTACAACATCGATTCAACAAAAAGGAAAAATATTGCTTTTACATACGTCAGGTATTACATCTAACTGATTTCGAATCAAGAATAATTTTTTCATTTTTCTTATTCTACCAAGTTGGTCTGGTAGACTAAATAAATTAGAAAAACAATCATACATTAGCCTTTTCATCTATGATCCATGCAACATTGCCATTTAAGAAGTTTCACCTATATGTAAATATTCCTTACTATATTAGTTGATTTCTGCAAATGCTTAACTCCTTTAAATTTGTTAGTTTACAAAATTCATCAGGTAGCTCTACTAACTGATTATCGTCAAGGCTTAAAAACTCCAGATTTACAAGCCTAAAATTAATAAAAAGATGTATAAAGAGATCGGATTTATTTGTTTTAATTACACTATGTTCTTAAATTACTGCAAATAAGTATATCGTGTGTTTTATATAATGAGAGACGCTGATTAAGCTATTGCATATGATCTGAGCTCGTATTGTAATATTATCAGTATTGTTCAGCACTACATTTACGATAAGTAATGCAATTTTTCAATATTACAGATATGATCCCGACAAATTATTATCGATAGCTATACATCAATTTATGATAGGGATTAACTCACCTGCCAATTTCTTTTGGTAATTGTTGTATTTTATTTCTGTTTAGATTTAATAACGTTAACTGCTTCAAATTCCCTAAATTCAAAATACCGTTACTGGAAATTAATTTTAACAGAAAGCGTACAAAACTCTCTACCTCAAAAGCTAAAGCGAAAGATATTTACCAATAACTTCGCCACTAAGCTCAGTAATATTGTTATTAAAAAGATGTAGTTTTCGTAGATTTGATAAGTACATTAAATTCTTTGGTAATTCGCATAATTCATTGAATCCCAAGTTGAAGCTGGCAAGCTGAAAGATACAAAACTTACTGTTACTGTGAAATCAACTTCTAATTAATTATTCTATCCATTTAATGCATTGAAAAGGTAAGGGTATGAACTTTAGTATTAACATAAATAATTATATATAATAGCTTTAAATTTCCGTCGAAATTTTCTTCATGCTAGATACTATTAATGAAAAAGTTCCGTCTATAATCCCGAAACTTGATAACTCTATTGAATTTATTTTGTAAAGTAAGATCTTCATAAGTTTAGAGAATGGATCATTTCCGTTTCACAATATTTGAATTCTTCATCATTTAATGATTATGATCATTTTGTGTTACAACATTACTTATTAAATTATCGCAGTATCAACATGATAAGGTAGTACAGTTAGTTCTTATAACCGCAAATATCTATAATTAGTAGATAATTACCTAAGTTATAGCTTAATAACTAACCTTAGCGAGTAATGCCATTTCTGTCGGTAAATAAGTTATCTTATTATTTCTAGCTTCCAAGGTATCTAATTCTGATAACTTTCCAACAAGCCGAGGTATAGTCTTTAAATCTTTATTATTTAAGTTTACTTTTCTAGCATTGCCTCGTAGAGCCTTTAATAGTAGCGTGTCTGCCATGATTATAAGCTAAATTTTCGAAAATTTTAAAGACGATACTATAATATACAGAGAAAGCCCTCTAACGCTCAAAATTTTCCTAGGATCTTTGGTATGTTGCGTTTAAGAGAGTAGATAGTTACAGCTGATAATAGGATTTCATACTGCAACCGATTTACGATATATTTGGCAATTATCTGATATTACAGATCTTCGATATACACCATTTAATCTTAAATTCCAATCATAACTACAGTATACAGCTAGCTAATAATTAACAGATCCTTTACCAAAGTTAAAATGGAACCGAGACCTTGTTGTATTAAAGCTCTGAAATTATTAACGTTTTCGTCCAAGTTTGCTTTCAAATATTAAGCAGATCCTGTAAATCTGATATAAAAGTGTTCGAATATCCAATATCCAGCGGATGACTAGTCCTTCCCGTTCATTTACTGCAACCGCTAGTCTCTTCAAGTAACTAGACTATCATTCAGTGATGGTGAAACTTGTGCTGTTTATTTCTGTCTTCCGCGAGTTTGAAATATTTTATCTGTTGATAATTGGTAAAATGACACATATACCAGCATATAAGTAATATCTCATGGCTATAGATCCATCTATAGATGCCTATGACTCAATGTATAATGTAATCGATACTAAACTCTGTGATAGACTGATAGTTTTCTCTTATCAAACAAGCTAGCTAAATGTTCCAGCCCTGTTTCTATGACAACCAATATAAAACAACGAGATCATCCAATGCAATTATCAATAACATATCTCTTTCACTTATCTGCTAACTAGATTATAGTCTATCTTGCTATATTATAACAAGTTTATGGGTTATAGGTTCTATCGTACTTTAATAACTACCTTTAACATACGATTTTAACAATAACTTGCTAAATACGAATATAAGATAGAGATATATAAAATCGAAATCCTGCTAAAGATATGTTATATAGACAAGGTCATTACTATTAAACGTTAATATCTTAAAGAATAGATATATCAGGGTATCGAAAATAATGAAAAATATTATGCTTGCAACTATACAGTAGGTTACATTATTCATTATAGGATTATCAATGATTATTGCTAAGATAAGTGCAAGTTGCATACAGATTATCATGACATTATTACTATATTAAGCTTTAAGAAGGAAATAAGGAAGACTTCTCCCCTTCTGAAGGTCACATTAGCAGGGCATTTTTGATTCTTTAGCAATTGTATAGTAGCTATTAGACCAGTAATATGCTCAATTGCTCATATGTAAGTTAAGCCATCAGAATAAGATAAAAAGCGGCTATAGATCTAAATAGTTTGCTATTTAAACCTTTAATCTCAGTTCAATAATTACGCATGGCAAATTTTCTTTATTATAAGCCCATAGAAATTAGTGATATCTTATAAATAACATATTTTTTCTAAAAAAGTAGACAACGTTCACAATTATGATTACAGTAAAACTTTTTAAGAAGTATATACGAATACAATGAGAAGTTATTTTGACGGGGAAATTAACATTTTTTCTCAAGGTCAAATTAATAATGGAATGATTAACTAAAAGACATGTGATCATCTAAATCTACTATCTTACATGATGCGCTATTATTCATAGATTTATAACGTGATGAAACAGTAAGAGAATGGTCCAGTTAATATTAATCTGGCCATCATGATTATTGTTATGCCATAAAATCTTTAGAATATTGAAAGATCCGAGTTTAATTGTGATAAATGCAATCGACTGACACTTTACATTAATAAATCTGTATAATGATATAGATTATCCATGTTCTGAAAGAGACAATGTTAGCAATATGTTTATGGTAAGGCTGAAACTAAGCCTGCCGGTCCTTTACCCAAAACTTGTCCGCTGACTGTTGTTTCCAAAGGTTTAAATCCTAGCTCTTCAGTTGGAACTCCGAATGACTTTAATTTAGCTTCGTAAGTTCTTAATAAATCATTATGAGCCTAAAATATACATTCATAAATAATAATTTAATATTTTAGTATTTATTTATCACATATGAGCCTGTTTGCTACAGTAAATCTTTATTAAAATTTTTATACTGGCTTCCTATACATTCAGATGCATCACATTTCTCTTACTGTAGACATTTTTTATTTAACAATAAGTCTACGTACGCTTGTTTCTATAATATACAATGATATTATTACCTTGCAGACTCGGGCGAGTTCATACTGTAAGTCCTTAATTGCTGTATTCTTAGAATCCAAGACATCCTAAATGATGAAAGATTTGAATTAATTTATTTTTAAGCTTCAAACTAGATACATGCTGATGGTTTTTAACTTTAAATTCGTAATAACCTCTAGTTTTCTTGTGACAACTGATAGAGCAGTTGGGTCGAGGTTAGATGCCGCTAAAACTTCATTTAGTTGAGCCTCCTAAAATATTTAAGTGAAAAAAGTATATATTGCTAAGTTAAGTATAACTTCTAATTATAGTTATTGTCATTTCCATAATTTACCTTCTTTTCAAGAACATCAGCAAGAGCATTAAGCTTCTTTTCAAGTAGCAAGTTCTTAAAGCTACTCTTCTGTTGTACTTCATGTATTGCTTTTACGAATTTAGTATATAAATCATCCCTCTCCAATTGCAATTGTTCGAAACGCTGTTGAAGCACTTCATGTTCCCATTCAAGATTTTTTAATCCTTCACCCTGTACTTTTAATCTTGCTTTAGCATTCTAATTTAAATGGTGTAAATGAAGATATTATATTTAATTGATATATTTTAATCTATTTTATCTACCAACAATCTATTTATTATTGATCTCTAGGAATTTGTCTTATGCGTGCATTTTCAGGCTGGATATTGTATTTAAAGACTTACCGCAAGTGAAGATTTATCTTTTTCATAGTTGGTCAACTAAAGTAGAAAAGTTAAAAAATAGGACTGATGATAAGAAATTCTATCATATAAAGTGTTGCTGAAACTCCCTTATAATTATCATGCTGCTTTTTCATTTAATTTAAATAAATCAATATGTGCATTTTAAATCACTTGGCCGTGACGAAACTGCTTGCACTTAATACTAGTTGGCAATTTAATCTATTCAATCTAACTACTTGTAAAAGAGTGTTAAATGTTATGGCGTACCGTAATTTCTATCAATAAGCGTAGGCAAACAAAAGTAAGTAACCATGAGATCACAACTTTAAAATATCACACACTATTTACGAGCAACAGCGAGGTGATTAATGTGGTATAATATTGCATTATTAATAAAACATATGAAACTCTACCATACAATATAAAATTACCTGGCGTTGCAATTCGGTAACCTCTTCACGTGCTTTTTGAAGAGGTTCAGTTAAACGTTTATTTTCTAACTGAATCTCTTGCATTAGCTTTTCAGTTCTTTCTTCTTTCTTTTTCATCTCTTCAACTTGTTCCTTTATGAATAGTAAAGAAAATGCTATTGTTGACATCCTATTAATCGTCGTTCATCGTAATTATTGAGAGAATATAATAGCTAAAACATGTTTAGATACCTTGAGAGAATTGATTAGTGCCAAGTTATTCAGCGTAATATCGTTATAATAATTCTTAATATCGCTGAATGCTTTCTCATGATTTTTCATTAAAGTATTAATTTGATTGTTTTTACGCTGCAGAGAGGTATAAACATGTTATACATTAGAATTAAATTACAGATTTCGAAAGCTTTGCATATCACTGACAAGCAGGTATATAGTAAAATTGTAACTAGTAATGTTATTCATTAATAAATTGTGTTAAACGATAATTTAAAACAGTATTGGATATTATCAGTATACACGTAATTGATAATTAACCTCTTCAATTTCGTGAATTTCAGTTTTTCTTCGCAAATCAAGCTCATCTCTTAAGTCTCTCATTTTCTTTTCGTACTTTATTTCCAACTCTAAACAATGAATATAACGCTATCAGCTAGCTATAGCTTAATAAGTGAATTTTTACGATATAAAGTACAATTTGTCGACGAAATGAAAAATTATATTCCCTTTACCTCTTGATTTTCTCTCAAACTCCTGTCTCATTTGGGTAACCACTTCGTCGTGTTTCTATATTTTGTTTACGAGTACATGAGTGAGAGAGTATATTTATTGAATGCAACCGACATAGTTGTCTTCTAGCGAGTTGCGTTAAATTTTTTTATTTTAATTATATAATCAACAGTTAGTTCTGACCTTCTTAAGATCCTTCATAATATCTTCATTTGATAATTCCATTTCTTTTATTTGAACCTTTGATAATAAGCAAGTCAAACAACAAATTAATATTTTTCAATTACGAGAAACACATATATTTTGCTTATATATTTTTTTCGGTTTGATAGCCATCGATTTATGACTAAGGTACGTAAATATCCTTATTACAGTATGTACTAAAATGCTGACCTTCAAGCCACGCTTATCTTTTTCCAATTCCATTTCTCGACCACGTTTATCATCTTGTGCGAGCTTAAGTGAAACTGAATCTGTATTCAGAGGAGATTTCATACTCAGATAAGTTTTTCAACGTTATAAGATCAAAAATTTTTTATATATTTAACTGCGACAAATTTTTATACAGAAGTACTTCAACCTACTTTCTGCTTTTAGTTCCGTAATATTGTTCTGATGTTCGTAAAGCAAATGCTTTACCTTTTGTTTATAAACCTAATTATAGCATAGTTACATTAATACACTATACCAAAGTATCCTTTCTCCATTTTTATTCAAACATTGCATTCAAGCAAAAAACGTACCTTAATCTCGACTTGATGCCTTTCTTCTTCTTCTTCCATCTCCCGATCTTTATTTCTTAATTCTGCTTTTTTCTCATCTAATTGCCTTTTAGTTATTTCCCAGAATGTATTAATTTTATCGCGTTCCAGTTGGAAGAAGTTACGCTCTTGTCTTTCTCGATCTAATTCTTCTCGCAATCGGCTGATGTGTTCGAGAAGCTAGAAAAAATAGAAATAGAAGGCATCAGAAACACCTATTAGTCTCTACATTGGTTTCACGATGAAGGCCACCAAAGTATATTTAAAATTATCTAAGCTAGTGTTATGACAATGTATTATAACTGGGAATGAAATTGATTACATTACCTGCTCTTTGCTCATGTTATCAGGACTAAGGCCATCCACAACTGCGGGTCCCTTATTTTGTTTAGCTTTCTTTCCTTTCCCCGCTCTCCTCTTTGGCGGCTAAAAAGTAATGATATCGAGATTACGACAATATAGCCGATTAGTCGTATCTAAAAGTAAATACTATACGATCTGATATGTTCAACATAGTGATATCCTGTAATTTAATTCTTCTAATTGCTCCTTGATGGGTTTAACCTTTTGAACGTATTTATCGTATTTGACTTAATCTTACAACTATTATCTATAATAAACTGTAGAGAGACAAGTGTAATAAAGTATTTTAGAAGAATATTCTTTCTGGGAAGAATGAGTATTATATATACTGTACATATGTATATATTTATACATCGTTAAAAAACATGTTACTAACGCAGTAGTCTAAAACTGACGAGAATAAATTACTATGGAGGAAAGAACTAATTGCACTTTTCAAAATTTGTTTCAGTCATATTACAAGGAAGTATTGGAAGCAATTAGCAATTTTAAAATTATAGTTCTCAAGTAGCTAGCATTCCTCTTTGACGTCAAGTTTTTAGTATCAATTTATTTGCTGATTTTGCCTACCATTTTGCTTGTTTATTAATGTTATTCTTTACAGCAATATACAGAGTGATGGTCGTCCAATCTACGCCTTTACTGCAAGATTATCTTGCCTCTTTTTAATTTTAACTAGTTTACTGTTGTAACACAGTAATTTGACTACTTTGTTATCGTCTTGTAGGCCAAGATAGTTCAACACATCAGTAGACCCAATTTGCTATAGGTATGATGTGTTTGTGTATCTATGACAACCAATAAGGTCACGTGGTTCCAACTCATTCAACTAGGCTTACAGCGTCGGTTTTAGGTCCAATACAGTACGCATTAACAGGAGTGAGTTAGTAGAGGCCAACTCTGTTCCTCTGTTGCAAGTCATTTGAGCTGTACCGTACGTCTGTAGCAGAACACAATACTATCCACGATGGTCATAAAATAAAATGAACTGACGGTTGGTTTTGTACGCTATGATAGACAATTTCAGTAATAGAGCGTAGTAGAATGACCAGAAAAATAATAAATTTCACATTTTCGGCCACTGAACGGCCACATTGGCCTTTGCATAAGTGCGCTTAGCGAGTACATTGCCTACAGATACAATATACTGACTATATCGAGCAGTCTACGCATGCTCTTACTACAGTACACAGTACTTGAATTACTGTACTGTACACTGTACTGTACAGTACAGTACTGTACAGTACAGTATTAATGTTGGTGCTTGAGAAAAGACTGTAAGTGTACTGTACTGTACTGTACAGTACAGTACAGTAATTATAGTTAATAAATATAATAAAATAAACCATAGTAAATTATATAAATTATATTTATTTATTAATATTAGCATCAGCTAAATACGCGTCAGTTAACCAGTATCCCATTATCGAAGTAATTTTAAACTTGTATAACCATATATAGAACCAACCTGCAAAAATGATACTTTAGCCGGAATACAGAACGGTGTTGAAGAACTAAAATTCCCATTTAGTTATGCGATGGACAGGTCTTGTCCATCTTCCTCAGGACATTGGATATATTGCAAGTCCTTTCTTGTGGTATTTTTTCCCTCCTCCTTCTTTTTTCATTTGTCTTACCATTGATTTGCCTATATATACTTATTGGCGAGCTAAAATATATTTTGCTGTTTCTTCGGCTTGGTATTTCAAGAAGTAATTTTTTGCTTCCCTTCATTTATTTCCATGATAAAAATACATATAGAACTTTGCTATACATGTATTACTAGGTCTAGTGACAGTCAAAAAATAGTTTTTCAAGCGTTTCTATCCCTATCCTATCTTGATCGCCTTCAAATCCCAATAAGCTATTGAAAATTAATTAATGAATTTGAATAGTTTTGTTTCTCTCATTACCGAGTAGTATTCTTAAAGCAAAAATCTCTTCAAGCGTTTTCCTCCACCTATATTATGGCAGTGGACAGATCACATGCCTGAGTTAGTGCCATCTTATGCATATTCATATCACGTATTTATATGAGCGCTTGAATAGATAAATGATTATAGACTGTCTAATTTAGTAGATAACATGCTGATCATGTCTATTAACGCGCTCTAACTCACACAAGTGTCATCATTTCTTAAAGCATAACGGTAATCGTGATTATAAATTTAAAACATATAACTTTCAATTCATCTTTACTGATGTAGTAAATGAGAAAATTGCAAGGCACCTTCTAACTAGGCTAATAGACACTTATACGGGTATCAATTAAAATTGCAAGTTTATACGAACGATATAATTATAAAAGGCAAAGGAAGCATTTTATTAAAATACTTCACAAAGATCTACTTGAATGTCTTTGTTAGTAAAGTATAAAATACATCAATGAGACCGATAGAAGTATTCAAATTAACTTATGATATTTATTTAGGACATGGGCGGTCGTAAACAATGAACATACAGTAACTTTAGTAATATATAATGTTTATTATGCTACTACTGAGAGCAGAGATTGTGAAATCATCTGTGCAGATTAATTATAAATGTAAATTTATAATACATAAAGCTTCAATGTTAAGCTTGGGTTATGTTATTGGTTCTAGATAAAACTATGTCGATACCCAGAAAGATGAGCAAATAAATATTAGAGATTGGCTTACTAGTAGATCAAAATCAATACGTTTTGCCGACTGTTAGAAAAAGCAATCATGATAAACATTGTACATTACAATGGTGCTTTCATAACATCCTGTGTACAGATTACTAAAGTTAATTGATTGTACTTAAAAAGCTTGACTACTAGTTTGCTGCTAGGTCAAAATCAAACAATATAGATAAGTAGAAAATGCGATTGAAATAAATATTGAGAATTAGCTTGATGTGAGTCAAAATTAAATTATGCACATTATTGCCATAATAATTACAAAAAAGGAATTGAAAATCAATTTTAAATATTTACGATATAACAGTAATTTGCCTATCAAGTTAAAATCAACTCGATATTCGTGAGTTACTTTTGCAGATTAAGGAATTAGTAGCTTACATATAAGCTTTCATCTCATTACAATTATAAACAATACAGATTATTATAAGCAAAATATAATTTTCAATTAGCAACCCATGAGCTACAACTTATAGTCTCAGTATTTAAAACTAATCGCAACATCCTTTACTTAATTTAGACATTCATTACTTATTTCTTTTAATAATTTTATACTGCCAGGCAAACGCAATTATAGATGCAATTTCGCAACTTATGTTATCTTTATTATAACAAGTTTCAATTATAACAATTCCATGGATAAATGATCCTATAAATCAATGGTACATTATCTAACTGAAGGTCAATGTCACTCGTGAATACATTGAGAATTCTTACAAATTGAAAAACTTTCCGTTCCTGTATAGTTTTCATACATAGTTGTGAATCAGATATATCCATAAAGACATGATTATTATTCATTCCTTTCGATGCAAATGGTATTCTCATTTAATCTAATCTATAACAAAGTGAATTAGAATTATCTTTCAATATGCTTTTAATGTACTGCAAGCAATTATTGATCAATAATTCAGATAAGAAGAATGATGATAGATAGATGTTTGATATGTTGTTTCTGATCCAAACATTCATAATGGTAAATTTGCCCTAAGATTAAAATTGTATAATTGTTATACTAACGTAATGATTGTGAATAAAGTAACACTACTGTCATTATCTGTTTAATACAGCAAAATTTACTATGGATGTGAAATATAACACGATACAAAACAATTGTAGGAATGTCATTTATTATATTACGAGTAGTTACCCGTTCAAATGAACTAGAATATAACCTGCACAATGTTATAAATTAAAAAGAAAATTCACAACTAGACTATCTTAATGTAGATTCCTAAATAGTTACAATGCTGGATCGACTACATAGAATAAATTATTGTGTTAACTATATTATTTTGTATTCAGTGAATGATATGGAACATACACATTGCATCTGTACGTTCTCCTAGCTTATATGATCTTTACATCATGCTGACTTGAAATAAAGTGCTACGGTTTCATTCGAGTAAGTTGTAAAGCTTTAGCTTGATATGATATACGGTATAGTTCTCTTGGAATTTATTCATAATTTAATTCGTTGATTATGGTAATTTCATATTAACAAACTTCTTTTGTAACTTTTTATCTTTTATAGTGTTACATGATTGACTGTTGGAAATGGTACAACCTGGAAAGCTTTACTAATAATTATTAATAGAAACGACTAAAATAACGTAGATCATATAGTATCGAAGCAGAATTAGCATTATGTATAGTCTGCTATAGCCAATTGATCACGTACAATTCGCAAAGCATCTTCAGACTGTATCGCTATCCTATTGTGATCTAACTTACTATTCGCGTACATAGGTACAACCGTGACTTAGTAATAAAGGATTTTACCTACTTTAAGTCAAATCGGTTTAGGTAAGGAGTAGATAAAAATATCTGCTCGAGTATCTATAAAATAGAAGCGAATCAATATAGTAATAATTTTTGATTTATTTCTCCCTACTATACAAACAGTGGAAGAGAGGAAACAATCTTATATACCAAACAACATGAATCAGATCGATATCTAGCTGTAGAGCTAATCAATCTAATTTTATCAGTATTTTTTAATGTTTAAAGAGTTTAATTCGATCGTTCATGTAGATATCCTTATAGTTGGAAGAACAAATGACTAGATATTTAAATTACATCATCGATATAATAAGGAGGTTTTCAATGTACACGTAACGCCTATTTGTACAGTAACGATATGATCTTTCAGTAATTTTAACGATAGCTAAGTTTATGACATATAGAAACGGATCTTTGTATTATTCAACAGTCAGATCCTAGGTAATAAATGATGCTAATACGAACGAATAGCTGCTATAATTTTAATACATATTATATCATTTATATATTAGTACCGATAAAGAAAAGATTAACATGTCATATATATATAATTTTAAAGTGTAAATGTCGACTATAATATACATTTTTGTCGCTTTACTCGACCCTTTCATAAGTTGATAAATAAATAGTGTAAGGCAATAGAGCAGAGCTACACATTTTAAAATTATAAGTTATACTTATTATATAAAACAGAAGTGTTCGTTGATTTACTGCTAGGAATTATTATTGATCGACTTGGCACAGGCTGAATCTTGCTCTGTTTCTTGTTGTAACATCGACGTAATATTTTTTGGAATGCTCTGTTAAAGTGAGGATTAAATTTATAACATATAGTAATAGTTGTAGCGCCATAACAATTACATAAAGTAATAAAAAAGAATTGGAGCCCTTGCCCTAGATGATAGCGCTGTATTGCTTGAATTAGTGTATCATTAGGTTGCCGATCAAAAACATTATATTCGGAAATAATATATAAAATTGTAATGGGACTCCATGTAATAAAAAATGCTAAAGAAATGACTAAATTCATTTTCTTAACGTCTTTCTTAATTGCATATATTTTATCAGCTCGAGTATCGATGTTCATTGTCACGGCAGGTTGTTGATTTAATTCAAGATGAATACTAATCGTAAAGAATAAAATGAGTATTAACGGAATTACGACGTTGACAGCAAATAATAACCACGTTAAGACTCTCCAAGTCCTCTGTGATAGACCTTGCATATAAGAGTATTCCTGATTTTGATATTGGCGTACACAGAAAGGCCTTTCAACGTTGGGTGCAACAGGAAAGTTGTAGACTCTTGTAAATACTCCATAGACTGTTGGTAGCGGAATCGATATAATCCATAGCAAAATTACTATAATGTACGCTATACTCGGTGCAGGTGGGGTCTTAAACGGCTGGCAGATAACCCGGTAACGTATATAACTAACGCAGACCATGGAATAAGCAATAAAAATAACTGACATCTGAATGAATACAGTAAATAGCTTACACATTACTGGACCGTAAGGCCATGATTTATAAGATGTGAATTCAGTTGCAGCATTAAATAAACCAATCATTGTGAATAATAATGCAGCTATACACATATTGATGACTACGATATTGGTAAAGCTCCATAATCTTTTGACCCGAGCAGCAGTTATACATATTAAGATGGTACCAATAAACGATACAACCAATGCGATAGCGCCAATAACAATTCGCGCAATTGATAATCGTCTTCGAATTTCGAGAGCAAGTTCCAGTTCATCTTGCACCGAGGGTCCTCCTTTGATTGTTGTAGGAATTACTGTCAAATTTATAGCTTCTGTCATGATCAGCTTTTATTAAGATATATTTAGTAGAATATTAAATCGGTAGATAGTTTTTCTGTAAAAAATTCAGTATATCATACAAGCATTTGTAACTAATCCTTATGGATTACTTCTTGTCATTTCAGCAAGAAATTTGCGTGATTGTAATAGATAGTCGCTTAACTGAGCCAAATAAGTAAGAATGACTTTATTATTTTAAGCTTGTTTTCGAGAAAGTGTGCACGTAATAAGAGGCAATAAAATTCTTTCTGGTTGATTTATCTAATCAATGTGGTATGTTATATATTTATTACAAAATATTTAGATCCTCGCGGTAGCATAGATAAATGCTTGTGGGGCTTTTTATCCTTTTCTTAATTTGAAAATTAATTTAACTTGAGATTTCTTCCTTGATTGAAATATTTCCAGTAATCACTAAATGAAAATTTAGTTAGAACAGGAGCAAAGTCCAATTAAATCATCGCCATACATATGTTAAACATTTAATTTTTCTTCTTTCGGAAAATGCGAAAACTTGTTTTTACGATATCACGATGCAAACTATCTTATATTAGTGACAATCTAAATCTTCTATCTTGATGTTATGAATGATCAACTAGCACTAATTAAAGCGTTCCAGCGGCAACAATATCAACAAGTATTAAATAGGGGTAAGCTTATATATTCTTTTCTAATGTTAATTAGTTTAAGTGACCAATATCAAGGCAATGTTATTTAGCATGTATTGAATTTAGAATAATGTTTATTCATGAACTTCTTAGCTAGTAAATAGAAGACTTTATATCCGCCAGTAGCAATTACAATATTATTGATTAATGAAAAAATATTTTGCCCATTTTAACCTAAAAGGGATTGCTATAAGTCCATGTTAAGTGCATGGTGATGACGTATACCTGGTTATTGAAATTATTTAGTCAATCATTCATTGTTTGAAGCCATCTCCATCGCTGCAAGCTTTAACATTTTATTATTTCGGTAATCATTGGAAGAACGAATTGTATTTAAACCGTAAATTTTTATTGAATTTATCAGACGTTATAAATTATAAAAGCAACAGGAAAAGAATTGAATTTATGAGATCATCGCCTCACTTGCTAAGTCTTCATGAAATTGATAAATCAATCTGAAGTATTAATTTGCTATTTATTCTATAGTTTGCAATTAAATTTGAAATTTAAAAAGTAGAATCGTGATCAAAATCGAAATGAACTATGACCCTATTATTTCTTTCTAGCTTAGGAAAAGCCATTACAACCGATCAGCAAATGTTTATGAGTTGTTAAAGACAATGGAAAAATTAATTAGTTATTTGATCATCGTTAAAGTTACCATGGTTAATATGATTAGTCTTACGATTTCCCTAAATAGAAAAATGTTTTATTAAATTATTAAAAAATATCAACCATAAGATGATGATTGCCATGAATTAGGCTATACATAATTTGGATTTATAGGATCTCATTTACTTTGAAATCCTAGCTAGACTTAGAACTCGATTAAAAAACAGCTGTAGTTTACAGAGATAATAATCATGACTATACGCGTATATTATGATTGCCAATCGGTGATAATTAAAGTGATCAATACTAATTTACAATATATAAATCATCAGATAGAATATAATTACTGACAGTGATAATTAATTCCGGTCATGAATGCTATAAATTAATCAACACTTATTTGCAATATAATACGATTGAAAAACTAACAATTGTAGGCACAAACCCTTACTGATATAACGGATACTTACCAACAATGGAAAAATAAGGTGAAGCTAATTAATGAAGTATTGAAATAATAATTGATCCATACAACTATAGACTACGCAATTTTTTGAAATAATGTCTGTACTCTGATAAAATTCTATTGCAAGATTACTATAAATCGACAATAGAAAAACATCGCATCAAAAATAGCAATCCTGCATAACAATTACAATTATATAAATTAATAATATAAACCAGAATGTATGGGACTAATAGTTGGAGATAACAGAATAATAGCATGGATGCTCCTTGATTATATATATATGTGATTATTGAAGCACTAATTATAATGTAGAAATATCATTTTACTTAGCTAGAGGACATCTATAATACAAAAGGGGATAGGCCTATGCTTAATAACATTTCAAATATTTGACTATCTCAAACTACGGGATTGTATAATTTATGATAGAAGAATTCAAAAGTAATCTAATTTGCGATATTTTTACTCACTATTTAAGCACCTAAATCATTTACTATTAGTTACTACTTGCTTGTAGAACAAATGTCTTATAAAACGATCAATTCTACAAGTTAAGTATTCTAAAAAGGCAAAAACTATATATTAACTTGCAACCAATTGAATTGGCACTGATATCTCTGCCCAGTTTTTCAATTTTAGTGTTCATAATATTAGAAAGAATATTAACTCATAAAATTAATGACAACTCATGGGGAATATTTTCAAGCATTAACAAACTCAAGAGATAAGTAGCGAGTCATCTCTATTATGTACTAGTATCAATTTTTAACTCAAACTTTCAACTTTATCCACTTACAGTAGCAGAAAGAATATTGATTCGTAAAATTAATTATCATCGAAGGCGATTACAATTATGCCTTAGCAAGTATACCCGTATTTTACCAAATTTTTAATCCAATGCTAATTAATAACTCTAATCAGTGTTGTATTATACTGACAGTATATTTTACTATATTTAGTATCTTCTTTATCTTTATTACGTTATACTTATTACTATCCAATAGCTATTTTCTCTATGTTCTTTATTAATTAAATTCATTCATATCTTTCTATTTTAATATAATGCGTAGCGATTGATTTACGAACATTTCTTTTCGGTATTTTTATTAAAAATTTCTGAATAACTACTATTAATAATTAATTACGGGCATATTATGTCCATTAATATTTCCTTTAAAATAAATGCATGTTATGTTATTCCTTCTCATTTTATACATTAATGAGGTGCATATGTGATTAATATTCGCAAACTGTAACACTTGCCACTTTAATTAATATCTATCTGTGATCGTTAATAATTATAATGAAGGGTAACAAGATTAAATTACTGTCTTTTATACTTAGCGCTTAATAAATATGAGAAAACTTTTATGTAACCAATAATAATTAATTAGTTGTTATAACGATCGAGAACACTTCTATAAACTCCATAGTTAGTTGCCATTATAAAGATTGGGAAAAGTTCCATGTATACCAAAATTTAACGGTCATGAACTACTATAAAGACTAAGAAAACGTCCATGAGCTCCCTAGTTGGTAGCTATCAAATTCATAAAGATTAAGAAAGTCCCTATATATGCCATAGTTTAGTAGCTATTAAACATCCCAACGCGTAACTGGTACAACTGCAATGGATGTAGGATTGATCAATAATGCCGATTAAAAATTTTAGACAAAGTTTATCAACACGTTTAGTTATAAATATAATTATTAGTAAATTTTAAACATGCTATATACGTGTAGATTTATACCCTTACTAACAGCTTTTCAGAAAAGTGCTATATTTCACGGCAATATATTTTCAAAATTTGACTATTTTATAGCCTACCATTACAATACTATATCCAAATAAAACATACCTGGCATATTGCTAACACTTGATCTAATATTGTATACTACTTATTTTGTAAGTGTAGGGCTAAATAGGACATAAAAGCTGTAAAATTTCTAAAATGTATTTCTTGATGACTACTTTTTAATTTCTTCAGTGAGGTATCCAGAAGTTTACCGCATACTAACGCTTTCTAAAGTTTAACGTGTTAAGTTAAATTATTCGAAGTTATTTCAAAGCTAACGTGTGAATGACACATTGATTAAGTATAGCATATTACAACAGGCGTATTATTAACAAATTAGTTATATCATGGACCATAACTGTAAATATGTACTCCATGTAAAATTTGAAACTGTAAACTCCAGGTTTAACTTTATGTATTTACTCTCTATCGTAATATGCCATGGATTTTTCAACGAATGCGAATTTGCCATACCTTAAAGTTTTCATTTTATCATTAGAGACGGAACAGTTCTATTTCGGGTGATAGATGTCCCGTACTCACATGAGTCATATCTCTTTATTATTGATAAGTTTAAATCAATATAACAATTTGTTAAAAATTTTAAAGATTGGAAATATACAGTGTTACCGTAGCTATGTCATATTATTATTTTCTGATTCAGAATCGACAGGGAAACAAAAATATTTATCTTTATTTATTTATTAGCCTCGCAATAAACTCATAAAATTATTTTTTTATGCTTTAATTATCATATATCAACCAAATACCTTATTGTGAAGAATAATTTCATCAATTTTTCTGTATTTTTATTCGCGATGTCAATTGCTAGATTGTTAGTTTGACAACAGAAAGAAAACTATGAAATAATACTCATTTAATAATATTAATAGACAATAAAATATATCGGTAATTGATTTACGTGACCAAAGTAGTCAGCAATATATACAGTGATATTTAGTGTTAGATATTACTAGTTTACCACCATAGTAAATTTAGCCGTAATTCAATAAAATATATCGGTAACTAATTTTGAGCGACTAAAGTAGCCGGCTATATAGTATATACTGTATTATGTAGTATTAAGTATTATCCAGTTTACCACCATGACAAATAAGGCCGAAATTTCTGTTACTCATGTCTTCTTATTCGAATGTAGTATTGTAGTACAATTACCATTTGAGTTTAATCAGTTCGATTAATATCGATAGTGATGATCAAATATTAGCCGGCTGAAAGCCAGGGATATAGCTGCCATTGTTTCCGTATTAGTTATGAAACGTCTCATTATCGCTAGGCAGAATCATTAATAAGTGTACTTCGTTAATAAGGTCCTAATATCCTACAATGTATCATAAAGCTCATGTTATGTCGACATTGTTAAGGGACATATGGGAGGAAAGAAATGATAGAATCCAGTACAATGAGAAATGTAATTTATTTATTGAACGTAGATTAACTGGACGGACTACTCTGTTGATACCAATAAATTCAAGGAATGGACCACATACGAATAAATACTCTACTATCATTGCTCTACATAACTATTTATACGGTAAATATCAACGTATTTGTGAAGAAAGGGGTCCATTAGTCAGTAGCGAACTAGCGGAGTAAGTCTAAATAAGGAATCGCAAATCTGAAACTAATATAATTAGTTATCATTCTGACTTCTTTTACTCTTTGCATGAACTGTCTTCATTCCTATCTATACGTCTCAAAGTAAAGCTAGCTCTTTTCTTTAAATAAAAATCATTGTGTACTCTACTCTCTTATGAGCCTAGGCTAGCTTACTTGTAGTGCCAACTAGGCAAATACGTTACTCATTGAGGTTAGGGAAAAATTGGTGCTATTCAGTGAAATTGCATATGGAGAAGCAGTAAAGCTTGTAGAATACAGCGTCAACAATATAATCTGACTTCTTCACATCAAATAAAACACTGTGCGCGGCTAAATCTAAATAACTTAGTAACACACCTATTCATGACATAGGAAGATCCTAAACTTATATTTGAATCTACGAAATTTCTCTAGCCCTGCTACACCTTTATTACATATACGTTTATATAAACGTAGCATGACCCAACACTTACGTTGCACTGTCTACAGTTGGTTCATTTTATTAAATGATACTACTTATTTATTTATATTGGTTAAACACCTTCATAAAACATAATAAGAAGCAATTTCAATTTAAAACTAAAATTTAGTTCCTAGTAATTCGTCAGAAATCTATTTTATGGTACTGAACGAATTTACACAATCTTTTGTGTTGCAGTGTCTAACAGTTGCAGATGTTCTTGCCAATCTGTAAAAATCGATTTTTACATATGTGAATGATATGGCAATGTCGTGATGATAATTGTAGGGTTGTAGCTGTTGTAGCTTCTATGTGATAAAAATTTTAATCGGATAGGAACTATCATAGCTTTGCAGTTCTTCGTGGTACCATTAATGGTTTGCGGCTTAAGTTTGGTATGGTCTGACTTCATGTATTTCTAGCATGATCCTTTTAACTGAGGGAAAGGTTGCAAAGAATTTCATCATTCCTACTGCTAACATCCAACTGAGCAAGAATGACTAGTAAAATTAAAAAAAAATTTTCCGGATTAGGTTAATTTAAAAATTGAACCTTGGTCTCCGTTAATGGTGTGATAGCAACATAAGATTTATCGTTCGATGTCCTAAAGAGTCTAGCTAGTTATTGGTTATTTATTATTTCCTGTTGGTTTAATTGTAATGTTAATGATGGAAAAGCTCATAGTAAAGTACACAAGGATGCAAAACATAGATGTTTACTTATTGTAGGAACAACCACTAAGCTTGCTGGATATATCAATAAATAGTTAAAATTTGGTTATTGCCATTTTTATTGGAATAATGGCATACTGTTATGCAAAATTACGAAATAGAATATAAAGGCCTTTTAACAATTTCGAGACTTTGACTCTAAAGGGCATTTCATACAGTTTACAAAAGCAATAAAATAGTAATTAAATAATTAAATCGTACTGCAAATAAAGTAATATTGAATACATACTGTGTATAAAGTCAAAGTTGACCTATGGATTATAATCGCTGGCAGTTTTTATTGCCAATAGAGCAGTATTTAAGAGGAAGGTTTATTATTTTTCTAGTACTTTGGTCGTTTGTCTTAAATTTTCGGCTTATCGCCTTCGTAAAAACTTGATTTGCCAAGGTAAGGATGATGAATACAAGATTAAATATGGATATTGTAACTGATTTTGCAACTTCCTCAATTTTGTTATCGACGTATATTAATATTATTTCAGCTATTATTAGCGCGATTCTGCATAAAGCTTAGTTTAGCTTGCTGCTAAAATTAAATTGAGGAAAAAAATTTTAAACACTTATTTTAAATAATTCCGTGATATACTCATTTAAGCTTACGAGTAACGGCGCTATTCGATGTGAGGCTATATTTTTCTGTTTTGATCATCTCATAATATGTTATTGATTGATATAATAAGAACAAGTAGAAATAAGGCATGGTAAATTTTATTCAAGTTAAGTAGAACACAACATTAATTTAAGTTTTTTTTATTAAGGTATGAAAAAAGTGAATCTAGCCATAAAATTTTACAGTTACAGCTACGACATCATGCTAATATACAAGGCTTCATTTGATTTCACGTCTACGCTACGCAACTTCTATTCATAAAGTATTTTATATTATTTATAGTTTAATAATTGAAACTAGAATTTTACAAGCATATTCTATAATTTACTGCCGATTATGAGGAAAAATTTTAAATTAAAGCATATAAACTAGGCGTAAGGCATCATGGATTTAATTAACAGGATAGATTTGCTATTTTACTATCAGGGCGTTGGTTCCTTTTTCGCCCCAGAGAGATGTACGTTGAGGAACACATTTTTTTTGTTCCTAAATTTGTCATTTAAGCTTATGATCTAAGAGGAATTAAACGACTAAAGAAAGAGTTTATATGACGTGCAATTGTGTAAATATCGTTAATAAATTTAATCATTTAATAGACATTGAAACGTCATTTATCCAGTAAATTATTTCTAATTAGCATTGACGTATACGGTAGTTGTTTTGATTAAGGGTACCCAGGGCTAAAATAATACTTCCAGTTTTTATTCTATTTCTTTTAAATGATTGGCATACATGCTATCGTACTCTATTAATTAGTAGGTCTATACATTAGGTAGCTATTTTTTACTTGTAAAACACTGTTTAAGGTTTCATGGGCCTAAAACTCTATGCTTAAAACTACACTACGTCAAATATACTAGAGAAGTTTAAGCTATTTTCTCAGTAATTTAATCCTTTTGGATTTTAGATGAAGGTCATGTTGCTTGGTCTACTGGTGCTCATTGGCACAGTATTCTGTCAGCCAAAATCGAATAAATTGACGGTGCCTATTGTAAGTACATACATACTACGATTTCTGCGAGACTTTTCTAGATTTAATGATACAGTATTTTTTAAAGTTTCATTTGGAGTTAAAACTTGAAAATAGTTTATTTCTTAATGAATGATCAATATTCTTCGGGCTATAGCAGATGAATTCTATATTACCGCCCCAATTTTTATTTAGCTAGTTACATTTAAGTATAGTTTATATTAAGGCAAGTTTGTAGAACGGAGTTTAGAGTATAGAGGCAACAGTTTTTGACGAATTTTGATAATATTTGGTGCCTTAACTTCAGTACTAAGGTTTAGATTGAAAACCATAATATTTTTACGTAATATACTGTAAGGGTTGATTGTGACTTCTCCTTCATACTTTTATGCTACTCAAAATACGAGAATGGTAATGTCGTTAATATCCCACAGTATCCTATGTAATTTAATTTTGTTGCTTTTTTTCTTCTTAAACTAAAAGGACGAAACCAATTACAATGGTGGTGTCAATGGTAAGTATACTGCATGGTGCATAGATTTTACTTTGAATTGTGTATAATCATTCATCGATTTTTTAAGCTTTTAATGCAGTATAAATTTGGTAATAAAATGTGCAGTTTTACTTCGATGGAGATATTCTAAATGTATACTCTTGACGTACACCTACTTAGGCGATCATAACATTCTTTTCTTTCTCATTATTCAGCTCTAAAAAATAGCACTACAGGCTTCTTGAGCGGATTTTGGTTTAATCAACATGGATCAGTTTTATTTCTACACCACCGAAAAGATGGATTTTTAGCAGGGAGCTTTCGAACATTGGTAGAATCGACGAAGGGAGCAGCTGGAAGAGGAGGTCGTAAAGTGCGTGGTAACGTAGCTCATCCGAAGCATGTTTACACCAAAGACAAACCGGTAGCACTGAGTTTCAGTGTAGCTTTTGATGGAGGTTCGACAACAGCTTGGTCAGGGGAGTATCAAGTTTGCAATGATACACCATTAATTCTTACAACATGGATTCTGACTAAGCCAAGTCGAAATTGCGATGGCCATTGGGCTAGTACTCTTATCGGTAAAGATACATTCAAGAGGAAACCGTACAAAGCCAGACACTATAGGAAACATTTGAAATTTATTAACAAACATCGGAAATACGGAAAAAACTAACCTATTTATTATCTCATTAGGAGAGTGATGATGAGTTAAATTGGGTAGTTCAATGTTCCTCTTTTTTGCTTACTTCAACTTCCTATATCAGTAGCGAGTGGGTTTAATTATAACTTATATTCTTAATTTGAACACTGTTGCCATCGATAGAGGATTTGTTTTTCTCATTTGCTTACGACAAAACATTTCCTTTTATGAAAAGTTGTTCATTTTGATTTCGAATACGTTTACAATCATCAATAAATATCAATACCATATTCAACGCAGCGATTTATCTTTATTTTGAGCTGAGAACGTATTTATGAAATTCTGATGATTCTTGCATTGATTGCTACAGCATGATGGATTATACGGCGTATTTGAGTTACGTCAATTAGGATAGATACGAGGCTGAATTTATACCATAAATTTAGCTTAGAAAACTACCAATAGAAACTTAAATATTCACTAAAAGAGAATAGAGACGTTTGTATTTCATCTCATTTAATACTATTAGCAAGTCTGAAAATTGGAATACAAATTTAAAGTGCTTAAATTTTTTAAAATTTAAACTTCAATGTTTAAATGCAGTTAATTACAGCCACTAATAATAATAATAATAACTTTATTTTCACTTTGGCTTATGCTGTACAATGATCATACATTAGCAGTGTTGTTGTAGCTTACTTGAGTAAAGGATGAGAATTATAGCTATTCTAAATGCTCGTTATGCGAGGATTACAGTGAGGTTATGCTGACTACCTCTTCTGGTTAAAATTTCTATATTATATACATACGTACAACTACCGAAATTATAAGAATTTTGTAACAGGCAGTTCCTGCTTATGTTTACGCCTGAATTATGTTCTGATATCAACCAGAAATTTGAAAATAAAACTCTTTAGTAGCGAGCAACAGAAATGAGATTGAGGTAAGGGATATATAACGTTCAAGTTCTTAAGCAAGACAAAACATACTCGTGTATAGTTATAAATTGAACAATTATACAAACAAGAGAAATACTGAATCATTAGAACCCAAGACAGAATTTACAACCTGCATTTAAACGTCTACATTTTCATTAATAACATCTGATATTTGATATTACGATAATTAGAAAACCATTTATTTTACTCTTGGCCTTTTCTTAACGTACTGTTGTAATACGATAGGCTTAGGCCTACTTTTGAAGATTAGCTTTGTTTTGATTATCCCTTTTATACTATATTCTACGCTTTTATTCTTGTTTTCGTGATTCATGTCACTTTCGCTAGATTGATCATTCAAAGTTCCTTTTTCTAATACAACCAATGGCTTATCGATTTGTACGACTTTACCATCTAATATATGGCTACCGATAATAATATAGGGTGTATTCTGGAATTAAAAAGTGCATCATTAAATGAGATTTACAATTTATGAATAAAATTGGGATAGACAGATAGATCTTGATAATTATCACTAAATATGAACTATGAATAACGTAGTTTACATCGATGTATGATAGCACAGAACTTACTTTATCATCGAAATAAATATTTCCAACTTTAGCTGGATCAGTACTTTCACTACAGCCATCGGATTGTTCGAGTCGACCTTGTAATTCTATCAAGCACCATTCGGCTAACTGATCGCTTTGATTGTTGAATAGAAGATAAGGTATATAGAGAATTAGTTGAATACGACATTAGCTAAAGCTCACAATTGGTTAAGCAGGAAATTTCGATGTTATGCCTGTAGCTAGTTAGTAATAAGCTCGATAGTGATTTAACATACTGCATAGTATAGAAATCTCTACGGTAATTAATTGTTCATTTTCTTATGTATAATCTTGTAACTTAAAGCAAGAACTTTTATCAAGTAGCAGACAGTTATAATATTAAGACAACATTTCAAATGATAAATAGAAGCAACGAACGTTCAAAATACACATTACGATAGCTTTCACGATCAGATCTACAAATTTTTCTTTCATTCCAACTGGTAGTCTATTGATTTACTCCTCACTTGCTAGTACATGTATTAAAATGAGGATTATTCTATGACTATAACCAATGGATTCAGTTACAGTAGTTTTAACGAAAGTGCCTGTAAAATAAAGCAACCGTTGGCTAGCTATTTTTCGATTTGCTATCACAGTTTATCATCGTAGATTGTACAATATACAAGCTATTGCATGGTAGCATAAAGATCTTGTTCAATCCTTAAATAAACCTAGGATCAAATAGAGCAATTAAATGTTCAGATTAAATAACAAACCAATGAACGATGATCTGGACCATTTCTATTTCATTTCTTGTCGAGATTGCGTTAGGACATTGGTGCCTTCTGCAACTTGTTGCTTGGTTATGCTTATGCCTACATCGAGTCATACGGTGCTATGCATTCTACCCAACTGTCAATACTGTACTCTATATTCGGCACTGGTGATACAGTGTAAAAGGTACTGGAGAATTTTTTTTATTCATTTGTAAATTCGCGGGTTTCTGACATTGACATGCGCAGATGGTTCAGTAGAGCGGGAATTTCATATAGTACCCTATGGCAGATTGATGATTTGATACTGTAATATGCTCTTCTGTACTATTGATACGGTAGCAAATTATCCTGATTAATGACGACTACACTTCTCATCCAGAAAGCTCAATGTCGACCGCACTTCTCCGTAGTCGTTTTCCCCAAATTATAGCTAAAATTAGCTTTCAGGACAGAAAATTATTCCATTTAAGTATGGTATTTAGAAACAATTTGACTCGATTTCATGAGGAATTTAGCAAGGCTAACAATGTGCTGGTAATGACAGGTAAGAGTCGATTGTGCGAAGTGTGCATGTTGCTTGATCAATTATAAATTATTGTAAACATACAGTTGAAGATACAAGGTACAGAATGTTTACAGAGAAGTATGGCTTGAGTCTCATGATTACTACAGTTAAGCTCTCTATTACTTTATTATACCTTGGACACTGCAATAGATCGATCGGATGGTTAGTTATTATATTACTTATTACATCTTTGTAACGACTTTAGCAATGGATGACGTTATTGAAAGTTATCAACAAAAATAAGTATATACTGTACGAGTATAAATGGCGTTTTGGGTAATTATATTACGATAAATTAGTATAATTATCAATTTACGTATACTGTATATACAGTATGCACAATACAGGATGCTGCTACCTAGAGACTCGAATAGAAAGCATAGAATCTATATATTAAGGCATGGATGCTTCCCAAAGTATTGCATTAAGTAGGAGTACATTTCAGGCGCAGGAATAAGTGCTGAAAGTGGCATTCCAACGTTTCGTGGTGAAGGTGGCTATTGGAGGATATATCAAGCGACAGATCTGGCTACCCCTTCAGCATTTACTGCAAATCCTTCGCTAATTTGGGAGTTCTACAGGTACAAACTGATTACTATATGATAGCAATACAGTATGTTCATATTAGCCCATTCAAGATTGCTTTCCAAGAGTGTTACATACTAAATATAACTTTACTATGCTGTCCGTACAGTACCAATAACCAAATAACCGAATGATCTTGATTTTATAGCTACAGACGAGAATTTGCTCGGACTAAAGAACCTAATAAAGGGCATTACGCTGTAGCTGAATTAGAGAAGCGCTTCGCTCTTGAAAACAAGAGTGTCATAGTTATAACGCAAAATATTGATAGGCTCCATCATAAAGCAGGATCAAAAAATGTCTTGGAGTTGCATGGTTAACATAGAGTAAATTTAGCGTAATCTCTTATCGCAAATTGAAATAAATTTAAATTCGGTCGTGTTAAAAATTGATTTTTTATATTGTATTATCTATTAGTTATACTAAGAAACATTAAAATGTACGTAGGTTCTTTATATGAGACCCGGTGTACAAAGTGCTATCGAATTGAAGAAAACTGGGACAGCCCCATTGCACCATCGCTTGCAGGAAAAGGGTTGAGCCCAATTACAAAAAACTTTGAACGTAGATTGCATTATTAGATTGTGACTGGTGGAATGCTTAATTACGACTTGATTTTAGTTTACCTGATCCAGATACACCAGATGCTCGCATTCCCGTAGAGGAATTGCCTAGGTATGAGCTAATGACTCTTAAAGTTAAAGTGAAATGTAAGTAACTGATAATTTGAGCTTACCTCTATTTGATTGATATTGGATGCAGATGTAAAGCATGTGGAGGACTTTTGCGCCCTAACGTTATCTGGTTCGGAGAAAGTTTGAATGAAGATGTACTAGACAAAACTTGGACAGCCATGGATGCATGTGATTTTTGTTTATTGGTACATTAACCAGTTGTTTTCATAGCTTTCTGTTTAACTTTTGGGTTTAATTGCCTTATTTATTCCTTTTAAGATTGGAACTTCTTCAGTGGTTTATCCTGCTGCCGGATTTGCTCCGGAGTTAGCTACCCGAGGTGTTCCGGTTGCAGAATTTAACTTGGAAGATACTCCTGCTACGACTAATTTAAGGTAGGGGCTTACTATAACTTGATTGTTTGCGGGATAAGGATGCTTATATGCTTATTTCACTGTATAACGAATCAAGTATGTGCAAAGTATATCGTCAGTATAAAATATTCCCCCAACTTTTTAGATTCCACTTCAAGGGAAAAGCTGGTGAAACCCTACCTGCAGCAATTGTTCTATAGATCTAAAAACTAAAATTATTCAATGGTACCGCGTGTATATCTGAGCTCAATAAATGTTATAGCTACACGTCTACGTACAAGTATACAATTATTGTAATACAGTTCCTTCATCATACTCGTAGATGTTTTAAATCCAATTGTTATCTAAGCTGTTTGCCTGTAGCATGTACTAATAGAAATTTTTATAATCACTGCGTCGAAACATGGCGTATTTACAGCAAGCTATGTCTATACATGCAGTATCTATGTATATCCGGTACAAGTGGATTCAGCCGTGATATATATTTTATTGTATAATACAATTTATTATTGCAATTTGATTATGTTGATGAAATATATTACCTTTTCATAAGTGATTTATGATTTTTTTATTTCGCTGATACTTTACAGAGTGTTAGGCTATGAGGTATTATACAGTACTGTACTGTACATATGTTCTATTTTCAACTTGAGGATTATCTATACCGATTAGCTGTCATTTTAATGATCTATGTGGTCTTGCATGATGATTCTATGTTTCCTACTAGCTGGTATCTATTGCCTACACCTCTAAAGCTCTCTATTTGATACTGTAGAAGTAGACCTACGTGTTTCATATGTACAGCACTGTAGTGATGCACCCGTATTTGATTATACGGATAGCTATATTAGATATAGTTAGGTTGCTTTAAATAGATATTACCGTGAAGCTAATAGTAGATGATTGCTAACTACTATATTAGAAATTGTTGATGACTATTAGTATCCAGTTTACTAATTATGGTACTAGATTTATGTAGCTAGAAATACTGTAGTTGTTAAGATGCCCTTCGAAGAAAGGGCCTAGACGTTAATAGAAGAGTAGTGACATCTTAAGTAGAATGATTTAGATTGTAGAAAATAATGATTTACTATAAGAGAAAAGTATTTTATTTGATGACTCATGTCTGATTGTAGATGAATCAAGTTGTCATAAATGGATTTAACGAAATGTTGATAAGAACTGCAGAGATGCGCTCACAGAGAAGAGGCTTCACTTCGCTTCGAGCTCGGAATACTTTAGATTTTAGACTAGATTCTTAAAGTAATTAATTATTGCTCTACTATTCCTAATACCTTGTAATAAAAACATTTTGGAAAATACGATTTGACTAAGCTAGTTATTATGAGACGTATTTATTACAAGCACTTGCATTTTAAACGGTTCAATTTTGGTTCATCTCTCCTAGGGAATTTTATTTATTTGCATAGCAAAATGCCATTTATTATATTGCTAGGGAAATTAAAAATATATGACTGTTAAATAAATGATATTTGTACAACATGTTTGCAGCTAAATTTATAGTTGCATGCCAGGCATGTTTGCTTGCGACATGACTTAGTTTTCACGGCCATTTCGACAGAAGTGATAGCACCGCTTTGAACAGCTAGCGTGTATTCGTGTTGATGTTAGGTCAAGTTATACTTGACCTAACATGGGATGTATTCTATAATTATTCGATTTTATGCTCACTGACTCAATTAATTATTTGCTAAAATGTCTGATTTAACTATAGAACTTGCTAAGTAAGTACAGTAGTATCACTTCTAAGACGTTTTAGCTAAGAATATGAAGGAATTAGTATAAAATCGAATAAGTGGTATCACGTCTATCACAATCTAAGTAGCACTACTCATCAACACTAAGTAGTCAATAATCTGAGTCAGTGAGTATAAGATCTAATTGACCATGACGTAGATTTCTTTCAAAGTCGGTCGACTAGACCACATTAAGTTAATCAAATACTAGTATCGTAATCGAGTACACGTATATAGCATTTGGCGTCAAAATGACCCCGACCAATAAAGTTTTTAGAAAGGCGCCCAGTAGCAGTTTATGGTCAATCAGTCACGAGCTTGCACCATATCCATTTAACAGATTGGATCAATTTGACAGTCTAGTAACCCAAGAATCAAAACTATCGACAGCAAGTGTAAATTGATAGAAGATAAGTTTGGTGCTTACGGATGCAAACCAGGACTAAACGAATATCCTGCTTGAGTTATCCAACCATGACATCATCACTCTTGGTGAGTTTTTGTTTCTGTAATGTGCGAGCTGTCATATTATTAAGGTGTTGCGTTGCAGAAAGTGACAGTTATATAAGTCAACAAGAAATGAATTTACCTTTGTTCATTACCTATATCGATTGATTAATTAATGTTGCCTAGGGCATCTTTTGTTCTTCGATCTTAATGCATGATTATCACATAGTGTGTATATTGCGATTTGAAGATTCTTTCGCTTAGTCATGGGTATATAATGTCTAATGTAGAGATACACAACCTATACAGAGTAGTGTTTGCATTATCGTATATCGTGCCACACTTACTGTACACTGTACTGTCTAGTCTAGTACAGTAAATTCGTCCATTAGAGGAGGAGAAATCAATCCTATTCTGGCGGTTAACGGGCTGAAAAGCTTTTTACATGGTGCGACTAGAAGTGGAATCATTAGGGTAGATTTGCATCTGTGATCATCTGGTATCCATTAGTCTATCCATTAGGAGTAAAGAACAACATGCGTTAGGTATAAAATTATCTTAATACGATAGTCTTCCAAGGAGGTTAAATTAATCAGCACATAATACACATTCCGTTAATATTTGTTACCCAAACTTGTTTCATTTCCATTTCGTGATTTATCCAATCTGACTCTAGTAGACAACAAGTAGAACATTGTAGTTTATTCCTCAGACGATATGATTACTACGATTGCTTATTTCATCAGAAACGTCCAATTTGATCTTCGATGCTTACTATTTGTTTTAAATTAAAATGATAGCCTAATCTTTCATCACAAACTGATGGCCCCTATTGATGATTGGATACTTTAAAAGAAATCGCCCATGGTAAGAAAAAGTTGAAATTGTTTTGGTAGTACTATGCATTGAAATAGACAGAATCTGTGCGTGCCTTGCGTGTTTTACAACTCAGAAATCAGTAACATTTATGGCTGTAAAGATGTAAAACCAGCAAAGTATTGACACATGTCACACTTATTCGTCATATTGTGCTCCATTGTTACGATGGCGGCGGCTTATTTCGGTTATCAACATCGCAAAATATCGATAAAATTGTACTCACGGCACTCACTAAATTGACTGGATGTCCCATCGATTATGATGGCTTTTGCGAGGGTAGAAAGCATTCATAGGGTTCGATATGCTCGTTACAAATGAACTGTTAAATCATGGATATACTCCTTTCTATCGTAAACTACATTGCTTCATTTCGATCGTGAAACTCTTGAATTTATCGCATAATTGAATAGAAACTGTATTCATCCTACTATAATATCCCATTAGTGTGTATCCGTTATGTGCAGATTAAAAGCATTGATTCGTTGATAAAAGTAGGGTAGAAAGGAACCACAGTTTATTGATGATAACATCTTGTAGTGGCCATTTATCACCAAGTCTAAGTAATGTTTATAGTCTGCATTGATCAAATGGTATTTTTCTAATAATACACGTACTATCCTTGGTTTCTATTTCTGAATTTTTTTATAGTTACATTTAGTATTTTGTACTTTAAAATATTTCCATACGTGTTTTGATTTTCACACATTACAGTACAGTATTATAGATATCAACTGCTGTAGATCTCTTGCAGTGCAATATACAAGTACCATCTAGAGATAGCAATATGCTGTACGGTAGTAGAACTTAGTTCAAGAAGCTATGCACCTTTTTCTGTTTGGCATAGACTTGCACTGACCCATAACCTACTTTGGGTATTGCAGTCTTAAGAATTCTGTCATTAGTAAAATCGAATAAAACATTGAATAAAGCAAAAGTAATTTAGTACTATTATTAAATAATCATTAAAATGATCTTATAGATTATAATCTTATTCATTGCTATACAGTACTACTGAGCAAGGTGCTCCCTGTACCTATAAGATATACCTCCTACAATCAAAATATTTTCCATACTATGATACAGTATAAGTAAAGTATTTATTCAGTACAGTAGGATCATATTCGCATTCTCTGCATTGTGAGTCTATCGCAATATTAATTTTTTATACATACTTTGCAAATCTTCTTAGGAAACAGACTGCATTTCATGGTACGTACTCTAATTCATTAACTCCTGCCTTACAGTTTAAAAAAAGAGATGCTACCTCGTGTTGGTATATTTGTCACAGAATGGTCAGCTGATGTACTCATACCTTTATTTCGGCAAGTTGGGTTTTCAGTCACAGCTTTATGGAGTAGAACCCCTCAGGTAGCTAAGAAAATAGCTGATAACTTCAACATCCCGTACTATACCAGCAAATTAGACGAGTTATTGCTTCGTAAAGATGTCGATCTACTTTTTATCAATTGCCCACCATTCTTACATGCAGAAATAGCTGTCAAAGCTTTAGGCATTGGAAAACATGTTGTGTGCCAGTTGCCGTCAGGATTAACTACTGAGGATAGCGAAAAGATGCTGGATGCTGCACGTTATTATCCAAGTCTGCTATCGTTAATTCAACACGAAGCACGCTTTCTGCCTGCTTATGTTAGAATGAAGGAATTAATTACGAGTGGATATTGCGGACATTTATTACTGGGTGATATTCGCATTCACACGGGATCTCTAGTTACTAACCATTATAACTGGCTTTGTAACACTAAAATGGGGGGTGGCTCGTTAAATTTGATTGGAAGTAGCGTCATTGATATTGTATCCTATTTGACAAATAGTAAGGCTACGGAAGTGTTGGGACATTCTCATACTTTTGTTGAGCATCAAGGAAATATTCAGGGTAAGCCGATGAACTATAGAGATCAAAAGTATAGAAAATTAAGCGAACATCAGCGTAGCACTATCATAATTGAATCAATATGTTAAGTTTTCTGTGCTGTAATATTTCTCTTTAGGCTTCCGTGCTATAACTAGTGATGACTTTTGTACGTTTCAAATGCTGCTGGATTCCGGATTACGTATCAACGTAACAATAAATACTTTGCTTCGTGGTAGTTGTTATCAAGAGCTAATTATGATTGGGGAAGAAGGCCGTTTAGTTATTCGGAATGACAATTTATTCGGTACAAGGAATGATTCAGGAAAAGAGGAAATTCTTTACAATTCAGAAGGGGATCAAAACGAAAATGGAAGCTATACTTCACCTTATAATCGGCAGGGCTTCTATTTAACCGCAGGATTGGAGTTCGTTAAGGCCTTAAAGAATGCTTTCGTAACTTGCAAAGATGACATAAACGGATTAGTAAATTATGATTGTATTAGGAAAGCTGCTACATTTAAAGATGGCCGCTACATTCGAGCTGTTATTGACGCTATCCGTGAATCAAATTTTACTAGAAAATGGAATCGCGTTAAACTTGATGATCCACAAAACGGCTACGAATTAAATCCATAAGAATTTAATATTATATGACTAAAAGGAAAATTTAATTAATGTTTGCATTGAATTTCTTAACTAGTATTTATTAATTTCAGTCAACAATGGTATACTGGATACAGTATTCTCAGACACGTATGATAGATAGAGATCACGGTAGGTTTTTCTTTATTTATTGATCGCCACAAGTGTAATCTCATAATCGTACCTATGGTAGAATTTAAATATATTATGTGAAAGCACTTGTTGCGAATGTTTAAATCGATTGTTTTCTTTATAAAGAGCATTAATTAAAGTTGAATTTATTTACACATGTATATTGTAGAGTAATTTCTGAAACATCCAAATTGATTTATTATACAAGTAATTTATAATTGATTCTGTTGAATGCAAATGACGCACATTCTTATAATCACAGTATACGATCAGTTCACTGTAGTGACTAAACAATTTATACCAGTACTTTACCAATTACTTAAAATTTAATCGTTCTAATACCCTTTAAATTATATTATCTAAATCGTCCCAAACAAATTTACCTTGGTAGGTTTTGTTGACAATAATACCAAAGTAATCTACGCATGTATAAACTCACTACGATTTGCAAAGCCATTGCAATTAGATTAGTAGTAAATTGTTATTTGTTCTGTATAACTTTACAGCTGAGACAGGATGTAGTATACTAAGAAATTTTAATGTGTTCTTTTAGACTATACGTCGTACTTTTGTCATATTGAATTAAAACAATGTCATAGCTAGTGTATTTGAATTTTAAATCACTTGTAACAAGATTCACTAATTGCTGTATGCTTAATACCGAAATATTGCGGTGCAATTACAGCATTATTATGAGAGATGAAATCATTGCAATAAACAAATTACAATTAAAGTTGCTTAAGATTATGTGGTATGACGTTATTTTATTGAAGGTTTAGTAAGTTAGTGCAATCATTTTGTACAACCGCAACTTTTATTAATATAGTTCGTATTTATCAATTTCAAGCGTGGATACGATATTGCCCCTATTCTATTGCTCGAAAATGAACTTGATGTACTATATTTAAACCAACATCTATTCTACACGGTAATAGAAAGAGAATTTTCATATAAAGTACTTTATATAATATAGTCTTGCTTGCAGATACTGCATTATGTTACATGAGGAGTATGTAGTGTGGATACATGATATATGAAGAAAGATTATGCATACTTTTTACATATGCGGTAACATAATACGATTAATAATTTCGATATAGTTACGGCTATTAAATAAAAGATTGTTGATAGTGAGTTAAAGGTACAGTACAGCTTAAGTCCTTGAGAACTAAAGTGACTCGTAGGGGTAAAATAAAAAATTTGGTTACTGGTCAAGGTAAAAATATGTAAGATATACCTTTCAACGTTAGTAGAAATCTATATGCCGTATAATAATATTTATTATCAATTCTTTATACGTACAGTATATAACCAACGAGTTACGAGTTCCTGAGTTTGTAATGAAGAAATTTTGAATCGTCAAGGTCTAACTATTAGTCTATTTCTATCTTACTCGCAGTGTGGTGTGGTAAAGATTTAAGAGTTGTTTGCGAGTCTTTACAGTTGTATTAAGCGACTAGAAGTCATATCGATTGAGATCAATGATTAAATAGCAGTTTTACAAGGTTGCATGATTCTCTCTCTTGTAGCACAAACATAAGAATATATATATATGTTTAAAATATACATGTATACCAACGACTAATTCAGGTTGACTAGATCGGAACATAAGTGCAGTGAGCTTATGCTGATACGTACATACATAAATTTTAACTGTGATACGGATAGCTTAAATAAATGTTGTCTATGTGGTTAATAATCCATCAACGTTCGAGTGCACTATCTAGACTCCTCGTGCAAATCCAAAGCAATTATACTCTATATGTAAATAAATTCTTACTAAATATTACATCGATATAAACTAAAGATGGGAACTCATCATTTCTTGAGGAGAGTTTTGCAAGCCAAAACTTACTCGTATGTATAATAATGTATTCACATCCTAAAGTTTCGTTTCAAATCCAATAATAGAAAGTGTCGATTTTTTTCTAGGAGTAATAAGAAGATACGCCACCACACTTTGCCGCTCATTATTCGCTTCCAAAATATTTTTGTCCAAAGTAATTAGGGCAAATCTGATCCACCTCGGATGATAGTATGGTGATTTTAGGATATTGCTTGACAATTGCTGATATACTTTCTGGAGTAGCGAAAAGATTTAGGAATATGATATTGTCTTCAAGTACTGAATGATTGATTAAGGTTCTTATGGCCGCAATAGCTGTTTGACCAGTATTTAAAAGAGGATACATTAACAATACTTTACGCTTAGAAACATCCGGTGGAAATTTAGCATAATATACCATTGGCTCTTCACTGTCTTCGTTGTATCGAATGAGTATCTTACCGATACGAATAGATGAACAGCAATCCCTTAATCCGCGTTCCATTGCTTCACCACTTCTCATAATACTAACACCACAATTAGCATTGCCAAATTTTAATCCATGATAGACCTGATCTGTCGGCGTTGTTACATCAGTAGTTTCATGAGGCAGTTGATTTAATCCTTCCTCTACCACTAAGCGAATTAGTCGATCAGCGCAAAATACGAAATCACTACGTGTTGTCTCCCTAACAATACCATTCATGAGAATAAAATCATTATTCAATATGACAGGTTTAGATCACCATAACCAATAGCTACCATTGCATCGATAGTATAGTAGTTAACTACGGAAATGTTTGATTGAATAGTAATGTTATACGTAATGGTATGTTGCTGATGCAAATGGACTCGTGTTAGGCTGTATTCCATAAGAGCATTTATTATGCCGTTTTACAGAGTGTCAAGGTTCCACCAACATATCGAATGCTATATACAGTACTTTTAATAGTTTATTTACAAAAGGCTACGATCTATTGCTATAGAGTACGAATCGCCTGAAAATAAAATATTGTAATATCGGATTCAATCTGGCGTAGTATGATGCTCAGCGGGAAAATCAAATTTATTGTTAGCGTACAAGTCTGAAAATGTTCTCGTTGATCATTCATAGTTCCAATTATTAGAATCGATCATGATTAAGTTGATTACTAAAACTGAATCTTGCCATGATGTTTTCTAGTTGTCATAGCTTTGCAGAGTATGACTGCATGTTATTTCAGACTTGAAGAAGCTTGTCTATTATTCTATCACACTGGTTTTCCTATTGTAAATGGTTCTGTGCTATGACATTCAACGAGTTCTTCCATAGATCTACCATGGTCTTGTACTCATTTTTTGTCACATCTCTATCCTATTCGATCAATTGAAGAACTGGTTGGACAGCTTTAAGCTAAGTTTGGGACTATTTCGTGCATGATGGAATGGTTTAATGGACAGTCGTTAGTGGGCTTAAGTAAACAAGGTGCTAACCTACAATCGGAGTGTCCTTCTACCCTTAGTATACTGTACAATATTGTAAAGTACATTGCAGCATTTTAGTAACATGTTGTTACTAGGTCAATATCCAATTTACGGTTGGTCATTTTCCAAATTTCTCTTTCATCGCTTACAGTAGTATCTGGCCATAACAAGTTATTTGATTAATCCAAGAACAGTAAACCGGTCTACCCCCGCCAGTACTGTACAGTAGAAGTGAATGGATTGACATGAACTGGTCACCATAGAAAAGTACTGTATATCTATTTCATATGGGAGTGATTGTAGTGCAATATCATTGGAGATTTTCCTTTCGGTCTACTAGCATACAAGGTTGATCGATGACATTGAAAGCAAGAAAGTAAAGTATATCTTATGATCGTCATCGTTTGATGGAAGATAATGTTGACTAGGTTGCATTCAAGTCATCATCGCGCATGATTGAATAGATTGGACAAGGAGAAAATGAACAATCAACATCAATGCTTGCTTGATATCTCCATTTTACCTGTCTCTAATGATCGTTTGTAGCTCTTTGACTTGATTGTTAATTTCGATCATTCTTAACTGGGGAATTTTTGTCGGATCGAATGGATCATGATCATCCTGATGAGTGATTTCGTCAGTCATCTTGATTTCCAGTTGGCAGAAAGGCACGAGCAGCCAGTAGGTTAAATGAAGTAGAAGGTCACCTTGTGCAAGTGTCACCTTGGCACCGGTCAGCTCATACGTGGTGACAAAGTCAAAGTCCAGTCGTACAGTACAGTCCTGACGCTGACAATACAGTACGCTACACTGTACAGTACAGTACTGTACACCCTGGCTCCAAACATGTCACTCGCTATGGTGAATGTACCGTACTGTACAGAAGTCTCTCTGCTGTCATCCACTTCTAGTTATACTATGGTCTATAACTACTTAACTACTTAACTAGCATAGTGTCATGGAGAAGCAGCTTTGCTCCTTGGAGGCCATTAGCTATGGTTAGAAGATTGTACCATACAGTAGAATCATGAGTTAATCTACATAGCACTATCTACTCATGCCATCAATATGAGAGAAATCGTGCAAATAGTTCAAGTTTGTATCCAGCTCACTGCTCAACCTCCATTCTCATTTATTGAAAGATGACGGCGCTATCGTTAGAAGATTGTACAGTAGAATAACCAATTAATCTACGTAGCACTATCTACTCATGCCATCAACATGAGAGAAATCGTGCAAATAGTTCAAGTTTGTATCCAGCTCACTGCTCAACCTCCATTCTCATTTATTGAAAGATAACCACCACGCTATCGTTAGAAGATTGTACAGTAGAATAATCAATTAATCTACGTAGCACTATCTACTCATGCCATGGCATGAGAGAAATCGTGCAAGCACAGTAATTAAAGTTTGTTGCAAGCTAACTAACTACTGAACCCTCATTCTCATTCATTGAAAGATAACCACGCTATCGTTAGAAGATTGTACAGTAGAATAATCAATTAATCTACGTAGCACTATCTACTCATGCCGTGGCATGAGAGAAATCGTGCAAGCACAGTAGTTAAAGTTTGTTGCAAGCTAACTAACTACTGAACCCTCATTCTCATTCATTGAAAGATAACTACGCTATAGTTAGAAGATTGTACAGTAGAATAATCAATTAATCTACGTAGCACTGTCTACTCATGCCATGGCATGAGAAAAATCGTGCAAGCACAGTAGTTAAAGTTTGTTTCAAGCTAACTAACTACTAAGCCCTCATTCTCATTCATTGAAAGATAACCACGCTATCGCTAGAAGATTGTACAGTAGAATAATCAATTAATCTATGTAGCACTATCTACACATGCCATGACATGAGAGAAATCGTGCAAGTACAGTAGTTAAAGTTTGTTTCAAGCTAACTACTAAATCCCCATTCTCGTTCATTGAAAAATGGCAAGCAGCTTTTATACAGTACATGCAAGATTCACAGTGATAATATCTACTCGTGTGCAGGTCTCCGATGTCTTCCGTAATACAGTACTGTACAGTATACCTTAGTTACAAGATTGCTTACTAAGATTGTACGGTAGAATAGTAGAATAGTTAAGGGTATGATAGGAGAAAGCAAATCGCACTAGCATTCAAAATCTGTGTCCAACTTACTGTACTACCTGATTCTCACCTTAGTAATTGATTGAAAAATGACGACTTTTAGATACGCACCTTCACAATGATAACGTCTAATAGTTATAAGATTAAACAGTAGAATAGCGGATTAATTAGTCTACATAGCATTGTCTGTCCACTGTTATAACGTAGAATTAACAAGTGGAAATGAAAAATGGTCGGTGCTCCTACAACATAAAGTTGGTAGAATTGATAAGTGTGCGAGATACAAGGGTGTCCAGCAAAATCACGTATATCACTACCTCTGTACTGTACTATGTTTAACAAATAGCTCATGTCTTGTCTATCTGGTTATCTTCGGATTAACAGCGATTGCTGCCCCCGAAATTTGTTTAGAAGTTTCTGGGACAGCTCACTGAAAAGATGAGTGACTGTACTATTTCCTCTTGCTTCATTATTATTGAGTTTCTGCTATACCTAACACTCTCAGCTGCATAAAAAAGTCAGGATATCGATGGTATTAAATGTATAGCCGATACCATTAACACCATCGATATCCAGACTTTGTATCGTCCACGGTTCATATCACCCTTCCTTTAAAACAGCAAGAGGGCATTTATGATATAATAACTCCGATTAATTAGTAATCCTTAAAGCCCTAATCAGTACAATCTTAGTATAGGACGTCGACTAGTCGACCCCTCGCTCGCTTTACACTTTGCGTGCTATTTCAATCATTTTCATTACATAACTAGCCAAATAAGTAAGCCCAGCAATGGATAATTCGGGGAAATCGAGTGGCTACACCCAAAGCACAATCTGCCATATTGAAAGTTTTACGGCGATTATTAAATAAATTTCAAAGTTAAATAGAATTGATCAATTATTGTATTTAAAGTACTCTGTTCTCTTGTCCAAAAATTTCCTTTATTATTACAATGCATTATTAACAATTTGAACATTTGCGTATTGCAACTTATAGCTGCTGGCATACAAGATATTTATTACGTATATAAAATTCTAATTTCTATACTTTCGCTGTTGTTAACGTATGAATGTGTTGACATTGAATGTAGAGAATAAATTATTTTAACCATTAAATCAGGTAAGAGAAATGCGTTCAATGCCACTAGTTAGAACAATACATAACATGACAACGCCAATATTGTAAGGCATTGGTGTGTACTGTCATTGGAGAGTTAATAGTTGTATGTATACAGAAATGTGCAGTATAGAATTAAATTAGAATGAATTATTGCAGGCAAGATCTGATCCAACTAACAGTCATTACAAAAATCTGTTATAAACTGGATGCAAATAAAGACAACATACGTCCACTTTATATTGCATAGTATCGTAAAATAGTCAATTTTTTTTTTTCATCTCTGATAATAGTTCCAATAGTTATTTTTGAATGTAAAAGGTAACTATCAACTGTAAAGTTAGGTGAGTACTAAAGCTAGTAAGGAGCCATAGCTGTATATCAATACAAGACTACCTGTAATGTTTACCTAATGTAATTATCATGTATATATATAGATATATATCTGTACAAATCAGTAGTTTCAACCAGGGAAATTTTCTTTTACATTAGATGTCCCTATTTTAAGAAGGTAAGTCTTGCACTACAGAATTAGATATGCAATCCTTGCAAGTCTATAGCGATTTTTGGGCATTGAATTGCAATTTAATACTTTCCAACAAGTTATAATCTGTTAGGATATCAATGGTAGTCATTGCCATGGTTTTAGCAGCAATAATGGTTTGTTGATGCGCTTGCATGGTAGAGGATGCTTTGGTAAATTCGGGTGTATGGTTAGCAGCCTCAGTATCAATTGCATAAAAAGGATGAATAGTGGGTAGAATGTGAGAGACGTTCCCCATATCAGTAGAGCCCGAGGGAAAAGTTAACTGTTCTGCCCTACTGGGCATTACAAGACCGAGGGTAGCTACATTTTTCTCATATAAATCAGCCATAATAGGATTGGTGATCACATCTTGAAAATAATCTCCTTCAATTCTTTCAAAAGCAATATCAACTGTACATCCAGTTGCTTCAGCAGCACCACGAAAGCAAGCTTCACATTTATCTTGTAATTCTTGCATATCACGCATTAAAGGCGCTCTAATAAAATAATCTAGTTTGGATGTTGCAGGTATAATATTAGGCATGGTACCACCTTCAGCAATAATGCCATGAATCTTCCAGCCCGATTTCATCTGCTGGCGCATCAAGGAAAGAGCAGTATATGCATGGACAGCTGCATCTAACGCATTAACGCCTTCCCATGGAAAAGCAGCTGCATGTGAACTTTTACCATGATAAGTAGCCGTTACACGTTGTAGACAAATTAAGTTGCCATAAGTAGCATCAAATGGAAATGGATGAACCATCATTGCAAAATCGATGTCCTTAAAGCAGCCACTGTGGATCATTTTGATTTTTCCACCACCGCCTTCTTCTGCTGGTGTTCCATAGACAATTAATTGGCCTAAATTGATATCGCTTGCTTCCATGGCTGCTTTAATGCCAAGAGCAGCAGCTACTCCTGCCTCTGCAATTAAATTATGGCCACATGCATGGCCGATACCAGGCAACGCATCATATTCACAAATAACGCAAGCTTTAGGTCCTTGATCATTTGAAGAGTAAACAGCACGAAATGCAGTCGGTAAAGTATAACTACGATCGACATGGAAGCCAGCCTTTTCAAAGAAATCAGTTAAGAGTTGATGAGCTTTAAATTCCTCATATTTTAATTCAGGATTATTTAGGATTTCTCTGTTGATCATTAATAAATTCGATTCCTCTTTATCGATACTTTGAACGGCAATCGCTTTCAGCTCTTGAGGCGAAGCCATGATTATCTTCTACTACTCCTTTTCCTAACCGGACTTGAGATAGGGCTCGAGTTCGGTCCTGTACGGTACCGTACCTACTGTACTGTACACTGTACAGTACAGTACAGTATCTCATACGCTAGCTGCGCATGACCTACAGTACATTGTACAGTACAGTACAGTATCGTAATACTGTACGTTACGATACAGCTACGGCTAGCTGCTTACTGTTAGTGACCGATCGCCCTTGCAAAGGAAAAATGTCGGACTTCACTTTTAAACCGAAGTTTTTAAGGCCAGGTATCCCTTAATAGATTAACTGTAGAGCATTTCTAACGATAATAATTGGTGCAATTTGTAGCCTGATGTATGCATGATATATTACTGTTTATGCAGGCGCCAATGAGAGTGATGAAATTGAGCGTCGTGAAGTGAGCCAAGGCGCTGGAGAATGCATCCATTACAACAGGTTTATGACGCTGCCATTAACACAGCAAAGGCAAAGATTACCTGTATTTCAGGTTGGAAATGAGTTATTTAAAGTTGATATCTGTTTTTATGTTACTTATCATATGGATAAGGTTTATAAACTGGGTTAGAAATGTTTCTATCAAGGCTAGTACTGCACATACTGTAAACGTATACTTCTATAGGAGTAATAGCTCAATTAACGAATAGATCTTGAAGAAAAGAATGATATATACTTACAGTATATAAGAATTGAATAAACGGATGAGACTATGCTTATTTTCGATAACTACAGTAGAAAGTACATGATAGAATCGGTAAAAGATTGATAACATCTAGACTATTCAGTAAATGTATGCCGTCCATGTCAGACAGGGGCGGTTTGTTACAGACTCATAATGGTACGTAAAATTATTATCTGACTGCAGTACTGCTAGAAAGGAATTCCTAACAGTATAGTGCATGTACGCGCATGTATTTACTAACGAGAGATCTTCATTCACTTATAAATTCTATCCTGCTTGCATATAGTATCGAAATCATATTTTATATATGCTTGAAAAATATTCAACTTTGGTTGTTGTGGGTGAAACTGGCTGTGGTAAATCAACTCAGATCCCACAATATCTTCATGAAAGTGGCTGGTCCAAAGGGGGTCGAGTTATCTGTGTTACCCAACCACGACGTATCGCTACTGTTACTGTAGCAACACGAGTAGCAGAAGAACAAGGTGTATACCTGGGTCGAGAAGTTGGTTATGCTATCCGATTTGAAGACTGTACCGATAAAACATTAACACGTATTAAGGTTAGCCTACCGACTTGAATATCATTTCAATAAGTACAAATCAATCTTAATATTATCCTTATTGAAATTTCAGTTTGTAACAGATGGATTATTAATACGTGAAATGATGGCTGATCCGTTACTACGAAGATATAGTGTGGTTATGCTTGATGAAGCTCATGAGAGAACAATCAATACTGATGTTGTTATTGGATTATTGAAAAAGATACAAAAGAAACGACCTGAACTAAAAATTATTATATCATCGGCTACATTGGATGCTGAAGCATTTCGTGATTTCTTTAATTCCAATACTACTGATGATACTAGTCTTGATACTGCTAGCATTTTATCAATTGAAGGCCGCATGTTTCCTGTCGATATTCATTACACCGCTGATCCAGTACCAGATTACATCAAAGCAGCTGTGGACACCGTCTTTAAAATTCACCAAAATGAAAAACGCGGTGATATTTTAGTATTTCTTACCGGTCAGGAAGAAGTTGAAACTGCAGTCAATATGACTAATGATTACAATCATCAATTGCAACAAAAGTTAATGCCATTGCCTATGTATGGTGGATTACCTCCAGGCGAGCAGCTTAAAGTGTTCAAAAAAACTCCTGAAAATATGCGAAAAGTAAGTAGTGCAAATTACGAGTTCAGTAGAAAGGCTCTTAATAACTCTGCAGATTGCTATAAATAGGTGTTAATCCATTTAAACATTGTATTGAAATTTGGACGATCGTTGAACTGTCGTCGCTATAGGTTATTTATGCAACGAACATTGCCGAAGCATCCATAACGATTGATGGAGTTGTTTATGTAGTGGATTGTGGATTTGTTAAATTAAAAATGGTTCTTCCTAATGCTGGAATGGAGTCACTAGTTATAGTACCAATCTCAAAGGCTTCAGCTAAGCAACGCGCTGGGCGTGCTGGTCGTGTTCGTTCTGGCAAAGCGTATAGGCTATTGACGGAAAAAGATTACGAAAAGTTATTATCATCTGCTACTGTTCCTGAAATGCAAAGAGTTAATTTAAGCGCGGTAGTTATTCAGTTGAAAGCTTTAGGTATTGATAATGTACTGCGTTTCGATTTTTTGTCACCGCCACCGGCTAAGAATATGATCCGATCATTAGAATTACTGTATGCTCTTGAAGGTTAGCTTAAATCTATTAAATCAACAATTTGATAGAGTTTATTACCAAAGTATTCATCTTATTTCCATGATATTATTGGCAGCATTAGACGATTACGGTAGGCTAACATTAGGATGCGGAAATAAAATGGCTGAGTTACCTGTTGATCCTATGCTCGGGAAAATGCTATTGTCATCGAGTGAGTGAAACTAATTTCATATCAAGGTAAAATTTTTATCCCACTATTTATTAATAATATGTTATTATTGACGTTCATAAAGGCAAGTTGGAATGTTCCGAAGAAATTCTTACAATCACAGCAATGTTGCAAGTACAGAATATATTTTATACACCGCCAAAGAGAAAAGCAGCCTCTGTATGTCGTCTTATACCTCATGTTATTATTAGCTTTAGTGATATAATATTTTTATTACTTACGAACGTCGCATCGTATTTTTTTTTAAGGATAATGCTCGTAGAAAATTTGCTGTGTATGAGGGAGATCATTTAACACTATTAAATGTCTATAAAGCGTTTATGAGGGTGATGATAACTAGTTTACATTCAAACACAAGCACTTTTCTATTATGCAGCGAATAGATTTCGTATTGAATTCGAAATTCATTTTAATTAGTGTCGAAAAAGTTCAAAGTGGTGTCAAGAAAATTACCTAAATTATAAAGGTAAGTGTTTTGGAATTATTTAATTTTACCAATGTACATTGATCTGGGACGTACAGTAATAGTTTATAGATTATTTATGTTTTAAATGAATGATATACTTATTTCTGAACAGTAATTCTTTAATTGCTAGCTCTAACTAAAGCGGTTGCCATAAGGGAACGATTAAAAGTTTTTATGAAGAAATTTAAATTGCCATTAATATCATGTGACGGTATGAATGATTGATTGCAGATTGTGCCTTGCTAACGATTAAAGTGAAAGTGCTAGTAAAAAATATAGTTGTCAATAATTATAATAGATCCCATATGTAGTTCAGTAATATGTTTATAAAAATAAAATAAAATAGTGTTAAAATGTATCAGATATAGAATCTATTATGTATTTCAAATTAATAATTTAAGCTGCGGTTTATCGTAGGTTTATCGATTCAGATATGAATGTGTATAATATCTATTAACTGTTACTGTTGTCATATTCTTGTGTAGATGATCCTGAGGCGGTATGTAAATGCCTTGTTACAGGATTCTTTGCTAACGCAGCAAAATACTGTGGTGATGGTTGTTATAGGTATTATGATGGCTACAGTCTCTTCAGAGACTTACTTTAGTTATAGCAATCTATTACGGCATGGTGTGTTCACTGTGTCGTACACGCCAGTAATGACATTTTAAATATCCCTTATGCGCTCGTATTGTAGGTTATTCGAGGTAATTAATTATCCTGTAATTTATTCTTCTTTATTAACTAACTCTTTAGAACAATTCGGGATAATCATGTCTTACATATCCATCCAAATTCTGTACTCTACACTGAGGAACCTCCAAAATGGTATAGTATTACAACGCTATCGTAATACTATGCATGTACTGTGTAATTTAAAATGAAATTAGCAAGTAGCAAATAGGCATAGATACGCTATTGTATACAGCACGTTATTTAATCTCACTTGATTAATGATAGGCATAAAACTATAGTATTTATTTCTTATTATAAAGGGTAATATTCCATGAAGTTCTCCAAACAAAGAAGGATTATATGAGAGACATTACAGTCGTAAGTGATGTCTAGGTATAATTTTACAATCATGAAATGTTAAAGGTCTTTATTTTTGCTCTTTCATTTAGATTGAGCCTTCATGGCTATACGAACTGGCACCCCATTACTATGAATATGGAACCGTAAGTTTGATAAATTATCGCTAATCATAGTTCATAGGAATTTGGTTTAGTAATTAATTATCTTTGGTTTTTTTTAGGATTTATCAAGGAGAAAACGTAAAGCTGATGAATCTAACGCGTAATACTGCCATTTTAATTAAATGCTTTACATGAATATTGCAATATAATGTTTTTATCCTCGGCTTCCTTGTGTTTGGAAGAGACTTGATCAGGCTAGGGCCGGACTTCGAATCGGTGAATTTGTAGCGAATTTAATCACCTTTTAATGTGCACTAGCATATTTTTAAATTATCATTGGGTAAAAAGTACTGTCAATAATATTTTTATACAGGTCCAAGATTGCAGGTATTATAATTATGTTACACGTGTCCGTCTACAGTATATTTGAATATGAACCTTGTAGCTAAAAAGGATTTGTTCATGTAATGCTTCTGAAAGAATTAATATGATAAAACCTTAATGCCATACTTTATAATGTCGTAATGTTTGTCAGCCAAATATATAGATTATTTATTAATGTAACTTTACTGTATATGAATTTTGTACAGATACTCTCAAAATAGATGAGAAAGGTAACAAATAAACGAGATTTATATCTTAAATACAAATACGGGCAATTTGATTAACTGATTTACAATATCGATTGATTTACGACTAGATCTAAATACTAGAGATTCAATAAAATTAATACAGTAATACAGTAAAGCTGACATAGAAAATGTTCATACATTCAGTAAATTGAACCATGATAATCCAATCAGTAGTAGTAGGTAAATAATTAATTGTAGCATAATTGTAACAATATTAACATGGACGGCAAAGTTCTTGATGCCGTCGAAAGATTAATTCTTAGTTTGTATCAGGATGTGATCCATTCTTTCCTAAAGGAAACATCAAGAATAATACAAAGTTCAGTTAATTATTTTATTTCAACTTTAGTAGATTAAATGATAATGTCAGCGTTAATAACCTTCCAACGGTTCAATTCTTGAATCGTTTCTTCGTCGAGTTTTTCAGGAACATGTCTGGAAGCTAGCATTTGCAAAATCTGAAATACCAATGCTAAGTATTTAGGAATCCCGTAATCTTAGCACTCGTAAAATTATTTGTTAAACTTGCCTTATTGTCCATGACTTGCCGCTTCGAAACAGGTGTTTCTTCGCTAAAATGCGAAACTGGTGAACCATGTATAGAAACACAGATTTCACCGGGTCGAATGTATCTTTATTGCCCATGGAAATATAATTCAATATATGAGTTAAAATAGCAGACATATGCGTATACTGGCAATTACTCTATAATTGATCAGTAGGCAATCTAGACTAAATCAATGTTTTTTACAGAATTATGAATTTGCAATAATGCAAGACATAATAATATTTTAAACTGTGGAGAATTCGATTTGAAAGTAAAATGACATGGTTTTATCATAACCTTGACTTGATACCAGTGGCGGTAGTAGTAGACAGTTGTGCTATAGTTTTTTTAGCTGCTGGAGTAATGAAATTATTTTGTGGTACTTGGCTTGGTCGTTTAGACTCCGTTCTAGACTTCAATCTTAAAGTTGATATTTCAAGGAAAGAGATAAGAAAGCTCATAATTTATAAATAGTATTATACGTATCGCATATTTTTTAGTACAATTGATTTGTACCTTGAACTGTGCCTAACGGCTGGTGTCTGCGTTGGTCCCCTTTTTGTCTGAAAAGTTTGAATAGTAAAAATCTTCAATAAATTGACTTACATTTAGGCCATTTTAGAAACTAAATCAACAGTCCAAGAAGGGAATTAAAAAAACATTTCATTCTGGTTTAATAATAATGTTACTAACTACTCTTATCTATAACGTAATATATAATATTTTATGCAGCAAATGGTTCGGATTTTAAAAATACAGTATAACAACTATTAAAGCGATAACCTTGTTAGGTCTAGCTGTAGCAGGGGCTTGGTTTCTCATATTCTCACTTGACTAAATAATGGGTAATTAATACAGATATTAGTTTAACCTTATACTTGTAGTATTAAGTAAAATATGATATCATTCAGTGGTACATACATACATACAATAATAATGTACTAGCAAGAAAACTATTTTACATAAATTACAGTGATACCTCTCCTAAAGGTTTTCGCTTTCTTTGGCTTCTTAGACTATTTGACGTCCATGCAGCTAGTGGAATAGAAATTAAAAAATGACTTTTATTTCATACTATACGTGTTCAAAATCTTATACCATTAAATATAAGATCGGTGATCAGACGCAGTATTATATACATATATATAGATACATTAAGTTCAACATACCAGGTGTAGCGAAATTACCATCCTTCTTGCTACCTTGATTTTCATTGCTAAGAATATATCAGTAAACTCTATAAGCGTATTATTAACTTTTGCGATGCAATACAGTATACAGTAAAATATTGACACTTCCTGAAAATGAGATCCACACTTTATAGTATAGTGATAAGAAGTTGACGTAGTAAATTGTACATACATTCTTTTAACAACTATTTGAAAGACGTTTAACACTTTGTCAGTTATCGACAAGTTATTACAATACATTTTTTGTGATATTTATTCTATACAGAATAAGGGTATCAACTACCGTCGGGGCGAAAGTACTTTCTAAATGTATAAATGACCTAAATAATAGGAAATGTGTATGTTGGATACCTCATGTAATCTTGAGTCTTCATGTTAACATAAGCAATAACATTTGAAATATTTCCTAGTTCTTTCTGTAAATAATTAAAGTTCGAGATAGTAATTTTAAAGTTAATATTGGCGAGGATTATTGTTTATACTATTACATTGTGGTTAAAAGCTGAAGACAGTGTTACGGTGGTATAATGGTACTTCTGGCTAGTTTTTAATTCGTTTTCAAGATATAGATCGTAAAAACGTACATTTATCTTCAGACAGACATGACATTCAAACATATACAGCCTACATATAATCCCTTGTAAATTACAGTTGTAATATGATCTACAAAGTTATTAGAATTGCCATCATATGACAATAAGTCTGTAGTAATGTATTATTCTATAATGAACTGACTGCAAAGCATAAAGTATCTGGTGCTATATACTAAGAAATGAGTAATTATAGTTATCTAGGAATAAAATCAGACTGACCTCTTGTTTCTTATCCTCTTCTTTATTTTCAAAGGACATTGAAAGCATACAAGAAGTATGCCACAATAATTTGGAAAGAAAGATAAATTATGTTGCTCATTAGTTCAATTCACACGGTTATGTCAAACATATTGCAATCGTTTCTGATCATGAGCAACAATTACTCTCATAGAATTTGAGGAAAATAGTTAATTACTGTAAACTTAGGTTACTGGTTAGGATGGAACCTCTGACACCCCTAAGTATAATTACTGTGTTAGGCACATCTAGGCTATGGCTAGGTACGAGTATGCCAGTGTACCGTATACACTTGGCCTATATGTACTATTAAAATCATTTACAACCTCTCTGTATCGATAAATGTTAGTAAAGGATGAAATGAACTACATCGTACGATTGGCATGAGAAACTCCTAATTAGTATATTAAAGTTATCGGTTGGATACTAATCAATCAATCTTATTTCAGGTTACTGTATAGTATACGACGAAAGTCAACAATTTGATTACTGACATTGTTCATCATCTTTACCTCGTAGTTCTTTTAAGGTCATGAGGCGAATCCTCTGCAACAAATTATTATAGCAGATTACACCTTCTTTCTTAAAGTATCCATTAAAAAGTTGACACAAATAGCATAGCATGTAGAATAATCTACAATTTACTGTAGATATTCAAAATAGAGTAGATCATTATAGCAAGAAATTACCTTGGGGATTTGAGATAGTAATTGATCAAATGTACTTTGTAATCGTTTCTTATAATCTTCTGCATGAAGACGCATTTCCCGTACCCGATGTTCAGCTAACAATCACAATACAAGTGATACTTTAATCAACGATTACTACGATGGTAAATGAATCCAAATTTATATATTATAGATGTTGCTAGGAATGGCCATCATAAAATTAGATGTACCTTCTGCACGGAAATCTTGTTTGAATGCATCAGAAATTTTTCCTTTAGTAACATTTTCATCGCCTTCATTCCCCTTAGCTGTGGTAGTAGCAGCTTTTCTACCGCCTCGTCCTCTCTTCCTTCTGGGCATTTGGATTATCTATGTATTAGTTTTAAATCTCAAGATCTCCGTGTACTATTAATATACAACTAATAATAATATTAGCAGAGGAAGTTAAGCTTGCCAAGTCTAGATGCACTCTGGATGTTGTGATGAGATTTTCTCGATCGTGGCAGAATAACAAGATTAGCCCGCGACATTGGCCGCTGTTACCTCGTCAGTATGGTATCGCTGAGAGGTCTAGATTTCATACTGTCTACTTTATTTAGATGAATGTTTTGAGACTGTCTATTACGTCGTTTTCAATCATTTTGTGCACTACCCTCATTACAGTATTGCTGTAGGTAAAGAATTTGCTATCTAAACCCAATCCTAGTGCTATGATAACTGATGATAGTATAAAATGTATAGTATTGTTTAAGTAGTTACCCTGTAAACTAGTACAATTAAGGTTATGTAGTTTCAACGGCTTTCAAATGAAGCGGACTTTCCATTCTAGCCAATCATTGAGCTTGATGTAAATGAGCATGCTCAATAGACATAGGACGATGCTCGTATGCACGCGAGTTATGCCAGCGTAATTTATATTACCGTATTAACTAATATTGACTATGCCATTGGTCTTGTTTGAGTAGCTCACCTATTAATCTTATTCTACAATAAATGCTAGTCATTGCCTTAGTATATTTACTATGATTTGCACGCTACTCGTTCTATACTATGGCGTTTCGATACTACAGGTAGTATCGATACCCAAGCGTCACGGAGACTATTATGCCATTGACAAGGAAATTATATGCTATAGATTGCATAGTTCATTTGCAAAAGCTCAAGTTGATTGCAGCTCGTCAATTTTGGCGGACCTACCAGTTTTGCCAAATTCATGGTCAAAATCGACAGTGATAATCTTTTAGTACTGTTATTATATGACTACTAATACCCTGTTACGATCTCTCATCAAAATCGGCAAAGGATTTGCAATACCAAGGCATGCATTAAGCCCATTAAGGCATATATATACAACACATGCAAGCTGCTTTGCAACACCAACATCTAGCATTATTGTCTTCAACTTGCTTAAGAGTTCTGCAAATAGAAAGGTTATTCCCAGCCGAATAATGTCTAACTTTGTAGGTAGAATGAATCAACAAACTGGTCAGTTGGAGTGGGTTAAACAAGAAGATGACCACGATTACTATCTGGAAATTTCACGGTATTGTATATATGGAATAATATTGACGTACAGTACTCTCCATCAAGAATGATTTGTAAATTATCTCATTCATTATAATTGTGGATATTCTAACAAGTGTAGCTCGCTAATAATCAATATACTCTGTTCTCTCCTTGCAACAATGATATACATTGTTATTAGGTCACTATATGGAGATATGTTACACGATAAGGAAAGGGTACGTTATGCCATAAAATTAACTTATTATTGTCTGCAATTTAATCATACATTTTTGAGACTAAACTGTCTTCTTTCTAGCAATCATATCAAACAATATAATGTTATCTAATCGTAATCTTGCAGAATGTTCAATATGATCAAGCAATTCAGAAGGCTGTCCAGGCTTATTTAGATGTAAATCCTTCCTCGTCTTCATGTAATGTCCTTGATATCGGTACTGGTACAGGGTTATTAGCACTTATGGCAGCTAGAGCTGGTGCAAAAAAGATCTATGCATGTGAGGTAATAGTATATACTATTTCCTATACGCACATAAACATGAATTAATACTTTAATGTTATTAAAAAACTGGCATATCGCAGGCATTTCAACCGATGGCTCAATTAGCTCAAAAAATTATAACTGAAAATCGATATCAAGATAATATCAAAATTATACAGAAAAGATCAACTTCAATGACAGCAGGTATCGTACTGTATAATACTATGAATAATGTGAGCATATGCATTTTACTTTATATCATAGACTACATTGAATTCTTTAAATAGCTAATCCCAATTATAACAATCTTGTAGATATCTTATTCTTACTAGTTATAATGCATGCACATTGGTTAGTGTATCATCTTGATTCTACATGCTATTGTCGTAAATTTGTAATAATAGGAAACAAACCTAATTAGACGATCCGATGAAAAATGCATATAATTTAGTAGTAATATATAGTTATTATCTTCTACCATGTAATAAATATATTTTTATGATAAAATATATCAATACTCTTATTGTATATTGGCTAGATGACGATATGGATGGTTGCAAAGCTGATTTGATAGTGATGGAGATATTTGATAGCGAGCTTATTGGTGAAGGAGTCCTTGGTACGATGTTGCATGCGCAACAAAACCTAGTTAAGGTAAATAAATATGAAACACATGAATAATTCAAATCTATATCATGGCGTAAATTTTATCAAAGTTTATTACCATATTATTTTAATATTAAATGATATAATTTACGTATTTACTTTTTTGTTTACATTTAACCTTAGCCTAATTGCGTTAGTGTACCAGCAGCTGCAAAGATATATGTTCAGGCATGTGAGAGCAAGTTTCTGCAAAAGTGCTGTAATTTAAATCCAGTCAAGGTACCCTTATTGAATCTAAACATTTAAAATATTAAACTTTCAACCTTGAATAATATAATTAGTTAGTGTGTTTTAATAATCATTTTCTACAATTGTCTACGTTATTGTATTTGACGATGTTTCGTGCATCTTGGAAATAGAGAACTGAATCTTGTGATTGGGAGTTTGCAGTTCCGCAGAGTTTTACAGATAATAATTTTTATCCTTCGTCCGCATTCTGCATGCACGTCGATCAGTTATACCCAAAAGACATCAAATTATTAACCTCGCCTATTGAAGCTCTAACGTAAGAGTGCGCACGCAAGATGTAACTTACTCACTCAATGAACTTCCTCTTGTTTAAACTTAATATACAAGTCACAATTTCTCATTGATAACTATAATTTTAAAAATTAGATTTGATTTTTGCTCGCCTATAAAGTCTCAAATGAGTGTGAGAAGAGTTGAGGGGAAAGATAATGAATTTACAATTTCTGGACGTCGAACGTTGGAACTTACAGCAATTGAAGATGGTGTATGTCATGGACTTTTATTTTGGTGGGTGTTAAAGATGGATTGCGAAGGAAATATTGAACTGAGCACAGCCCCTAAGTGGATTGATAATAAGTCTAATCATAATCTTCAGGTAATATTATCAGATCGCGTTACGTAACTTATGATTTGACTAAATTTTTGTGACGAGTGTTATGATTTAACATTTTTAACTAGTGGCGTGATCACTGGATGCAAGCTGTCTACTTCTGTCCTCAATCCATCTCAGTTACTAAAGGTTGGATAGAAAGAATAGTTCGTGTAAACAAGTAATTTTATACATTAATGTAGTAATTACGCGTGTTTCTGAATAGTTGTCATCATGTATTTAGGAAAATCTATATCTATTGATGTTTCACATGATGAATACAACATTTGGTTTAATGTAAGCTCAAGGTACTGTAAAAATTAAGCTGACTTCAAGGTTGGATAATGCTATTAGATAAAAAGGTAATCTAGAATATTATATAGTAGCCCAAGAACAAATGCAACTAGTGACGTTGACAAGTATTCACATCAATTATGCTGGGATAAAATGCGGTTATCCGGCTTAAATAATGTTGAAAAGCAACGGAAATATTACAATGTTATTAGAAAGGTAAATACTGTAGATTTCATTTTTTGGCCAGTTTTCGTCAGATGATGTTATCTGTAAATTTATTTCATACAGCATATACAGAATAGTTTCAATGTTCATTGCGTATCAGTTGGAGATGGATCTTTATTACCTTTGATGGCTGCAAGTGCTGGGGCTCGTAAAGTACGCTGAAATATTTATGTTTATTATCATAATTTGAATGTAAGATTGAAATAAAGCCGTTATTTTTTGGACTTACGGAGCTAGGTTATAGCTATTGAGTCATCAAAGAAATCAAGAGATACTATCCGTGAGGTAAAAGCTATAATTATGTAATATCTAACTTTAATTATCTTGATATTCTATGGGTTCTATAGTAAGGCATACATTGGTTTGCTCGTGGGAGTCTAAGGATATGTTATTCGTATCTTAATATAGCTCGTTAGAGCCAATGGATTGAATAAAAAAATCATGATATCTCCAAGAAATCTGGCTGATATTGGAAGTGATGATTTGTTGGGTAACAAAGTAGGTGTTGATAAATTTTTTACGATACGTATACTACAGAATACTATGACGTACGAATAAGTAATTTTGTCGTATCTCTTTCGACTAGATTGATATTTTACTAGGTGAACCATACTTTGGTGGTAGTGTATTTTCTTGGTATACGTATTGGTATGCTAGAACATCTCTTGAGAATTTTATGGCCGATAAGGTGGCTGTCATTCCAGCATTTGCAATTATTCGTGCAATAGCAGGTATTACAGTTTCTTTAGCTCAGAATGTATTTAATTTATTGTCTTAATGAATAATTTCCTATTCAAACAATATTTCAATGTAGTAGAATTAGATCACAATTGGTTATTACGTTCGCCGATCTCTGACGTAGAAGGATTTACTATGGGAGGTTACAATGACCTATTAGATGTTAGTGTCTCTAAACATTAATATATTAGCTGGATTACTCAGACAGTTTGTAGCATTAAACAGATTATTTATCATTATAATCTTACAATGATATTTATTCCTTATATTGAGATGAGCTTTGTTAAACATTTATAATTTCAATCTTAGATTGTCAAATCTAGGTTACCTAATACTGATTGTAATCACGAGATCGAGGCTATACCTCTTTGGGAATACCCTTGCAGGGCACTAACTGATAAATTTGACCTCTTGCGCTTCGATTTTTCTAAGCCTCTGCCTATGAATACTGTAGTAAACAGTGGTAAACTTCAATTTAAACGGTATTTAGTAAGACTAAGATAATCAATTTGTCTAAATTATCCTCTTTTCTTATCAAATCGATTTCTTAAAGTCTAGATACTTAACCTAATAAGTTAGGAGCTTTCAGTACTTCTTTCTGTATTATACTCACTACTGTGCAGTATTTGAATTGATATATCAGCTTAAAGTGCCGCAATACTCGTAGATGTCATTAATTCTATTACCTTATACTAAGTTTCTTTATGAAACTTAGGTCTGGAATTTGTCATGCAATTGTCATATGGCTAGACTACTTCCTTGATGAAGAAGAGGTTGTTTCTACAGGATTAAATCAGGTAAACTGCAGAGCTAAATTTTTCAAATAATGCTAGCACTGTAGCTCGACTATTATTACTAATAACTATCTTTGTTATAAAAGCATTTATCGTTATCTAACTTAAGACTAGTTACGAGATACTGTGTAAACTGTTGCTTTGCATATTTAGGTGTCTGATGACGATCACGGTACCATTGAATGGTGTAAAGATTATAAGCAGGGCATTATTATCCTTTCGCAACCTGAAAATATTCAGAATTCTGCAGATGATAGGGATATTTATTTTAATGCTATTTTTAATCCAGATGAAGCTAATGTTCATTTCAAATTTAAGCTAAAACATGCAGAAATAATAACCAACTGGGAAAATTAGCTTGATTTGTTTACAACTTCATTTATCGGAAATCTTACTAAATGCATTGTATGTTGATGCACTGTATATATACGTATGAATCTTCATTTAAATTTCGTTACATCATTTCCCATACGAGTATATAAAAATTAAATCATTCATAACTATTTCTCAAATATCACCTGCAGATGTCGCGGCTACCTATTATGATTTCCTTGCAGTAATTTTAGGTATATTTTCATATAAGAACATATTTAGTTTTTGAAAGCTAATGAATAGAATCATACTGCATTGATAAATTAGGCAGCATGAACACTGGGTGTTTGTAAATAATACACAAGAACACGTGCATCAAGACTCAAAGCGATCCTAAATCCACTTATTACGTCTAAAGGAAATAAATTATCAAACGCGGAACAGCAATGTCATGCGATTGTATCGATCGATGTGATGCCGGCGGTGTTACACATTAATATTTAGTCGATGAAGTGCTGAATCGTATAAAATCGACATCAGATTCCAAGCCAGTAACAGCGATATATGCGTTATTCGTAATATAATCATATAATTTAGTACTGTACGCTAAAAACATCTTATAATTACAGAAAAGGGTTTGGTTATTATAATTGTATTACATCGCCACAGACCATATACAGTACAGAAAAAAGGGAGCTAGAGCCGTTTCATCATTAAATTGTTTACAGTTTCCTAAAATACATCTAGCAAATCAGATTCACCTATACGACGTATTACTCTGTCGAGCTTTAACCCACTCGTCGAATATTGTTCTGCAGCAAAGAACGGAAAAATGAAATTATTACTGTTACGGTGTTATCATTAATTTTCATGTGGTCGATAAGCTATTTATTACCTATTATATCACGCTAACCATGTGAACATTACTGTAAAAGTTATACCTGCAATGAGTTATAACACAACGGCTACAACAAAACGGACCTCCACGCAGTTGTATACCGCTTGCAATATTGTTACATCCTGCTCGAATACATCTTAAACTGCCATCATCACCAATTTCATTTTTCTGCTTCTAAGATAGAATGAAAGTTATTAACTAAATTATACAAGGTAAACAGGATTACGAATTATCAGGTAGTGATATTTTAGATTCTTAATGCATGATGATAAAGCTACGACAGTCAGTGTTACCTCAGGGGATGGATTTGACTCTTTTGGTGTAACAGACCCTTCGTCGTTAGTTTCTGTCATTAAATTCGTCTGCAATAATAATATAAAAGCTGAATTGAAATATTGTCATACCTGCGTAATGTAAGTAATGCAAATTCTTTACTGTAGTTGATCTCAAAGCTCAAAAATAACGATTAATAATAATTAATTTGCAGAGCAAAAAGTACATTGTGATTATATTCGATTTAATTAAGTAAATATACAGTACTGTACTTTGGTTCAATGAAAACGATGATCAAAGCCACTTGAAAAACAAAACTATATAAGCAGAATTCGTTATGTACATTGATTTTTTTGAATTATACAGTAGAAAATATTATTAGAATACTAATGCAGCAGTTGATGACATTTAATCTAGTACTTGTCTTTTGCTACCTTTACAATGTAGTAATAATATACAAGTAATTATATTAAACTTTGAAAATAGCGGTTATCAAAATAACTGAACAACAGAATTGTTACCGCAGTCTCTAGCAGATTAGGAACCTGCATGGATTCATTCGATCTTTGTTCACTTGATGGACGAATATATTCCTATCCATTATATTGCAAATATCATACAAAATTCAGATTGATTCCAAACTTTTAGTTTTAAAAGCTACTGAACTATAGAGTCACTTATGATTAACAAAGATTCTCCAAACAGTGAATCTACCTGTTTTTCTTCTTCAGTTAATGAAGCCCACTGTCGTTTAATTATCTCCGATAATTCATCGAAGAGAATCTAGTAATAATAAGCAAGATTAATATTTAAGTACTTAAGATCAAAATTTTATTCTATAATCAATCAATCTATCAATAAGTGGAATATTTGCACACGCTGTTTATTATTTTATTGTATTTTATTATAATATTTAAAACTATTCCTAAGATTACCGAAGGTCGTTTGTCTCTGATTTTTCGCTGCATTTCCGCAAAGAATACTAGATAGGGATTGAGCGGTATCTCACTGACAACGAAGAAAATTTAACGTAAATAAAATACTCAAGGTATTTTATTAATTAATACGTGTACGTAATCTCATTGCTGTCTATAGAACAAGAAATATTCAAATTACAGGAAGGAAAGACCTACTTGTTTTCATCATTTGAAGATTTCATCTTTTTCGATGGTGGATCGGCTCTTTGTTGCGGTTCTGCTGCCGATAATTTCGACAAATTTGTATTATTTTCAAGATTGAAACTATCAGTGGTCATGGTGTTGGAATTAAGGCTCATTAATGTGTCTGTTTCATAAATTATTGAACGCTTATTCCCTGCTGTCATTAAACTTGATTGATCAGTTGAGGTATCCATAATCTAAACAATTTTAAATAATAATTGAAATAAAGCTTAGATGTTGCTTGGTTATCATTGATAACGAACTAATGGAGTCGAGAATCGATAGTAAACAAGAATAATGGTTGCTACTTATTTTTATTTCCACGTTGTAGATACCATCTCACTAAATTATATCGCTTAATATTCAATGCAATACTGATGGTTAAGTCTAGTTCTTTTGGAATTATAATGCTGCATCAACTAGCATTGCATTTCCAATCAATTACAATTTATTTAATCAATATGCTTATTCAAGTTATGCATATAACGGATGTATGATAGTAGAATTTTATGATTCAGATTTTCCTCATTAAATTTAAGGGAGTTTTGATTATACACTGTGCAATGCATTCCTCGTTCTTTTGATTTCGATAGTATATCGTAGTATTGCAAATTTTATCAGCTAAGTTCAACTAAGCAACATTTCCATAATGTAGGAAACGAAATAAACGATATATGGTATCTTGATGCAGTACACCTTCATTTGCATTTATATAGGATATTTAAGCAAAGCGATGGCATTCTCTTACCTCTGGCATATCAGCCAAGTTAAGTGATGTTGAAGCTAAAACAGGAGTATTATTAATATCATTGGTATCCATACTCTCAAGCAAGGTATCACTAGTCGTACCGACTAGATTTCCGTCAGTCAAGTTCCAGGAAAGATCCATGCTTGTACCACTTCTATTTTACAATATACAGGTATGTAGGTAATTGTAAATATTTTCATTAAAAATACCGCAATTACAAAGTCTATTTAATCTACTGTGAATATGCACAAATTATTCTATTATAGCTATGGGCTCTTAGAGGAAGTATACGGAGTTAATTTATCTAAATACAAAATAATTATTATTATCCTTGTCCAGACTAATAATTCCATCATCGTATTGCTAGCCATGAACAGAATCAGTTCTAGTTGCAAATTATGGTCTGTGTATGAAAGTTTACGTGTAAATATTAACTCATTGGTTAAATTTGGCCTGAGATAAAATATTTTAATTATCCAATTTAAGCTATGCTTATACTAGCTATGATTTGCCAATTTTAATACACAAAGTAACGAAGATAAGATAGTGCACAGCTACAGTATATCACGAATCAGTGTTTAATCAATGCATTGACCATAGCTCACGGCAAGTTAGATCTTAAATATAATATACTCTATTTTAATTGTCGATTAATCTATATGTAAAATGCTAATTCTTATCCTTGTCTAGTTTATTCCATACGTTGTTATATTGCTAATTGTAAACAAGATCGATTCTAGTCGTAAATGATGATCGAGATATGATATTAGCGTATCATTAATGGATTGATTCATTAAGGTGATCCTGGATAAATCGTAAAATTCAAGCTATACTAACTATCTATGATTTCCTTCTATTAATACAGGCGGATAAGATCATGCACAGCTAGACAACGAATTGATACTTAATACACGCGTATATAGTTAATTAATTCAATCATTACAGTGATCACTAGATCAAATGTTCGTTTGTCTAATTTAGGCTGTGCTTCTACAATCTACACTCTAGGATTTACTAATACTGTGCTAATACACGAGGATACGATAGTATAGAATTATAGCATGGATCAATGTTTTAATCGATTTGTTGATCATAACTACAGGCAAATCAGGTCTTCAAAACGTGCTATGATTGTTGTTCTCTCCTAGAATGCCAATCATGATTGAAGTTATGCGTTGATTAGCTGGCACTACACTGAAGACTATCGTAACACTAGATAGACTGGCTCATATCGATACGATGACTCTATCTCGATCAGATACTATCCAAGAATGAAAAGATAACCAAGAATATTAGCAATACAAGTCAATTTATGCTCGTCTTCATCATACGAACAAATACTTTCTTGGATCTATTCTATCAATTCATTGACTATTCTCCAGGATCCAAATCTGCGCAGCCGACAACGCATAGATAGTAGACGATCATATCCATTCTATGATAGTTAAAATACATCAACATACCGTGTCTTCCTATGCGTATACCAATTAACTTTTTGGCAGCTATAGAGCAAGAGAAAAGAAGCTCTTTACTGACTCCATCGTAGTAATAAATCGACTATCAAGGAAAAAATGGCTGGCTAGCTGCCAGGACGAAGGCAGTTGAATGTTAAGTTGAGGACGAGGAGAGTTTGAAGTAATAAAACTGTTGAAACAGTAGTGGCGCAATATAGAATTAATAGAAAGAGTGTGAATCCATAATACAGTACACTATAGGAATGAGACTGAGGTACGCTTACAGTCCATACTGTCTGTACTGTACACTGTACACTGTACACCCGAGGCCTTCTGGTCTGAATCATGGTCAGACGACTCGTACTAAGATTCAGTAAGCCCGCAAGACATCTGATTGGGTACCTAGAGGGTCCTTCTCTACTGTCAGCACTATTGCTAGCCAGCGTTTGGGTATTTGCTAGGCTACCGTATGGCAATTTTGCCTTCCAAGTTGTAGATTTGAAATTGCAAGAATCAAAATGGCTTATTTAGATTCATGGCCTCTAAACTAAAGCCTCTACAATCCTCTAAAATCATCTCAGTAATACCAAATCAGAACTACATCATCCCTGATATTACTATAAAAGTTAAAATTACTTTCGATCGTTGGTAATGATATTGTAATTTACTGTACACTAATTTGAATCGGTGCTTCAATGAAAAGAAGTATACGTAGATCGATTCAATAAAATGAAAATGAAATCAGGACTGCATTATTCGTCATATTACAAGCACCAAATAATCATCTATTCTTCCGATTGATATCATGCTCAATTTAGTTCCTTAATTGAATAAAAAATAATAGATCAGGACTTAGCAATAAGTTGCTAAGAGATACTGACCACTCGCCTAATGTATACAGCTATGCGGATTTCTTTCAACACACTAATATCGAGTTGCGCTCAGTATGCAAGCAGTAACAGTAATGCTAAAAGATGAAACCAACATGCAAAAAAAATATCTGAGACATGGCTTTTATTTATACAATAAGATAATAATTTTATCTTGAAAGCAGTTAAATAAATATAAACAGTAAAATCATCAATATATTAATAAAATAATAAGCTATGCGTATTTCAGCTATTTCAATAATTGATTAAAATCAGTAGTCGTACTAGTTTATATCGCGAAAGTATTTTCAAATAATAAAAATTTTCGTATTCAGTTTATTCAAGCTAAACTTGCCAGGCAGCGGTTTACAACTCATCACGAACCTTTGATAATTAAACAATTCGATTCATTAAATTAAAAAAAAAGCAAAGTATATGTGCGAATCGAATGGATATTACAAATATGATTTACACAAAAAGTCAACTTTAACTATCATGATTAAAGCTAAAGATTAAATGACAAATATACAGCACCTTGTCTCTTCTCTCGCAGTTGCAATCGCTTCTTGACTTATCTTCTTCTTCAACTCGCTCCATGCCTTTTCTTCTTCGAGGTTTTGAAGTTAAACGTTTAGAGTATTCCTTAATTTAAATGGCAAAAATTTTTAGTGCTTTATTAGAATTATTATTCAATCTCGAAAAATATTAGTAAGAGAAACGTAATGGACATAAGATTACACAAAAGTAGTGATGATAATCAACCACCTCAATTTAGCTTACATTAAATAACTGCCAATGGTAACAAAAAATTGGATCTGGAAGTAAATTGTCTAAAACAAATTGTTGGGCATTTTGGGCAATTGTTTTTGCCTAAAATGTAAGGTAGACAGTATGATTAGCAAGAATTTATCAAATCGTTAAATGGATATTTGGAGCCAAAAAAATACGCAATAAAAACTAACTATAGCAAAAATAGTAAACCTGTTTATCATTGTTTTTTGCCCATTTAATTTTTTCAATTAAATCACTTAAATCTCTCTTTATAGGGACGTAATGTGTCCAAGCCTTTAGATCCTTGTAGAAATGTTCATAATATTCTGAATCCTGCTTTAATACTAGGGAGTCACCGGCAAGAATATATGGTACTCTGTAAGCAGCAACTGTACCATCGAGTGTTATCTGGTACTTATACTAATAGAAAGACGGCAAAGAGTAAATTAATTAGTAATGAATTTAAAATTGCATTAGCATTAAGCAATGATAAAAATTTGCTACATTGTTAAGTAGATATTCTTAAAGTAGGATTAACCAATTTATTTATTTCATAAAATTAGGATAATTTGTAAAGTATGGTCTTACCTTAAAAAAATCGAACAACGAGATATGCTTTTGTATAGGCCCATATAATGCTTCATCATGCTTAAAGAAAAAGAAATTGGTTAAAGCCGTATCCATTAAGTCAGTGTTGTTTCTTCCCATTATAACTAAATTCAGTCTCTCTTGTCGACTATCACGGCCTCGCCAAAATCCTTTTTCAATTTTATCCTTCCATTTTGGACCAGTACTTCCTTGAACGGCAAGTACATCGACAGAAACTCTAGAGATAAAATATTCCGATAAAATGTAAATTACTCCCTATAAATTCTAAAATTAGTCTAAGTAATCCAAAGCTAACGTTTAAATTTGATATCTATTTTTCTGTTTTAACGAATAAATCATTGGACTGCCTCTTTATTAAGACTGAATAATTTTACCTGCCCATCATCTCTAACGTTGATTGTGTTAAATCATATGTTGGCATCACAATGTCGCTAGTGGTTTCTGATCCACACCATGAGAAGATAGGAATTAAATTATTTTGCTGATTTTCTAGCGGCCAATCTCCTAGATTTGAGATGAACTCTAGGTCTGGAAGTTTTACCTATTAAAATTGTACAAATATTGTAATGCAAGCTATTAGGGGATTTCAATCATACAAAAGTAATAATAATTTCTGTTGCAGTAAAAAATGAAAGCATTTCCGTATCTAATAATATTTAATCTACAGTGACACTGGATATTCCAATCATTCTAATTCTTATCGACCTTATTTTTCAGATAGATATACTCGTATATTATAGTCGTGTATATTGAGCATGACTACCAATGGTTTTGCAGCGCTCATTTTAAATTAAACAGTGCTCTAAAATTAATATAGGTCATATTGTACGATTCTACTAATAATCCTTAGTTAATTAACTGACATGGTGATCATTATAGGGTTGTGATTTAAAAGAAAAGACGTAGCCTATAATGCGATATGCCCTTAAAAAATTGAAAGTGCCTTACCTTTCTCGCTAAGGATAGCAAAATAGCATCCATAAACATTTTAAATCCTACATGCTCTCCATAGCAGTTTCTGTAGACCTATTCATTTAGTTCACAAATACAGTATAATATACTTCAGTCAATTAAGATAATATGATATGATCATCATATCGCTAAACTATTTTTTAGGGTAAAAGCAACTCTACACTTGATCCAAAATTTTAGCTAAATAGCCGTACTTGGATTGTATGTTTATGGTTACATTTGGATGACAATAAAATAGGAAATTTTCTTTGTGACTCTACGCGTACGCGTGCATGTAACTGCATTTATAAACTATAGTATCTTCTAAATTAAATTAATCAAAGTAGTCGACCAAATGCAACCTATATTCGATGTACAGTACATAAATATATATTATAGTAATCACTGAAACAACAATAATTCATTGTATATAGTTTATTGGTCGATTAACACAATAATAACCAGCTCGTTAATTTACTATTAGATCGATCAGAACGATGGAGAAATTCAATGTTATAGTATTCTAACCTTATTTGATATAACGGAGTAATGGCAGATTGCATGGTGTTTTCCAAAGCGATCGAGCCCCTCTTGCCTTAAACTTTTCAGGTTTACTTTTTGAAATTTTGCTAGATCTCGCTCAATTTGAGATTGATTTAAATTACAATTCATTGCTTGTAGCCATTTCTGAGTATCTTGCATCGGACAATGGCATTCTTCATGATATACACCTCCTATACCAAGTTAAGATGGACAGTGTACAGTGTAATGTTTATAGTAAGAACAAAGGTTCGATATGATTAGTATCAGATATGTTTTAGTTTATACTGATCAAATTCAATGATAATTTGATGAGCAAAAAATATTTTAATGAAAGAAAAACATATTAATAGTATCACTCGAGAGAACAGAGCGAGGTACATACGGATAATAACCTTTTAACCAATACGGAGAGTTGGCCACATGTTTCCCTTTATAAAGGATTTGGATTTGAATATCACGATAGCTCTGGAACATACGATATCTTACTAGTACTCTGCCTCTGCTATATTTATATTTTTGTACCCAAATTCTTCCTCGTTCATTCGGAGGGCCAATAGAGATATCAAAGCTATCTTCGCTTATATCATAGCTAATACTATAATCATATTGATAGTAACGATAGGAAAGAGTATGTTACTAAGAAGCTATTTCTACCACAATATTTTCACACGTAATTAAGTTATTGTGCATTTACGAAGATATTTCGTAAGCACTTATAAATAATTCATTCAAAGTACAATATACTCTCAATTACTATGGTTATTTATTAATAATTTAGTATTTCTATATATGTAGTCTCGACTTTATTGTATTTTCAAGGGTAATAGCATCTTCACGTTGTTCATGCTATTTCATGATGGTTCAATCTAACTGCATTATTTTAACGCTAGTATACTGTATATTTCGATACAGTCTTATGTATGTTTAATGGCAAAGAAGTTTGTAGAGCGTTTATGATATAAATTTTTAGATTAATTCACTTCAAGGACATACGAGTATTGTTGTGATTTAGTTCATAGTAGCAATGATGCTTGATACTCAACAAGATGGAAAGTAAATCGAGCTATGATGACTGTACTGTTCTGTACAATGTACATCTAGTGTGGGCGTTGAATACTTTAACCTCAATTAGAATTGTACGATTTGATGAACGTGAGAATAAAATACGTTGACTGCATAATTTCCTTATTTGATTCGGTTTAGCGATCTAAAGGTATTGCTATCAATCTTACTTCCTTCCTGGTTTATCTCGAGCTTGTATCAAAAAATAACGGGCAGGTAATGCGGCATCCGCGATTAATCCAGGTCCATAAACGATGGATTTCTTAACATCGATATTAGCAACAACATTACTCGGATAGTTGGAAATGAATGTAATAATAAAGAGTAGAAAGATATAACAGTGATTTGCCACAATTAGCTTTAAATTAGCCATTTCAATTCAGTGGAACTGTGTAGAAAGAGGGCTACAGAAAAAATGGAGATGAATTGGGGTTGGCACCAGCTGAGTCAATGAGTGTCTGCTTTCGATTGTCCTACTGTGGTAGATAAGTCAATCTTATCTAGTCCGTATCTAGTAGAAGTTGTCTATTATCAGTGCCATTCAATGCTATCAGTATTCGTCGGTAATATGAAGAGTATGAGCACAATAGACTCTCGCTATACTCCTACATCTGTTGGAATGTCATTGACTGATTAATAAACTCGGTTGAACTCATTAACCTTGACAAGGAATTAACATTACCATTTTAACAATTTCCCCTAACCAGTATTCTTTCACTATACAGTATATTATGGTGGCCCATGGACACTGCGTCTCTTCACTTAATCCATACTAGTGATTGAAGTGTAACAGATGTACAGCTGTACGTACACACTCATACAGAACACTACAGGAAATGCACTGCATACGTCTGCTGCCTACTGGTGCTATAGACTTGTAGAAATATACTGCGGGTATATTTCTACAGTGGCATAGGCATCGACTAGTAGAAATACCATTTCTAGAAGCAATCTTCGATCGATAGAGGCAAAATAATATTGGAAATAGAGAAAATTCCTTTTGACTTTGCACTCTACATTGTACAAATGTACAGTCTCTATAGGGGTAAGAAAATCTCAATGATACAATACATACTGGTACTGCGGCTGACCCATAGTTTACGATGACTGACTGTATCCACGATTTTAGTGGCTGCACCGTACTGTACTGTGCTCGCAACAGCCCATAGCAATACCTTTAAACGATACGCGACACTCAATAGTAGCCATACAATGATTACTATAGCACTGTACTTACACCATGACGTGTGGTGTGGTGAAGTCCGCAGGTCAGTTCACCGCAAACGTCCTACCACAGCTCATCCCAACAAACTTGTGCTACCTCATTCTATTTTAGGCGCGCGTTTCTCTCTGCCAATTTCATTGCATTTTAGAATAAGGAAGAAGAAGAGAGAGAGAAAAAAAAGCCAAAATGGATCACCGTGAATTAGACAAACCAGAACTAACGACCTATTGGGACTATTTTACCGATCTGAAAAAATTCGACACGCATCTACTGGATCCTGCTCAAAGTATGTACGGATAGAAATGGCATTCTTTGAAAAAGGAAGCGATTCCAATGAGTGTGTTAGCAACATGACCATTCAATGTCAGACGTTGTATTCGTAACGAAATAGGAAAGTCTATTTTTTGCATGGATACTTTACAAACAAATATTAAATTGAATTAGTACAGGATAATTTGATCATAGAAATTGTCCTCTCTTTCAAGTTTATCAATAATGTGAATATACATGAGTATAATTTAAATGGAGTAAATCAACACTGCAATAAGTACAAGGTTGAGAAAAGGTAACAGGACACAGTACTGTATTATTAAGTGACTGGTAGTGTTGCGTGTGAATGGATAGAAACGTACGTACAACATTTCACTCAAGTAGTCTATTGTATGATCAATAAGAAATGGTAGTCGAGTTAGCCTATGCGAGTATTCAAATTTTTTCTATGGCTATATTTTATTGAATGGAGATAATATTATTTCAATCTCTTTACAGCTGGGAAGACATTACAAATGATCGTACGACAGCTAGAAAGTAGAGAAAATCCGTCCTTCGTTTATTTTGCTCTTCAAGCCGACAACAATTCCACATTGGTATGAAATTGCTATTTACGAAATCGGTATCTACAGTCCAGAATCATATATGTATTCCATCCAAACAAATCCACTATCATAATCATTGCTAGTCCAGCGATATTGTTGCTACAAGGCCGATCAATAATAAATTTTGCTAAAACGCTCAAAGTGCAAGCATCTTATCACTGTTATGAACGTAAAATTGGCTCATTTGTTACTATTTCTAAAAGTGCAATAGACACAATCCATCTGTGTATATCTACCAATTACAAATTTCTTTACTGTACAAAGCATATCAATTACAAATATCTACACCGTACAGTAAGAGTTCATCCACTTCCATCACAAATTGATCGATAGGGGTGGACGACGAACTTTCAGCACACGTTTGTACAGCACAGTACAGTATAGCTTAGTATAGAGCTCAATGACCATCTCATGCTGTACTAAAAGCGATAATCTCATTCCAATATGTATACTTGCCTATTTACACATTCTAGGCTAATAATGACGATCAGATAGAGAGTGTCATGGATACCAAGGATAAGAAGCAACAAAAATATGGATATAAATTATATATTACTCGTTATTATATCATGTATTCAATAGTCGTATTGAATTGGGATTTAACCAGGCTTAACGATTGGTAAAGTATACTTTACTAACAGCATCCGATATAAAATTAAAATATATCATTCTTGAAGAGTGAATAGATCCATTCTTCGAAATAATGTCTAAAATTGAATCTTATTTTTAGCCTACAATTGTCATCGCAATATTTACTCATGAGTGAATTGATAAAGAAAGCAATACGTCCCTGTGTAAGAATTACAGCTTTCTATTCTTTTCATTAAAATATTATATTTTACTAAAGCTTGACAGTAGATGAAATAACTGGGTTATAGTGTTATCATACTGCGCCCTGATTTCATTTTTAATCTTATTCATTATAGGAGAATTGGACTAATATTAAAGTTGCTGATTTAAATGATGAGTCCTACTTAATCCTTTGCTTTTATCATATGTGGTAACTTTTAACCTTACCATAGCTGCACTTTAAATTACAATTAATTTCCCGCTAGCCTGTAGCTATTAAATACTTGATAATGAACCTCTTCATTTCTTCTAATTAGGAATATTAGAAAAACAATTAAAAATTCGATACTATATGATCCTGTACAACCAGCAATTCAAATCTTGTATGCACCAATTAAAGTGAAAAATTGTAGACTAAAATATGTATTTCTTTACCAGCTAATTAATCAATTACTCTTTAAGATCTCAGTCCGGTGAACAGCAGTCTTTACTGCAGATAAGTAATCCTCAAGTTTATGAAGTGGTAATAAACAATAATTTCTTAAAAATATAATAATAATAACCATCGAAGCTTACAATGTAATTTTAAGATAACTTTTCATGAATTACTTGCAAGGTATCGAAATCCGCCGATGTATCTATAGAATTTCTTCAGCAAGCCTTATTATCTCCTAGAAATCTTCCATATTCAGTTATCCATCACCTATTCGACAGCAGCGATTTGCTATCTAATCCTGATTTCGCTATTTATAATACTTTAAACAAAACTATAATGACTAATCAAATGATATGCCAGGTTATATTATAGCATCAACTTTACAATAAGTTTTACGGTATTTACTGTATCATACGCGTAGATAATGCTTTCTATTATTTATACGTGACCTCTTTATATACTAGATAAGTTACGAATTAGGAACAATCTATTTCTTCCGCCAACAATATCAGGAAGCTCTAAGTCTATTTCAAAAAGTAAAGAAATTAGGCGAAGAGGTACTCATTTTAAGCTATACCCTATTTTAAGACGCTATTATAGAATAATGACAATAATATTAATAATGGCTGTTGTATGAGGCTTTTCAAAATTATTATTTCTCCTATTATAGGATATCAACAGAATCATAACATTTGGCTTTATAGACGACAAGTCTTTAAATGGATATTTAGCGGCTTCTATGGCTATCTTATCCAATTCCACGATTAATAAAGAGACTGAAGTGAATATGGAGGTAACAAAGTTATAAAGTATCATTTTAATTTTCTTAAAATAAGAATTTTGAAAAATTGATTAAATTTTTCAATGTAGGATGTTAGCTGTAATAACGATAAGGACCTAGCAAATACTCCTGACATTACTCTAGTAGATGCGTTATCTATAGCTTCGAAGAAACATATCACTGGTAATTACAATGAAATGCGTAAAGAAATGTTTTTGTTAAATAAGCATTTAAATGACAATATTTCTTTAATTTCATATGGACAGGTTTACGTGATTATCAAAATTTAGATGAGGGACAGTTAAAATATGAGCTATTAACATCATTTAAGCCTGATCATATCTGTTGTGTTGTAAAGAGACTTCGAGAATTAAATCCGCATATTCAATACTCAAGTGTGTGTACAAAGGTTAGATTTATGATGTTTTTGCGATAAGGTTATTCTTTGCTAACCGTACTGCAATGATATACACTAGCTCCTGCCAGCCAATTTCAACTTGGATATCCTGCGTGAAATTGTGCAAGATGCAAATATTCGCGATCTTGTTTATATATTACTTTCGAAAGCGGCACATTGCTTGCAATTAAAGGTAACATTGTTAGCTAACGATATCATCACTATAATTAAAACTAATTGACTACTGTATATATATTTATTGCTCGTAACGAAAGAATTTTGATCAAGCAAAGCTTCTTGGCAGTTGTTGCAAGGATCAAGTTCTTAATACAATATTCGATAAAAGATCGCAAGTTCAGCTTTTAAGAATAGTTGATCAACATGTACTGGCAGTTGAGGTCCTTGGTTTTGAAGTTGAAGAAGATATTAATAATAAGAGGTATTATTCTTGTTAATAAGTTATTTCAGTTACTTTTACCTAACAGCATTTATAAATAAATTTACGCAGAAGTCTGCTTTATGATTTGCGAGATCAAGTTATTTCTATCATGAGTCCGGTACCACAATGTCCAAGTAAGATTTCGTTTCTGAAGATAAAAATAATAATTAATGACAATTACATTTTTTACTTAGGATTTAAGCCTTATTTTACTGACGGACTGATTGTCAAGATGAACTTAAAATTTCATTCTTAATTACAGATGTTTTACCAAATGCTTTCGTAGTCGAAAGTTGTTCTGCATTCTTATTGAACTGCAAACTATGGGATGCTTTTAAAAAGTGGTCGTTATATAGCGTAGATTGTCGACAAAACAGAATATTAGAGGTAATAAATCAATATATTAATATATAGTGACTAAAAATGGATTAAGTTTATTACATCTTTACTTTTAAATAGCTCTCAGGAAAATTAGCAAGGGTGTGTTTAAGCGTTAATGAATCGAGTATGAGTGATGTAAATCAAACCATGCAACTGTTGAATACAGGTAATATTAGCATTTTATTATCAATCAGTTAAATAATGTTGCAAATTCTTAGTTGAAAATATCATAAATAATTACCTTTTTGCATCAGTACTAGGCATATTCGAAGTCACCGTTTATCGTAACGATAAAGCTATTAGTGTTCGTTACTCTGGATGTCATATGGAACGGTACATACCATAATAAGAAATTTTTAATACTGTTATCGATTATTGAGATCATGTATTTGATATTTGCTAACTGAATGTTCAATTTGTTAATAGCTCGGAATTTATCGGTTTCTGCACAAAGATTAGAGTAATGCTATGTCAATATTATAGTTTATTTGCTTTAATTATTTCCCTGCAAGTAATTTGCTTTTTATTCTGTTCGTATCTGATAATGTAGGATCCAATAGTCCTAAGTATACTACTGTCATGTCTTGTCAAGTTACTAAATAATCTGAAGGTAATTTGCCATTTTATGAAAACGATGATTTGAATATTTCATAATAACTATTGGTTCAGATAGTGACAAACATTTTTTCTTTCTCAGCAAAGTCCTAAGGACGTTAGTGAGAAAGAACAAACCTACTGTCGATTTCTGCCAGTATGGGAAGGCTGTATTAACAAGAATCTGTAAGCATAATGTTATATCGCTAATCTATTTGTTCGTCTAATAAATTTCTGGGAATCTTTATGTAGAGTCTATGTAGGGAGTCAGGATACACTGTTATTAACAACAATGGAATTATTACGTCATGCACTATCCATTTATCCGATGGATACTTCTTGGTTGCGTACTCAAGGAGACTTCAATTATAGTAAGTTAATTTACTAAGTAGCGAATTCCTTTTTGGAATATTTCACCTATCCACTTTTAATTACAAAAAGTTTCATTACATTTCTTACAGTTATTAGAAAATATCCTACATCTCTCAGGAATTATATCGAAGCTGGAGCCATTTCATCGTCATATTTTTTAAACGAAGTTCCTACCGATATTTGGGATGATTTAGTAAATACTGGAGATACAGAGATAAATTTCTTGTAGATGTATTCTATCTGTAGCTTTTCATAATGAATTTAAAAATCTTTCTTTCAGGTTTATCGCAGAATGATATCATGTTGTTCAGCTTTATTTTGCCACACGCAGGTTTATGTCTTATGCAGTAACTTAACTTTTATGTTCATCTCTATTAAATAATTTATGTTTTAAAATAGCAGGATATACTAAGTAAATTTCGTTTATCTTACAGGCAGCTGTCTTATGCCAATTTCTTACTCCTGTCGATTTTAATATGGCTATACGTGCTGTACAACAACACAATAGGTATAGATAATGCTAGTTTACAATCTATCAATAGCTACTTGAAGGCTGTCTTTTTTAACCATTTTCTTTTCATACGTATGCACAAATTTAATTCCAGTGAGGATGCAATGGAGACCTATTATCATTGTATATGGGAGACAACAATCTTAGAGGCTATAATTCGTATGTTATCAAGTATTTTTCGAAAGTTTATTACTGTTATTAGATTGTATTAATTACAGAAATTTTGTTTAAAAAATACAGATCTACACTCAATGAGAGGAGAGTACGACAAACAACAAATTGCGGTTAGTAACAAAAGTATTTATTTTTATAGCCAATGTGCGTAGTATAAACTGAGTTAAAATCATTCAATTCTTATATTTTACGTTTTTTAAATTTTTAGATGTCTTGCTTGAATCAGCCGGAGCTTAATTCATATAATTCCACAGACATACTACTACATGCAATGAGAAGTAGAAAGCGTCGGTTTCTAGTTGCATTGGCTCATCAGTATCTTCATGTGATTTTATTAGAAATATACGACTTGTATATTATATTATTATTATTAAAAACTGTATATATATATATATATATATAACTTAATGTAAATGAAAATGATATCTGTGTACAGTACCGCGATATTAATTTTTTCTGCTTAAGATATTCTTACCAGAATTGCATTTTTTTTTAAACTTGACTGCGAAAGTTATAAAAATTTATCTAGTTACATGCCGCCTCCTTCACCACCTCATAGTATTGTTTCCCTGTTTTCTTTGTAAAATACTGATTACTACATTATATTCAGGTGCTGATAAGTTCTATACACCAAATAAAAGTAGAAGAAGCTACAGTTTTACAATTTAATGTAAGACTCTCGGAATTTAATTACCACCAGGTCGATCTACCAGGCTATAATGATACATTCTCGGTAAAATACTAATTACTACATTACATTCATGAAAATAAAAGAAGCTACGATTTTACAATTTCATGCAAAAACTCCCGGAAATTAATCACTATAGCTACGTCGATTTATCAAAGTTACTATGATATAATAAAAGGTATTATTAATTATAGCGCAATCAGTTGACTTTATTAATGAAAGAATCTGATCATAGACATTTTAACCAGAAACAATTTTGAGAGAATTTGTCAATTGCTATTACAATTGTTACATAAACAGATGCAAAGTATGGTTTTACACGTTGTTGGCTTTAAAGCATTATAATATTATTATTTAGACTAGTTACTATAATGTACGGTACTTAATCAAATTACATGTGCAACTTTCAGAAATGCTGTATGCATTGAAGATAAATGAATATATTAATCTATACTAAGTTACATTACTAGACGCTGTCACTTAATTCATCAATTCGATCATCTATCTTTTCTTTACCAGATGAAAATATCGTACTTTAATAATGTAGAATCTCTATAGATGTCAGTGCCTAATATATTAGCAATAAGAGTTTAAGTTTCTAAATTAACAATGAATTGCAACATGTACCTTGTAGTATATTTGACAAACCAATCGTAAGTAATAACGATATACTAGTAAGTTATTAATAATATTATCTTAACAAAAACTCATTATAAGAATAAAAGGTTGATTAAGACAGCTATTACAAAATTTAAATTTAATTTAATATAAATTTGATTACAGGCATGATATCTCCAATTATTTTTGGCACTTGTATACATAGATAATTTTGCTTTGTTTTTGTCGCAAAAAAGTAATCATATTCAACAATCATTGGAATTTCTCCTTAGGAATATTACTAATCTTGAAACGTGTTGAATACTAGCTCTGATAGGGATGCTATATTACTTGTTAGCATATTTCTATTTTTTAATTCTACAGTTAATAATTTTTGATATTTTTCATTGTTATAACCAGCATTAAATGATAATCTTACTAAATCCTGCAGTAGCGGTAAATAGTATTTGCATTCTGTACTATTTCCTATCCATTGCAAGGTAGTGTCAGCAGTATTAATAGCGTAGACATAGCGTTGTAAAGCATTATAAACAATAATAACGGCACACATAGTACCAATAACTTCTGGATGATTATAACTTAGTACTGCTAGTTGTATATTAAGTCCAATTCGTAAGTGTTCCGCAGCACTAGAGTAATCTGAGTCTCGAATTGCTCGATATGCTTTACGTAGATCGCTGATATATAAAAACTCTTCAAATGCTTTAGTATATCGTACACTTGCATATGGCACTGAATCTCCCCTATCATAATTAGAGCTTTTCAGAATTAAATTTAAGTAATCTTGGAAGGCAGTACTTCGCTTAATAATAGTTGATTGGCTGAAGTTACCCATAGCAACTTTTCGAGGGAAATTGAATTTTTTGACAATTTGTGGATGGCTCGATGACAACGCTTTATGCAATGTTGCAAACTGTGAATATCGCCTCTCAATGATAGGTGGTATCTCATCTGTATCGTCAGTCCTAACCAGAGCTAGGGCATAGAGCTAAATGACAGAAAATTGTGAAGAACTATCAATGACAGTAAAGTCTACATAAATTTTTCTAGACGGCGTAACACGAAGGAAATTTTGACATACTGTATACGTGTACAGTACATGTCAGCTACAAAAAAACGTGACTGCTGTGTTTAGCGAGATTTTACTGTAAGTTAACCGAATTAAAATGAGGTCTTGCAAATTACAGAAATACTCTCTCCTATAGTATTTATCATAGCATCTATTTTCAAGATATTTTCAATTTACGTGATGTTCTGTGAAATATATAAATGATGATTTAATTCAATATTGCAAGTTAAAGCAACCGATCGAATTTGCCAGTTTTCATCGCTTTCTCTAGATTATAAATTAAGCCTTACTAACAATAACACATATATACTGTATTACATCGAGTCACTTGGATATTTCTTGGTACTGTATAATAATACGCCTAGAAGGTGTATCATTTTTAACGTAGCAGAGTGCTATACGTATATAGGAGATGATAATTATTTGCATGAAAGACGCGCTATAACTTGGAAAGTAGGATATTACGGTACAAGAATAACTTTGATTAAGGTTAATAAGACATCCAGGATACGCGTATAATCCTTACCACAAATTTCTTTTTGCCTTCAGTTACAGTTCGGGCAGCGACTGATTCAAATTTAAGATCTTGTAGACGATGTCTTCCTCCTTGATTATTATCACCAGTCATCAAAGGTATATCGCCTGATCTGAGGAGATTTTCACAATCCGCTATACTCCTTCTTGTTGTTAAAGCTCTTAATGCTATTTAAATAAAAATACACGTACATTAATTTCATTAGAGTGAGTTGGCAACAGCATTCTTCTCCCCCCCCCCAAAAAAAAAAATTAAGTGCTACAATCTCATTTTTTAGCTGAACGAGCCCCGGCACGGTAAAAGTACTTTATCCAGTCTTCGGAGCAATTTGCGTCTAAAAATGTACAGTAAGTACCCAATCGGTACGGGAGCGTAAAAATGTTCTATTGGACGGTTAGGGCGCTGTATACGAATATAACTAAAACTCAAATTGTAACATTGACAATTTAAATTGGCATCTCGGTCTACATCATTTGAACTAGATAAGCAACTAATTAGTTATTCTTAGTAATTGAAGGAGTCATTGTGATGATTACTCGCCGTGGTAAAATGATAATTAATTAACGCTTTACTATGTTCTAAAATTAGTAATAAATTAAATAAAGGCAAGCGCTCACAAGTTGGGAGATCCGCTCGTACAATATGACAGCAATTAATACGAAGTTGACGTAAAATGAACTCACTACTAATGACATTAGATTGATCAATAACGATTTGCTAGTATTGATGAAATATTAAAAATATTGAGATTACTCACTGTAGCTATTCGATCAAAGTTAGACAGATTTGACAGCTCTATATGTGTTAATAGCACTATATGTTATCTACCTTCAAAGATAGTTTAAATTATTATCACCGATAGATTAGAAAAGAAACATTGGTAGTTGATATGCGTACGATAATTACTGTATAATGGACGTAACTACTGAATGTAGATAATGACCAAAGTCGATCGATTGACTAATTGGTTGGAGTAATTAATTACGAGTTCCATAACTCGATCTTTAACTTCAGTAATATTGAATATTTTTTTACTATGGAGCTCTACTTCGATGGATTACTGTAAGTTCGATAGCGATTTCAAGAAGAGGAATAAACTCGTATTATTTGGTCATGTTGGTTCGCTACAGTAGAGTACAGGATTTCTTTAGTAGCTACAACATTAAAGCGGGTGTGTGCGCGCAATCTGGCCGTAAAGTTTATATTAATATCGATGGCAATGAAGTGATTGTACAGGAAGGAATATGGAAACTTACTATCTAAATTTCTTTCTAACTTCTGCCCTTCATCATCTTCATAGTAAGATACTCGTCCAGCTAGAGGAGAGGCTGCAAATTCATATCGGCAATTGTTTTCTACATCCACTTCATCTTCATCCACTTCGTGATCATCAAGTTCATTATTTTTTGAAGGCTGAATTTCAAATTTACTAACCCATTGATCGCAGCTCATGTTGATTGACTGGGCAATCGATTCCTTGTCTAATTACTTTCTTTCTAGAATTCAGAAGTTTTCTCTTTACCGTACTGTGTTAGACGTCGAAATGGTAGCAATACTACTGTATACTTTTTTCTTTCAAGTTCACTAGTAACACCTCTGCCTTTTATCAGTTCATTAATGTTTGATTGGTATTAATTCAACATGATGTTGTCGACAATCGACGAAGAAAAAACTGTTGTAGGGTTAATATTGCACCATGACTCGTATCGCTTAATCAATTGTGACAAGTTGGCTAGCCAGCAAGGGTAAAATCACTTGGATAAATAGGTCGGTAAAATTCAATTCGAGTGTATCACATTAATAAAACGAAAAGAATTGTTGACTTGGAATGGTCATCGGTAGGAAGGAGTTCGAAGGCTAAATAAAGAACAACAGCGTGACTAAATTGACTTCTTCTAGTAGTGTATTAGTATTGCGTAGTAGGTGTAAAATAGGCAGACATGATCTTAGTAGGATACAGTATCGTTGTGATAGGCATATTAATAACACTGTAGGAGTTTTTATATTAGAAGTTTTAGAACTATAATTTCACAGCTACTGTATCATTATGCAGCTTATTATCCAAGCAGGTGGGAACTCTTGTCAGATTTTTGATGAGTACACTAGGACTGTAAACTGTTGTTTGAGTGGAGAAAATATAATAACGACATTCGAAATTGCCAATGATCAATAACAATAATACCACCATACTGCTAATTTATGCATTCTCTACTACTCCTCAATATGTGCATATATACAATGGCATAACTTGCGGACCATCATCGATAGTGTAGAGTTAGCAGGATCGAAATTGATTTTATTGCTAGTGTAGAGCATTTCTATTAGTAAAATCATGGTGGTGATATCTATACTCGTATGATGAAGATTAGCAATTTTTTTTCAATCTCATCCAGAATGACAATAGTCAATCGATCACCTTATCAACACCATATTTATATGATTAGGTACAATAATATTAATAGGATAAATTGTACAATCCTTCCTAGGTGAAAATAATAAAATACCCAGATATTTTCATTTTGATTGGTTAGTAATTAAGCTTGGGTGATGTTTTAGTAGCAATAATAGCATCCAGTATTATGAAATATGCCAAAATGATATTTGATTTCTAATGATGATGGCTGGTGGTGTTGGAATTCTAATTATAATTACAGTATTATCCGTACGTGTCTATTTCAGTCAAGACATTTTCATTTCTATTATGATGGATGATGGTGTTTAATATAGTAATTGTGTCATGCAAGTAGGATGATCCTTTAAGTAGAAAGATGGAATAGCAAGTGAAGACATTTTTATTTGTACTATGATACGATGATGGATGGTAGTATTTAATGTGGTGATTGTGTCATGCAAAATGGGTGGGATCGTATTATTATAAATAGGGATTGTATTTTATTATTATGGTGAGCGTATCTTTCAGTAAGTAGAACGACATGGAAAGAAAACATAGCAAGTGAAGACACTTCTATTTCTACTCTGATCCTGTTATGAATGATCGTATCTTTCAGTAGGAAGAACGATCTATTCGTACTATAGCATTGGACGTGAAGACATTTCAGCTGGACAGTGATGGACGGTGGATTAATATTGTGATTGTGTCATGCATAGGGCAATCCTATAATGATCGTCTCATTGAAGAACAGCATGGAAAGAATAAAATCGATCAAAATATTTTAATTTGGACTCTGATTGATGATGGTATGAACAAAGTGATTAAGCGGACTATACAGACTCGTTCATCAAGAACAAGAATAAAATCGATCAAAATATTTTAATTTGGACTCTGATGATGGTATAAACAAAGTGATTAAGCGGATAGACTACGTTAAAACTTGTTCATCAAGAACAAGAATAAAACCGATCAAAATATTTTAATTTGGACTCTGATTGATGATGGTATGAACAAAGTGATTAAGCGGATAGACTACGTTAAAACTCGTTCATCAAGAACAAGAATAAAATCGATCAAAATATTTTAATTTGGACTCTGATGATGGTATGAACAAAGTGATTAAGCGGATAGACTACGTTAAAACTCGTTCATCAAGAACAAGAATAAAATCGATCAAAATATTTTAATTTGGACTCTGATTGATGATGGTATGAACAAAGTGATTAAGCGGACTTAAGACTCGTTCATCAAGAACAAGAATAAAATCGATCAAAATATTTTAATTTGGACTCTGATGATGGTATAAACAAAGTGATTAAGCGGATAGACTACGTTAAAACTCGTTCATCAAGAACAAGAATAAAATCGATCAAAATATTTTAATTTGGACTCTGATGATGGTATGAACAAAGTGATTAAGCGGATAGACTACGTTAAAACTCGTTCATCAAGAACAAGAATAAAACCGATCAAAATATTTTAATTTGGACTCTGATGATGGTATAAACAAAGTGATTAAGCGGATAGACTACGTTAAAACTCGTTCATCAAGAACAAGAATAAAACCGATCAAAATATTTTAATTTGGACTCTGATTGATGATGGTATGAACAAAGTGATTAAGCGGATAGACTACGCTAAAACTCGTTCATCAAGAACAAGATTTAAAATAAATAATCTGTGGCTTTGGAGTAGCAGTGATTTATTTTGAGTAACAAACGGAAGCGATACAGTAAACCTACTACAGTATAGTATGCAGTAGCAGTCTGACATCATACGTCTACCTTAAACTGTTTACCACCGTATACTATAGGTCTTAATGCCTATACAACACAGTAGTGTATATTGGCAATCGTCCTACTGTACAACGAAATAAAGTGATCGCTAGTGTAGACAGTGATCAAGCCATCAGTAGGTTGCACAAATGATGATGACTGCATGAGAACATTCCTATTGGAACTGTAAAGAAGAGGAAAATCGAAATGCATGCCTAGAACAGTTAGGAAACTAGCACTAAAATGATCACTGTCAGTCAAAATACAGTCGCAAAGGGGAAGTATTGACGGAGGTAAAATCTATTTCAAAGGCCTTACACCATCATCTATGTCTGTACAGTACGATCAGAGCGCTGCATTAGGCCTGCAATCTCTTGCACACTAGTGCTACGTCCATAAAACTATCAAGATAGTGCAAAGACTCCTCCAGAAATCAATAATTTACCTCCTCCAAACTTTGGGGGCTGCAATGATTTCTCTAGCAGACTAGGACTGCCTATATGTAGTATACTGTTTCATGGACTACTGGACTAGATACGACAGTGTATAACAACACTGGCGTCTTCAAGATGGATTTGCAATCCACCATCATCTCCAACTCTATTATTAGGGTAGGAGCAGACTGAGCATGACAGCGAGTATGCGCACTCACGCTGATTTCTCTACCTGTGCGATAGTTCTTTCCAGAAGATGGCCTCTGATGATTATTGGACCATGTCGCAGTGGTAGACATTTTTAATGATTCCATCCAACTAATTGAGTATTATAAGTTGATGTGAATAGATCCAAGTAGGAAAATGGTTTCAACTCAAAGTGCTTACGAAATTATACAATCGGCTTTCCCTTTTCACATCGCTGCTATGTGCAGCGATGACGCCGAAGCCGTGTGTCGTAAAAACAATTTATCTTTCGTCGATTTATTGAGACCATTTTGCAAGCCAACATTGGAAGGTATAATCCTATTTCTTCATCATGATACTAACCCGATACAGCATTATGGATAACTTTTTAATCATGCCAATGATCACATGGATAGAATCCTATCCAATCCAATAGACTTATAGTTATTCTATCGTTGTCGATTATAGGCAGGATAAAAGATCCATCCAATTTGTTACATGTCGTCAGGAATCCCAATTTCCGAATAATGTACTTTTCCAACCAATTTGTTCCATCTGCTATGGCCCGCAAAATGATGAGCGATGCAGTCAGTAGGCATCCACCTTCTACTGAATCAATAGGTTAGTAGTCAAAACATGTCGACAGTGATTTCTTCAAGATATCCACCTTGTAGCAAAATAGCCTCTTTACAGTGTAAAAAATTGCAGCAGATGACAGAATACACCACCATACTGTCTACTTGGCTTACCAGTTCTTATACAATAGACTATATTATGTGCGTGTATTGAGTAACGAAACTCAAATCATTATGCTTGAATGGATGCCCTATAGACCCTGTACCTAAAAATCTTGACGTGTACAGATTCTCTAGGATAGCCTATCTCTCCATAACTTCCAAGTCGTCGTCATTAGTGAAATTTTATTGCATTTCAATTAGTCACTATGTTAGAGGTAAACACTTCATCGCCCGTAATCCGTTGCATTCATGTTGATTTGAAACATCTTTAGAATACTGTACTTTGTTTTTTAATCAGCATGTCTGCATCATTATCAACATGAGTTGGCTTGAGATGTTATTGCCTCTTCTTGATTTCACTTGTGTGCTTGTTACATGACTTACTGAGCTAGAAATTAGTCAGAAGAAGAGATTTTGAACGCTCTACATGGATGATTAATATTCATTTTATAACTCTTTTAATATAGAAAGTAGTCATAATAAGATTACGGCCATAATGGCTCATTTTAATAGCCTAAACCTTGTACTGATCTTATCATCCATATTATTCCAACTGCAATTTATAATATCTTCCATCATGATATCTTTTTAGGAAGAGCTCCTTGGTTCGATGCCTACCGGGATTATTTCTTTCAGTATTTACCATTATCTGATCATGAATTTATCCGCAACTTTATTGCTTGTATCCTAGAATTCGTGTATATATCGAGAGACAGTACTTCAGATACCGGTCCATAGTAGCTTTTAAATACCCGTAGAAAGAATCCAAAACGTCCGAATGATGCACTTCTAATATGGACAATCGTTACCCAAGTTTACTTTATGTACTTGCTGACTAGCTAAAATACAAATTAACATGTACTAAGTAGCGTTCCTTAGCTACAATAAAATGCTATCATAGGTATGATTGTGGTATCCTCGTCTAATCCTGATGCCATGGAAGCTTACAGAAAAATGGTGGCTGATCAGATGCAACGACAAAAGCAAAGTAGCCAACCCAAATGGTTTTTCCCCAGTACTTTGCACTATTTCGTATTAATCCATGATTGTGCTAATGGTGACGATCAAAAGTACGGATATTATAAAATGAAATAACATCGTATTCAATGATCTCCCTTACTAAAGAAAGTGACAAGTATAAAAGCCGTCGCTCATTCTTATTATATTCTATTTATTAAATTTTAGAGCTGAAGCTCTTTGGGAGAGTTTACGTGCTGCCTACGGAGTTAACTCCTGTCATTTTCTTAAAATTAACACAAAACAACATAATGAAAATGACAACATGGGAAATTCAGTTAATGTTCCTGACCCATGGAGTCAATATATGCATGATAAGCTGGTAATGATGATTACATAAGTCGAAAAAAATGTCTTACTAAATTTTTAATTCCCTTTTCAAGGTGATTAATGAACCTAATTAATTTTAATTTTGATTCAATATAGTCACTTGAACCACTTGATACTTCTAATTCAAATATTCTACCTGGTAAGCAATCGCCAATAATCAAAGAATTAAAGCGACCGCCAACTCTCTCAGTATTGGGATCGTCTCTGTCCACTGACAGTGAAATGACCAATTCTAATGAGCATTTAGCTGGTGATCAATATCAACTTGATGGAGTAGCAGCGGATGCCGATAGAACTAAATATGGAATCTGCTTAACTTTAAGTGATCATGATAGACTGCGCAATTTTATACACGATTTTATTGTCAGAGGCTTATACCCATATCTTGAATACATGCTTCGAACATTGTATGAACAGGTAATAGATTCATACCGTATCCTAAATTGATAATACTCATAAATATATACTACTTGCTATTAACGTCCATCGCGTTTTGACTAGGTCAATGCCCGGAAAGGATTACATGGTAAATTTTTTAGCGTTACGAAAAAGTGGTTTGGTGGCAACAAGCCAACTGCAAGTACTAATAGTCAGTCTGGACTACCGGAAGTAGCGTATGTACCCTTTTCTTATCAATTCGTAATTAGACAACAGTATTCGCGCAATATATTAATTTCACTAATTGATTAATTATAGATACGCTGGTGATTCACATGAAATGCAAATGAGACGTCTCGCTGATCTTGCGTTTTTGCTCCAACATTACGATCTTGCCTATACATTTTATCATTCTGCAAAAAAAGAATTCCATACCGATCATGCTTGGCTGCAATTTGCTGGAGTAGCGGTATGAACTAGCGTGTTAAAATAAAAAATAAAAAAATTCTCTTTAATCGTGCCAGAAAGATAATTTGTTGATACGGCTATTATGTTGAACAGGAAATGGCGGCTGTATCAAATTTTATGCTAAATTCTGCACAAAAGCCTTATCCAATGCATTACATGGAGAGTGCTATAGGCACTTACCTAAGTACTTGCAAGTAAGATACTGTACCTAGTTTATTATGGATGCATGCATGTATAATATCATCGATGTAGAGCCATAGTAACAATGAAATGCATTAAATTCTTTTCGCCATAGACTTCCTTTGTATGCAACACGTTGCACTTTCCTAAGTACTGAAATTATGAAAGCTAAGGGATTGAATAACGATGCAGCTCAAGCATATATAAGAGTAACTAGTGAGGTAATGCTTAATGATGTATGATTGCAATTACTATTATTAAATTGTAATAGTTGGATTTGTAAGATAATAAATTGCGTACGTGTGTTTCTATGATAGGATTTCGATCTTCGTAGTTCACTTCTACTAGAGCAAGCCGCCTACTGTTTTAACCTAGCTAAACCACCCATGAAAAGAAAGTGTGCTTTTCACTTAATTCTAGCTGGTCATAGATTCAGTAAATCTGGCCAAGTGAGTATACATACCTTTTAATTTTATCTCTTGTAGATCTTGATCTGTCTTAATAGTATTACCTCCGAATTTAGAGAACACATGCCTTGAGTTGTTACAAGTTGGCTTTACAGACCTATAAAAAGAAAGCATGGCACCTAGCGGAGGTACCGTACATAGATCAATACTTGTATGTGTAAATGGCTGGAAAAGATTCGTAAATTTATGCCATAGCTGAATCCCTTACCCTTGATAATTTATTAGGATCATATCAATTTTACCATTGGCCGACATTCATATACCCTTCGAGATCTGTCCAATGCTCTTGAAGCATTTAGGAGTTTATTTAGTCATAAATGTTTACAACCAGCAAATCAACAAAATTTATTCCTACGAGAGTTTTTAAATGTGTATAAGGTACATTACAATAATATTATTGCTTAATTGATGCGTTTTTTACGATCGAAAGTTGTTTTCTGTAAGTCATTAACTTTCGATTAACTCACTATTTCTATCAAATAGCAATACTTAACACAAGTCGAAAAGTATAATGAATTCAATAGCCTTGTACCTGATGTACAAGCACCTCCTACGCGTGCACCACTTCCAATTCTTCCTCTTCCAATTATTATACAAAATTCAACAAGGGTTTTATTGACAAACTCTAAAGAGGAATGTATTACACAAGGTAATTTTTTTGTCCGTATGCTTTTATTGGCTTACAATGCATCTTAAGTACTAGTTGCTTTCAAGTTTGAAATGCACATAGGAATCTGATTACTTTTATCAATTTCATCTCATACTCTAGGAGATAGAAAAGATGAAACCGACATCGTCCGTGCATCATCGGTAACGTTAACTCAACGTTTTGATCCATTACGTGCTAAAAGTTGGGCATCATTGGAAGAAGCTGTAGTATTTGGGAAAACAAAGCGCGATAAACATTCATTGGCAAACTTTAGACCAAGTATTCAACTTTTTAGCTCGAAAACTAACAACAGTTATAAACCAGCAGCAGTTGTGGGAGGTTGGCTTAATATAAAATTTATTTTTTCATGAATATAGAATATACAATATACTGTACAAAGCAAAACGTTACGAATTTGTATTTACTTTAGTCTTACTTTCATTTCATATTCAGAATATATCGTCGTAGAAATTGTTATCAAAAACCCATTGAAAATTTCATTATTTCTTGGCGATGTTACACTGATTTGGCGACACATTAGTAAAACCGATTCTGATACTTTTGGAGAAAATAAAATTATCAGTAACGAGGTAACTCTTTTCGATTGTTTACATCATTAGGTGAAATAGTATTAATAAGAATTGTAAATGGTATTTAGAATACAACGGAGTATGACAATTTTGTTGAAAGCGAAGTAATCGATAGTTTTGTGCTTGCTCAGAACGAAGAAAAATCGGTAAATTAAAACGTAATTTGTCCGCTATTTAAAGCCATATTTCACAATGTTAACATACTATTTTTAATATCCCAGATTCAACTGTACATTCGTCCATTAAAGATTGGAGAGCTGGAAATTAGTGCTATTACATATCGCTTAAGCAATTACTCTTTTGCACTCGACAGTTCCGGAAAGCGTATGACGGGTAGTGTCGGTGTATGTGGCAAGCAAGAACTAAGGCCTGTTGGCAATCGACTAAATAATACTGAGAATGAGCGCTTCAATGTAGTCTATGCAACAGATAATCGATTACATCTTAATGTTGTTGCTCCAGCGCCGTTATTGGAGGTAATATATGTAAATTATTCTTAAGGATTTTATAATTATTTCTAATAACTCAGTAAATAACTCTAGGTTAGCTTCTGTAACTTTCCATCGAGATTACTTTGTGGAGAAATTCAACAAGTCACAGTAGAGCTTTGCAACACTGGTAGTGGTCCTTTACATAATCTATATGTTGCCTCATCATACCCGGAATTATTCTCTTTTAGCGACGATAAGCCAGATAACTGGTCGGAAAATGATACCGTTTACAGTAAAGTTCCGGTTATAAAATATCATACTCGCCATAATAAAGCTAAAAAGATTACTAACGTGATCGCAGTCCCATTACCAGAATCAAAATTGGTTTCTGGATGTTCGGTAAAATTACCGTTATGGATTATAGGAAGTGCTATTCCAGGGGTTCAGGAAATAGACTTTTTGTTTTACTATGAGCCGTTAGAGCCCCATCCTCGACTAGGGTAATTTACAATTGTAAATGTTTATAATGCTTGCTTTTCAAAACTTTTTTGACTGATTTCATAAATGTATCGCACTAGGTATCGGATACTTAAGCATGTGTCATTAGTTAGTATATCTTCTTCGTTAAATATTACGGCCAGTGCCTGCAACACTTACCAAGGCGATACTGAAAATGAACTTGGCGTCAGTGACAGGTTATTTTTGAAGTATCTTTTTCAATATTCAAGAAAATAAAATCATTGGCTATAACTGTTGTAATCTCTACTTTAGAATTGATCTCAATCAGGCTATTGTATCGTTGAATATTGAAAATTTATACCAGGTAGGTATACATTTTTAATAACTTTCAAGAATTTAATTAAAGATGTTTAATTTACTAATATGAATGACTGTAGTTACAGCGTGTAAAGTCAACAATGCTTAGTTTCCGAATCATGCAAGTATCATCTGTAAGCCCCCACTGGACAATTTACCCTATTCAGCCATATCATAAAGGTAGCTGAATTAATAATAAATTGTGGTATCTCAGTATTTCATAAGTGCTAGTACAGTATAGCTAGCGAATATAAAATGACTTTCTATGCCGCTGAAACATTGTTTATATGATATGTTAATTTAATAGATATCACAGTGACTCCCAAAGAGAAAGTACTATTATGCTTTAAAGCTCGTAATTCGAATCCTGGTACGGTAAAAATGTTTAACTAGATTCGATAATTGAAAATACGCATCAAGTAGCATTAGTTGACATATTTACACATATTGTATAATCTTAATAGGCTTTATTGATGATGAAGATTGCCAAGATATTCAGGTCCTATTTAGTAACATATCTTTAAAAGATGATATCGAGGTAGGTTTATTACTCTAATTCGAACTAAATTTTCGGAAATTTTATTGATTACTATCAGCTACAATAATATCATGCATGTTCTTATCTTTAAAGTTGGACAGTTCGTCTACTCCATGTAGCGATTTCTTCTTCCGTTCTGGATGTTGGTATGCATTGATGCCGAATATTAATAAGCCTTCCGTTAAATCGTTTAATCAAAACGAAAAATTATTAGCCGGTACTGGTAGTCGCAGAATGTCAAAAAAATTTGACATACGACTAGGTTTAGTCATAATTTGGGAGGTAAATTTACTTTATCTACGCTTGTTATGCAAATTACATTATGCCAGATTTTATTATAGCATTATATTCTATTTAAAGTCTGATATCGAAGTAGACGGTATTCGACGAACCATCACTGGTCAGCATCATGTGCCTGTAACTACCATTATACCACTAAATGATGATAAAGATAAGCCGAAACAGGAGGCAGTAAATCAAAAAGAACCTGAAAAGCGTAAGCGAATAGCAACTGGAAGTATGGAAAAACCAAAGCCAGGCAGTAAAGTAGGTTGATTCAATGCGATATTACTATTAAAAAAGTGATTGAACTTATAAGATTTCTTTTATCTGAATAGCCACCTGGTCGACCACCACTCCCAGCACATTTAGCGCCGTCTACCCCTCCGTCAGTTAAAAGTGCGGATGAATTCCGCAAAAGAATGGTCAAATATAAACTTCGTCATCCTTCCAGTGTATACCATGACTTTCATAATAAAAGGTATAATAGATATGTAGTGAGGGTATATCAATACAACTACATAACGTTGCTTATTTGCCATCATGTATCGTAGTAATGGATATTCTGAAATGTAGTGATTGATTTTTATTAGGCTATGTATTATCCCTGTGACCTTAATATTGCAAAATTGTAGAGATGAGCCGCTGGATATCTTTATTAATTTAGCGAAAGCTAAGGATAAGACGTTAGTTCGATATAATTTATGTCGTATATACATTATAGTGTTGACTGGCCCAAGAGTATACATACTTATTTTTCATGTCTTAAAATTTAGTTCAACTAAATCAAAATCCGAAGAAAATTTAAACACTATAATTGGAGATGCAGCAACAGCTTTTGGTCTAACAGCTAGCTTTACCTGGGTCGGCAACACAGCGTACAAGCGCCGACTAGAGGCTAAGGATCAAATATGTTTATCGCTAATGGCTAGCTTTTGTGTTTGTAACGTTTATAACTTAAATGAATTACAAGTATATGCTGCACTTCATAGAGACGAATGTGAAGATACAAAGAAAATACGTTCAAATATGGTAGAACAATACCCATGTGCTGATAGTTATATTGTTTTAAATAGCACAAAGCAGGACTCATTTGAACTAGATGATACAATATATGATATTGCCGACGATACTAATGACGAAGATTAAATCGAAAATTTGGCATTTTTTTGTTTTACATAGGCTTTAAAAATTTTGGGATATTATTTTATAAAAATATGTCACATATAAGAGATGTAGGGCACTGTAAATGTAGTGTCATATTAGCTTAGTAACAACTGATAGCTATTCACTGATCTATCACTGTTTCTTATATGTACTGGCTTTGTTACCAAATATACCTCGCATAATTTATTTGAAAATTATTACATTGTGATAAATTTTGTAAAATTTTCGCTTATAACAATGAATATAATCGATCGAAATGAATTTCTATTATAAACTTGTTGGTTATATCCAACAAGGATATTCATGGTCTAAATCTTTTTTAAGTTAGAAACAAATTTCTACAATAAGTTAGTACGGTATCTTATGAATATTCTCAGCAATGTAACTAATAGCAATCTGTTTTACTTTTTGTATGACAATAAATTTTAATTCCACTACAGAAACTACGGTATCAATTATACATCACTACTATGATAACGATATCGATATGAGTATATTTTGTTAAGCATTGAAGCTGTCACTTTTAATTCACGGCGTATATAATTAGCATAAATTAGTAGTAACAAGTGTGCATAATTCATCTGTTATACACAATGTTCGTATACAAATGCCTTGTACATTAATAATGGCAAATGTTTACATGTATGAATAGCTAGCTAATCAATTTGTAAACACATATACAGAATGTTTTCAAATTTTTAACTATAGCTTTCCATCAACCACGATTAAAAATTAGAAAAAATATACTGTACGCATGATTGTCTTTCAGTTAATTAAATTAATTATGGCCTAAAGACTGTCCTGTACTATGTAGTCATAGTCTCGTAATCGTTGATTTACAAAATTTTACAATTGTTAAGAGAATACAAAAGTGAATAAGACAACCTTACTGTGTTCCTCAAAGATTTGCACTTCACAGAGCGTAGACTGAAGTTGGCGCTACGCTAATAATAACTGCTAAGAATGAATTAAAGTAATTTCTGGAATGGCACTTAAAAACATTTTTCATATCTAACCTAACAATTACTGTGTGGTTATTGTATATTGAAACTGCTACCAAAGCACCAGTACAATTTCCGCTGAATATCTGATATAATTAAACTAATGAATGGTAATTTGGTAATGCCAATCAGATGAAGCGAATAGTGCATTATGCGTGTTGTTAAGAAGCCTCATTATGTATGACATTGTTCGCATCGAAAGAAAACAAAGTCATGTGGTATTTTAAAAGCTTATAGAATCGCATTTATTATCTTCTAAATAAGAATCACAGTTAATAGGCATCATCTACTGAATTAACCGTATTACTGCTGCCCATCAACAGTTTGGTTTAGTTTAATTAAGACTTTATTACAGTCTCGTTAATTAATTAGTTAACTGTTAATGCCTATCGATTTTCATTTGGCGAAGTCTGACAGTATCGCATTATGTAACGAATGATAAATGTAGTAGAGATAACATACTGAAACGAATTTAAATACAAGGTAACAGAAGATGCAGAAATTTGCCAAGTACACAAATAAATTGTACGTAGATAGCTACTATATTCTACCTATTAGTGCTAAACTAACATCCAACACTCTAGGCCAGAGAGGGATAGTTTTGTACAAACTGCACATGAATATAGGTGTAATATACCACTTGTAAGGGAATTCGAGGTATAGAAGAGGTAAAAACTAATAGAATTGGCTAAATTCACAGCATACAGTATTACGATAAAAGCTATCGCTTTAATTAGGTTTGTTAGCTCCTTTTTTACCAATCAGACTCTTGTGGATGTGTGGGATAACACCTATATAACAAACAATATCGTATTTAATATTTCGTATTATCAAGAAACTGAAATTTGATTCCAAATCTATAGATAATTGTTATTTTGTTAGCTCTACATACGATAAACTTTTTATTGTATTGATACAAGTATTAAACATAAAACTTACCACCACCAGCAATGGTAGCTTTGATCAGTGAATCCAATTCTTCATCACCACGAATAGCTAATTGGAGATGGCGAGGCGTGATACGTTTTACTTTCAAATCTTTGGAAGCATTACCTGCCAACTCTAGAACCTAAAGGATATAAAATTGGAATGGTCAGGGTATCAAAATGACACTGTATAATTGAAATACTAAGATGTACATGAATGTACGTATAGTAACTATAAATAGCGCGTTATAGACTTGTCACATTTCTTTAAGTAGAGTATAGGTACTGCATTGTATCGTGGCCATACACCTAGGCTGTACTTTGTTATATTGCTAATATTGCAGTATTTTTTTATTTAACTGTCAATTAAATAAACGATCTACGTCTGCACAATATTACAGTTCTTTATTTTCAATTTGTTGGAGGCTTAGAAGAATTGATGCTAGTAGTCACTAAATACGAATTGAGAAATATTATGAATCTACAGTATTAAAGGGATATTGTAAATTCATAGGCCGCAAATTATTCACAAAGTCGGCGTTCAGTGTTCACACTAGTTGTATCAATACATTCTCTTTTGGTAAAAGTGTTATGTACCGATCGTGTTTACATATACGTCTAAGATTAGAAGACCATTTCTAATCAAAACTACTGATTATTATGCCATTCAAAATATAGTCGAAAATTCGATTTTTGATAGTTAGAACAAATTGAGAAGAGTAACTTGATGAAAGAGCGCAGCATGAATGTTTAGTAAAGAGAATAAAGTAGGGTTTATCTACTTTTAAAGATTGTTACCAGCATTTAAAGCTACTGGATTAAATACATTTTTTACTCAGTATAACGTCTTGATTGTGATGGCGGCTAACCTATTCATCGTAACATCAAAATTTACGCGCGTACTGGAACTTACAGCGCACTATAGTTTATAGTTGTCAATATAAAGGTAGTATCGGGCAATGTATGCTGTACTTAAATGAATTACTAGTAGTGTGTAATGAATATCTTGAGAATAAATTCGCATTTAGAAGATAGCGGTCACTGCTTAATTTTTTTTTGGGGGGGGGGGGGGAAAAAAACAGAATTAACTTACTTCAGCGGTCAAGTACTCCAAAATAGCAGCACTGTAAACAGCAGCAGTAGCACCAACACGTCCATGGGAAGTTGTGCGGTTCTTCAAATGCCTGTGGATACGACCAACAGGGAACTAGAAAATCCAAAAATCCAAAAAATCAAGACACAGTCATTGCATGAGGGCGCTAAATGCAATTTTTTTTCTCAGCGTACATGACACTCATTCAAAGGTAAATCATTTCATCTTAATGTACAATAAGTCGATAGGGTATATCTCTACTTTATTCCCTCTAAAAAAAACCGAATTAGGTCTAAAATAATATGAAAACGCTATTTCCGAAAACAGAGTTATCCTCTATTGGAGAAATCGCCTTCTATCCAAGTGTATATCGCTTGGCGTTATTGAACGCAATTGCGTTTTGAACCCATACGTCAGGAAAGTGAACTGAAGTTGAAATCAATTTGTGCCAACTTTTTTTTTAACACTACTAGTCTACCTTGAGCATTACTAGCAAGATAGAATGATAACAGAGTAAGTCAAAGAGTTTCTCTTACCTGTAGACCAGCTCTAGCGGACCTAGAAACTGCCTTAGCTTTAGTCTTGGAATCTTTACCGGCCTTGCCTCCAGCCTAAAAGAAGACATGAGTGGTCAATGGAAAAAGGCGGGCAAAATGTTGATTGATACAAAACCGTTCAATATTTTTTTCCACTCGCAATTGAATTTACAAAACTTAGTTGTAAAATAAACTACAATCTGTCAGCAAGATATTCTCTTTAAGAAAAAAATACAAGTACAATCCTAAAATGAGAAATCAAGTATTCCATTACCATTTTTGCTTAAGGAATGGTTGCTAAAATCAAGCGTAATAGCTTAGTATAGGATAAAAGAGTTGAATTTACGCGCCAACCGAAACTTCAAATCGATCAACTGAAAAAAATCATAACACTGGTCGTGGTCTTGATTTTTTATACCTTTACTATGCGTGGAGTGCAGCACGGTACGGTACCGGTAGGCGTACCGTACGCTATGAATTGGATTGTGGTTAGCGTGGTGGAGAACAAGGCAATGCCTTATACTGTATGCTGTACTTGACAGCCATGTATTGGACAGTCTACTCCTCAACATGACTCCTTTTTCCTACTCGACCTCCATGACAGTAATGTACTGTACGCTTGTACCCGGGGTACAGTACTGTACCCTGGTACCGTAATGTGTTAGTGATCGACATGGATATTCATCCACCAATCAGGTGCCTGGAAATTTCCAATCCATTCCCAATTTGAATGTACACATGCGTAGACATGGACGACAGTAGAAAGGGGAGAATACAGTAGGTTAACCCATCTCGATTTTGGACTCGTTTCCTACTACGGCATGGTAGCATCAAACACCAGGCAAAGTAGGCGCCTTTTTTTTCATGAAAAATTCATTATTTTGATCAACAATGTGCTCGTGTCGTTTTTGTGGGAAAACAGCCCTGATACAGTAATGTACAGTATCATAACATGTTTACGCCTACAGTGACGTAGATCAAATTTGCGGGTAGACCAAAGCAAGCACAACTTGGCGGGTGAATGAATACAATACAGTCGTCCCTGCTTTCATCGATGTGGATGTAATCCACGATTCCACTGCTCGATCTTTGATAGCATTATGCGGAAGCTAATTTCATTTATTTATGGATTGCTACAGTAGTGTGAAAAATGAGTTGATACGTACTACTGACCATAGAAATGATGAATACTATTCTTAGTTTAAGTCTGTAGCGTATACGTTCATTTTTTATTTTATTCTTTAGGCTGGGTCTGATTTTCTTCTTTCTCCAGCTTCTACTAGTGGTGGTTGCCTCGTTGGCAACTAGTTGCATGATGATGATCTTTACGGGTTTTACCTTGGCAACCATTTTCTGTACTCACTATACTGTAGTAGTGTACAGTACATTCTTCTACATGCGTACAGTACTGTACTGTGCATAGTAAATTAAAAATACTGTAAGGGTGCATCTACTGTACAGTACTGTACACTGTACAGTACAGTACACAGTACTAGTCCATGGCTGAACTCGTACTGTACACTGTACAGTACTGTATCGAGTTCAGTCTTGTGATGACAGTGCTGTACAATACATGATGGTCACAGGACTTAGTACAGTACTGTACAAGTATCGTGTCATTGTGATATCAAATCATATTAATGCGATTGTACGAGTGGACGTGTATCGCGCTGTTACGGTATAATAGATACGTCACGGTCAAATATATATTATAAATATACAGTATACTGTATTAAAAGTAAGTTATTTATTTGAATCCGTAACATACTGTACTGTACAGTACTGTACAGTATGTATGAATTTGCAGACTAATGTCCTATGTGGGTTTGCCAATACTCGCAGATAGGGCGGCTAATAAGAGGCAATTTTGATATACGCCTGGTTACATCGATTGAAGTAAGATGCTATGTACGGGCTGTATGAGGAAACTGCAGCCGTGAAGTAAACGGTGCTGTAAACCGTACATTTCTGGTCTTAGCTAAAACGCTCCCTGTGCTGCAGTACTGTACAGTATTATTCAGAATTCGCAATTCAGAGATCAAAGGAAGGAGAAAACCCAGAATACATAAAAAAGAATAAAAATGTTACAGCGTCCTGTACTGTACACTGTACAGTACAGGACGCACCCATACAGTACGCTCTCTGGTACAGTACAGTACAGTGAAAGGTTGAACAAGGCGCAGTTAGAACTGAAGTCTGATAACGTACTGTACAGTACTGTACAGTACATGAGCCATTCAGCCTTCACACAGTACAGTACAGTACGTATTACTGTAGACTCTGCCATTTATTTGCCTACTCAAAACACGTTACTCATTCTCAGTTTTAGTATAACATGCGCGGTGTACGAAAGTGAATTAAACGGACAGTACTGTAAATGCCCCGTGAAGAAACTTTCCTGCTGAGTTGGGCGTAAAAATTTTGAATTTCCATTACGGTACTAATATAGTAGTGTTCAAGTAAATAATATATATATAGTATCATAGAGACGAAGAAAAGGCTGGTTTCAACGGTTAGGTATATTATCTCAAGCTTTTCCACAGTTATTATCAGTTGGCATTGAAATACTCAAGGCTTATTTACCGTCCACGTCTCAAAACCCAGCCATGGCATCGGCTGAGGAGGTTAATGAAAGAATTGAGGTGAGTAATTCAACCGAAATCAACTCCGGTATACTGTACTGTACCACAGTATAGTATACAGTTATCAGAATAATTACCACCATATCATTATCTATTTATTATACAGTACCCTTCCTAGATATTATTATTATCATCATGATGAATTTAAGATCTTGATCTCCAGTCTTGTATTTTCTTACTTTAGTTTTTTACCTTGTTACGTTTTCATCTTATGACAATTGTACATTTACTGTAAATGGTCAATGTTATTGTTGTAGCTTGATAGTTTCTAGTTTAATTACTGTAATTAGGAAGCCCCTGAATGAACTACTTGGTGATCGCTGCTAGCGTCATGTAAAATATTGACATCATCAAATAAATGATACTCAACTGTAGTAACTACATAGTTATCAAAGCTTAAGCACATCAAAATTCTCAAAGTGCAAAGCACTCCCTTGGGTGGTGTATTTTTTAATTTCTGGAATTTTCACCAAAACGCTAATTGCATATTTCCTATTTTAAAGCATACAATGTTCACGTATTTCTACTGTATAATTAATGTGTACAGTGTACAGTATGGTGTACATGTCTGGTTGTCAAATCTGCCAATGGGAGCTGAAATGGCTCACCTCAATAAGCATTTTATATAAATAAATACATGGAGTAAACCAGCTGATGTAAAAAAAAATAGGATGCTATTTTAAATCGTGCTAATTTCAATACTACAAATGAAGGTGAAAGGCTGATTAGCCCATTACAATTTTAAATTTACGGTAAACTATGTGTATTAACTGTTAGAAACTTCCAACAGAAATCCTCTTAGAGATTCCTAGAATTGTCCGTATAAATATCTCAGCCGACGTCTATAGTCATTCATGATTCACAACAGCACCAATCTGGAATGGCTTACAGTCTTCTCTTATAAACTTATATATGATTCAATAGATTTATTCAAAATATTGTATATCGTACTGTACTTTCGATTTACTGTGTAACACTTCACATGAATATTGCGAAGTGATAAAGATCTCTGCTAACCTCATGACTCCAACACCTAATATATTATTTATCACACAATGGATCAGAGTTAGGGATTGCACAGGTACAACAAAATTTTTGCCCCAAAGCACCTTTACAGCTTGGATATATACAATATTCACCAATATTCCATTAACCAATGAATAACGTACGCGTATCTAATAAAGTCCTACTGATTGTAAATATTTCCCTGTGTAGAATACGAGTATTAATATTTACATTATGCATTTTCCTCTAGAACATATGTTAACGTAAAGTCATATCATTAATATGATATTGCAAAATGATATCCACCACCCTTAGCTCACTATCAAAAGCATGCACGCTAGTAGCGGTGCTTTTTATAAAGATATCATTGAACGGTTTATTATATTCGTGACCATTTACAGCGACTAGTCCCTGGCATTTATGTAACTATGCAAAGAGTATAACATTAATAATTTAATCAATCTCATTTACACCGCATGATATGCGAGTTTAACTAGTCTTCTACTATCGAAATATTCTAAAGTTACATACTCATATACAGTGCATACTACTCGTGCCAAGCCCCAAAACTCGCATATTTAGTCTGATTTAGCTATACAGTACTATTGAACGCGTTACTTAACCAGCAACTTTCAGTCCAGTTGACATGTACTGTACTTCCTAAGTAAATATCAGTGATAATTAATGCATGCAATTTCAGTTTACAATCAAAAGTGGATCTCATCAAATTACTAGTTTGTTGCTTAATCGCTAGCTCTATTGAAAGCTTTACTCTTCTATGAAAAGTAACGAAGCATCTTAAAAATATGCCTTTCTTTTGTAATGGTTATTTTCACCGATAGCTTCGGATGATTGACCGTGACTTAAGTGAAATTCCAGCATCTCTAAGCCAAGATCACGGTGAGACAGTACAAACGTTGGATCTCAGTCATAACATTTTGACGTAAGTTAATTATCCTTGCTTGCAAATAAAAATTTTTATTATCATTTTTAAACTCCTACTAATTCTGCGGAAATCATAATTCTATGTTTCATTTATGATACAGGAATGTTAGTAATCTTGGTCAATGGAAGTCCTTACGAGAATTAATTTTAGATGACAACATGCTAGACGAAACTGTGCAGTTTCCTACAATACCTACCGTGGAAACTTTATCTCTAAACAAGAATAAAATATCCTTAAAGTCATCATAATGCAATGGACTGCAAAATTGCGTGCCAGTATCTAGTATGAGTAATACATAGTTGATTTTAGGTATTGTATTTCGATTACTTTTGTCTAATAGAGAATATTCCATAGCGTAAAAAGAATCTGAAAGAATTTGCCCAAGTAGTGATAGTATCAGACCAAAATGCCTCGATTTTTAGATCAGCAGCGATTTTAATTTAACTACAGTAGCATGGTATGACAGTTGCTTTATGTACTCTACTGTATAATGAAGTCAATAATACTTCGTGTCATTAATTTATTTCGCTTTTGCTGTTAGAAAAGTAGTCAACTGACAATAGTGAACGTGTTTCTAGATAAGATTTAGAATCTCTAAATGATATACTTTTTTGCCTTAACTAATGATACATAGAAGATATTGACATGTTGTTGCAAACAATTTCGGAAAGTTTTCCTAATCTGAGTTTCCTGAGCCTACTTAACAATAAAGCATGTCCGGATGGTATGACAGGTGATGAGGAGGATGAGGACGATTATCAAAATTATAGGTATTATCACGATGTAGACATTCATCTATTGCTTATGCTCTAACTTTGTAATCACTTTCAACACTAAAATCTTTGTTAGCTTCAATTTTTATTTGTTTACTACTACTTGTTCATCTGGTATCCTAGGTATTTGATTATTCTTAGACTACAGAAGCTCCGTTTCCTAGATTCTAGGCCAATTACAGCACAAGAAAGACAACAAGCTTCGAAAATAGCCCCCTTTCTTACAAAGAAAAAGCCTATCATAACACAAGTACTCTCTCTTTAGCATGATTACTTATGGCGTACCTTGAGTATACTGCGTATCCATTCGCTTCATAATTTGTATAAATATCTTGTATTTTGTAACCTTTAATATTTAGAGTGATGCTAGTCCAGAAGATTTGGATTATACACCTTTGCCTCAAGCTGCTAAAGAAACTGATCATAGAGGTATTGTTTTTGTTTATATCATGTGTAGGTTATTTTGCCTTGAGTATGAAATTAATCTTATTACTTAATTATAATCATCAGGAACCTTTGGAACTTCTCGCTATGTTTATTTCGGGCGACATTCGGAAGGAAATCGATTTATTAGGAATGCGGACTTGTAAATTCGTGGTACTGTATTCTGAAAAGTAATTTCCAATTGAAATTTTATTAATTATGCAAATATTAACAGCTATAAAAATTTTCGATGAAATCATGTATATTTGAAACTGTAATGTTCAGTAACGTAATCCTTAAAATCTTTCAAATGCGCATGGTTTGTATTATCCTATATAATCCATTCTGTAATTAGCGTATCTATGTACTGTAAGTGAGTTAAATCAGAAAATACAGTGCTCTAAATTAGAGTCCTGTACTCTCGCGTGATAGGATAACATGGTAGATTTCATATAAGCAGAATTATACTAGCATTTTCGTGTATTTCATTATGTGAACATGACATGATAGACCTGCGTTTAGCTAATCAAACGTTTGATATAAATAGCTAGCCTGTATTTCATCAAGTTCTAGTGATTGATTGGTCATCTCAAGGACCGTATAGGAAATTTTGTTCTTGTAATAAAATTTATTTAGCTGAAATTAAATACACCGATAGGTATGTTGAATGCATTAGTATGCGTTACTACAACATAGGCTGATGGATTGATTGATTCAGGACTGTCTGTAGTTAGCAATGATGCGTTGTTACGTTTTCGAAACTCATCTATGGACTTCCATGCTGTAAATTTTATGCTTAACTGACTATGTTTCTATAGCCAAACAGAATAAGTTAAAGTTGTAATGAACTTATAATGTAGAAACTGTATCAGCATAACCAAGGAAAATCTCATTTCGTAACATACGTATACGAGTTGCGTTTGCTAAAAGTTCCAATTAGTAGGCATATTATGAATTGAGTTTGAACCATGCCTTAAACACCGTACTGCTGCGTAGTAGGCTATACTACTTGCAAGTTCGTCACTTGAAGTACTGTACAGTATTGTGATATTTGTGACACTTATTACTGTACTCTGAAGTAAATAGTGGCAACATTTTATTAATATTAATGAATGAATTAATTAATCCTAGCTCTTAAACGATTTACAGTTGCAGGCCGAAGTTACTGCGCAAATAATCGTCCAGTATATCGCACCTTTCAGTCAGCTGTTCAATTAAATGGGTAGTTTTTTACTCTAGACTTTAGCTAATTGATCAACCTGTTTATTTATGTGTCAGTATGTATTCGTTTGACGGTTATTATTAGCGACTTGTAAAGAGATCAATTTTGGATTTTGGGACAGGCTTTTTCCAATGCAATAATCAGCACTCGTATACCTCTGCACGTACTGTATACAGTATACTTTCATCAACTTATTGCACAGTATGTAGAATAGACGGATTAGTAGACTCTGCATGATACTGTACTAAGGATCACATTTTGCAATTTACAGCAGTGTTTCATCAGTGTACTGTATGGACTACAAGAGCTGGATCTTTTTCTTGTAGTCTATGGCTGTATGAAAGGTAGCCATAAAAGCTGCAATAATCCGTGGTCAAGATACTGTAATTTATAACCGGTCTGAATTGCTGTAATTACTCGTCTATGTACAATATTTTGTCCAAGCCTATATCAGATCCGCTCGTCTATGTACAATATTTTGTCCAAGCCTATATCAGATCCATTTACTAACAGAATACAAATTTAGCAACTGTAAAAATAACATCCCTACAGTCAATGCACAGTAATAGTTGACGCCTGAAGTATCGATTCGCTCGTGCTGTTCGATTACGTACGATCACTTCGTATTCGGTTGACACGACCATTGTAGTGATTGTACAATGAATGTGTTCGTCATAGCGTTTTTATTGATGATTTTCCCTTGTAAAAGAAAGAAAATTTTGCCTTATTGAACTCAGTACCATCGCTGCCAATTCAATATTGTCAATATGGTGTTATAATTAAATCGGGTTCTCCATTGGTTTGAATACCGTAGAGTTCCAGAGTACAGTATGTCGTCATCAGTAAACTGACAATGCCGTAGTTACAGTACTGTATGACTAGTTGTAGTGTACTTGGATATCGTCGACTCATTGATCGCTACTTAGGCGATTGACGTTGCGATTGACGTTGCGATTGACCATAATCACTTTCAACCCAATAGGTTGACACGATGACCTGTACCGTACGGAACAGCCGGAACTGTACAGTACAGTACGTCACTGTCCGCTGTTCACTACCGTACAGTACAGTACGTACAGTACTGTACGATACTTTTTAGTGAACTCGTTCAATCTGTATTCATTACTGTAACACTACTGTACTATATACAGTACAGTACTGTACCGTGTAGGTTGATTCAATTCAAACCGTCCAGCTCAGTGTATTGTAGTCTACAAGCATTTCATTGAAAAGGAGTCAATGAACGGATACTGACTGTACCTGCAAGTGACGTCCAAAATCCTACTGCTTGATATCAAAATATTGAAAATACAATAACAGTGGTGACGTTCTTCATTTCGTACGGACTTTTTGTTAAGGCGAGATGTCTTTGACGAAAGGAGGTTGGCAGCGCTCGAAAATAGCAAAGGCTATTCCACCCGACCGAATTTCACAGCTATATCCTAATGTTGATGAATCTTTATCTCCTTTACCACGAGCATGGAGTCCGCGTGAAAGATGCCAGTTCATTATTTTGTCGCAAGACAATCTTCGTGTTCAATATAGAGGTTAGCAAAATAGCTTGTTATCTGTACCAAGTTACAGTGTACTATATCTTATATTTGTATGCAAAACATTTCGTGTACCGTACACCAATGCTATAAGGTATTCTAAGTGTTGTACTGGTAATCGACGCCTCTGCTCGACACCGACATACGTATAAATGATACAGTACTGGATCGGTTGTCTGTGATGCATTCGTATAGAGATCGGTGCTGCGACATTTTAATTCCATCGGGTAAACATAGAAGACTACCCTGCAAATGGATATTACCATTTTGATCATCGAGATCAAATCCATTCAACTGTAAGATACGCCATCCATGTTTCCAATAGGTGACACATAAAATAAAAAAAGTATCACTGAACATGCAGTCATGATACACAACCATTGACACTGACTCCTCGATCCGACGTAAATGTCCTTAAAATACAGGCTTCTACACCTACCGTATACTGTAATAAAAAAGATCGATCTAGGCTACTAAAATATCGAATCAAGTCAATTGGACATCGTTATAAATATCACTGTACAATTTAATAAATACTACTTACTTTATACTATAAACGGCTTGTAGAGAAAAATGCATAAAGTAAAACGGAGACTACATTCAAAATATTTTTTATTACTTATTTTGCAAATTTGACTGACGAATCCTTTTAATCCGTATCAAAATTCGTTCTTACATTCGATTGATTGATGCGCTAGTGCTACTGTTACAACAGTGCTGTACAGTACAATACTGTAATAAATATGTTCCCTGCATGAGCACAATTGCAAACTACTTGAGTGCTGCTTCAGACGTCGAGTATTTTATTCTTTATGACTTTGTATGCTACAGTACGGATAAGCAGTTCCATACTGTACACTGTACAGCAGGAACGAAAGGGTCTTCTGATAATGTCCTATTACTTCTGTAAGATACGTTCACCGCAGCAGTATCAAGCTTTTCAATGACTAACAATAATAATTCACGCTTAAAATGCTGATCTACAAACTTTTAGGATGGTATCAAGACTACTTCTTCACGATAGAATTATTTTAATTACCCCTACAGCATGTCAAGAGTCAATACTGAGTAGCTTTCTGTAACTCTTCGCAATAGAAAAGCATTTTACCAAACTTGAAGATAGAATGCAAACACGAACTGCAAGTCAAGATGCAGTACTCGATAGCTTTTCGACAATAGTTTACGGTACATAGTGTCTTCTCGACGGTAGAAATACTTGTATCAAAATAGAAGACGTCAAGATTGAATTCTTTACTTTAGAAAAAGGAAATGTATACAGTACATGGTACTAGCAAGTTTAGAATCGGTCCTGATCGGCTTTTCTGCAACACTGTAGTTCATACGGTGGAAGTGCGTTCTAATAAATTCTATATGCGCGTATACGCTTAGAAGGACTTTATTCTAGGGATCGATATGTACAGTATACGTCCGCATATGTAGTAGAAAATATTCCTACGTAACAATTACTTGTGTAAACTTTTAGTTCTTGTACTGTATAGTTGACTTAGCTTGCTGACTACTGTACGCGTAATATCATCTTACTGTCAGTAATGAACAGTACTTCCATACAGTATAATCAAATGCAAGAGTACTGATTGAGCGCTGTCGTCAGCATGGCATTTTCTACTGTATGATCCTATAAATCGACGTAAAATGAGGATGAAATTAAATTTTCAAGTCTACTCGACTTTGGGAGATAACACATAATATACGCGTACAGTATATATGTTATACATTTACATATAACTGATGTGGAGTAGTGTACGCGTTTGTCCGGTAGTCAGTTCCAACAACTGAAAGAACAATTCGTACATTCCATCCACGATAGCATGCTGAATTCTTTCCGTCAATGCTCAATTTTCATTTACTGCTGATCGCATACTGATTGCTGTACTTCTAGATATCATCAAGTGGAACAATGTAAAACTCATAGTATTTATCATGGAGTAATCGAAACTGTCAATGAAATCGTTGAACTATTTGCGGAGGACGGAGGAGTCCTTTAATTAACAAGGGATAATATAAATTACTCCAGGCACTATAGTACTATAATAATACTGAAAAAATATTAATTACAGTATACTAACGAAGAAATGCTAAATAGAAATGAGTACATCTCCTTATGACGTTACTCTATAATGAGATTATACTGTAGCTAGATGCATAAGCATAACGATAAATTTTCAATACAATATTTTTAAAATACAAATATTATAGATAAATACTTTTTCCATGCTACAATTGCCTTTCGTCATAATTGTACAATAGATAACATAAAAGATTATGATTAAAATATCAAAGTATCTGATTGCGATACCACTATACATCCCCTATACTCTAAGTAGCTATAATACTTAATACGATTATATATTAGATAATTAATAATAGCAAAAAATTTCGATAAATTATCGTTCATTACAGATAAAGGTAATGTATTTTTCTAAAACTTTGAAAATTTTGACTTTAACATCTAGGTAATAACACTAATAAACCTCATAAAGATGCTGCTTCGGTAAGGGCAACTTATCCAATTTCTCCAGCTTGTGGTATTTATTATTATGAAGTTAAAATAGTCAGCAAAGGCAAGGATGGGTAAGTTAACACTAAATTAATACGATACACTGTATACTCTGTAAAATCTTGGATCAAATACACCTTAAAAGACTGTATATCCTACAGTTACTCGTAATGAATATAATACTACCTTCGATTAACTAGATAAAAAAGATAATTATACTGCCCTATCCTTCAATCTTAAAATCTCAATGTATGCGATAGTACTTTCTCAATATAGGCTTATCTGTAGTATCGCTTAAATGAGAGATTAATCAATTGATATGTGAAATTAGTTTTAATCACATATAGCGCTAAGCGTACCACGATAATAAACTTATTGATGGATTAGTTACTTTAGACTTAATTAAGTTTTAAGATAGGCAAACTTGAATTGCTTACAAGAATCTGAAAAGTAATCTTATTTACATAGACATTTATGTAGTGTTGCAATTCAAAGTGAATTACGTTAAATCATAGGACTGCATCTGTTAAATGAACTGGCCAAATGTGACTGCTAATTTATTATAATTATTAGAAGTGTCTACTGTATGACTGTATCTCTCTACTTGAAGTTAAATATGATATTTTTGGGATTTCTGCAGATATATAGGCATTGGTTTATCAGTTCATAATTCAAATCTTAACCGATTACCAGGTAATGATCGCTACTCTATACTTGTCATTGCAGGTAATTGTACAAGTTTTATTTTTTATCGCATTTAATGCTCACTTTTTAATATAGGATGGGAAAAGCATACATTTGGATATCATGGTGATGATGGCCACTCATTCAATTCTCAAAGTCAAGGCGATCCTTATGGACCGACTTTTACTACAGGCGATGTCATCGGCTGTGGTATTAATTTTATTCATAATACCTGCTTCTACACTAAGAATGGACGTAATTTAGGTATGATAAATTTTTGTACTACATTAAGAGTTTATCTCTTTTTAATCACACGTTCCTAGAAATCTTGTTAACAGCAAATTACTAAAAAACACTGTCAACCTGTCATGATCTAAATTGATATCATCGAAGCAAGACGCACATAATTGTAGATTGTAGATTTTATTTACTTTTTTAACCTCTCTTCCTAAAGTAATTACTATAGTACGTAAATAGCAAATTTTTTATATCATGTTTGTGTTACTAGTTAAAATTTAAATCATGAATTTTTCTTACGATGTGTTATAAGTTAAAATCTAAATCACAAAATTTTTTTAATATTTTGTATACAGGGACTGTCTTCTCGGATTTACCCGTAAGTTTTAATTCGCTATGATGTACTGTATATTATTTAATTTTGTAGTAAATTCTAATATCTTCCTATTTCATAATATTCTAGCATGACCTGTATCCAACTGTTGGAATGCAAACTAATGGTGAAATTGTAGATACAAATTTCGGCCAAGAGCCTTTTCTCTACAACATAGAAGATGAGATACAAGTACTTCTAATCACGACTTTTGATTTTACCATATCAAGTGTTAAATGATTTTATGTTAGAAGTAACACTATTTATTTATTATGCTTAATAATTTAAGGAAACACGAATGAAAGTATCCCAAAGTGTTCTTAGTACGCCAATAACTAGTGAAGGCAACTCCGTGCAAGCTATGCTACACAAGTATAATGCTATACCTGAAAGATCATAGCATAGAAAAGCATAATATATATATTATGTCTAATTAAGATATATATTACATTTAGAGTGATTATTGACTACCTTGTGCACCACGGATACAGTGCAACTTGTGAAACATTTGCCACTATAACTGGACAGTCTTATAAAGAGGAAACTGCCTCTATAGAAAATAGACAAAGTATAAAGACCATTTGTATAGAATATTCTTTTCACTGATACGAAATGTGATAAATGTTCCATTAGTGATTACTAACGATACTTTATAACAATTACTGATATTAATGAATTAATAAAACCTTTCTTTTTCCTAAATACATCAGAAATTCAAGCTCTGATTATGGATGGCAAAATTAGTGAAGCAATTTGTTTAACGGAAAAAAATTATCCGACCATTTTATCTAATAAACCATGGTTACATATTCGACTTTTAGTGCGCCAGTTTATTGAAGCGATTAATGGTTCCGATACCGTATCCTGTTCATCTGCAAATAGTACTTCTGCTAATAGCATTAATACAAATAATAATACCCTAGCTTCATCTTCTAACAATGACATTTCACAAGGTTAATTATCTACCAGCTTGTTCAATTTTACAAGAATGAATTTTTATAGCTAACTTTCCTTTCTTAAACAGATATTAAATGTGAAAACAGTTCATCTCAAAATGGTTTTAATTCGAGTATTAACGACGATTCCGTAATGGAAATAGACGATGAAAAAACATGTGAAATAAACGGCAAGGATGCGAACGATCATATGAATGGTATTACGCCTGGCTGTAATCAACAAGGCAAGTATCTATTCTACGTTCTACGATATAACAGTATATGATCAATGCATTGTTGAGTAGCCGCAACCAACACTTTCTTTTCAATTTTTTAGATGATGACGATGAAAGCAGCTCAACCAACTTTCTTAAACAATTATTGTCATTTGGTAAAAATTTAAATGCAATGTACGACAAACTTAAAAAGGAAGGACCTACAGATGATGAAATTGACGGGTCGATACTTAAGGTAATTTATGGACTAATTTTCTTTTCCATAATGGGAATACCATTTACTGTACATATATAAATTGAACCGTCACATTTTACTGAATTTTAATATTTAGGATGCTTTCTCTCTTCTGGCTTATAAAGATCCTTGGTCTAGTCCGTTCGCACACTTATTAAATCATAAAGAACGGGAGCCAATATATTATGCTCTCAATAGTGCTATCTTAGGTGTGCATTATAGATCAATAGTTCTCCAACTGTTGTAGCAAATAATCTTACAAGTAGTGCAATATATTTCGTAACTCAAACGTTCTTTAGTAATGCTGGACATTTATTAACGAGTGCTGTATATGACGTTTTTAACACATAATCTTACTTTCTTTTTAATAGAGGCACAAAACATGTCGAAAGTACCTGCATTAGAAGTAATTGTGAGTCATGCGAAAGGGTGTCTAAAAAAAATGGCCAAAGCTGGTATAGGATCGTGTGCGTTTGCTAGTATAGATAAGATATTAGAATGTTGAAATTACTATGCTTGGATGAAATGATTACATTATCTTTTAACAATGACATTTGCATGTACTGTACAGTACAAAATTACCCTTCAATATTTGTATCTATTGGTTGCAATATATATTTTCTCGTTTGCGTGCTCTTGATGTCGGCCTACTGTTAATAAACAATCAATTAAATTGCATGAAGATTGTTTTGGAGTTATGCTACTTTGCGCTTGTATTTGATATGATGCACGTATTTATTGTTTCAATTCAGCATTATTCCATTTCTCTCTCGATGTAGATACACTATAGGTATACAGGTATGATCACATCTGAGTAGAGTATAACAGTTGTATTGTGATATTATAAAATACCCTTAAACATACCGTCATATACACGTATATGTATTCTTACCAAAATTTCACTCAGAAATAGCAGTTTTAATTTACAAATGAAAAATCATTTTAGTGATAAAGTAGTGATAATGACGAATGGCATAAAAACACATCCAGAACTACATTGCCGTCGAATTTGCATATACGATATACGCATATATACCAATTTCTACTCAAGCAAAGATAAACTTTTACAATCCAACATGTAACTAGACTACCTAAAGGGCAGATATAAAAGTATACATTCATAATAAAAGTGATTAAATTAGCCCAACATAACATATACGATTATTTTCAAAGCAAATTTGTTGCAGATACCCCATTATGTACAATCTTAAAATCATTCTGAATAATAATTATGAGATTCACAAGGCTTCATTTTGATTTAGACTGAGAGGTAGCACTGCGGTATTTTTCCAATAACACCTTCTTGTATTCTACAACAAATTAAAATATACCAATGAAAGAAAGTAAAGGTCTATAGTTAAGAAAATTCTTGACAAATTTCGGCTCTTGATATTTTTAGCCTTTTTAGCTTATTACATCATCAATAAATCTCCATTACCAAACTTAAACCAGAAATCGAACATATTTTGTGATATTTACCGATTTTTAAAGAGATACTGTACAGTTTAAACTAGTACAGTACTATGTAAAATGATTTACAGCGAAGTAATTATTAAAACTATCTGTTTGCAAGCTGTAATTCGTACGTGAAGATATTTTGGTAATAATACCTTAAAAACCAACTTTATATAATCAAACAAGTACCTTCTTGATTTTCCCATAAGCTGGCAGCTTGGGTATTCAATGGGCTTTTAACATTTGGCTCTAAAATTACCGATTTTATTTAAGAATATTAACGTCAGTAATGAACTTTGAGAAAATTAAATCTTTTTTCTTTGCAATGGTCATGATAATCACTACTACGATAGGCGAAAATATAGTCAACATACCTCCTAACAAGCTCTGGAGCGATACTAATATTGATCTTACATCATATAGGGCAGACCATTCTTCCTATAGTATAATAATAACGAATTTTTAAATCTCCCGTAATTACATTCTACAACTTAAAAATCACTTTGATTCAAAGACTACACGAAAATAAATAGCAACTAACTGTATTCTATAATTGATTAAGTACCCTGATGCATGTCTCTGCATACATATCCCTATGCAGATGTGACAACAGTAAAATTGACGATGACATACCCACTAATTATGAACTAAGCCCCAATGCATATTATTGATAAAACAATTTCTCCATACTATAAATTATATTTATAACCACAAACTGTTACATCTTAACATTACAAACTAATAAGTACGAGATAGGTACAGGGCCCGTTGCAGTCCAATGCCACATCTAAAGCCTTAAAAGGGACCCATATAATTTACTCATTTCTTATAAATTTTACATTTATACGATTTTTTATACTTTTTTTCTATCGCAAGAATTATAATATTACAGACATAAATTGATAAAATAAATCATCTTGCACCTGCAATTTGTCATCGGCGATCTTAATAATTTTATCTACAATATGCTACGTCAATGTAGTAAATTTGTTACTATTATGAATCTTAGGAATAGAGTTAGTTTACCTTTAATATATCCAAGCATATATTACCCCATTGGTCAACGTTAGGATGATAGCAAGGTGTTTCGAAGCGAATTGTTGGGGCTTTGTAAGGATAACCGCTTGGAAATTCCAGGGTTAATTTATACTCTAGACTGTCGTAAACCTAATGTGACAAACAGATTGCCTAATTATAGCACATAATTACGGGAGAAAATAATCTAGCATAGAGAAATAGAGTCGACTGCCGATTTTGTCACATACGTATAAACGTTACGAGGAAAAGAGCTTTAATACGAAAGCAAATTAAAATGGTGTTACTTACAGTTCCTTTCGCACCAATAATAGTACCAATCCACCGAAACATATTATTGTTGTCAGGGAAAGCAGATATACCATAATCTCCTGACATCTGGAAAGTATTAGGTCAATTGATAAATAGAGTAATAGCATTGAAAATACTAATAACAACTCGCATAGATCTCTTAACATTCCTTCATCGTCATATTTCTGCAGTAGTTGTTTTACGGTTAGGATTAATCAACACAACAAATCAAGCGGCATACGAAATTTGCAAAGGCATCAACTCTGGAGCATTAATTGCGATTGCAGACATTTCAAGCAAGAATATATACGTTACAGAACTAACTTTCTAACTAATTGTATTATTATTAGCAACACACCGAGCACAAAGTTTGTTGCTATTTATACAAATCAATCCTAAATTGTAACGTAGAAAAAATTCTTCACGATATTTGCTAGATACAGAGATACGTACTATAGAAAAGTTTTTATCTTTAAAATATTGCTCTATAGCCTAGTTTGAGCTCTCCGTTCAACAATTAAGAAATGGTACAGTATTCATATCTGCAGTATAAATAATATAATAAGTAATAAACTTACCATTAAAGTCATCAGTTCCCGTTGCAACCTAGTTTAAAGATGATCCACGTATGAATGAGAATCAAGAAGCGATCAATTAAGTAACTATTGGTTAATACTACAGCAACGAAAGATTGATCTAATTTACCAAACAGGGCTACTAAAATAAGACATGTCAAATATCTTGATACAGGGTGTATATGCAGTAATTGGAAAGTCTAAGCATCAGAATACTACTCAAATTCTACTATACAATACGTTGGATCAGTTGTACTCGTATATAAGCTATAAACCCCAACTAGGCGTACACCGATTGATACACATCAAGATGACCATCGGAAAATTTTTTCAATTACTGATGTAAACGCTAAACACAGAGAAAAAATAATTCTATGGCAGAATATATACAGTACATCGAAATTAAGCATAATCCTACAGTATCGCGTAATGCATAAACGGGCGAATAGAGAAATTTTTTAAACTACAACGGAACCTTCAAAGCGCCGATCGTACATCCTACTCGTCTTTATCGCTTACCTCTTGGTTACAGAACTACCATCTTTGAGAGAGGTTTTAGTTGCTTCACCAGTCTTTTTTGCATCGCTGTTATGACTTGGATTTCGATTTTGCGTTGACATGATCTGTGATAGAATTGATCTTTCTTATAATAACATGAACAGTAATGCAATGATTGTAAAATGAAATTCTTTTCTCCTTCTGCTGCGTGTGCGGTGCTCTGTCGCTATCGATCAAAAATATCAACACTCGATTTGATATTTTTAATTTTTTAAATTGAATTTTTCCGTTGCATACAATACCTTGTACTGTGCGATATACTGTAATGTGTGCAATACTGTACACTGTACACTGTGCACACTTTCCAGTTTCTTTACAATATTATCTCTACAGTACTGTATACTGTACACTGTACGTACTTTACTGTACTATACTGAACTACAGTACCGTGCTACAGTACCGTACAGTAATACTAATACTGCCGCAATTAAACCAATGGACGATCATAAACATTATTAAACAAATGTCCTACAGTTAGAATTTTACTTAACGGTCGCACGTTATACATTAACTATTGCATATTCTAATTTATTGGTTAAAAAGGGAAAACCAATAGACGATCATAAACAATTAAACAAATGTCATACAATTAGAATTTTACTTAACGGTCACACGTTATACATTAATGATTGCATATTCTAATTTATTGATTAAAAGGGGAAAACCAATAGACGATCATAAACATTATTAAACAAATGTCATACAATTAGAATTTTACTTAACGGTCGCACGTTATACATTAACGACTGCATATTCTAATTTATTGGAAGATTATAACAGTAGATCTAGAAGGGCCTCTCTCAGTATATATAAATTTCATATAGCTTGCTATTTAAAAATTGAAGAGTAAATCATTCTAAGTCCTTTCAAATCTTTCGGGTTTACCCTCTACCGGACTATAATGAGGAGGTCAGATCTAGAAGGGGCTCTCTCAGTATATATGAATTTCATATAGCTTGCTCAATATTTTAAAATTAAAAGTAAACTGTTCTAAGCCCGTTCAAATCTTTCGGGTTTACCCTCTACTGGAATATAATGAGGAGGTCAGAGATAAACTTATGGACTACAACTGCTATACTTAAAAATACTCCTATCCAATTTGCAGTACTGTAGTAAGAGTAGCGGAATTTTCGGATTGATTTAAACATATTTTACAGATGCCTGGCTTGAGGCCTATGCAGACTTTGCCGCTTAGCACAGAGATTCAATCAAAGTATTACCGTACCAGACTAGCTCTATCTTGTAATAATTGCCTTTATTGACAGACAACAATAACCAAGGCGACATTACTCTAAATGCTTTTACTTATAAATTTAAAATTTATACCTTAATAATTACGTTTCATATACGCGTAGTATTGTATACTATAAATAAAATTATGGATATAAAATGAGTACTGGACACTTGAAAATAGAATTGATTGATAGAAATACTGCTACTATAAATAAATTGAAATTATCATAATCGAAATAGAATAGGCTAGTTTTATAAAAACAAAATTCATCAAAATATTGATATCGCAGCAGTATCAAATGCATCGGCTTGAATAAAATTTTCATAAATTAATTATCCCACGAACATGCGTCTATGCGAGTATACGCGTATGTATATTCAGGATACGGTACCCAGTATCCAAAGACGATGCTGCATAAAATAAAACTACAGATATATACAGTACTTAAAAATATTCTCATCGATAGTGCTTAAAAGTGAATTTATCATCACAATTTTCAAATAATATAAAATGTTATGCCGTCAAATAGTTGTAAATGAGTACGTATTTCATCAATTATTATTTTAACCAATCTTAATCTATACTCCAAGAAATACGACTGTCAATATTTTAGCTGGATATTTTTGTAGTGTGTAATAAAATCATAAATAGGCGTATGTTGTTTTATATTTGTAGCAAAATACTATTCTTGGATATGCTTAGTAAAATTCTTTAGTATATACGAGCAGTGTAGTATTAAGATTAGCCTTTCAAGCAATCGTAACAGTTGACCAATATAAGCTAATAAATGGTATCAATATATCCAGTAGCATATATACCAACATAAGCCTTCGATTATATATATTATATTGCACTCTACCACATCAAGTATATTTCCAATTTGTATAGAATTAGCTCAGAAAGTGCAGGAAACATGGAAATTTTCTCAATTTGGTGTACAGTGAATTATATATATTGCTATCTTCTTGATCAATTAATTGTATGCATCTGACCGACATACAGCTTTCCATTAATGAATAATGCACGATAACAAATATATACACTGATTTTATACAATATACTGTACAATCTCGTATGTATTCAAATTCGCCGAAAAGAGGTAAATTAATCACACTTAAGTGTCTACTGAACCAATTTCGTATAATTGCATCATAGGATAACGTTCTTTCTCAGCTTTATTCTTCTTGCTCTTTTTACTTCTCCTTTCACGACTACGTTCATATAATCCAGACGTAAGAGGTCTTTGATCAAGTGAAACAGGTTCATATAATTTACTATCATGAGAGTAAACTGAAGGAAGAGTGCTTACGCTTCGATAATCGTTGTTATATGTGAGAGGGTCATTTGAATAATGACGAAAATGGTTATAATCATTGCTACCCGGAGTTACAACCAAATTTCTTGACGAAAGCTTATGTGCAAGAAAGCCATCAGGCTGTATCTGGTCAGTTAATATGGTAGCATCTTCAATTGGCATTGACACATATGGTGCTGTTTGTGCAGTCACCGGATTTAATTCTGTTTCTGTTTGAGTCGCCACCGTTCGCGTATTCTTAGTTGTAACACTTTTGCCTTTACTTTTTGGTCTGGTAAGTGGTTGTTGATTTCTAGCGTGAACTGGTAGTTTGATATGAAACGGAACTAACACAAATATTCTGTCACTTGGAAGAACTATAAACCTACTAGGTGGTAATGTAATCACAAAACGTTTCCTGCATAAACTTCGAGGATCGGTGTTTTTCAATCGATAAACTCCCAAGCACATAATAGAGTATGTCCTCATAGCGAAACTGAATAATTCTCCAAAAGAACAAGTAGCTACCTCCTAAGAGAAGAATTTTCAGTCATAGTTAAAAATTGTCCTCCAATGCGTACATTATACGTCCTAATAAATGCAAACGATCATACAATTGCAAATATACAATATCAGAAAATATACGAACCCCTTGTGAATTAACAGCAAATTCTGCCAAAGGCATTTCATTTAAGCCTAATTGTGAAACTCGACAACGATCACGAGATGATTGCAAAAATTCACATGATAGATTACTACCGGGCTGTAAGCGGCTATATTCAGCAAGTTGACGTTCTAACTCTTGAGTAAATGTACCAGTAACTAACCCTTTAATGATACTTAAACATGATCTATTATAATAAACCTACATGAAACAAAAAATTGTAATTCCATCTTAATAATATAGTATACATAATGCAGAAATACTTTCTACTAGTAAAAACCTTTGTGTTCTCAAAGAATTGATGATAATTTTGCGCGTTTTAAATTTTAGTTTAGCTTTCCTACTTACCATACTTGTCAAACTATCTAGTACGGTTGATGCAAATGCAGTGCCACACGCAAATGGTTGAGTTAAATGAACCTCTAGATCTGGATCATCATCATCATCATCGTCAACAAATTCGACATTATCTCCGTTAACTAAATGTAATAAAACAGTATAAAACCTTTCTTAATATAGTATTGATTTTCCTATAGGCCATGATACTGTTTCTGCATAAGTACTGTAACACATTACCTAGATCAATTAACATAGGAACTTGATGTCCCTTTGTTGGTACACCACCAGGTCGATTAAACACACCGCCAATGATTTCTTTATCAGGTAAATCAATTGGTTTAAAATCAGTTGCTTTGATATTAAGAGAGGCTAATATTGACTCCCTATCCTCCAGAAATGGATCGTCAATATCGAATTTAGTTTTAATCGCCAATACAATACACATATCACACAGGTTAATGTTTACAGATCGGATATCTCCACGTCGTAGAGGCGAGCCCTGTAAAAATATCAAAAATTAATATTTTTGAGAAGTAAGTGTTTAAAGTAAATTAGAACAACAAAGAATAAAAACGAATTCCATATAAATCTAAATATTTAATTTATATCATCTTTCTATGTGCTATAATCTACAGTATACATTTATACCATTGCAAAATACACATTTATGAACTTACATGCATCACATAGACATTGTGAAAGTTGCAGATGTTTTCCCACTAAATAAGAATTATATTATATAAACAGTTACAATCGCCGCACAGATCCGAAAACATATTTAAAGCATTAAATCGTATACCAGATAACTGTACGCTATTCATACCTTCACTACAAACCAACAAAAATTTTAAAATGGCCTATAACTATCATCCACATATAAATTTTTATCTACTTCAGTACGCGCTATCTAAAAGACACTTACATCTTTCCTAATATACTGGATATCACCTAGTATAATAATTGTTTTTAGTTCATCAATGGGAATATTTGATGTTCTAAGAGGTCCAATCTAAATATCAGAATAAATCAAACCGTAAGTTGATATAAGTAAATTCATAGTATCTTATGAAAGCAAAACAAAACTGGATTGATTAATATTACTAAAAATAATAGTAAGTAAATTTTAAAAACAAATTTAATTCTTACAATGGCTGCTAAGCCAACAGGAGCTGTATTATCATCGCCATAGGCACATATAACAACATGGCTATGCATATCTTCGTAGACGGTATCACGATCCTTAAAATGTAAATTTATAAAGATAATTCACGTAAGTACTTATAAATCTCAAACTAAAAATACATCAGTACTATATAATAGCCACAGTAATTATCTTCCTAATTTTCGATTGTTTCAACTAATATATAGATAAATAATTCATGCTACAACATTATATAACCACTAATACAGCAATATGCATCCAAAATATAAAGTTGATATCTTCCCATGACGTGTTAAAGGTCGAAGCAAATTACCAGTATAACATCTTCAAGTTCTTTTTTCTTGGACCAGTAAAACATCCCAGTCGAGTCAAAAGCAAAATCTCTAACAGGACACCCAGCTGCATCTTCCAATAGATGCATTGACTTTTTTACTATACTGTCACGTTGATTGTCATACTGACGAGATGTGGAAGCAAGCCCATTACTCGCTTTTATACTGTTAGGATTTGGAATTACGGAATTGCCTTGAAATAACCCCACTGTGAAATAAGCAAGATGAACCAAGTTATCATAGGTTTAAGATGCTAATATATATAATTCATGAGTTTAGATACATATTTTGAAAAATTTTATATGCTATACTACATCTTTCATATGAACACAACGATATTCAGTATAAAAATATTCTATAAGCACTTTATTACCATTTTTACAATGGCATTTAAGAATTTTCTTCGGATCAAGAATATCAGCATGGCAAGTGCCGCAATAATCAAACGCCCTAAAAGTTAGATTATAATCTTTAGAACAGACGATAAAACTACAAATCTGTATAAGTATTACAGTTAACTTTAGAGACTGATCTTTTGATTATATAATGTGATCTTAGTATCTATTCTAAACCAGAGAAACAAATTAATAATAATACCAAGGATGCCTAGCTAATATATTAAATCATTTTAGTCCAAAATTCCCTCGCTACACTTTTAACTACTAACTTTACCTTCTAGTATCTCTTGAAGAATCAGTAATAAAGTAGCCGAACGTATTCTCGGTAATAATAGCTTCCTTGCTAGAAGGATTGACGTAAAATCTAAGAAAAAGCATTGAATTACCAAAGGAATGAGACAGTTTATTAAGGTACAACAGCAACAGATCTATAAATTAGAATTAATCGATGAAAAGTACAGTAAGAACATTATTTATATCTTAATTCATCTCAATCCTTTAGACAGTTATTTATTCTTACTAAGTACATACGTTATGCATGCCAACCTCATTTTATTATTACGTATTTACAACTTACTTTCTTTCTCTAGTAATAGGGTCCTTAAACTCGATTGCAAGTAGTAGCAAGTTCAACTGACGATAACATACTCTAAATGAATAAATAATAATAATCATGTATCAAAAACAATATTTGAGTAGCAATTTTTACTGGCAGCATCTGGTAACATATAATGAAAAGTTATAAATATTTACTCGGCAGTTACTGCAAATGATAAGCCATGAAAAGCTGCGGATAGCTTTCTGGTATATAATTCATGAGCGCTTCCATTTGTGTACTGTGAAAGCCAATCTCCAGAATGCCAAGCTGATTCCTATGATTAAACAATCAATATTGTAAAACGACAAGATACATAAATATATCAAAATATTTGTTTCACAATTGTTAACTATAACGGGTAACTATCTTACTCCATTGGTAGATCGAGTTGTTAAGATATTGGTCATTAATGTGGAAAAGCCTGGACTGTAACAACTTTGAGCAAATAATCCAAGTTTTAGCTAAAAGAATAAATATAAGTGTACTCAACTAATTAATCGATTTACAGAATGTGCTTGCAGAAATATCAAGATAATTCTTTAGCTAGCTTACACTACTCAGACAAATGACAGCATCTCCCTTCTCTGGCCTCCAACTAGGAATATTTTGTAATACAGATCTACTTTTATATCGGTTGATTTGCACAATGACTTTCATATATGGCATATAATTTTTGATAGCAATGACCCTACGTTGTAATTCCAATACAGGTTACATTAAAAACTTTTTTGGTCATCTCAACAAATCTCAGCAGCAAATAACTCTACCTCATGACATTTTCTGCATCATCTCGCTCAGGATCTGCACAAGATTTATCACACAGGATGATGCAAGCATTGGCTTCTTTGATCTGTTAATAAATAAAAATAGGAGCATAAATAAAAGTTCCGCTAACACAAATATTGGAATGCGATTCAATAGCTACAAAATTAAATAGCCCACCGCTACTCGGTCCAAATCTTCTGGCTCTAGCACTGAACCTTGTAAGTATAACGTTGAAGCAAAATTCTTTTTCAGGACCTCTTCCATCTTAGGCGAAGGTTTATTTCTATATTTAGGAATAATCATAAATCAAATAATCTGTAATAGTGTGATATTACAGTAAAACTAGCACAGCTGAGAAAGTTTGTATATGATTAAGAAATAATCAACATATAATCGTATGTAATCTATATTTAGATCATAAAGTCTAATATCAAGGTAATAAAATCTTCGCTTAATTCAAATAATACAGTACACTATTCGACTTACTTGCTCAAGAAAACGACTTTAATATTGCCCTTCACACGATCTTTATGGAAGAAATCTCGTAAAAAATTTTTTGCATTATCACCATTAATGCAACCACTTACGATAATATGCCTAGCAATTTTGTTCATTAATTAGAATATTATTAGCTATAAGTTCATATTTTCCTACAACACTGAAATCTATTTTACATCAAATCATGGAGTAGAAGTTTCATAGATATTCTGTTATTGTATCATCTTGGGCTTACGTTTTTTCACTAGCGCGAATATAGCGACCTTGATATTTTGTCTTGCTAAATAAAATCTCAGCAAGTAACGGGATATAGCTACCGAATAAAGCCTGTAAATAACAGAAAATAAATAAATACATGTATGCAAAAACATTAAGTCTATCTTATTATAGACATAACGAACGCAAATCTTAAATTTTTTGTCCTAGATTGTAATCATCATATTATTCGCGTACCAATCCTCCTATGATAAATATCATGGCAAAGACTCTCCCAAGAATAGTGTTAGGAACTATATCACCATACCCTACAGTTGACATTGTAACCTATAATAAAAGTACAAATGATATAGTAAAACGAACACGTACATAAAACCGTGAATACTTTACTAGTAGGTCACCAAATGGGTGTTTATCTAACATTTATAACTAAACATATATGGAATTGATTAATTCTTCAACTTTAAATTTAACGTTGAAAAAACACATAAACGTATCTTACCATATGATACCAAACACTCTCGAAATAGCTAATGGTACGAGCATTCGAAGGAACATTCCAAGGGTCTCCATTGGTCTCAATCTGTGGTATAGGCGTATATTGTATATTCCATAATTACTATTAGTACAGTCTAATTAACAATATCTTTCTACTACTTTGCGGTTACTCTTCAGTCATCTCTACTAACAGATATGTCATGAATGGACGATGTAACTATATAAGCTTGCATCTACTATTTACTGTATAATCCAACTAACCAAATGAAATGCTCCGGCAGCTGCTAACCACCAACCCGTGATATTACAAATCATCTTTGCCACCTTTGTCCGTTCACTACAACAAAAGTCAAGTTAAGAATCCATAATATCTTCTTTGCAGTAATTAAAATATTTTATGCTGATATTGTTAACCTAGCATCGCTAGGTACCTTACCTTGACGCTAGTATACCAAAATATCGTAAAGTATCAGGAATTTTACATATTATTAAAGACCGACAAAATTTTAGACCTATTTTAAACAAAAATTAATTTATAAGAATGATACATAAAATATTACTAAAAAAGATTATTATAGTTATTGCCAATATGTTCTCACAAATTTGTATAAATAGCGATTACTGAGGTCAAAAAGTGTATAATAATAAATGCATACATAATACGTAAAATTAGAACTTAATACGAACAATATTGGAAGCTGTAAAATGCATTGTAAGTATGATAACGTTAAGAAGAACTGCATAAGCATAAATATGCAGATATCTATAGATTAGAAGTAACGCTTAGAAACGTGAGTCTATATTAGCCTTACAGGACTTAAACAGAAAACTTATAGTAGTGTAAATACAATACAAATGAAAATTAACTGACATAGAGGCATTATGTAGTTACTGTAAAGCCATATCCCGTAATGATTGATAATGCAATTGATTTAATAGTGAATAAATAGAATTACAACGGAATAGAAAGATTCTGAAACATATGATAACATGTATAGAATTAAAGTTAATGAAGCAACTTTGATTTGCAAGCAATGGAGAGCAATACTACATTTTGAAAATTGATCCAATACATATAGTCTCAGACCACTAAGAACCACTTTCAGCAGCCTTTAAAAAGGCATTACTAACATGATAGTACAGTATCATGTATTGAAATAACTTATTGTTAAAGAATATTTACTAATATTATCTACCTTAATTGTAGCTATTATTTTGCTTTTAATGGTAATTAGATAGATTTCATGAAAGCAATTTTATATTAGAATACCAGAAATCGTTCTTAATTTATAGCTACCTTGCCAATCCGAGTTTAGAAGAGCGGCCACAATGATAGGTGGAATAGTCAACATGTCCACAATGGAGTTGAGATCCACCCAAAAAGCAATCTTATCTACTGCTCCTAATAACTGCAATAAACGGTCATAACTATTATCATTTCTAAGAAATCGCATCTTGCTATTGCATTTGAAAAATGATGCTACAAGTCTAGTTGTATAGATCATGTTGCTATTTTGCTTAATGAGGCAATCCGTTGCAATTGAATTACAATATATGGTTTAATGAGCCATTGTTATCATAATATAATTAAACATTACCGTAGCAACCTGCAACGGATCACAAATTAGAAAGTACTATTAACAGCGTCAATTATAATCCTAATCATATCTATTCAAGCATTTCATACTACTAACTTTGATCAGGGTAACTACATTAATACGAACAATTGGTATCAAAAATTATATATTTGAATACAGTGCAAAATAAATCGAAAACTAATTATACGTTGTAAAAGCAAAAAAAATTATTAGATGAGCTACAATCATTCCCTCGAGATAAATCACTATAACTTTTTATATTTATAAAGTTTGTTAACGTGATTATCACCCAATTAATAGAAAAATTTTACCCATTATTTACCAAGTTCTAAGGAATTGACAGTAGTAGAACTTTGCGACTACAACAATTTATAAATTATCTTTCCAATGAACTAATTTACCAGATGTAGACATAGTTACAACTTACTCGAACAAAGAAGAAACCTAAGAGGAACATATTGGTAGAAAATTCAGCTTGAAATAGATAATTTTTCCAAGCAAGGACACAATTCTTATTGACACTAAATCATTATGAACATACGAGTATTAAGTTCAGAGTGAAAAGTATGATATAAATTTAACGTCCTGAATATTAAAAATATTTATTTTGAAGATTAATCGCGAACCAAAAGGTATTTACACTTACTTGTAAGTCTGTAAAACATACAGCGTCAATACCCCCAAACTGGCAAGAATATTTAAGATTCCCTAAAACGAAAACGACGGAAGTACATCAGTTTTATTTCATCGCATGATACTTTATGGCCAATTGTATATGCAGTATTTACATTTGTGTAGAAATCTGTTGTTATAATCGTCTAATTCGGCACATGATTAAAAATTCTTGAATAACAAATCGAAAGTATGTACTGTGATAAAAATTTGTACTACAGAAGTAATTTATTCTATTCGTTTCTGACAAGGGCTTATTGCTGATATTAATAAGGAAACGTTACCGCGTACGAAATCGCTAAATTATAATTCTATAAACTGAAAATTAAATGTCACTTATTATAATAACTACTAGAGTACGAATTTCATATCAAAAAGTTTATACTATCGACTCCTATACACCATTACAATATGGAAAGAGGCAACAAAAAACTCTAAATATTGTAGCATGAATTTCCCAAAACAATATTATAAATAGACACCCGTAGTTTAAATAGTTTGATAGGTAAACATTGAATAAAATCAATTTTATTAGTCATGGCAAAATTAGTTATATTACAAACAAAATTATAATATAGAATCAAACAAGCATAATGGAAATTATTAATTGAAGTCAAAAGTCTGCCTAAAGGATTCTTAATTCAAGTAATAAATAATCAAACCTTCTTAACAATACTACATAAAGCACATTTTATATTAAACAGATCGTCTGAATTTTTACTTTTGTAGATAAACTGTAATAAATGGTAAAAATAGAGAAAATTTCTTTCTTGGAGAATTTGAGTTGTCCATAATTTGATCAAGGAAAGTAAGCAACAAAAAACAAACTATACTTCATTCCAATAGATGATATAACCTACTCTAAATCAAAATCTTACATCTGGGCTAATTTTAAGAATTGAATCACAGTAGGCTTCTTATTACAAACATTATACAATACTGATAGCGTTGACATGTTTGCAAGAAACCTCCGTAGTAGACAATCGGGTGAGGATTTTATCATCTTAATGCCATGTAAATACACTTATGCAAAATGTCAAAAAGAAAGAAAAAGAGTAGAGTGTCGTATAAACTCTTTACTTTTTGATTTATTTTCTTTTCCTATCCTAAGCTACTACTTTTTGGAAACTATTTGTTGATAGCCGCTATGATTCTAAGGCCAGTTACAACTAGCTTAAGGGTTATCAAACTGGAGTACGAGGTGAAATTAATTATAAAGATATTTCAAATATTCCATTTTGATTACGCTTATATAAGAAATTAGTCCACGTATCACATAAGTACAACTTGTCATCGTTAATTAGACTTTCTTACGTAATTTCATTGAATGTACGTATAATTGAAGTATTTTAAGACTATAGTTATAATTGCTAAATCGTATGAAAAGTTTTTCGCCTTTCGTTTGTTTCAAGAGAAAGTCTCTATCAAGAGATGCAGGATAGACTTTGAACAATTACTATTTTATGGTCTAATAAATATTGATTACAATATACAAAAAGCGTTAAGGGAAGATTAAAGAAGCGAAAATTGGCAATTGAAAAGAGTTATTACAGTACGTATTAGTTTTGTATCAATTGACTAACACCAGAATGAAAATATAAGTACACTCGATATGGTCTTATATTCTATTTATCTGAAATTGGATATTTTCGTTTTAGTTTCTACCACATCTAAATAAATAATATCCTCAATACAAGAAAAAAATCGAAGAAAACTTAAGCTTTGATTTGTCACAAGTACGACTCGACTATCACTCACTAGCAAGACTACCCAACATTTCATAAACAACTCATAACAAAAATTTAACCCATTTTTTCAACAAAATAGTCGCAAAATTTACTATAAATAAGGCTAGATTTGATATATTCGTAATGTCTCTTACCAATAACTTCCCTAAGAAACCATAACCGGAAGAGACAGAAATGGCAAATCGTTGTAACCTAGCATAGAAACTAATGTTTTTATACTCTTGTAAGCGGATTTGATTGGTGAAAACGTTAAGAGGTCGAAGATGATTTGGATTAACTTTGTTCTTCTTCCAACAAACGATGTTGAGAACGCGTATTAGCCAAATTATAATTAGGCCACCCAAAAAAGTTGCTGCACTACTAGCGATAAAGACCCACCAATTGGTGACGTAAAAGCAAGTCTTTGGAAGAATCATGGTTGTCTTGAGTTAAATTGAATGTATTATTACGAAAACGAGATGGAAAATGCTCTCAGCCTATATTAGACTCAGTTGAAATGGATTACTGCACGTCTATATTAACTTAATGGAGAGTAGTATGAGGATTAGACAGTGGAGTTTTCAAGTCTACAGTAAGCAAGAGATAGCAGTAAGGGTGACAAATGTAATTACTTTTCTGTACTTAAGGCAGAGAATTTCACGTCAAGAGTAAAGTTAAACTTCAATATGTCTAGTAACGACTAATATCGGAAACCCTTTTAGTATTTTAATCTGTGGACGAAGGAATGGATTTTAAAATGTTGTGTAAGGAAGAATTTAGAGACTGCCAATAAAGCCGATGAAACGATTGCTGTCGGGGTTGGCTGATTCCTTCTCGCCGATACCCAATGTAATTAATGATCAATATGAGAGAAAAATGGATACCTTGATGGCTTTAAAACAGTGATGATGATGATGTAAGTGATCCCTTTCGTATTTCAAAGAAATCATCTATAGAGTAAAAAAAACTAGATTTGAGCATGGAATGTGAAAGAGAGAATCGAAAGTATCGAGTATACAAAGAAATAATTGTTGACGTGATTGATTTTTTTCTACTTGGGTCTAAAAATCCAATGCCAATCGTAAACCAACAGTAAGATCGATTTTATACTATAATGATAAGTAATACATGTGATCTCTAGTATTTTAATTGAATTATCTATAGTATAGAAGCAAAAACTCAATTTGAGCATGAAATATCAAGGAAGAACTTAAAAGTATTCTGTATAGAATGAAAATAATTCGACAGTATAATTGTTGAACGTGATTGATATTATTCTCTACTCCACTTTAAAAATTCAACATCAATCGTTAGGATTAATTCTACACTTTCATAGCCATATAACATGTCATAGACGTAATGGTTGTTTACTATTAAAAGTACCTATCGAGGAAGAAATGTTATTGAGAATGCGATATAATGAAGAACTTGCAATATCCCAAATAATCCTTGGTCAACATGCTCTCCACTAGAACACTACAAGTGTCTCTTGCATCGTCTAACGTTTGATTTTTTTCGTCTTTGACTAGAAATAGGGTTAGCTAGTGAGTTGATCAAGCTAAAATAATGTTGATTAGCTCTGTTATTAGCCAAGACAAGGTCGAAAAAGAATCTTCCTTCGTTGCCAAGTCCTTCCTGATATGAAATATTGCGATGATGAATTTTAAATTAGTGTTGTTGATGATGATTAATTATAATAATTTACCTTGAAAGTGAACAGGCCACTAGGGTAATGGTGCAGGTATTACTTGAGGAATAAAGTAAATGGTATAAGCTACTGATTGGCTTACAAAAACTAATCCAACGCAATCGATGATTTAGATCAACAACGGATGTCAATATTGCAGCCACCAGCGAATGGATTGGCTTAGGCCAACAGTCTATACTGTTGTATGATCACCTTTCTCCTTTCTGATACTCTATACTATCGATAGTATGACAAAGAACTTGGGAGGAGATTCCATCATTTTGTTGGCAGTTGCTATGGCAACTAACCAAGGAAATTTCCTTGAACTTGCGGTTACTGGAAGAGGATTCTAGCCATTGGTTGGCTATTGCATAGAGTAAATAATGAATAATATTTTTCTTTTTGAGGGGGGGGGGGGAAAACTGGAGTTACAGTAATAACGATGGCAATTAATTTAGCGATCGGTATATCCAGTTCAATAAATTCATTTATCAGCTATTGCTACTGCAAATATGGACAGCATACTGTCATCACAGGATATGCTATCAGTACTGGCAACGCACAGGAAATCGATGCAAAGCAGATTGTTTGGATAGAAGAGATACGAATATCCCAAAAGAGGCCAGCTCTTTTACTGAGTAGAGGTATGGACTACTAAAATACTTGTAGGATACTGTAAAGTAGTGATGAAATCTTCTTCATCCAGTCCTCGATACAACTGTGCTCCAACAACAATGTGCCATGCATGCACCCCATACCATGGAACGATGAGTCGGTTTCCTTCTCCTAGTCCATAAGCATACTTGCATGCTCGTTACTAATTGACTAGAGCATTAAACCAGAGTTATCATCTTGAGAAAATTTCGTTATCTTAAACGTAAGCATTCTACCTGAAAACTCAATATCTACAGCCGTTATATCCAACCCTCTGATCCTTAAAATAGTAATAACACAGGATGTTCAAAATAGGCTTTTAGCTCATTCTGGATATTACGGTAATTTGTTGGTGTTATACCATGATTCAACCAGAGTACAGTATACTGTATACAACGTATCCATCTCTCTCTCTCTCTCTATCAATTGTCTTAACGTAAGCCTTCTAGCGTACTGTGCAAATTTCTCGTATGCATACTTTGCACAAGTCCTGTCTAATAATTCTTAGATTATTATTTGCAGGAATCATATCTAATCATAGGTCATTAGAATAATAACACAAGATGTTCCAAAACATGCATTTAGCTCATTCCCATTCATTCTACTATCTGTGCTACGGTAATTTAGCCATTCACAAAATCAAGAGTATCATCTTAACGTCAATTTATCATGTGCATAATTTGTAGGGATGATATTCTAAATAGTCTAATCCTCTGATTCTTGGAATATTAAAAGAGGTTATTCAAAATAATATGCCTTTAGCTCATTCTGAATAAGTCTGCGAACCAACCAGTCAGTCATGCAAGATCTGCAAGCACTTCTTCAAATTCGAACAGAACGGTTGTGTCTGTCTGTCACGTCCGTTTCTCTTGTTCGTTATACTCGTTTTCATACGACGTCGTCAGATACGATTCTCTCATCATAGAATTCTACTTTCTCCTACCTCTTGTTTGGGTTGAAGTATCAAGTAGCAACGCGTATGTCCTCCTGAACTGGATTGGATTCTATCCGCTAGTCTAAAGAGAGGTAAGTGCTTCAGTCATTAGCCTACTACACTAGTTTTAATAGCAGCCCCAATCCAGAACGACATAATTGTTCGTTAAAGCTTCCACACGCGGATTTCACTCCATTCGATGACCTCCAGCGGATGCAAACATGCCTTACGCTAGCCAACCTCGGGTTACTATTCCCGATTTAACCAATGAAAATGTCAAATTTATCCTTGAAAATACCGATTTAAGGTAAAAGATTGCATCGATATTGCTATTAGACTTTCTTAGTCTCCTACTGTGATGAACAAGTACCTCTATAGTCATGATTCGATCAATCCATAACTGATGTTGTAGTTGTTGTTAGCGATGGCAATGGACGAATTTCTTGTCATCATCCAATGATGGCTATTAGTTAGGATGATTGCAATCGTTTTGCTTTGATTCCTAGTAGGTGTAGTGTAATTGACTCAGAGTTCAAGCCTATATTGGATATAACTTATAAATTATACGGGATATCGTCATACATCACTAGACGTTCCTATGGTCTAGGATAGAGTACACGTAAGAAATTGAAACCGACGCTTTCAATCTAGGAAAATATCATTCAATCATGGGATGAACTATTTCAGTATTTTACATATAGAGTATAGACACACTCTTCTGCTGATATAGTTACAGGATACATGCTGTTCAACTGTTGAAAATGGGACAAAATATCATTCCATCAAAGGATTGATTATTTCAATATTGGATAGCATAGTTTTGATACACATGTATATTGCTACAGTACTGTACAATACTGATGGACTATTCCAATCTGACCAAAATATCAATCATCCCATCAAAAGATTGAATACTTACATACATACATTAGTTTTGTACAGCATCGATTTTTATACGCTTTTCTAGTCATATAAGTACAGCAGAAATACCAATCAACTATTCTAGCAATACGGTACATCAAAAGACAGATCGATATTGTACAGCATACGAGGACAAATATAGTCATCTAAAGCCAGAAGAGATGGAGAATAATACTCATCCATTAGAAAGACTGAGCAACGAGGTCAATCTAATAAGACATTTGTCAAAGCATTCATCAATAGAAAGACTATTATATTAATCACGGGTAGACATAACAGATATATAGTATATGCTCTCAGTACATAGATCAACCCTGGAATTGTCTAAATCGAACGAAATAGCTGTCCAAACATTGATCAGTGCAGCATCGATGATGAATACAATAATTAATTAGCCAACGGTAAGAGATAAAAAGATACAGTAGGACACTACAATACAGAGAGATAGCATATAGACAGTCCATTACCAATACTGATCGACAAACCAATCTAAAAAAGATACCCTATCAAGGATTTATCAGTACAGCACAACTATAGTCATTAATGGCAGGCATTATCAGAAATGATCGTATCATAATGTACTACTTACTTTACACACCAGCGTACTCTAGAAATATTAATCCAATAATTAATTTTAAAATAAATATTCCATCAAAGAATTGATTACTACTACCTAAAAGACAACTACAGTTGTCAAAAGTAGACATAGACAAGAATAATCGTGTCTTTATGAACTAACTTTGTTGCTTTAATACGATATAGCGTGGCCAATAGCTTACGACGTATCTTCATTGCCAATGTCCCCACTTTAGGTAAGTATATGGCATTTTAAATTCCTACTGATTTGGAAAATCCTTCTACGCAGCTATAGAATACCACGAAATTTACCAGTTTTACAGTACGCTACAGTCATTGAATTAGTTGTCTGTTATTTCAGGATCGGTTGCAATAACGTGCTAAGCATTGCACTACTATGTAATGTATTAATTAAAGTTTACTCCTAGTCAGCTATCTTTTATACTGTACAAATTATTCTCACAGAGATATCAATCAAACCTAGATAATGCAGTAAAGTCCATTCCAAGTCAATTTCGTTTTATACTGTAGTAACTGTTCAAATAGAGATATAAATCAAACCTAGGTAATGCAGTAATGCCCATTCCAAGTCAATTACGTTTTATACTGTGCAAATTGCGCAAACAGAGATAAAAATTAAACCTAGGTAATGCAGTCAAGTCCATTCCAAGTCAATTACCATTTATACCGCACAAACTCTTCGAATAGTTCACTAAACACTATTCTCTATTCTGACGTGCCTTCTGAAAACCCTGCACACCAGCTTGATGAATAACCATTCTCCTATCTTCTTCCCTAACAGCAATCGATTGGGTACAATTCGTTAATAATACATCCGTTTTGAGCGATGAATTTATAGCTCATAGACTTGGGCTGATTCCATTAACTTGTGATGAAGTAATTGATCGTTTACAATATTCACGAGTAAGTATGATTGATTGATTGTACAATTATACTTTTTGGAGATCAAGCTATCCTAACCACATGTTATGGCTTCATTGTGCCTTAATTATTAAGGATTGTAATTGCGTTGAACATTGTCCCGAGTGTTCGGTTGAATTTACCTTGGATGTAAGGTGTAACGATGATCAAACGCGACATGTTACTACCAGAGATCTCATATCTTCCGATAGCCGTGTCGTCCCTGTAAGTAATTTTATACTGTGCAAATACAAGACAGCAAAGCTATTGATTGTTCAAATAATTTAGAAAGGTACACTTAAAGTATCGCTAGCTTTATGAATAACATTGCATGTCTTCTATCCTAGGTAACGACACGCTACGGAGAAGACGATACAGTTTACGGAGATCAAGAAGATGGTAAGTGATAAAGCACTCATTCAAGAGCAATTTTCTATTCTATCCGCCAATGATAATCATATCAACTATATCTCACATAGTATAATTAATATAAGATGATCTGAGCCCGTTGTGAAATGGTTGACTTTAAAACAATCTCTTATTTTCTTCCGTATTATTATAATTTAGACATCTTGATCGCGAAATTACGTAGAGGACAGGAAATTAAAATCAAAGCTTACGCCAAAAAGGTATAGATTAAACACTATACCCATATATTGAATATTGCATATTAATGTACAGTAGTCATAAAAACATTGCATCGATGGTATCTTCAGGGTTTAGGAACGGAACATGCTAAATGGAATCCTACAGCGTCAGTAGCTTTCGAATATGATCCTGACAATGCAATGAGACATACAACGTATCCCAAACCAGAGGAATGGTTCGTATCACACTGTCGTAATTTTGAACTTAAAAAGGAATATAATACAATCTCTTATGTAACTTCCTAACTATCTTTCAATTATATCATTTATCCAACATTTAGGCCAAAAAGTGAATACTCTAATTTACCTGAAGATAACTGTAAGTTCAACATATAAATATCTAAACTGTTAAATATCATACTTATCTATTGTACTTTAGAGATAATTGAATCCAAGGTCTTGCTATCTACATTGAATAGAACGTAATTTTAAATGTTTTATATCCTCAGATGAAGCATCATACGACCCCCAGACTGTTGCAGATAAATTCTATCTTAACGTTGAGGTTTCAAAGCAAATTAAGAAATTGATAACGTGAAAATAAATCTGGTAATTGAATATTGACCAATGTTATCTAATTTATTTAGACGTCAGGATCTCTACGACCGGAAAATATTGTCTTATCTGGTATTTCTACCTTAAAAAATAAATTAAGTGAACTCCAGCTCCATTTTTCACACGAACAATCACAAGGAGCTTTAAATTTATGATTGCTCTTATTTGTATATTGTTTTGTCTTATCAACTCATCTTTAAAATTTCCTAGCTTCTTAAAAGATATTTCACGACACTGTCACCTTGTTTCTGCTGTAATATCAACTCTGTAATTAAAGCAGCTCGTTGTTATTTAAAGTTCTTGTAGCTGGAGTTCTCTAGTTAACAATCCGAAATAGACAAATTTTACCTCTGCATATCTGTTTACCCTTTCGATATACAACGTTAGATAATTAATCTATAATTGATTTATTTACTCCCAAGTTTTGGTGTATCTTTTAGTACTTTGTTTGGTATAATCTCATATTGAGTTTTTGTCCACGACTGTATATATGACAATTACACATACGAGATCACACATATTCGGTAATAAATTTTGAAATTGATAACTTCTTGATAATAAATGGATACGCTTAAAATGGTGCTACGACCTTAAGTTGTACTTCGACTTCAAATGATTTTTGTGGAAAGCATAATAGGTTCAATAGATTTAATTTACGTAGGATCGCATCTGTTCAAAATTACAAAACGAATAAAATATTCTGATGGTTTAGTAATCGATCTTCTAACTACAACCCTATAGTAATGATCCTTAGAAGAAGTTTTTAAATTGCGATATTCTCTACATGTTTCATGCCTCTTGTAGAGATTTGATAAGTTCTAATAGGATCTTCATGATCGATATAGGACATATCACGATCAGTATACAGCAAAATCAATAGCACGTTATAGGTAATGAAATAAAATTAAACTTGCGTTTACTCACATTTATATCGTCAAGGAGTGCTTAACGTAGAAACATTCCTCATATGATGAACATGTATACCACTTTTCGAGAATTATATTTTTATATATTACTTCACGATCAAAACAGAATAAATCACTAGTACGTGAATAAGAGACATAACAATACACGCACCAAATAATCAAGCGGCATTTGACGTGACAATCTCTACATGTTCATATCACTTATTAGAGATGTTCTACCCTATAACGGAGTCCTTTGCTTTGGTTCTTTCTATATATAGGTATCTGGTAAGCATTCATTCGTATGAATGTTGCGTATATGAAGGTCATTTATAGTCACATGTGTTTGTAAATCATTAATACCTTAACTACTTGTTTTAACGACATCCTCTCTATGTGGTATAGCACTTTTAGAGAAGCTGTACGCTATTATACGGAGTCTTTTTAAATCTATATGTGAGTATGCGTTTACCGTATGTTAGCAATAAACAGCAAAATTATCAGCCTACATGTACATGCAATGATACATATATAGATATATTGGTGTATACTTATATATATATATGCGTATATCGGTGACATCTTTGCAAGATACGCTGAGACCATCTCCAATTTTTAAAATTTCATGTGCGCTTTAATAGAATCTTAGTAAATTATTAATATTTCAACTACCGTTTTAGCGATATCCCCTTCCATGTTATCTAGCACTTCTAATTTCAAAGATTTAATGAGCTGCTTAAATAGAATCTCATTAATTGGCATAGATTACTTAATTAATGATATCAAATATACAACAAAATCAACATCATATTGGCAATATTAATTTGTATATCCAGTATATCGTCAAGTAGTAATTTTCATAGCGATATTCTTTATAGACGAGTGTTATATCTCATCTTCAGGGATTCTACGTACTATAATAGAATCGTATGGAGTTCTGTATGATGTTGTTGTTTACCGTTTTCATACATAGACTGTTAATGTTCAGAGCATTTAATATTGAATTAAGACTAGTATTTTAACAACTTTGAGCTTTATTTCATTAGCAGCAATTCATAAATTCGTGATAATAGCAGACATCGTATAGGAGGAATGTTGTGCACCCCCATGTTTACACCGCAGGCTGTCATTATCTGGGCTTACTTTATAGTAGCGTAGTATAATTAATGCTGACATTGACAGTATAGTATCCTTAGCTAAATTATTCCAACTTGGCAACTAATATTCCTTTCTTTATTGTTGCTAGCCATGGCTATTGTTATGATAATCGTTTCCTATTGCTAACATGGTTACAACTCGTTTACAATATTATTTGCTACAATAAACTAGGTAAGGAGATTGAATTATTTATTTTATATGAGTAAAAGTAGGATAGCAACTATACAATCGCTAAATCAAGCTACGGCTTATTTCACCTTTTCAGCAGTACCTTACCGATCTAAAACTAATTCATTTTCAGTTTTTGGGTAGTTTGAATTGAATTAAGGATAAATCAATCTGAACTTGAAATTCTATCATAACCTTACCAACTCACCTTTGATTGCTATTATAGACTACCCCATTAGCAAGGTCATCACACCCAGCTCAATTCTATAGCCATTTAAATTGGCACAGTCCTAGTAACCCTTTCTCAAGCTTGAATCGATTTACTGCCACCATTTAGCAAAGAATTTATATCGAAAAAAATAGTAAAATTACCTTAACTTTTATTAAAAATTAAAAAATTACAAGCATCGATTAAACAGAATCAAAAGGAAAAATGCCAACTGCTGAAAATTTTGAATCATTTCGAGACTTATTTCAACATTACTGCAAATTAGGACCTAAAGCGCCCATACACTCACGTAACTTAATGAGTGGTGGCATGTTTGCTAAATTAATTCGTGATGCTGGATTATTGGATAGGAAATTTACTACGACCCATGTTGATATGCTGTATGCACAATGTAAAAGGTAATGACTTAAAAATCATCGTCTTATTTATTTAATTTATCTAGCCCATCTTCTCTTTCATTCTTATATTACTAATTTTATTATCTATTCTAGCCATCACAGATGATAGTAGTACGCATAAATATTCAAGTTACCATTGACTTGTCAATTTTTAATGATAGAGATCACTAATAGATTATAATACTGTCAATCTTGATTACCAAAGTTGGTAAGGTTTTCAATATAATTTTAACCCTTTTATAATATCTCTAATTCAACGCTACATTATATCATTTTTAGTACACAGTGATTGCTATAAGTTTATTTCAAGTAACCGCTGTTGCAAATACGCCTACAACTAGAGGAAATATTGCTATTAGTGAAGCTTTTTTCTTATTTTCTACACTTATTTTAAAAGATATTAAATAAGAGAAACAACATCCTTATGAAGGGCTATAATAAGAACATAAATAATATATGTAGTCATTCACCATCGCCTTCATGTTTTCTTCAATTATAAACGTAAAAAGAAGACAATATATCTTACAATTTGTCCATGATCGATAGTGAAAACTTTCTCTTGATACTAAATTAACAACTACCTCTTCTATATCTTCTCTTTGGATTATAAAACGTGAAAGAAAGGTGCAAGATTAGTAACCACCTCTCCTTCATGTTCCTTTTGGATTATAAAGCGCGTAAGAAAGAGACTTTTATATTTTTTTTAATGCTAGAGAAAAATCACCTCTTCCTTCATATTCTTTTAAATTACAAAATATGAAGGAAGGATAATTACAAGATAGATTCTCGTAGTACAAGATTCATACTTACTTCCTCCCTCTAGTTCTCTTTATGAAACATGAAGGAAAGGTAATTGTAAAGTTGATTCTCTCAATACAACATTAATAGTCATCCCCTACTCCGTATTCTTTTTGAGCTACAAAGCATAAAAGATATTTTAACGTTTTCTTAATGCAAGGTTAATAATCACGTCTTCTAGCATGCTCTTTTTGAATCATAAAACGTGATCTATATTCTTTTGGATTATAATACGTGAAAGGCACTTAACATTCTCTTGATATAAGATTAGCAATCATGTCTTTCTACATGTTCTTTTGAATCATAAATCGCGAAAGAAACTCATAACATTTTCGTAATACAGGAGAAATAATTACTTCTTCTTTCCGGTTCTTATTGGATTATAAAACGTGAAGTAAAGGCATTTGCAATACTGACAGATTGGCAGTGTCTATCAAATCAAAATCCAGTGTTAATTATAATTATATTGAATTTAGAACGGAACTCTATTAATTTCTTATACTATCAATTGTGTTATAGAATAACTTAACCACAATGTATTATATAATTGAGCATCAATTTTATGATTGCTGCAGTTTAGATGCAATTGGATAAAATTTTAGTCATGATTGCTTTTTTATATGTACTGTAGGGCAGAAAAAAGGGATAACAATGTTACCATTTATTCGCTCGTTCTTAATCTATCGTTATTAGTTGCAAGTAATTTCTATCATAGGGTTATCTACGCTCATTAACACCCACGATAGATTTTCTTGATAGTTAGGATCTAAGAAGTAACATTATCCATCGCAATGAAATCCCATAGGGAAAGAACTATTATCATTAGACTGTCATAAATTAGCCACGGTTAGCCTTTACTTTCTTTTCCTTACAACTGATTCGATATAAACCGATTCCATTCAAACATTATTCAATCTAATGAAAGGATATAGTAGTTCAAATTGACTTCGGACCCTATTGTAAACCTATTTAACAAAGTTCCGTTAATCTTTACCAAGCTGTTGCAATTCATATTGATAATAAAGGGATCTGAAAGGATATGAATAAGATCAAAATATTCTTTTTAAGTACCGGTAGTTTTTTCCAAAATCTACATATGTAAATAAATAGATATTAACTGCAATAGATGGGATAGAGTGTAGATTTTAGTATAATTTCATTTTATTGTCTAAGACCAAAATACGTTCCCTAACCTTTCTTTTCTTATACACTGTATATATGTAAATAAGTAGATGTTAATTACAATAAACGAGATAACGTGTAGATTTTACTTTAATTTGATTTCATTTACTAAGACCAAATACTCTCTCTAAGCCCTTTCTTTTCCTTAATCTTATATACTGCGTATATATAAGTATATACTTATTACAGTAACGAGATAGGATATATACTTTAGTTTAATTCGATTTTACTTGCTAAGAATCAATCAAAGCAAAATTAAAAATATTCTCTCTAAGCATTTTTCTCTTTTACATATATAAAGTAGTAGATACTAACTAGAATAAAGAAATAGAATATCGGTTTGAGTTTAATTCGATTTCATTGACTAAAATCGATGAAATTAAGACAAGAATACTCTCTCTAATTACTTTTTTCTAAATCTAAACCTTACATATATAAATAGTAGATGCCAACTGTAATAATTGAGGTAGTGTCTAGATTTTAGTTTCATCAAATTTGATCTCTAATGGCTGTTTCCCTAAATCTTAGCTATATCGATAAATAGATACTTACTGCCATAGAAGAGATATGGTCTAGATTTTAGCTTAATTGATTTCATTGACTAAGAATCAATCTCAATATATACCGTAATTTTCCACGATGAAGAAAAAATGATTTGATGATTTTTTTTACGAGAGTTATGACCATATAGAGTAATTTTATAATATTAAAATCCTTTTAATTATACAGAATCTCAGATACGAGAATATCCTACAATCAATTTTTAGCTGCCATGAAGCTACTGGCTGATGCTAAATTTTCAAATGCAGAAAAACCACTACATCAATTGCAAATGTCTTTTGGTATCCCAATCATAATAGAACCAGAGCCTAAAGAAGAATCTGAGGAAACTGAAGAAAAAAATGATTCGCAACAGCAAGATGGAGTTGATGGCAGTATGTCTGAAACTCAAGATCAGGTTAGATATTACACTAATACTAGAGAAAAGGATGAAAATTGTACGCCGGCTTTTTGTGCTTGTCTTTCATTGACTCTATCTGATTACTTACTATATAAGCAGCTTCAAAAATTAATCTCCCCAAAAATGAGATTTTAATATTAGTAATGTTAGCGACTGCTAAGAAAAGTCGCTGATTGAAGCAGCAACATCATCCCGTTTAATTTCATATAATAAATCCTGGGTGGAATATTTTAATTTACTTATTTTCTTGTCTACACTCGTTATGGGATAGGAGGATACAGAAAATAAGCCTGATGACGCAGAGCAAGAAAATGAGAGCAATGGTGTCGATATAGAGGGAGAAGCAGGAGAAGAAAATAACAGTAATGATCAGCAAGAAAATTATAGTGAAGAGAATAACCATGGAGATAATGGCGAAACTCAAGCAGACGATCAAGATAATCAAACTGGGAATGGTGAAGACACAAGTGAGCAACAAGATCAAAATAGCGGAGATGAAGAAACAGTAGCGGCAGAAGAAAACAACCAAATTGATCAAGAACAAGAAGAAGTAGATGGCAATAAAGATAGTGCTGTTGAAGGATCTGGTGAAGTAGCTGAGGAAGCTGCTGAAGGACCTGCTGAAGTGGCTGAAGTTGGTGAAGAAACCGCTGAAGCTGCTGAAGAAAATGGTGAGACTGCCGGAGAAAATGGCGAGGCTACAGAGCAAGTTGAAAATGAAGAGGAACAAACTAACGAAGACAGCTAAGATAGCTAAACTCCTACAAGAAGCAAAATCCTTTCTTGGAAAGCATATATTCATTCAGGCACAATTTCACCTTATTTTTATCCCAACATCGTTATTTTTGGAAAACAGTTATGAAAGATTAAGACAGAGATCTTAAAATCTTATCCTTGAACAATATGTCATGGGTTCTTCTATCGACTAATACTACGAGTAAATAGACTATGGTAAACCTTTTTCTATTCTAGTAACGATAATTAATTGACATAAAAGATGTTATTTCCTCCTCTGATCAAAACGTTGAAGAGTCATTATTGGATAAGATGGAAATAGATGAGATAAAGATATTACAGCATTCTACAATTTTTAATTGAATTTGTCCATACTTTAACCCGATCCATTTATTTTCCTTTTCAATGTGATGAATATTAATGAGAAATTAGGAGACTTTGCATCGATTAACCTGCATCATAATGTATCCCTCACTAGATTAGGAGCGTAAATTAATATTCAATTATGTAAATTGAGACAGCATCTAGCAAGTAAATTATTCATTTCGTTTTAAACTAGTGTGAATACCTAACGTAACCTACTTAGTTTGTCCTTTTCTCACTTCCTACGCTACATTAACCAGACTATATACGGTAACTATTAGCTAAACTGTTATTAGGATATCATAAGAAGTAGAAAACTAGAATAAAGTCGCAATCATTCTTAAATCTACTCGCCAACCATCGTAACATTCACCTACTTAGCTAGAAAACATGTAATTATCATTGGATTTTTAGCATTTATAAAGATAATGTCATCATAAGACAAAATGTATATGAATTTTATTAACGCAAAATCTATTTTTAGACTACTGGTAAAAATTGATACTATCATTAGTTTGAAGATAATCATCCCCTATCATTTTTTATAATGGATATTATCGATTGCTTTATTAGATGATTTAACAAATTCTATTTGCGAAACTACAATATCGAGTCTTGTTATGATTTATGTTAGTCTTGGTAATATCTTCAGTATTTGTAGATAGATAATTAGAATAAAAAGTCGCGTGGTAAAATCTATTCCAATAAGCATACTTCTTGATCGTTTATTATCTAATGTGATCGATGTCATTAGATTAAAATTTCAGTATAGTATAAGAACAGTATATGCATTCGAAGTATACATAGATTTCAAGGAGAAATTTTTTCTGTATTCTTTCTATATCTATCCAGCTATAACAAGATAAAATATCTGATCATCGATCGAAATTTTAGGGTTGTATAAGGATAGCATGAGTATTCGGAGTACAAGTGGATACTTTCTGTATTCATCCAGCTATAACAAGTTAAAATGCCAATAATCAGATCATCGATCGGCATGACGATAGCATGAATATTCGAAATATAAGTGGATCTCAAGGAAAGCGATTTTCAGTATTTTTTCTGTATCATTCAGCTACTGTATAACAAGATAAAATGCTAATAAATATCCTAGGCAGTTTAACCGGGATCATGTTTGATCCATCATACCTTGATTACACGCATAATAAATGGAATTACGAACCAAATTTATTAATTTAAAATTGTAATAATAATAATACGACCGTGATAGTGCGTTAAGTATTAAAAATTGAGCTAAAACTAATCAATTAAAAATTATCATTAGCATTTAATTCAATATTACAGTAACGCTAGATAGCAAGCTAAGTAAAGGTTCTACAGATTTGTACTGTAATGAATCAGGTATTAAAAATGGAAGCACTACCAAGATATTAAGCTTGGCAATATCAATAGGAAAGCGATAAAAAAGATTATCTGTAAAAAATCTAGTATGTTGTTAAAAATGTTATTGCGGCTAAGCAATTCCTACTATAGAAGACTCTGTATTAATATATATGAATACAGAGTTGATTATTTTACCATCTACAGCATGTAGAAATTAAATACTTTCAAATGTATTCATACAGTTGTAGTGGACATAAATGAAAAATTGAAGACGTTATCAACAATACTGTGATATCCTTGCGACAACCGAGATGCATAAGAAATTAAAAGCAAAATTATGGGAATAATTACGCAGTAAACGGACAGAGAAAATCCCGGTAAAAAGGCCATGATACGTTAAAAAGTCTATTGAATAGACGGCGCCAACAAAATAAGCAACCAATGATGCACAAGAAGTCAGAAAAGCTTTATCATTGGGAATTAATCACATAGACTCATATTCTACCAATGCATAATGTTAATGTGATTAAGACCAATATCTGATAAACAATCTAAAAAATCAGCTGTCAGTTTTGCTAGCAATTATTACAATCATGATAATAGACTAAGTATACCTCATACGAGATACCATTCGTATGTCTATATTCGATGTTACAGTACTTGCAAAAAAGATATTTTACTTAATTATAAGAGGGGTAGCTCTTCTAGTTTGGATAGATAACGTTAAAAATATCAGTCTTACTAAACATCTACCACAGAATATCATACGTGTTATCATATCTAATGGAATAGCACCAAATGTTATATAATTAAACAAAATTAGAGAACTTTTACGAGTTTAAATGATAAGCGCATAATTTTAGTACGTTATAACATGCAAGCAAGAAAATCCTGTTTGACCGCATTATGTTAGCAATTTGAATAAGCAACCAATATCAAATACGAAGTAAAAATATTTCCATCACACATATACAGTATACATTATACTCGTCTAAACGGTATGTACAAAAATGTATTCAGTAATATATGAATACAACCAAAAGAAAAGTTATCCAAGTAAACTATACATATCCAGAGAAGAATATAGCCAGACGATCGAAAATGTTTGTTCAAGGACATTTAGGTTAGTTAGATTTACGATATTTTAAATATATATAAATAATCTATTACATGATTTAAATGTTTAAATATTCGTAAGTAATGTACAATATTAGTTATGTCTATATTTCTAAGAATAAACAGACATTAAAGACTTTCTAATTAACGGCATCAGCTGTTATTGTATAAAATAAAATGATGTAGGATTGTCCTTGCTATATCGTTTTAAAGAATTAATGTACAATATTAATTATGCTCACATTTCTAAGAATAAGCAAGCATTATTAATGGCGTTCTAATCAACAGTATCAGCTGCTGTCGTATAAAATAAAAATGATATCGCATCGTTCTTGCTATACCGTTTGAAAACTAACCTGTACAAATAAGGCAACTATGCCATTTTATAAAATTTTATACTATTTCGTAGCGTAGTTAAGATGCCGTATAAATAAGTAAAAATATAGTGTAGCTACTGAAAGTCATCGATTCAATGTTATGATGTCAAATTTTATAAGATACTATGAACATTAAGAATTGGCTAAGCTATAAACTGCGACTTTTTCTTTCATTCCTGCATGTCTTTTAACGCTGTCGATCTATCGATAACAAACAATAATGACTAGCATACTAAAAAAGTGCGCATAGTCAGTAACCCCATACATGAGGAATATCTGCAACGTCAACTGTTATGAACTCAAGTCAGATAATGACAATGTCTTCTTTAATTGATTATAACTCCAATGGAGCTGTTCAACTTCAGTTTGATGTCTCTCTTTTGTCTCTTCTAACTGCTCCAACAGATGGCGATTTGTTGCGACTAATGCTCTACAAAAGTACAAAGTTGAGTGAGGAATAAAAATTTGCAATCAATTAAACATCGAAAGTAACGATTCAACAGGTACGGTGATTAATTTACTTACCCATGACTTTCCTGTAACATGCCAGTTAGTGCTTGAATCTTGGTATTAACGGCATGAACCTGCGAGGATTCACTTTTTAATGATTCTAATTCTTGTTTAAGAGTACGATTCTCTTTCACGAATTCATCTTGTAATATCATAAACAAAAAGGTGTAGCTGTCATATCATGATCATGGAATTAAGATTTAACAGTCTAGTCAATGGATATGATAAGCAAAAATTGCAAAATCTTCATTTATTACCTAAACGTGATTGATATTTCATCTCTAGTTGTTGTATAGATTCAACAGAACCAACTTGACTTTTCAATGAAGCGTTCTCTTCTTTTATTTTTTCATACCGAGACCGTAGAAGATCCTGCAAAAAGAAGTTTTTTTATTAGTTACTATAAACTATAAATTTAAAAAATTTTATAATTTATGTCATTGATAGATCCACTGATAGGTCTACATCTACATTCTTACTAGATCCTTGTTAGCCTTCTCGAGCACTAGCTTAATTTCATCTTGTTGTTGCAAGCGATTTCTGTAGGATTCAATTTCGTTAGCTTTGTCTTGGTAATTAGTTCTTATTGATGATAACTCATCAATACAATCGTGAAGTTTGGCTTTTAATTGCTCATTTTCCTCTAATACTGCTGCTGGAGTTTTAATATACTTTGAAAGCATGGCTTCAAGATGGCCTAAAAATTGATATACATGAAATTCATTGGATTGACGTAAATAATAATTTACGAGTATATATTTCTTAGCTTGTTGTAAGTACAGCTGCTACAATTAAATTATCTAAATATGTTTGTTAATAAGCTTGGCATACTAATAAGTATTAGAAATTATGTGATTGACTACACAACGAAACTTTGTGTTCTATATCGAAGATAATTTATTTACATTTAGAGCATCCAAATAGACCAAATTTTACTTATAAATTACTTTTTGCTTCCCCCTCATTCAGTTTAGTGTTTTGTTTATTTATTAAGGTAGATATCCTAGTACTGTATTGTTTCTCGCATTATAGCATTCCTATTTTTGACCCTTTACGTAATTATAATATCCGCATTTATCAAACGATCTTATCATATTGTATAACTAAGACAAATAAATTTACATCACATGAGTTATCCCTGTTCTAAGCACAATTTATTATTGTGATAACTGTTACAGTAAGAGTAGTTTTCAGGAATTTAGAAATTCTCTGTTTTGCAATACCTTGAAATTTGTTATTGCGATGGAGCGATTTTGAACCATTCCAATATCTATTATCACGAATTAGGCAACAGATAAGTTTGTATAGGTATATAAAAATTTAATTACTTATTCTTTCGATATAATAATTAACCTGTCTACGAGATTAAGCATTTCTTCAACAGCCACTTTCGGTAATGCTACATAATTCTCGAGGGTTGATTTATCGGGTTGTGATACCTGTGGATAAATTAAAACGACCTAAGCGATCTATACAACATATACATGGACCGTTACGTTTGCTACGTACACGTAAGATATCGGGGACTACTCGAAAGAAGAGAAAGGGACAAGACACGATCGTTGGCCTTTTCATTTTTTTGCAGTTTTCGGCCGTGTCCCGCCCCTTTCTCTTCTTCCGAATAGTCCCTGATAATGTTAGGGTTAGGGTTAGGATATTATGAGTAATCAGTAAAATGGTATTTTTGTCATCAACATTTTTAATACTATGTGTACTATTAATGTCAATTTCATAGTACTGTATATCATAATCCAAATTATGCGTAATCATACAAAATATGGGAGTATAGCACTTTAATAAAAGCCCTAGATGAACGCCAATGTAGCATGCTATAAAGCACTGTTGTAACATAGCCAAATGTTTCAATGTCATCTTAACACGTTTATATTATTACATAATGACCGATTAATTGATGCGACATTACAGAATAAACGTTTGAAAATTATGCTAACTTGAGTAGTGTCACCGCCTACACTAGGAGAAGTCACTGTCGTCAACGTATCGTCATAGCGAATTCGATCTTTGCTTGTTATTCGCGAATTCGTTTTCTCAGCATCTTTATCTTGCACCTCTGGCGGAGCGGGAGTAAAATTAGCTTTTGAAATATATTTCGTATAGGCTTGCCTTTGATCTTGAAATTTTAAATTAGGGTCATCAGTTTTGTTAATTTCCGAATCGAAATGACGACCTCTATTTGGGGATATAACTGCACTAATGTTTTCATCAGCAAATTGTACCCTGCTGCGGCCATGTATCCTACTAGTTTTTTCTATATTTTAAAAGGAATAAAAAGGGTATTGTTAAAGATTATCAGTCCTGCTTGTCTAAGTTATTAGATTTAATCAAATTTATCAGGAACAAAATGTTGTATTCCTACCTGGGGAAGTAACGGATTTTGATGCTGCCAATGACGTATCTAATTTATTATTAGTGCTGCCATATCTCGATGGTGAATCATCTATCCTTTTTAGCTTAAAATGCCTCTGTTGATCATCATCTTGATTTAGAACTGTTTAAAGGTAAAAAAATTAGTAGCAATAATTTCAATACTTAATATTATTTTATATAAACTATTAACAATATTACGTAAAAATCAGCATAAGGAAACTTTTACCTTTTAGTTCTTCTTTTGTGTAACTATCGGCAACGGGTTTTCTTGCCGTTGACCCAGTCATTTCTCTTTTTTGACCTAGATCACCACCAGTACGCGCTACCAAATCTAATAATTCATCATCGTTGTCTTGCACCATTACTAAACGAGCCATTTTAATGACAATTTAAATGTTAGTGAATTAATATACTTCTAACATGGAATTAGTAGAATGCCATTATATTACAAATTCGCATCGTATAGCTTCTAATAATTCATAATTGGTAGTATTGTCGATATTCACTTACGTGGAGGCCTGGCTAGGGATTTAACCATATTAACTCTTGGAACGGAAGATCTATACATGTATAGGTGTATTAAAATATAATTAAGTTCTTATGTATGTGTCTTTTATCGTACAAAATATATGCTACTGTATATTTCATTAAAGGCAGGATAATAGGATTACTTTTCGGGGGAAGATTTAGCAATTTGTACATTTGGCTTTTGTGACATTACGGTTGCCTTCGAGCATATGTGAAATGGAAGTAAATATAATAAAAAGGATTTCAATCATTCTATACTAAGATATATTAACAGTAAATAGTATCATTACAGGTTTATTATATACGGACGATTATATATCAACAACTTAAATAACATTAGCTATTAGAAGAATCTTACAGCATCCGTAGAAAAGAGGGTTAAAGCTGCCCTTCGTTCACTATCTCTGACGCTACGATCGTCTATTAAAATAAAATTAATCATTATGGTGGAATAGAAAAGGTTTATTACTGTAGCAGGTCAACGATTTTGGTGAAATATGCAAAAATATGGGTATAAATTTTAATTACCAAGTCGTCTTAAACTAGGTAGCATATGAACTACAAACAGCCTATAATCGGATTCGTTCTTAGTGACAGGATTTAATCTCAAGTCAAGTTCCTAAGGTAAAATAAAAATTATTGTTGTCACGACTTTTTTGTATATCCATGATTCTGTGCGTACACTATATAATTCTGATGACATAAATTTTTGGTATGTTAATACAATAAGCACTATGTTAGCGATTACGTATAACATTAACCTATTTACTATTCAGTTGAGGATTGTAGCAAAGAATACACTCGGTACTGCAAATTACCTACCTTTAAGTTTGTATTATGCCTAAGTTTATATAGTTCATCCAGCGAAGCTATACGATTATAATATCTACGATTTAGATCGATTAATTAAGGAAAACAAGATCTATAGATTCGATATCATCAGTATTTACGAGTATATCTCTCCATTCGTAGAGCTATTTTAACGGTACTACTTTTATATTTTCATACGGTATATATATGTAATTACGAGCAAATAACTTCAATGTCGAATCAATTTATTTAGGATACAAGTTTAACTTCTCCAATAACTTGAGATTTTCTAATCCCTATAAATAAAGATAGAAAAGTTGTAAAACAATGATTGATGGATAGCTATGACTTAAATATGCTATCATATTAACTGATAGAAATATGAGATAGCATCATTTCGGTAACTTGAGGTACGGTGAAAGGAAAGTAAATAACTTACATCAAGCGAAGTAAGTGCATTGCGTGACAAGTCGACATGTTTTACACGCACAAAACCAACGAGACCTGAGCCAAGTTTTATGATCTTCTCTTGATATGCGCCGGGTAATGATAAAGAACGTACATCGTCTATATAATAATAGAAATTATTATTCTTATTCGATATAGTGTAGCTACCAAAGATACACACTTTCAACTTGCATTACTATAACAAAATGTAAAATGCAGGTACTAGAATACGTATAGCAAGAAAGTGAGAAAAATTTTCTAAAATATGGCGCGTTATTGGGTGTATAATTCCAACGATCATGAAATGAAAACAATCTTCCATTTCGACTTAAAAGTGCCTGTTAAGTTTTAAAAATTTTATCTGGAATTGAGTAGATACCTAATTTTGAGAAACTACGTATTTGCAAGTTTTGGCTCCCTTTAATAGCATAGTACTACGTCGAAAATATTGTCTATTTCTTGACTATTATTGTATATGTACAATATCATTTCATTTTGTCTTGCTAGCGTGATTTTCTTGCAAACTCCATGTTACCGTTCCTGTTGTTACCGTGGTGGTCAAGTCTTGCGAAGCACTTTGAATAATATCATGCTACCGTAAAGGCTTATTATGAATACAGGATGCTTCTTTCCTATTTCGATACTATTAATAGCTATCCTCTTGGTAATGTTGATTAAGACATTCAAATTTTGAAAAGATTGATTGTTTAATCGTTTTATGAGCTCTCGTCGTAGTACACCGTACGTACGGGCTATAAAAATTTAGTTTCTAGATGTCATAGTTACATGATGATGCGTCTAATGTTTCAAATGCAGTAGGAACTTGTTGTTTCCCTGTTCAACCAAGGTTAAATATTTTTACCTCGTCTACACAAACATGCTATGACAACTGTTGCAATAATACTGCACATCAGCAAATCTAGAATATTATACAGAATCATTTTATTTTAATACAGCAGCAAACTATTTTTCCTCGATCATCCAATATTAAATGTTCTACGCGTAATTACTTGGTTAATCTGTGGTAATTTAATGGATTGCATGCATCATCATTTGGTATACTGTATTTGCCATGTCTACTGAGATGAACGCTATCTCAAATTACTGTAAATAAGTTAATCTAATCTAATCCAGTATGTTGATCTATCAAAACTGAGATGATCACTCTCTTGAAAAAGACCTCAAACTACTATACGGGTCTATCAGTAGTTAATGGAATTTAGTGTCTTATTAAGTCTGCTGAGATAATTGCTATCTTGGAAAGGCCTTAAACTATTGTAGATAAGTTGATGGACAGTGTCTTGATATATCTACTGAAATGATCGTCATCTTAGAAAAGACTTTGCATGACCGTAAATAAGTTAATCTAACCCAGTGTCTTGACATATCAAATTGAGATGATTGCTATTTTGAAAAGACCTCCAATTACTGTCAATAAGTTAGCGGATAGTGCGTTGATATATCTACTGAGATAATTACTATCATGAAAGACATTCGATTACTGTTGATATATCTACTGAGATGATTGCTATGTGGAATGAAGATTTCAAGTTGCTATGACTAAGTTCAACTAATCAAGTGTCTTGACTTCATTTAGCAATGATTAGTGACTATATTAGTAAAGTTCGCATAATAAAGATAACTTGTATATATAGTAATAATGGTAGTAGTCGATTGTCTATCTATCAACATATATCCAAGTTGTGGACTACTGGAGAAAAATCACTTGCTTACTATTCGTCGTCCTAGTACTAGTGCAGAATCAAGAGAGAAATAAAGCGTCTGATCAATAAGGGACGGTTGACGACGCCCTCGATAGAGTACTCATTGTGTCCATTTAAATTCAATTTTCTATCTACACCAGCTGCTATTACTGTACTATTTTCTTGAATCGATCATACGAATTAACAAGTTGAGCTAGAACCATTACAATTTATTCTCTTTCCACTATCATAACATCAACTAGAGTATACTTTAATCGATTCAAGGCCTGCTGGCTAATCAAAATAGACAACATCACTATAAATAAATATCCCAAGTCCAATCTTATCATAGCGAAAGTAGCATCGTTAACAGCCAACCTAGTGGCCTACTCATCATCCTACAGCTGCTATAAAAGGTGGATAACCTTGCATAAAAGTAAGTAATAATCAATGAATTGGATTTTACCTAAATTATCATGCTTTAACTGGATGCGCTGACGTATCCATTTCTCGGTTGCTACTAGCCCCGCCATAGCTGGATAACCGCCGATTTCTTGAAAAAGAATAGAGTCTGCGTAGTGATGATCTCCTACTTATTTGAGTAGCGTGTGGGCATCGAGTCGATCATCATTGTGTGTTCGTATAGGCTCATGGCTACTGTATCGGGCAGTAGGGTAGAATACTGTACAGTTGGTTGCAGACCCACTTCCGATCCGACAAAAATATTTTCCAGCTGGATCCTTAGTCTAATTTTGGATTATTTCCTCAACAATCGTAGAGAATTGGAGAAATTTTCAACGTAAAATTCATCTGTACTCTACAGTGTTTGCTACAAGGCTCGGATAAATCCAAATGGATCAGTAGTTACGGACTGTGTTTGCACTACAGTGGCTATAGTATCGACTTGAACGAGGACTTTGCCACCATGAAAAGGATCAGCAATTCAGCATGGACCTGCCTTGCCCAATGAGACATCGCAGCTGTGCAAATGTACTACTTACATCCTTGATCTTTTCATTATTAACCTTGCATGGTATACAGTGCACACAGTAGGCAACCACTAAAGCAATCAGACCTGCTTTGCTGTGTAAATATACTACTTACATCCTTGATCTTTTCATTAACCTTGCATGGTATAAAGAACACACAGTAGGCAACCACTAAACGAGTGAGTAAAAAATGGCTGGTTGCTGGATAAGATGATTTCTACAGCACTCTACAACCATCAGTACCAGCAATCAGACCTGCTTTGCTGTGCAAATATACTACTTACATCCTTGATCTTTTCATTAACCTTGCATGGTATACAGTGCACACAGTAGGCAACCACTAAACGAGTGAGTAAAAAATGGCTGGCTGGATAAGATGATTTCTACAGCACTCTACAACCATCAGTACCAGCAATCAGACCTGCTTTGCTGTGCAAATATACTACTTACATCCTTAATCTTTTCATTAACCTTGCGTGGTATACAGTGCACACAGTAGGCAACCACTAAACGAGTGAGTAAAAAATGGCTGGCTGCTGGATAAGATGATTTCTACAGCACTCTACAACCATCAGTACCAGCAATCAGACCTGCTTTGCTGTGCATAAATACTACTTACATCCTTGATCTTTTCATTAACCTTGCATGGTATACAGTGCACACAGTAGGCAACCACTAAACGAGTGAGTAAAAAATGGCTGGCTGGATAAGATGATTTCTACAGCACTCTACAACCATCAGTACCAGCAATCAGACCTGCTTTATCCGATGAAATATCCCTGTGCAAAAATAAACTGTCGTCCTTGATTTTCCCATCCACAGTGTGCATTAGTATGAGATATATTGATGCATTACTAGAGAACAGAGCCCATGTTTTACTTTAATCACTGATTTCTGCAATTTAAATTGTCGACACGAGCAATCGGACCTGCTTTGATTGAATGAAACATCTCTGTGCAAATCAATTGTCATTCTTACTTTTCTTGAATAGCATGATATGCAGTAAAATACCATAAAAATAAGTGAGTCAGAAAGGGATACAAGCTGACAGTTTATTTTGCACAGCGGAGCTTGGGACTTTCCATGTCGATGACTTGACTACGTTGACATAGAAGACAACTTCTACAGAACTCATCGAGTGTCGACATTATTATTATTTTTTTTATTTTTATACTGACTATCTACTGCATGCAGTATGTTAACAGCGGTGTCTCTGGCAATAGTCAACTTTTCCTATTTCCTAGCATTTTATACAAGCGTTATTGATCATCTATCCATGAGCGGAAACTCGCTCTTGAATGGTCCAATCCTTTCCATCAATGTCCTAAATTACTGTCCATTTATGTGAGCTATCTATTTTTAATTTAATTTGAATTAATCAGGTTGGGAAAGTATAGTACTTGTTTACTGTCCTGATACAGTATAGGATAGACCAAATGCCGTTCAGATCGACGGCGTAAACCAATTAAGGATCAGAATAGCGATCCACAAATTATGCATCAACAATTCGATATACTTTTGTATGCAATGGACTTGCAACTGATTGTATCTGATCACAACTTGACATTTGTGCAAGGCTATAGCAAGTGTAGGCTAGAAGCCTTGGAGAGAAAGATCTCTAGTATACGCTCTTAGCCTCTTATCATGCTGAGCAACTATCTTTAACAAGCAATTTTTTCAAAAATGGAGCGATTTTGAACCTTTCAAAGCGTGTCAAAGATTCATGGATAGTGCTAGAACGACAGGATAACGTCCATCTTGTGCGTTATTCAAAGACGGTTCGTTTGGAAGTAGTTTTAAGCTAAAAGGTCAAAATCACTCAAAGCGGTAGAATCAGACTGGAAAGTGTTTCATTAAGTTAAGTTAATATGGAATTTATACAAGTTTACCAGGGGCCATCTTTAACCTCTCGCCTCTTGACCTCTTGGAAATGTGTTTACACATCGAGCTTGCTCATTTGTCATACTGTATTGGATTTTAGACGAGCTACTTGGATACCGTATAAGGAAAGTGATATTGTTCTAGTAGTATATCTTAACATCCATGACATGATGCAGCACATTCTCTATATTACTCATTCAACTGGGTCAGAATCCACTCATACCATTCTTATCCTCACCAGTGGAAGGAGTGCCATTACTATTCCGGCGAGCAGCAACTTCTTCTCCAATCAACCGCATTAATAGTTTTCCGATCTGTAAGTACTTTCCATCAGTTGTAATAGATGCATGAATAAGTTGATCACAGCTTCGTCGTCATAATAGCTTACGCAGCAGAATAGAGGCATAAGGACGACGAAAAGAAAAGCGTTTCATCAATACGTGATGATGTACAGCTGCAGGTAAAAAAGTCATCGATCTCATTACTTGTTTTAATACCTATGTAGGTCAAAATGTCCAGCCTTCAAGGTAAAGTTTGCTTAGTTACTGGAGCAACGCGAGGAATTGGCAAAGGTATCGCTGTCATACTTGGCGAAGAGGGTGCTACGGTTTATATTACAGGTAAGCGATTCCTATTCTCCCAACAATCTTCCAGCTTACACTCTACAACAGTTCCATTCTATTTTACTATCCTGATTCAAATCTCGATGACGCATTCCATCGCTAAGCGATGAAAATGATCGAGACGTTATCATATCGAATAAATCTAAATCAACATCCCTTAAAGCCATATCTATGTTCTACTTTCCTTCATCAAAGAGAATATCGATATGAGATGCACTTTCAAGAGATTGATTGCAAATAACGAATACGCGTACGCTTCATACTGTAAATGCAAATTTTCCCATTTCAATATCAGATCAAGAATAGAATGAATTAATGCGTTGTTGACGAAGTATAGATAGCGTACTTATTGTAAATAGGCACATAATCCTGCTGATGGGACCATACAAGTCTATGATGATAGGATCAGCAGCATTATCGGATGGAATAATAGACCAATCTAGTGTAGTACATATATTCTACAGCAAGTTGAACGTCAGTTAGCCAGTGCAGCATCGACAGAAAAAATTCATTCAAGTATTATAATTTACAGAGATATCGTAAGAACGACTTGAATTCCTTGGCAGCTTGAGGAATTGCCCCCTCCAAATAGCAAAATTAGGCGTCAAAAATGAAATAGATTCTCTGTTAATTATTGACATTCTTAGGACGTACTCTTGAAGCCAAGCCAGGCTTATCTGGATCATTAAAAGAAACTGCCCAGGAAATTGATGCAGCTGGTGGTAAAGGTATTCCTATCCAGTGTGATCACTCTAAAGATGAAGATATTGCCAAATTATTTGCAACTATTGCAAAAGAACAAGATGGTCGATTAGATATCTTGGTCAATAATGCATACGCTGGAGTCCAGGTGATTATGGCGATTGTACTTAGACGTTAGGCTAAAAACATGACAAAAACAAACAATTGACATGAGGATAAAATTCGAAATTTCACTACCGCCTTCTGTCATGTTGACCTCAAGTGTTCATACGTAGCCATACTCGTCAAAGATACATATATAATATAATCATAGATCAATCTAGAATAATCACGTTGAGATCAATTGAAGTCCTTACCATTGACACTATATATTTATTATAGTCATATAGTTCTTGAAGGTAAACTGCTTTTAAGACTTATTATACCGACTTCAAAATACTAGTATGCAATGATATTTCGCAAGGATATCCCTGTAGGAGGACCAAATTTATACGATTCTTTTTTTAATTTCTTATAACTTACATCCGATAAATAGAATAACTTAAAGTCTACGTAAGCGTATTGATGTAAACTATCGTAAATTTATCACTGATGTAATTACTGCAATCGTACTTCCTAAGATGATTATTTACAGACTTTTAGTCATCATTTGAAAGATTTTACAACTTTTATCGTTTAATTAATTTAATCACATACGTTTTCTCTCTTATGCTACGTAGGCTATCTTTGACAACTCCCAAAAGAAGTTTTGGGAACAGGTTATTACTTTTTTTTATCGATATGCTTCAGTTATCTTGAAAATCTTTAACAATTATCTGTATCCTACAGCCCGACAACATGTGGGATACTATTAATGGAGTTGGTTTGAGGTATACTATGAATACCTTACAATATCATAATTGATTTAAGTTACTTTTGTTTAAAGGGATCCTTCTAACATTTATCTTGCATAAATTCTCAGAGCCCACTATATCGCAACATGTCATGCCTCAAGGTTAATGGTTCCTCGTAAACAAGGTTTAATCGTTAACATTTCCTCGGCTGGAGGTTTACGATACCTCTTTAATGTTGCTTATGGTATTGGAAAAGCTGGGGTATGTCGAATAGTGTTAATTGCCAAGTTTTGATACAAGTAATAACATGAAAAGCAGTAACAAGCCATTGTTATCACCTTTTATCATGCACCAACCATAAATCATTTCCCATAGGTGGATAGAATGGCTGCAGACTGTGGTTACGAGTTAAAAAAATCTAATGTTGCCATGGTGTCTTTATGGCCCGGCCCTGTTAAAACTGAATATGTATCTAAAAACTTGAATGAGCGAGACGAGGTCTATTAGCATAGCATATAGTTGTACTTATCGATTAATCATACAATTTTTAACATTTAAATTTCATTATGTACGTGGCCTTGATATACGATTCGTTTGCTTATATGATTAGATGAAATCGATATTCAGCGATGCAGAAGATCCAACATTTAGCGGAAAAGCAGTGGTGGCTATGGCAAATGGTAACTTACAAACTGAGTTAATCGCAAATAGTTGACTATACGAGTACTAATATACAATGCATCGTAGTTTCTTAGATTGAAACTTAAGATTTTATCTTCAGCTGTTACAAATGAGAACGATATTTTACGATTTTGTCTTAATAAGAATCGAATGTCATAATTTATTTTAAGATCCTAATATTATGAAAAAAACCGGAAAGATAGTAACCACTGCTGACTTATCAACCGAATATGGGTTTACTGATATTTCTGGTAAAGTTTCACCTTTACATATCGACCAACTGTTACTTTGAAATTGAATTAAATTGACCTAAAACTATAATGAAATGATATTTTTTGCAGGAAATCGTCCCTCCAACATTCGTAGTGTGAAAGATATGCTAAAATTCTCTGGATCAAATCTGGCACCTATTGTACCAGGATGGATTCGGCTACCATGGTGGGTTATTGCAGCTACAACGCACAAGTTTTAAAAGTCGACCCTCCATTTCTTTGATATTATTCTTAGTTAACTGCTGTATAGTATAAAGTATATTAGAACAGATGTTAGCAAAGTACATAAAATATAATCAAAATACCAAGAGTTTATGGTATATAGTATAGCTCGTAATTCAGTATAGAATAAAGATATGCCAGTATTTGTATCTGATAGCTTCTCTCTTACACCATCATATATTATGTTCAACTTGTTATCATAATAAAATTGCGATCAATGTTCTTAATATCATTCTTAGCGTTAGATAAGTCATAGAGAGCGGGATCATTTTGCAAAATGGGGTTGATGTTATCTATCATGATACCGAAATGACATAGTTGATATTCTCTACTCTACTCTACAACGGTATTAGCTTACTATTCAATGGAAGCAGTAGCAAGATATTTTACCCTTCGCTCTACATTTTTACCAATAAATTTTATTATGGCCATTTTAGAAAATGAACATCTGTAAATATGTAATAATGCAAACGTAACTGTCCTTCATTTAATGGATGCCTTATACCGGCCGTATCACTTGAAATCAATCTTAAAGGCAACCTATATTGGCATCGAGGCTGCCACCTGACTCTATACACATTTTTTCAGGACGATAAGGAAATTTTTATGCAATAGGACTCCTTTATGATAGATATAATTAACAACTTCTTTAATACAATAGAGAGATTCCTGACAAACTATCCATAAATTTTACAACATAGCAATACTTTAAAGTAACTAATACAATCCATTTATGGTATTAACTTGTCTACTTTGGTGTTTTACCTTGTGCTTTCGTACAACAATTTATGCAATCTATGTACGCTGTACAGTATTATATCTTAACGTTTCCTCATCAGATTTATTTTACTATCCTGCACATATTTTATATTATTATACTGTACACTATGCTGCTTAATTTCATGCTCAAGAGTTAAGATGGGAAAAAATACTAGGACTAATTTCCTTCTCTTAATTCTATCCATGATAATTGTGCCTTAGACAGAGATCTACATATTCATCATGCACACATTAAATGAGAAACAAATAATTTTGTACTATAATCTCGTCCTTGGCTATTACATTTTCAAACGTTCAACCAATTTATCGTTTCAATCTATTTTACCTCCTTCTATCGATATTAAACTAATTTAAGCTTGCATTATGGTTAATACCAGTAAATAAATTTAATTTTATTCATTTTTACTCTACCGTAAGCCATTGGATGCCTCTTTAATATTTAATATTCAGACACAATCTAGATTGGTAGTATTGATGATCAATAAAGATTAGATTTCCTAATAGTATTAAAGTATCAAAAATAAGAAAATTTTAAACATATACAACCTATAAACGAATGTATATCCAACCAAGTTATCCACTACCTTCTATATTATACAGTGCTGGTACAAGAACAAACACATAAATAGTCGCAATTTTTCGTCAAACGATGACAATCCTATAAGGGATTAATAGGTTTATTAAGTGAAGAAAAAATTGCTGGCGATGCTCTCTATTGCTTGTATTAAAATTGTCTCTATTCTGCGCATTTAAATTAAAATTCTGTATTATTTAAGCTGCTAATTATTCTAGAAGTCAAGTTGTTGAATTTGAAGGCACTCTCATTTATTTACCAAGTAAAATGAAGTACCTTGTTGAACATCACTTAGTATTATCATCGTATCTCGAGAGATAAATCTGCTTATTAAATACAGCTATTAGCCAAACCTATCTCTATCCTAATGTTATAATTGATTGAATTTTATGATTATCCTCTATTTGTTCAAGGCAATTATCGGTCTATAATACGCTAAATCGTCATCGACTTCATTCAAAGATGCGATCACATGGACTAAAAAAATAACAATTTATTCTAACAATAGCCATATTAAAGAGGTGTTGCTATCTTATTATAGCTTTGGGGAAAAAAAAATGGGACGTATAACAATCAACTATTGGCCTATATAGATTTATTTTTTATATTAAGAGTTGCTTTAGATAGCACTATACGTCACAGCAAGAATTGTCTCTCGTTTGATTTCTTTCCCCCCACTCGTCATTTTGTTTACTCTAACTAAAGAATAGACAATATTCAATGCAAGACTAAAAGCCATTTGTTTAGGATCTGCATGAGGCTAAAATAAATCTGCTGTTTTAGTATTAAATCCTTAGCTCCTAGAAGGTCGGAGAAAAAGAAATAGCTTACGAGACAATGTAGCTTGCCTACTTTGGACCACATTTCCAACTTTTATTTTACTTTATCATTCCTCTAAAGCTGACATTGATTTAAAATTACATCCCCATTTAATAATCTTCCTCCTCCATTATTCAATCTCTACTGTAATTATCGACGACAACATAATTAACATTCCAATAGGGGAAAAAAATTAATCATTTGAAAAAAAAGAGTAAGTAACGCTTACGACTACTCATACACACGTTGGCACTAGTTAATCGAGGATCTATTTTAGTTGTTCATATCTTTTAACAAGGATGCAGACCAAATAGGAAATCAATTGCCACAATAGTAGCTATTTTTATTAATGTTAGATTAAAATTTGATTCGTATTATGGTAAAGTCATTTTTTCCTTATCGTCATTATTCTCTTTCTATTATAATTATCAATCTCTTCAAGGCAGATAGAGTTATGTTAAAATTTAATATTATTACCCTTAGTAGTAAAGATATTTCAAGATTGATTGCAGCATGGCTACTTATCAGAATGGAACTTCAACGGTAAGTATGGAAAGTTTCTTTCTATTCTTATAATACAACTATCTCGCATTTTACAAGGCATGAGAGAGAAAAAATGAATTATTTGCTTTTTTGACGTCGAAAAAAGAAAAAAATTACTTACTACTGATACTGTACTTCAATAAAATGATTTATGCTACACTTTTAATGTAATCGTTAGTCAACAAAATGTTGCCTGTAAAATATTATTTGAAAAATCAAGATTGTTAAGGTGGCTACTTGATTAAAAGTGCTTTTATGACTTATTTATAGCGATCAAAGCGATTAAAAGGAAAAGTTTGCCTAGTAACCGGCGCTTCTCGTGGTCTAGGTAAAGGTATCGCAATTGTACTTGGTCAAGAAGGAGCCACAGTCTACATTACAGGTTGATAGTTGGAATTAATAAAATAACGCTGATAGTAATTGGATGATCAAGCAATTAAATTTAATCGATAATGTAATGACTGTAATTTAGACGTGATTTTCTCATTTATTTGATCGTAAAACTGAATGAATCAGGACGAACATTCTATCCAGATCCTGAATGTTCTGGCGGATCGCTGTGCGAAACCGCGAAAGCGATTGACGATGCAGGTGGGATTTGTTATCCCGTTAAATGTGATCATAGTCAAGATGAAGACGTCAAGAGGTTATTTGAACGAATTACATTAGAGCAACATGGAAGGCTGGATATTGTGGTGAATAATGCTTTTTCAGGCATTCGCGTAAGTTACGATAGCATACCGCTTCTTTTAAGTAGATTTGTCGATATTTTCTCTGTATTGAACATCAAGTTACACTGTAGTGGTTAGCTTAGATTTCTTTAATAGGATATCATTGTATCTAATTGATTATTTTATTTTAGTTTTAAATAAGAGAGAAAAATAATGATAATCTAGTTATAAAAACGGATAAATTTTTAATCCATTTTAGCTGACACTTTTAGCGTGATAATATAAGTTGTTGCAGTTGCAAAGCATAGCCCCTATTCAAGTTATAATGAAGACAATAATATCGATTGCAACTCAAAAATTAGAAAGAATATAATATAAAATAGTTATGATAGCGCGCGTTCGACAGAGAGAAAATGGTTCAATAGTATACGGTATTGAATGGGATAGCATTTATCGATTTAAGTTTGTTGAATGGACTTTTTTTTGCTCCAGGCCATCATTGACAATCTACTGTTTCCATTTTGGGAACAAGTGAGTAACATAGAGCATTTTTAAATTAATTTACAATTTATTTAATGACAATCGACGTGGATATGAACTAAATTAACTCTCTCGTCTCGATGAAGTTATCATAGAACAGATTTAACTTGGTTTACGCTTATGGAATTGATGTCATTTCTTTTATTTTTAATATAGCCACTTTCCTTATGGGATAACGTCAATGATGTCGGACTAAGGTATAATGAGAATCATCACTATAGTCGTTGTTGAATCCCTTGATGGCTATTATGTTAACGTTAATTACAACTTTTGTTATTTATATATTGAATAGCTCCTTATATTCATACGATAATTAATGTATAAAGAAAGATTACAATTACTATATCAATAACTTTGAATTTGTTTAAATTCTTAGCTACAGTAACGACTGTAAAAGTATAGACGACCAAACTCCAGTTATACAGTTACCAATAGCATCCGCAGAGATTAGTTTTAATAGAAGCCAATAAAGTGACTTTAATTAAAAAGTATTTTATCTACGGCAATAATATCATTAAACAGAAATAACTCTTGCTTAAAAATGTCCTACCTTTCACCGAAACCACTCAAAACATCTATGCCAAGACTATCCTACTGTACACAGTAGCATATTTTTATTATTCTACTGTATATTTAAAGGGATTAAACGTCGTTTCGAAAATCCAATTACATATAAACACAAACGATATTTAAAATAGAAGCTATAAAGTATTTAAATTGTGTTTCAATTACAGTATTTCTATTAAGATACAGTAGATACATTCATTACCTCTCGATGCTCTAATACGGCATCGCTTTGATTTATAGTCGTAGAGAGTAGTATACGGAGAAGAGGCTTAGATTATTTTTTAATCGCTTAAATTTCTTCTTTAGCTTGAGTTCTCATAGTCAACTTTTATTTTCAAAAGTAATAATCTACATTATTCTTTATAGTAAACTCCTTAATCCTAATTAATTAATTCCGTAAACGCGAGATTTTCATTAATAATGACGCGATTATACAGTATTAATTTTTCATTTTTTTATTTGCTCAGAATATCTAATAATGTAAAGTTCTTAAAAATTGTCAATTGCTGCCGGTATGAAATAAATCAGTAGAAAGGCCTTCATACAGTGCAATATAGAGATCATTATTTAAAGTAATATGGATAAAGTTTAGAAATCTTGAAATCGATCAGCAATGGTTCATTTATCGAATGATTTATTCTATTCTTATGGCCGGAATTAACAGGGGTTATTATACGACGACTTGGCATGCAGCTCGGTTGATGATTGTCAGGAGTAAAGGATTAATTGTTAACGTATCATCTGGAGCGGCGTTAGATATCGCTTGTAATGCTTCATTAGGAATTGGAAAAGCCGCTGTAAGTAATTCAATAATTTCAAGTATACTACGGTACTACTTCAATGTTAAAATTGAATTGAAATGTTTACTCAAGGTGGATAGAATGGCAACTACTTGCGCTAGAGATCTAAAGCAATTTAACATCGCTATGGTATCAATATGGCCTGGTATTGTAAGAACCGAAGTAACAGCACACTTTGAAAAATCATTAGATTGCACTAAAGAGTTGAAAGAGGTTTTGCTGAATATCAATTAAATTATACTTTAATAATTGAATTCAATTCAAGATGTCCGCCTATTCTACACAGATTATTAGTAAAATTAAACAAGAAGATCCTCAATTTACCGGAAGAGCTATTGTAGCTTTAGCTACAGGTAAACATAGCAGATGCCGTAAGATGCATCCATATTCATGTAAATGTGTTGTACGTAAGAAATTGATTTAGAATTGCTTCTATTTAAATGCCTCTATTAATGAAAGAAATAACGTCTCTCTTATTATATGCATGATGTAGATGAAACTATTCTGAATAAATCAGGAAGAATATTGGATATATCTGATTTGGCTAGAGAGTATGGATTTACCGATGTAGATGGTTAGTTGTAAATAAATTAATCGCTGATTTCCTAAAATAATAATATTAATTCTTTTATCAATGGAATATGAGCAGTCAATTATAATCATAGTAACCTTAAGAGGATCTTTAGTAGTTAAAATCATAATAGCTAGGCTATGAGGCATAATCCTTCGAAGAATTACTATTTCTTAAACTATAACCAATCGTGTTAACAGAGGTGTAATCGGTTTTAAGATGCATTCACCAAGGATGTTCACGATCTCTCTTTAATCGTAACTAATATATACAGTTAGAAAAGACAGCGTGACGCTATTTCATTTGCACTCTACTTCATGACTATAGTTAAAATTATATAATTTAAAATTTACAACATTTTCTTATCTATTCATTTGAAAAAATTCTATAGTATCTGTACATGTTAGATTTGTACTTCAATGGTTAGAATAAGTGCCGTATAAACAAAGGGTGTCTACTTCAAGTTTAGAATAATACGTAATATCAAGCTTGTATATTCCTATTTATGAATGTAATCCAAAACAGACTTGCTTAGTTTCAGTTTATATGATAGATTCGAGTTATATTGAAACCGTATGATAGCTTTTTATTACTTATTAAAGTGCTCTAATGCATAAAGTAGATTGGAAAAAGATTGGTATTCTATGAAAATCTAATTGTTTGTATAATATTGTAGGAACAATTCCAATAAGTATCCGGTCATTAAAGTATATTCTCCAATGTAAAAATTTACGAATTGCCGATTACATCCCTGAATGGATTCGTATTCCATGGTGGCTCATTTCAGTCTATGCAAACAGTTTTTAAAACCTTGGTGATAACAATTTTATCTCATTTTATTTTACTGCTATATCCAAGATAGTCTGATAACTCAGTACTGTCCTCACCCTACATACCTAGGCGGAGTTTGACAGCAAGTCTGTATATGATATAAATGTGTACAATATCAAGTAGAAATCTAGTTAAGCAAAAATAGATATTATGTATATGATTAATCCGCCATTATTATTGCAAATTCTATAATCGCTTTTACGATAATCTTCTTAATCTTTTACCTCTCATTATTGCGAATTTCTAAATCTTTGATTGTATCTAATTCATCACTGAAAGTACCCACTACCTATCAGCAGTTTTAGTAGCTGATCATTCCTACCTTATTATCCGATTTAGTCAATACGGTAGCTCCTTATCATTTTAATTCATTATTATGACAAAATATCTATCTATAATATTGGTATGAGAGGTTCAATTTGTGTATCGTAGACACAGATCACCATTTTTTCAAATGATTAACGGCCAGTCATGCAATATCTCCAGCAGTTAAATGATGTATTGGTCATTTTTTTTTACGTGATTACAGCCTGTCACCGTTTTGATGCTAACACTATCCATTATGTAAATACGATAGATGTAACATTCCATAGAATTATGTTAACATTGATCTAGAGTGTAGTACGAGTTCTATCGGATTATAATGTTAATGTATCGACAGAAGAGATTTCTTCCATACTATAGAAAAGATTGCCATTGACAGTGTTAGCCTATATATATATATATATATAGCATATATCAAATATCACATTTGTAATTTTAACTTGATCATTTTATTATACAAGATATTAGAGCTATACAGACTTGTCGCTGTCGATATGTACGAGTATATAATATATTTTCAACGTTATTGTTCAAGCAATAAGATGATACTGTAGAAATCGATCTGGCATATTGTTACTACTTTCTTTTAGTTTATAAATAAAATAAAAGCACTTGTGATGACTGCGTTAGAAGAATAACATGCGAACTCTAGCACACCACATAGTCTTGTTCAATACTACAGCATACGCGTCCATGTAGCTGATTTTTTATTCTATAGGCATATAAAATTGAATTACATAATTTATATTTTTAATTCCATGACTCGGTTGTACTAATCAGTTCTTCCCAAATTGATGGTATCGGCACGTACATAAATATTTGTAGAAATATACAAAAATCTAGAAGAAAAAATTATCATATCCTGTACAGTGCACATCCCTATTTTGTGAATCTATATTTGATAGAGTTTCAGTATTGATACGCGTACAATGTACGTGCATTATATACTACTGTATTTGTACTGTACATAGAAGGGATTTTACTGAAGAAGCCCTTCTCGTAGTCCGTGAAATACTGCACTATACAGAACTGTACGGCATGATTAATTTTGTATTCGATTATGAAAAATGGAATAAAATGCTTAAATAGGAATCAATTTTAAGCAAAACTGATATCAATAGATAGATATTCGCTCATGTAAAATTGTATGGATTTTGTTATAAAAATTACGCATTAAATTAAATTAAATTAAACAAGCCATGGAAGAAGCCGTTCTCGTAGTCCACGAAATACTGTACTGTACTGTACTGTATTCGATTATGAAAAGTGGAATAAAATGCTCAGATATGAATTAATTTTAAGCAAAATTGATATCAATAGATAGAGATCTACTCATATGGAATTGTATGGATTTTGTTATAAAAATTACGCATTAAATTAAATTAAACAAGCCATGGAAGAAGCCGTTGTCGTAGTCCGCGAAATACTGTACTGTACTGTACTGTATTCGATTATGAAAAGTGGAATAAAATGCTCAAATATGAATCAATTTTAAGTAAAATTGATATCAATAGATAGAGATCCTCTCATATAAAATTGTATGGATTTTGTTATCAAAATTACGCATTAAATTAAATTCTGCACCGATTTATCTAGGTATGATCTAGATCGAAATTAATCAGAGTGTACAGTACAGTATACGGAAAGCGTCTACAGTCTACAGTACTGAGTACTGTAGTAAAGGCACCACGATCGAACCAAGCCCAGCTAAATGCGACAGTTGGTGCAATCATAGTATACTGTATGATGTTAGACGTACAGTATAGTGTTCTATAAGGTAATAATCGTCCTTTTTCCTACTCTACTCAACGATTATTTACCGTCCCGCTCTCTATTAGTCCCTGATCATGTCATCAGGATCTACTAGAAAGTAAAAAGAGACGAGAAATGGCCGTTCAAGGCAAAAATTGAAGAGATGAACTTTCTTTCTATGATAGAAAGTGCAAGCCAAACCGAACGAAACCAATGACTTCCGACATTTACACCACTGTGGTCCATGATGAAATCAATCTCGAGGATGCTCTTCGACAGTATAGTGTACAATGGCAGACATGCGATACACTTGAAATGACCAGTAAAATAGTCAGCCTGATTTTGTGACCGTTCAAGGGATTTCTGTCTATCCGTCCACCCCCTCTTTCTTGAGTATCCTCCTGCAAGCTTGTCCTAGACTTGGTACTGTACCTTACAGTACCAAGTTACGTCCAGTACTGTAGGATAATACTGTAGTACAGTAGCGACCAGTGAGACTGCGCTCAGCAGTCCAGTTTCTGTACGTCAGAAGCCCCATGCTGGAAAGAGCTTTTCCTATACTGTAAGGAGATTGCATACGCTAACGTGACAGCGAAAACTCTACTCTAGCCTGCTATCGGCAGCTACTGGCTCAGTTGACTGTGAAAGCATTTTGTCATCGCATCGTCTAGCACTCTGCTTCTATTTCGGCCATCAACTCCTTGCTCAAAAGGCTAAAAATCGTTTCTACACTCTTTAGAAGACTTTATCCATTGCTTTCAACACTTTAGCCTCACCATGACAGAAGAAGAATCAGTAAGTAACATTGGTATAGTGGAATTGATGGCCATAGAATAGCCATTTCTTCTCGATCGATGCATTTTTTTTTACTGCTACTGCATCCATCTCTTGTACACATGGGCGATATGGACAACGTATCCGTTGGCAACATATCTCCATCATGGCAGATTCTGTTAGGGTTAATCGATGTTGAATTTCACTTTTCTCTTGATTGCAACTTGCTATTTCACTCGTACATGGTGTTTATAGTCGTTATCGGTAGAGATAGAGCGATGCATGGATAAGTGAGCGTTGTACCCAACATCGAGAATGTACTGCAATCGACAGTGTTGATGTCTATTTTTCTACCCTATGAGTCAGCGACTTGATTTGCCACACACATATTTGTCATCGATGATTGTATTTGTGGCCATCAAGGGAATGCTTTCACCTTATTATGGATAGAAAATTCGATCAGAGATAGATTTACTTACTGTTGACGAGTCGAGATACGAAATAGTAATGATTTTGGCTCATAAATTCCCTTCAAAAAATCCTGGTGAAAGCATGAATAGACTACGATAAGGAATAGGCCCATCAATCAAAGTCATCCTTCTTTCCTTTTTTGCCAGACATGTCCAATGATAAATCAAGAATAAAAACACAATTTTAAATCTTTGTTGTATCGCAATGATTCATCTTGTAGTATGGTAGATGATGGATGATGTGCAAATGCGACCATGGCTCTGATCTTGAAAATGTTTGTTTTTATCGTTAGAGTTTCGCTTTACCAACGAAAAAGAAGAAGAAGAAGAAGAAGCCTTTAACTGATTTTGAAGGTGGTGAAGCACTCGATGGTAATAATGATGCCCCTACTAATGAAACCAATACAACTACAACGGAAGCGGATTCCACATCTGCCAATGCAGTTAATAATGAAGCAGACGACTTAGATGGTAAATCTTGATACGTTTTCTCTAAGAATCGAATTTCTTTTCCTCGAGACGCTATTTATTCAATGACAACATAGTCATATAGCTATCGTCATGTTGAGTTTTGCCAGTGGCATCAAGCTCATTGATGATGCTCGTGCTTGTAGAGGGACTACTGTATTAAATTAATTACATACAATGAAAAGATGACTAAAGTATGCCAAGTTTTATTAATGTCGAGTGTTGCGTCACCAATGGACGAAATTGACCTACATAACAGTCTACAACACTGACTCTACCTATAGCCTATACTTGTCCTCCACAGTCCAGTAAAATAACATGAAGAATGACATAGAGAGTAAACTGCTTGAAAACATGCACAACGGTACATCCAACATGATTAATACTCCCTGCTGATCTTTGGTATAGGCTTTTCATTAGATCTAAAAAAGAAGAAAAAGAAAAAGAAGCCAAAAACTTTCGATATGGACGATGTCAAAGATGCTCTACCGGTAATTTTGAGCGGTATTCATTTTTCTCCATTTCCTTAATCTTAAGCGGTTCTTTTGATCCCATCAAAATAATGTTTGATATATACTCTATCATTATGAATCATCCCATCTATTTCTATCATTATTTCTATAACAATTTTTAAAGGATAATGAAGATAAACGCGAATCAGCGGAACCTGAGCCTACGGTTGATGAATCTGATTTTTCATTACCAATGAAGAAAAAGAAAAAAAAGAAGGTATAGAAGTGTACTATAAATAACCTGTAATTAGCGATAAGTATGAATTTGATCTGCAATAAATAATGCCGTAACATCAAGTTGTTTCCTATCAGAGCAACAAAGCTTTTTTAATAATTATGATATAAGCTCAAAGAATAAAATTACAATCCTAAGCAAGACATTATTGTTATTAGAAGTCAGAAATGGATAGTGTTCTTGATGATAGTAAAGCTGATGATGGCGAATTGCCTACCGAAGACGCAGATGATAGTACTCTTGACGGTATTGATACCAATAATTAATTGTACCAATTATGAACTAGACACATTACAACATACTGTATTACGATAGGCCTAGGTGTATGTATAACCTCAACTGTTTCTCTTATAGCCTGTAATTATAGCGTTTGTGAGAAAACGATACAAGTTTTTGTATTATAACAGTCTTTGCACTGTACATCGCAATCGGTCTTTTCAAGCATGCATTACCACTCTATTTAATAACAAGTCTTTATTACTAAACACCCATTAGTATTGAAAAGAATGCATCTTGACAAACTGTCTCATCATAACAATTTTTTCCTGCAGTTGATGATACTGACGATATTAATATGTCTGATGATGACAAGGAAAGAGAACCTTGGCTCAATTTCGACAGAGACTACACGTACGATGAGGTAAAGGTCATCGAGATCGGAAAAATAGCCATTCAACATTCTTTTTACTTAATGATAGTAGAATAACATCTTGGAACATTTTGCCAAAGTAAAACTTTTTCTCATCGTACGTACACGATATTTTTCTTAAATGTAGCTTTTAACTCGTGTTATCGACATCATGAGAGCTAAAAATCCTGATATGGTTGCTGGTGAAAAGCGAAAATTCGTTATGAGACCACCTCAGGTTGTTCGTATTGGTACAAAAAAGACTTCATTTGTTAACTTTATGGATATCTGCAAGTTGTAAGTTTTGAATCGTTGCAATTGCTATGCACAGCTAGTATTGGAAAATTGATGAAATGCCAACTGTCTACTTTACACGTAGTTTACATCGACAACCCAAGCACTTGCTAGCATTTCTTTTAGCCGAGTTAGGTACTAGGTAAGTGCACTACACCAAATTGTCTTTAACAATTTCTGATGCCTACAACTAATCTTGCTTGTGTTAAAACTAGTGGGTCAGTCGATGGCAATAACCAGCTTATTATTAAAGGGAGATTTCAACAAAAACAGATAGAAAATGTATTAAGAAGATATATAAGTAAGTTGGATATTATTGACTGCCTAATTTAGCTATATTGTCAATCTTATTACCAAGTTCATTGATTATGAAATTCTATATTGTTTTTTAACAGAGGAATATGTTACTTGTCATACTTGTCGCTCTCCCGATACTATAATACAAAAAGAAGCCAGACTATACTTTTTAAAATGTGAAAGGTGTAATTCCGGTCGTTCTGTAGCAAGTATTAATTCTGGTTTCCAAGCTGTAACAGGCAAAAGAGCTGCTCTCAGACAAAAACAGCAGTAGAGTTAATCCTTTTGTGCAATGGAGTGTACAGATCCATCCTAAGTTAATTCTTAACATGTCAAATCGTAATGTTAACTACAGAAAGCAAAAAAGTTAAACGGTTTCATCAACATACTTACATCTTATGTAGCATATCGTCACCATTGAATATTCGTAGACATGATAATGTTACCGAATAAAGTTTTGCCATTAACATTTTGTCATCATAAAGGATTGATTACAGTTTTAAGAAAATATCTTACTAGATGGCTAGAATTTAATATTGTATAATGGTAGGGCTAGCCGAAGTAATTCTAATATCAAAACGCTTGTGCAAATTTATTTGCTATCAACAAATTATCTTGAAGTAGGTTCTTCAGTTAAGTATAATAAATCGTTAACGATCCTGTCATTTTAATCTTGCTGGAGTCAAAACTGAAATTTGTCAAAATTGTTTCTTTAAATCTTCCCTGGTAGTTGTAAGTTACGATCATGTTCAATAGCTAGCGATAAAATGCTATAAATGCATAAAAATGGAAGCTAGTTTCGTCAACTCCAAATATGCATTCTTACAATATACTGTAGATATTCCTATCCATCATCTTAATCATTTAGAGAAAAATTTTTTTGACTTAAAATTGACGATCCACTTTTACGCTATACTGTATACAAAAGTAAGGATTTGAATGAGGTTCAGTTTGATAATTCTAGCAGAATCATGGTAATATATGCATTTATTAAATGTTCTTCAGTAATGCTTTAAGCAGCATTTTTGTGGCTTTATATCGCAATAGCATTCTCATCACATGAAAATTACGAGGCACCCAAAGTACCATAGAATAGTATAGAAATTGTGTATTTCTTTCATATCCAGAACGAAAGTAACTATTCGATATACGAATATACATCGATTTAACCTTTCGTTTTAATGCAATATAAGGTAGATTTGAAACTTCATCTATCCAATATAATAATTAGTGATTTAATTTTTTGACCGAAGCTCAAAGCGGATGAAAACAATACTTTAGATAGCATAGCATACAACTGATCATTGCAATCCGATCCTAAAATAGCAAATATGTATATATATATATATATAGGAATTTATTTTGTCTTACCACATTTAGCAATTAGAATTTCTATACTGTACTGTATACGTAAGCAATGGATAGTAAAATAGATTACTTATCGTAGATAGAGGTAAAATAGTGTGCAAAATAAATATCACGAAAACAGTGCTAATAGGAAATTTCGCCTTCTTCAACATAGTTTCATCTTGTTCATTGGAATTAAATAGTTGTTTAGCAATGAGATATAATAAAAGTGAAAGTGAATAAAATTAGATTTGCAATATACTATAGTATAGTGCAAAATAAAATAGAAATGAGATGTATATGACTATCGAGTAGGAAATTGGATGAATTCCCTAAACGGTTGTTTCAACTGCAGATCCTCTACATTTGCGAGAATACAGTTCTTGAACAATCTGTTTAGCTCTAGCAGCTACTAAATGAGCTCGTTTCGATTCATTATTAGCAATAACACCTTGATCTCGAGCTAATGCGGCCCGAATTTTAGCTATAATTGCTCTCTTATCAGCGGCACGAGCAGCAGATTTAGCTTTTAACCGAGCTGTAGTTAATTTATTATTAGCATTTCGAAAAGGTCGAAAATGCGATACTGTAGCATCATTAATGGAGAAAATTAAGCGATTTTCTTTCCAAAGTCCTCGTTGTTTAGTCCCATCTTTTAGTATTAATTCACCATAACCGGAGAGTTGATTATTGTACCAACTCCCCATATAAGTAGGGCCATCTGATCTTTGACATATCCCATAGCCATTTCTTTTATCACCAAACCACTGGCCTTTATAAACTTCGATAACACTGTCGTCATCATGATAGGCATTAGCAATCCTATCACTCATTAATTCAGAATTTCGTAAGATATCACTTTGTAAGGATAAATTTTTAACTAACTGTTTTTTATCGATAGCCACTTCGGATTTAATCATATTTTTGACCTTACTACATTTACTGCTAGTTCTTGAGCGACTTCTATCCCCATCTGAAGAATGCCTAACCCTAACTGATCTATGTGAAGGCCGTTCTTGTTTAGCCGAACTTTTATTACGATCATCTTTTGGTCGAATTTTATAGGATTGAATACTGTTATTGCTGCCATTTCGGTTATGGACCATCGAATTAGCTTCATAATCATTTTCAGTTACATAAGATACTTTGCATGACTTGATTGCACTAGATGGACAACTGTTTTCCTTCTTCTTTCTATACTGATTAACGCCTTCCTGATAATTTTTATTAATATAAATTTGTAAGTCTTTTATACCCTCGACGATATCATATTGATTAAAGTCCCAATCGCTCTTATCGTCTCCATTGCATTTCCTATCGTTGTCCTCTTTATTATTGCTTCTCTTTTTGCATTGATTACTACTAGGACTATTTTCAGATAGTTGCATCTTGGTAGCATTGCCTTTTAGGAAGCGATGATTCTGATAGCAGTGATGGCTGTTATGGAATGTCGAATTCCTGTTCCTTTCCCTAGCAGAGTGATTATCAGTTTTTACGGAATTTTGAAAGCTATATAGACCATTTCTTATATTGATTTTGCTTATACATTGGCTTCGATCATATTTAAAGGTATTATAATCGTCATGAGCCTCGTCCTCATCTGAATAAATTTCAGGATTATCGTCTTCGTTATTGTCTTCAATGTCGTCTTCAATGCCACCTTCGCTATCGCCTTCGCCATTCTCTTCACTATCCTCTTGACTATCCTTTTCACCATCTTCTTCATCATCTTCTTCGTCATCCTCTTCGTCATCCTCTTCGTCACTATCATCAATAACACCAATATCATGACCATAATCACCACCATCAATATCATCGTAATCATCATCGTCATCATCGATATCACCAATATCATCATTATCGTCCATGTCAACATCATCCGTACTACCATCAGAATTATACAAGCTTAATTTTCTCGGCTTACTACTGTCACCATTGCTATTTGCTACAGCTGTATTACTATTAACATTATTTATGTGTGAAGCTAAATTTCGGTTATTAGGATCGTCGTGATGATCTTTTTCACCATTATGAAACAACTTATGATCAATCAAATCTAACTTCAAATGATTTTTGATCCTATTCTTCCTATTCCTTCCATTCACATCAGAGTTAATTTTGCCTAAAAGGCATTCAGGATGGCTACTGTTATCGGCACTATTAGCAGAATTTTGATTGCATAGTGTGGTTATTATTTCATCAAGTTGGCAATTCTGATTAGAGCCTGCTTGTCCTTCTTCTTGGATAACTACTGCTTGTACATATTTAGGATTGCATTTTTCTTGCTGTAGTAGTATCGGGTTATGATGAGATGGGTTATCCTGTAAGTTCCCGGATACCTCTATTTCTTCAAGCTGTTTATTATCATTTTGCATTAAATCCAATTCTTTGATGCCATTTTTCAAAGTTGCATGTTGATTAACACCTTTTAAATTATCATCACGATGGCTATGGCAATTAGTGTAGTTACTGTCTTTATTAAAAAAATTATACTTGATTATTGATTGTTCGATTACTTTATTCTGCTGATTATGATTTTCAGTATCGGTACTAAGTTGGTGGTATTGCAGCGTAGTGTTATTTTGGTTGTTTTTTCCCCTCGTTTTAACTAATAGTTGTTCTAAGTTTGAAGTTGCCAGATAAGGTGTTGGTGGTGTATGACTATTATGAGCAGTTGGAGAAGTTTCCTTGCTTTGATTATAGTTACGACAAACATCCTTCTCACTTTTACTTCGAATCCTTGGTGTTACCTCGAAATGGGTCGTTCTACAATAATAGTTTTTACCCTTCAATGTTTTCGACCGTCTTATGCTTGAATGATGATTATTAAGGACAACTGTTTGAGGCATTTTCGGCGTTTTGGTATAAGATGAACTAGAACTGGTTTCCTTAGGTGTAGTCGATGTCTTTTTACGTTGATTTAATTTACAGTCCGCTTTGTCTTTATGGTATAGAGTACTTAAATCAATATCTTGTACCTTTAAATTAATATCAAAGATTTCATCATAAAGATGAGGTCTAGTTTTAACATCCAGCTTTCGTTGCTTGCAGGATCTTGTTGCAGAGAATAGGCTACCACCATCAAAAGCGATGCCTTTACGTAACTTTAATTTCTTTTTAAATCGACTGGAATTTCTTAGATATGTCGATGAAGACGAATAAGCTCGATCTGATATATCCATTGATTGTTCTTGATATGAAACTCGGACACCATAACCATGTCTCTCGTCGCGGCTAAATTGGCCATGATAATAGCCTGAAAGATTTGAATTAACAATGAAAAAATCAGTGATAGAATATCATAATACTATTGCTACGATAGTCTTTCAAGTATTGTGCTGTTATTAATCATTTTAGGGGGAGTTTGGTTTACTATAATTATAATCAGTAGAATGGTGTTTGCAATCATATAAGATACTCAGAATACGAGAAAAATATCCCAATGGATCGACTATTTTAGCCTGTCTATCTTACCCATAAGACGAGAAAATATCCCATGGATCAATTAATATATATTCTTAGGACACGAGAAAATATCTCAATAGATCAATTAATATAGATTCTCGGAACACGGGAAAATATCTCAACGGATCAATTATTTTTACTTTGTCTATCTTTATTCATAAGACGACAAACCATTTCAATGCATCAACTATTTTAGCCTGTCCATCTTACCATCTAAATAAGCTTCAGTACCATATCCTGTTTTTTCACCATCTTGCCATGTACCAAAGTAAATGGATCCACATCGATTCCAAATCGCTCCTAGATAATCTCGTTTTCCTTGATTCCAACAGCCAGCATAGATACTTGTTTTATACTTTTGTATGCCAGAACCATGTCGTTGACCATAAAGCCACTGACCGCTATAAATTTCACCACTAGGCCACGTGTAAGCTCCGGTTATTTCGAGACCATCTTTGTAATATCCTTCAAATTTTCCTTTCATTTCCAATCCAGTCCAACATCCAAATCCTTGTGCTAAGCGTTGCTCATCCCATTGTCCACAATAATAACTGCCGTCACTAAAATTATATCTACCGATAGTGATTGCACTTATCCTTTTTTTCGGTGCCATTCTCTATCGTCGTTTATTAAAACTATCTATTGAATAATTAATTATTCCATACGACTCTTTAAGAGCTTGTAGGATTATGGAAGAGCTCAAATACCTTCTAAATTGATAGCATTTATTTTTTTACACGTAATCTTTATCCATGGTAAATTGTTGTTCAAGGTGTTAGTAACATTTCCAGGCTTGATTGAAAAAGATCAAAGCTTACCCTCTAGGTAATATGACAATTTCCTGACCTATATTTCTATATTACAATTCAGCTTGGCTTTTATATCGAGAAAGAGACTGGCATCTGTTTACATAACGAAAAGGTTATCTTTTAGGATGTTGAATATATTCCAGTGGTAGTGGCGGCGAAAGATTATAAATTATACGTTGAATACACCGATTGAGGGATACTGTACGTAGAATTATAAACAGGATATAATAAAAGGCTTATAAATGTTATTTTTCTCACTTTCTCTCTCATACTATTGCAGTTTTCACCTTCAAAAAAAGTTATGACAATAAAACACTAAGAAACTTTTTATTAAAAGACTAGACAAGCAAATCAATAGAATAGCTCCAATTTATTAATGAGATTATAATAACAAGCATACAATAGGATTCTAAGATATAAGGTATGTATGGATTTATTCGTCATTTAATTTAAAGATTAATCCTTGACAACGCAGCTATTCTTCTCCATATAATTATACAAGCTATTTATCAGGAATAATGCACATTTGTGTTTTCACTTGATTAGAGATGAGGATAATTATTCATTTTCATTTTTTCAAGAAAAGCAAATAATGAATAATTTTAACTATACCGAACTATTTTTGATTTAGATCATGATAAATGGTCGCCCTTGATTAATGAGTCATCATAGCTAAGAGCAGAATACCGTCTATTTTTATCCTCTACCATAAAGTGCCATACCCTATCCCTCAGAAGATATCGATATTACAGGGCTTTTCCTCCTTTTCAAAAAGATACAGTTGATAATTAATCCTTTACGGATTGTTGCTGGCAGCAAAGAGACAGAATAGCTTGATAGGGCGATAGAAATGATTATTTTTTCATTGTTTTCTATCAAATAAACGTTAAAAATCATTTCTATAGTCGATTATAAATGCCATCTGTATCGCCACTATTAACAGTATCGACAATTTACTTTTTACAATACACAAAAATAGGGGAAGTCTTGGAGAGGAAATTTACTGTTCTTTTAGCTGGTAAATAAACAATTCATTGGATACGACGGTTTTCTATTGCCAATATCATAAGATTGAAATAATATGACAGCTTACAATGATTGCGCCTCAAAATTGATCTTCTTATTCATCTTTTCACTCCATTCTACTTACGTATTTACAGACTACGATAATTAATTATATTAGATGATCGCCATTCTTGCGGTAATAACACTATTCAGCTAATGATAATCAATTGCTTCCATACGGTACTATATAAAATGAGCTCGTATATATATACTGAATCTAACAACTTTGAAATAGCCACATTTTAATCCCTAGAAAGGTCAAATTTAATGATCTGATGAATACAATAACATTACCATATAGAAAGTAATTGCTAATGACAACCATATCGTATTAAATCAAAACAATTCTATTTTTCTTCGTTACCGATAATTTTTTCTTTCCTTGATATAATATAAATACACTAATTGATATGATGAAAATCTACAGTCCTTATTATACAATATGCTGTATACAAGAAGTCACCGTAAAATTTTGAATGAGTTAATTATCGTAGATACAGGATAATTATCGTAAGGAAAGATGTCAAATAAATTAACGCTCGTAAACGTGATTTATATTCAATTATAAAATTTCAATGTCTATTTTTGAAAAATTTACCAATGATGCAACTACATTGGTATACTAGTTATGCTACACCTGCAGCTCTTAGTCAGTTAAAATACCCGCAAATTTATTTCCTAAATTCATATCTTCGTATATACTTATACTGTAGATATAACCAATTCAGCACAAGTTATAGGGATGTACCTATAGCTCTCCCTTCAATAAAGTATTGGGAAAGTTTCTACTAAATTCATAAATTTATAAAATGCTTTCGAGATACAACCGATTCAGCTCAAGTCATGATAGAGCTGTATCCACTCTTGAGGATTCCATCAATTCCATGTCTATAAAAAGGTTTGTACTCTTTTTGTTCTTTAGCTTGTCAGCGAAGAAAAATAAGTATCGCATTAAAATTCATCAAAGATTGTTACTGTATTCTTCTTCTTATATCATTGATATTTATATGTACTGAAACTTTCAAATTTAAAAATATGATTGCAATACTAAAACAAGTAGCGCCAATCAATGCTTATGTATTTTATACGCTTACATCACAAATATAATTAAATATATCATCGGTAGTAGGCGATATTGATATAGAGTAGCACTATTTTAAAAATTTCAACATACTTTATATTTACAATATTAAAGTATTGACTAGTCTACTACATTTACTGAATAGCACAATTGGTGTTTACGTATATTAGGCAGGTATCAGAACTTGTCTGAGATATATCTTTTATCTGTATGCAGCTGTAATTTTAAATTTTTGTGTTATAGATTTCATAGTAAAGTTGACCATATCCAATAGATATTTACGTATATTTGACTAGCGTCATAACTGGAATGAGAAAGTGAGCTAAAAGTAATTCTTTTATGCTTTTGAATTATATAGAATTTAGACCTTTAATGTTGTACATTTATTCCGTATCTACTATATTAATTCGTTATATACCGTAATAAACTGTTCGAATACAAAATTGAATAAAGTAAAGAAACGATTTTAGAGATTCTAAGGCACATAACTTATGTTGATGCTTGCACAAAAGAATCCATGATACAACGAATAGTACTTGAGAGATTAGTAAATTTGAAATAATTTTATTGGAAGTAGGATTGTAATACAGCAGTGATACACAATCATGACTAAAAATCTAGTTTATTAAATGAAAGATTACCCTGGAAAGCTAAGTCTAGTCAACATACTAACCCTAAATAATTATGGTCATTAATCTGTCAACAAATTAGAAATAATTTGATCGATATTGGAACAAGTATAATTTGCCTAGACAGGTACTCTACTATAATAACTTAGAATGCGACTCAATTTACTAATTAAAATTTAATTGACAGTTTTATTAATATTTTTCACAGTCGATCTGAAATTTTCGATTAATGATAAAATTTGGACTTAAATCATCTTCTGAAACTTCCTGTTCTTAGAAATACTTTAATGGAAAAACTTTCCTACGTGTACCAATTATTGCATTATCATTCATTAACCTCAGGCATCCTTATAAGTATCGTAGTTATTCATCATAAACACCATTCATTCACTTTTAATAATTTAATAAAAAACCTAAGATCTATGAAAATATTCATTAATCTTATAAAAGCGACACGGTGCCCAATGTTATAATGATATTAATACTATTGATATAAATATATGAACTGAAGTAAAAATTGAAAGCGACCTTTATACTTTTAGACGCTAATTATTAATATATGATTAGCAAATCATGAGAGTGATTTGGCTCAAAACTTTATTTAATTGCGAGTTAGTTATTGTTTCGTAACTCTGGGATTATGGTACATAAAGACGTATATGCAGAAAAATTGGATATAAAATAAAATCTATATTTGGAAATAAAAATCAGTCCTTGCTGACAACATCAAAAGTTTGTGCCATCTGGAGAATTTATCCTTATGCTTTTCCAATAATTAAAATTTGTCATTGATATGGCCACAAAATAAACTAAAAATAAGTCCATAGTAATTTGATTTTAATTAATTACAACACTGGCATAATCAATTGGAGTATTATTGAGTTTAGATCATGTTGATTTTGATGACAGAGGACTAAATTGAGATAAAGGACTAGGGCGACATTTACATAAAAAAATAGATTTAATTGAATAGGTCAAACTTTAATCGGATGGTATCAACGAAATAATGTACATGCGTACGTTATAGTTAATTTATTATAATTTGAAATAAAAACTTCAAAGAAAATTGCTCAACATTGATCTGATTAAGGCGACTAAAGGTGGCTAAATTGCAGAATCCTGCTACTCTTACAAACATCACTTCAGTATTATGTCCACAATTATAATATTTAAAGATAATTTTGGTAATAAAAGTTAAACTGAGCTCGTTAAAGTCGGATCTTATATAACTTGATCGAGTTAATATCTTATACAGCACTGATGCCTTACATTATATAGATAACTTTAAAATGTAAAAAGTAAAGGAATTTTGTACAAGATCAATAGTTACAGTTGGATGCAATGCAAGTTGATCCTGTAGATGCTGTAGTATCGATACGAAACTCAGTAGCAACTTTGAAAAGAAAAGTTCTAGGGAATTAATCTAAACTTGAACTAATAATCTCACTATAAAATGCAGTCTATTGCAATTCAATCCCTAAAGATACTGTAATATGAAAGCCAACTTGTTCAGATTTCGATTTAATGGCGAAAATTAGATTCTATAGTCATACTCGATAATGTCAGTTAAAATATCATATCTATTAATACAATATTAAAGGATATTTTTACAATTGAGATGCAATAGAGTACTTTGAAGGTAGATCTAGTATAAGATGATTTAGTTTTTTTTATAGGATACCGATAATGTTTTCCGTGATAAAATTTAGAATGAAATAGATGCAATTTGTTCAAGTTTAACCTAATAACCTTACAGCTAAATCCGTCTACAGTTATACAATATCCTAAAGAAAATGTGAAGTAAAAATTCATAAATCAACTCATTCAAGCTACTTAATGGAGACGATTAAATTCCATAATCTATATATTCTAATAAAAATTGAAGTAATAAATTTTAACTGAACTCATTAAAATATCGTCTAATACTATTACCCCGATATAGTACCGTACATATTTATATTAGTGTGTTAAACTAATATGACTTTTGAAATGAAAAATATTATGAATTATATTTAAATTTGATTTATTA